ACCTTTTTTTAACTAATTAGCTAGGCCTTTTAATACCTTTTTTTAGTATTTAATAAATTTAATAAGGTAACTATCTTATATAATACCTTTAATTAATACTTAATAACTAAAGATAATAAGATTAATTTATTATATTAATTATAATTTATTAATATAAGGTAGATATTTATTTATAATTTTATAATAATAAAGGTTAAAATATAAGCTTTAGATCTTTATAATATAAATATTATTAATATTAGTTAATTAAGCAGTTATATATTTATTAACTATTTTAACTAAATAATTATAACTAGGTTAATTATTATTAATAATAATTATATAGTAATATATCTTAAATAATAAGAGTTATAGTTTTAGGCTTATTTTCTTATAAAACTTTATAATTATTATAATAATAATAATTATATTAAGAGGTTAATAATAAAGAGAGAATTTAGTTTAGTATTAATAAGGGAAATATCTTCTTTATACTTATAAATTAAGGCTACTTATTTAATTAGATCTTAAGGTTTAAGGCAGTAGCTATATAATTTATTAACTTAATATTAAGGTTATTCTGTTTTTTTTTTTAATATAGTATATAATGCCTTATATTATATTTATATTAAAAAAGAAAACACTATTATTATATTACTTTATATATAACTATAGTATTACTTCTCTTTTAATATTATTTATTCTTATAAAAATAATAAATATAAAGTATTTTAGCTTTATTTTTAAAATTATAAATAAAATTAATAAGTATAATAAGCTTATATTCTTTATAAATTTACTTAAGTTCCTTATTAACTTTATAAAATTAATAGGATTTATAAAAATACTATTTAAAGATATAGTTAAATATTATATAATATAATAATAAAAAGGCTAAGTTAGGACTAATTAAAAAAAGGATTTAAATAGCTAGAATAATAAGTCTTAAGGGCAAGACTTAATAAAGAGGAGAGATTATATTATAACCTTAATAGCTATATTATATATACCCTATAAAAAACTATATAAGGCACTAGCTTTAAAAGGGACCTAGTTGCATTTTAACTAATTAATTAATATCTTTATTATATTAAAATAATAAATATTAAAATATAATAATTTAAAAATATAATATTTTAAAAATAACTTATTTCAAGGATTTATTATTCCTTATATAATTACTATAATATATAAAATATACTTATTAATACCTTTTATAAAACTTAGCTTACTAGCTATTAATAAGCCTAATAAGTATTACTTAATTATTAAGAGATATAATAACTAACCTACTTAATATAATACCTTATATAATTTATAAATATAAACTTAATATAGACTAGTTTCCTTATTTAAAACCCTAACTATTATATATACTTTATAAAAATACTATATAAGGTATTAGCCTTAAAAAGACTTATTTATATTATTAAGAGAGAAGTAATGCCATAGCTATATATAAAGTAATATAATAATAATATTTTTCTTTTTTAATATAAACATAATATAAGGCATTATATATTATACTAAAAAAAAAAATATAATAACCTTAATATTAAGTTAATAGATTATATAGCTATTACCTTAAACCTTAAGATTTAATTAAATAAGTAGCCTTAATTTATAAATATAAAGAAAATATTTCCCTTATTAATAATAAACTAAATTCTCTTTTTATTATTAACCTTTTAATATAATTATTACTATTATAATAACTATAAAGCTTTATAAGAAAATAAGCCTAAAATTATAACTCTTATTATTTAAGATATATTATTATATAATTATTATTAATAATAATTAACCTAGCTATAATTATTTAATTAAAGTAATTAATAAATATATAATTACTTAATTAATTAATATTAATAATATTTATATTATAAGGATTTAAAGCTTATATTTTAACCTTTATTATTATAAAATTATAAGTAAATACTTACTTTATCTTAATAAATTATAATTAATATAATAAGTTAATCTTATTATCTTTAGTTATTAAATACTAATTAAAGGTATTATATAAGATAGTTACCTTATTAAATTTATTAAATACTAAAAGAAAGTATTAAAAGGCCTAGCTAATTAATTAAAGAAAGGTATAAATATATTATTATAATAGTAGGCCTTTATTAATAATATTATATTAGCTAGTAATAATACTATATACTTAATATAGTTTAAAGAGTTAAAAAGTAAGGTCTAGTTAGTTAAATTAAGAGTATAAATATTTTATTATAAGAAATAAAGGTAATTATAAGGTAAAGGAAGGGAAGTAAGGGGGAAAAGAGGGGAAAGAAGTTAAATTAAAAAATAAAGGTTTTAGTATTTAGAAAAAAACTATAAAGGTTAATAAATTAAGACTAGCTTAGCTAGTTAGTAATAAATTAAATTAGGTTATAAAATAAAGTAGTAATAATAAATATAGTAAAATAATACTTAAGTATTTATATTATATTAATTAATTAATATTCTTATTATATAAAATTAATAAATATTAAAATATTATAATTTAAAAATATAATATTTTAAAAATAACTTAGCTTTAAGACTTATTATTCTTTATATAATTAATTTAATATATAAAATATAATTATTAATACTTTTAAATCTTCTAGCTTATTAACTATTTATAAAACCTTTTTATATTAATATGCCTAAAATATATTATTTAATTATTAAGAAATATAACATCTAATATTTACTTAGCCTTTGCCTTATAAATTTACTAATATAAACCTAATATAAATTAGTATATTTCTTAAGAAACTATAACTATTATATAAAAAAGCAGTAATTTAAACTAGGGAAATTAAACTATAATATTATATAATAAAATAAGTATAAATTAAAATAAATATAATTATCTTTTACTTTTTATAATTTATTAACTGGCTTAATATTAAATATTATAAAATAATTACTTAATATATAATTAATTAACTTTTAAATATAAAAATTACTTATTTCTATTTTTAATAAAGTATAATTTATAGCCAGGTATTTATTGGCTTTAGTATTCCTCTTTAATATAGTCTTTAATATAAGAGAATAAAATAATAATTAATTACGCGTTCTGGGAGCAATAACACGTCTTGGTGTATAAATACCACCGAATCTCCCCAAGGGATCCAAAATTCACCAAGCATGTAACCGCCTATCGAGACCTTGATAGGCTCTGCCGATTCTTGGATGACTGGAATCACGATTTGATATTGCCCTGTAGGTGTTGTCACACTACCAGACTTATGTTGTATGACACGGAATGTTGCTCGAGGATATTCTCCTTTTAGAAAATGATCCAACGAAGCCTGCAACATTAGCACCTGGCGTGCTCGTAAGAGGAGATTCGTACTAGCAAGTCCATTGCCTGGTCTGCAACAGTCTGATGGATAGGCTCCCAATGGTAACTGAACATTTCAGCTCCGCTCCACCAAGTTGGAGGTGGATGATATCCCCGCAGATGTTTTGCAGAGATATCTATGTCGTTTTGCATGCGCTCAGATATCTCGAGAAGAAGAAAGTGTTACATGAGAGGAAGAGGTGGTTCGATAGACGGTGCAGGGGGAAGGCGTGGAAACATTGTCCTGGTCTCAAGCACCTGGCGGAATATACGATGCTCATCTTCTCCCAGTACGGAGGTGTCGAGTGCCTTGCATATCTGGTGGTAACTAATTTCGCATTTAGTCGGAGACCTTATATGTATTTAAAAAAATGTTTGTCCCTGAGATCAGGGCATATGTGATGAAGGAGAAACGGGATGTAGAGAATAAGCGAGCTTTGGATCTCTGGTTGCGGTTTCAATGTGGTGAAAGAATTTCGGAACCTTGCTGAATGCTCTCCAAACTGGCGTAGATTCGATAACTGCAACGGAACTGATCCTGTTAATACGTGTAGATTGAAGGTATCCTGGCTGCGCCACTCACTGAACACGATTAACTTGTAAACCCGATGCCGTAGACCTCTCTCCTATAGGACATCAAGGTTCCTCACCAGTCTCGTCACTGAACTCATAAACCTATCAAGCGTGATCTCGCAGATAGAAGGGTTGCCCAGGTGCTCCCGTAGCTTGTGATAGGCTTGAGACTTGTCTCTGTGAATAATCGCATCGACGTGACATCCAGCCACGAATAAAACCTTGTAGAGATCGCTGTCCCTTCGAGCAGTCGAGATACGGTGTCGGGTATTCATTCTGCAGAGTCACAGTCATGACGACTCCTATCTGTCTGCCATTCTTGCTCGGTCCGGGGGGTAGCTTTACCCAGCTTAGTCCAAATATTGTTGTAATCTCTTTTACGCGGCTTTGACGGTGTTCTTTCAAGTTGGAACTGGAACTGGCCAAACATGCCACTGGAGCCTGTTGGGGGGCCAAAGAGTCAGGCTCCTCAGCCGTAACGAGAGGCTAGGTTATAAGAGCATCACTCCCAAGATTTCGACCGCTTAAGGGAGTAAGGACGCTATGAGCAAAATGCACTCCTGGAATCGTATTCAAGGCCAATTGCAACGTGGATCGGGATATGCTCTAAGCCAAAGGCGGAAACTATAATAGTGATGCGATGTTCATGTTTATCTCCCGAAGTCAAGGTTGTAGAAGTAGTCATCCAGGGTAGTGATATTCTATCGGCACCGGCCTGACCTCAGCTGATGGACGTCTTACTGAACTCAATGTATATCTGTCGGCGGGTTTAGCTCAGTTGGGAGAGCGTCAGACTGAAGTTAAACTTCAATCATTCGATATCTGAAGGTCATGTGTTCGATCCACATAAACCGCAACCTCTTCTTTTTGCGTATAACTAGTCCATTTCCACATTATGGGGAGGTTAAGTTATTTTTTTTCTCAGATAGTTTTAAACGCCGCTTTTTATGTCAATGTTGTTAGTCTACAGTTCCTTACATTGTATATATTCCTTTAATTATCCGGGTATGTTTTATCAGCTTTACTTCACTGTTTAATAACAGAAGGACATCACCAGTCTCGCGGCCTCTTAGACCAGAAGCACTTAAGACACTTATTGTAAATTCGTCCTTTAATATATACTCACCGTATCGAAGTAAATACACGCCTCCGGTCTCGCCCTTGACTCCTATTTCTTCACCCATTATCCCCAACTCCTCGCTCCCAATCACATCATCATTATTCGTCCAAATTTCAGCAGTTGCGCTCCTCAATGCAACAGTATTAGTTTGCACGCAGCTTTTTCCAAAGCTTGTGCATACGCTCAGCCTGCCCAGGGGTAAAACGCTTAGGACCACAGTCACTAGAGATCATTAGCAATCAGCCCAATTCTGATATCACTAATGATTGTACTTACGGAGGAACATAGTTCATGAAGTTATCAATAGGGTCCAGACCAGGCTTGTCAGGACAAGTGTTGCGACCCGGCTCGGGGCAAGTGTCAGGGTCGGTAGGATAATCCTCATAAGGGGTATCATCGACATAATCACCAGGCTCCTCACAACCATTCTCAAAGGTATGTTCTAGACCAAGCCAGTGACCAACCTCGTGAACGGTTACAAAATTAAACTTGGGAGGTGTCTCGCCAGGCGTTGAAGGCCTCATGAGGCAGCCATCGTAGAGAATTTGCTCCTTATTAGGGCTGGGAACGGGGAGCTCGCACTTTCCACCGGGAGGCATGTCCACGATGTAGTAAAGATTGAGATCCTTGTAAGTTCCCTCTCGAAGAGCGGCTCGGAGATCACCTTCGGTGTCGTCGCTACCTGGGCTGCCGATGGGGTACGCCCAAGATTCGTTGACGGTTCTGGTGGTCTTTATCAACTTGAATGAGAACTTCCATGGCTTGTAGCTTTTGTTCAGGAGATCCATCTGTTCTTTGACAGTGGCTTGCTGGGAAGGATCAGTAAACATGCTGCAAATGCTTCGGTAGGACTTGCACTGAGATAGCCGTCTTCTTCCTTCTTGCTTGCTGCAATGACATGGACGTAGGTCTTGATCTCTACGCTCTTATGTTGTCCTCGGATCTCAAGGTGGTCGTTTGCAAGGTCTTTTGATATAGCTTTGAAGCCACTGCTGGAGCCCGAGGTACCGCAGTCAAAGCCAGCGGCTGCCACAGAGTTGGCCAAAAGGCCGAGAGCAAGAGTAGATTGAAAATGCATACTGAGTTATCGATGACAGACAATGCAGCGAATATGTCAAGACAAAAGCTTCTAAACGTACTATGTATTACCATTTATACTTGGAAGATTTTCGTATTGCATGCTTGCATTTGGAACTCTCGAATCCTGGCAATCCTTCACACACTGCGCCGCATTCGCCTATACTGGTCGAGTTCTTGGCGGTACCCCTCACGAGTTCGAAACACGAGGTAGAACCATGTTAGCGCCACTTTGAAAAGCATTGAATAGGAAATAAGAATCTTCCTTCAAGGGTATTTAGAGATTTAAGCAGGCTGACACCATTGCCATTGGCTGGTTGAACGCGGATGGCCATAGGAGGATCGCGGGGTTACGTGGACTTTCTGTTCTAGGCTGAGAATCAGGCAAAAGAGACACAGTTTAAGGATTGCAATCGTAATACTCGGACTCGAATACGCCGTTCATCTTATGCGGTGAAGAATAGACTATTCTGAATCTGCTCAGGCCGCGCGGTCTCGAAATTGCTTGCCTGGTGCTGGCGGCGATCATGATTGTAGGCTTCTACAATGAAGTGAGGAGTCAATAAGAATTTGCTCTCGAGATAAGCGGGCTATCCTTTAGGCTAATATCCCCGGTCGGCCTTTTGCCCAGATTCTGAGCCTCTGGAGTAAGGCAGACTTACGACACTTGACCGATGCGGCTAGGTGAGACGCGAGTTGCCCTATGGTCGTTTGTAATATACGGTGATAAGCGTTTTTCATGGATGTTTCTCGAGCTACGTTAGGTAGTTGCCTTTAAAGTTGAAGGTTAACTTTAAACTCTAAAGACCAGAAAACCAGGGTTCCCCCCCCCCCCCCCCCTCCCCCCCAAGATGAAACATCAACAAAGTCCGTCGGCAATTAACCATAAGCAAATTATGTCCTGTCTGCTGAATTGCCAAAGATAACTCTCTTTCAAACTAAACATGATAAGAAGTGCTATGCTACGAACATCATGTCACTTTATCAGGCGCATTGTGCGTGAAGGTTAAGTTGAGATACGTCCTTTGACTTCATGTTAAGGCCACAGAACTTAGTACAGTTGGTAGCTAATGAGGATTGAAAGATCAGGGTTTGGGTTGATGTAGCCTGTTACATACGCCAATAATAAAGGTCACATAAGTTGCAAAATAAAACTTTATTTTCTTTGCCATGCCTTGTGAAAAGAAATTAGCCTTTCGTAAAAGACATAAAAGCGAACCACGCCTACTTCGCTCTGCGCTATACTCTTCACTCCTCTATCAATAATCATCCGAAGCACCGAACACATACTCCAGGAAACGTCCTATTCTCATCATGGATCTTTCCGAAAAAGAATCCGCAAATGGAGACTTGCAAACATTCTCGTGCTTTTCAAGGCTTCCTCTCGAGATCCGTCATATGATATGGGAGTGCCTAATCTCCATACAACGACACCTGAGGATAGAAGGCCGTTTCGGAAACCCGACAAAGATCGTGTCTATATCAATCTCTCAAGGTTCATTTCTCTCTCAAGTCTGCTCTGAGAGTCGAGAAGTCCTTTCTCGTATTAGCTCGTACCAGGCCGCAACAGATGGTGATGGAGCTTCCGCTAGTCGACATGTTGACACCGTTCTAATGACAACGTTGGATGCACCTGTACTGGAAATGTTCTCTGTCTTAGCAACCGGTGTCGATTGTATTGCTATACCACGGCCCGTTGGAGGTCAGTTGCAGGACCTCCATCTGGCTCTACAGAAGAGGGTAGCTGCTGGTAATCGACCGGTAAAGGCGGTTTACACTGCAATTTCAACATACCTTCAGGATCAGTGGTTACCGAGACAAGAGGATCACCCCATAACATCAGCCTCTGACTTCAAGGTCATTGCTGACGACGATGAGGAATTACTCCCAGACTTTGATCTGGGGTATTTCTACGTTAGAGGCGGCAGGTCTTTTGTGGCAAAACTAGCCTTCCTCTCCTATCTCAACGGATTTTGGGAACATGATCGAATTGCAAAGGAGCTACGCTCGACCTGGCAGGGACTTGCTTCGAAAGACGGCATCACAGCGCCTGTGTTGAAACCGGCCATGATCTTGACGTGTGGTACCAGAAAGCATTGAGTTTACCGATATAGCGAGATAAAATATCATTAGCGGGGAGCAATGGTTCCATTGAATCGGTTGATCTAAAGCTACATGATGAAGTTTTGGATTGACTGGACCTGAGCCAAATTGATAGAAGCCAAACAAGATACTAACGGAGATCTTTTGGGAACAGGCAAAAAGAGCCAACGAAGAAAGAGACCAACGCCAAAGAGAGCAAGCCAGCAATGCCAGAACATGGTTATGACGGTTTTCACAATACTGGTCGCACGACAGGTGAAAGAGATTTCTTATATCTCAGATTGATAAATCTACTTGAAAGCTCGAAATGGCTGGAAAACATCTATGGGATGGAGTCAATGTATATCTCGGAACGTTGGTTCTGGCGCTACACTGTTTGTCGATGTGAGATACTTATATATCCTCTCCAAGTAGCAAAATGTTGAGAGTACTAGCTAGACCAAGAGAAAAGAAGACCCATAAAGGACCATAACTAGTAGCTTGTAGCTATACGTCTGCTTCTCTCAACACGACAGTTTATCAAAGATGCAACGTTGTATTGGAGGCTCTGGTCTTGAAGAGCGTGTTTAAAGCCTAGAACAGATCTACGATCTCGGGTCCAGCCATTTGCAGCCAATTCTCGCTAGAATCGGCCGAGAAGCCACATTCCAGGCCCAACAATGGCCTCCCAGCACGGAATTCCGGGAATCCACTACATCAGCATTCTTCACTCTTAAAATCACCAGTAGGAACCTTCCAAATCCAGTGCTGACCCGGAAATTAAGGGCCCTCTATTCGCCTCCGCCACGCCGCTCTGTTTCGAGACCGTTAGTGCTTATATACAATGGATCCAAGAAATGAAGCATAACGACCTTGATTCCTTCGAAAAAGTCTCAAACAAACCAAAATCTCAAGACAGGAAATACAAAGAGCTCAGCCACAGAGGTTCGGCCCACTAGAAATGAACAGGACCTAAGCTCAGACTCCTGCAATGCCGTCTGGTATGTTGGAAAACTTTACTATACAGGGGACCCCTGGAATGCTCAGCTTTGATATCCACCGCTAAACCAGGTCCGACATTAGACATTCCTCTCAGTATGGTCTAGACGGAAATCCTACGATCCTTCGAATTAATGGATTTGGTATTTAATATGCGCGCCAAGTCACGATGGACTCAGGCCAAGATATTCCTTAGAACTCACCATGCATATCGCTTCATACGTCTCCGTCGCGTTCACTGTGCTTGGCCTGGCCAATGCCTCGCCGAAAGGATGCACTACCAAGCGATCCCCTGAGCCAAAGTTGGAGAATGGTCATTACATCGTCGACCGCGCGACGAAGTTCGCCAACAAGAAGGTTTGGACTTTTAATGGAAAGATTCTTCCTGAGGGTCTTTACTCGAGCGATTATCCCGTTGGAAAGACCCATGTTTTCACTTCGTCTGGTGTCAAGGTCCGCAATGGGTACCTTGAGTTGACGGTCCCTGGTGGCCAAAAGTCCAAGCCCTACAAGGCTGCTGAAGTTGCGACTGAGATTGAGAATATCAAGTACGCTTCTGTCCGAACGACAGCTATACTCAGCGAACCTGCAGGTGTTTGCAATGGTACGATCTCCGATTCATCTCAATTGACAATATACTAATGTTTTCAGGAATGTTCTTCTACCAATCCGACAGCCAAGAGACCGACATCGAGTGGCTCTCTGATCCTAAGTCCGAGTCCAACTACGACGGCATTCGAAGACTATGGTTCACGAACCAAGATAACGATGGCGACGGCGAGCCATCTCACAAGCCTGTTCTTCCTCCTTCAAACCCTACTACTACCGAGCACGAGTACCGAATTGACTGGACCAAGGGCCTTGTTCAATTTTATGTTGATGGTGTTAAGCAGTGGTCTACTAAGAAGGATGTCCCTAACGTTCCTGGGCCTTGGATCTGGAATAACTGGTCTAATGGTGATAAGGGTTGGAGTGCAGGACCTCCTAAGCAGAACGCTGTGTTCAAGATTAAGAAGATTGAGATGTACTACAACACTGCTTAGAAGGTGTTTGGACAGGTGCTGGGTTGGTGAAGTGTTTAAGATCTACTATAATATTTGCATTTGAATAGCTTGCATAGAACTTGGAGAAAACAACACAAAATAGAGTCAAGATACAATGTTGTCTGGAGAAGACCACTCGTCTCTCGATTTATTGCCTGTCTCCTTTAGTTGTTCCTTGATACTGAGCAAGTTCGACGTTTCAGTGTCTAAATGGAACTTAAATCCGGCTGGACAGGGTGGTAGTGCAATTGCCTTATGATCCGAATATCTCTACACCATGGCTAAAGTCGAAAGGGTTATCTCTCTCGCGCGAAGACTGCATGGATAGGATATCTTCTTAGACAGGCTCAGAGAAGGAGCTCGCGATACGCGGCTTGTCACAAGATCGAGGAGTATGTCGACATAATATCAGCCTTTCAGTGAAACAACATAAAACTTCGTAAGTCTTTCAAATATCTTCCGTCTCGGAATATCGATATCCCAATAAGAAATACTACTCCGCTGCAGGGGTACTCTCCTTCGGCCTCTCAGGCTTCTGCCCATAAACGCTGAATCTACAACTCATTAGCTTCCCAATTCACCCAGCACACAACAGAGAACTTACACATGGCCAAAAGCCTGCGTCTTGGGGTTCATAAGGACCTTTCTCATCTCCGCCGCAAAGAGCTGCATTTCCGCGGGAGACCACTTGAGAATCTCGCAGAGCGGCAACTTGACGAAACCATCAAGGGCTTGACTAAACGATAATCCCACAAAAGTTCCCAGATCTTTCTTCTTTTTATCCCTTGGCCACCTGCCAATAGGGATCCTGTGAGTTTGGGGTGTTACCGATACGAAACCTGCATCTTTGGCGAGGGTTGAGAGTTTGCCGTTTGAGAAGTCGAATGTGCAGCCGATTGTTTGGCCGACTTGGGTGAAGACCTTTGCCCAGCGTGTGAAAATACTAAGTCTGGTTAGTAGTGGTGAAGGGGGGGGGGGATGGGGACGTACTGGTCGTCGTCGACTTTGATCTCGGGGTTCTGTGAGAGCATTTGAAGATCAGGCTCTATGTGCTGGAACCAACCACCTGGCTTGAGAGCCTTGTACATCTGACTGTACAGCCTGTCCCAATCACCGATAGCTCCCTGAAGATATCGAATGTGGATAAAGTCGAAGGACTCGGGCTCAAAAGTCCATTCGAGTTGAGCATCATCAATCTGGAACTCAACGTTTGGGGGGACGAAGCTTGGTTGGGTCGGAGTGATGTCTGTAGCAATAACTTTGGCTGATGGGTATTCACCCGCCACGTTTATGGCCCAGATACCGGTTCCTGTACCAATGTCGAGGATTTTCTAGGCTGTGTGAGGACGGGAGTCTTTGGTGATAATGGGACTTACTTGGGGATTGTCACCGATGGGAGGGAGAAAGAGCTTGTCATCAAGCATCAATGTCAACCAATGATGGCTAAGATAGTTAGCCGACATCTAGACTTACGTTGCTTGGAGATGGGCTTACATGAGGTCGAGTGCTTCGAGTTGTTCTTCGTCATTGGGAGCCCTGACCTGTCAGTACCAACCGTGCCCACTAAAGGGTATCTTACCAGTGCTTTCCATATTTAGGATTGGCATAAGTCCTTCCCTGAAAATACTTGTTCTCAAAAATACTCGAAGTAATCGACGCAGTTGACTCAGTTTCACTGCACGGTCAGCATAATCCCAACCCTTCCCAAGCTACATACCTATCAGCGCTAAAGTTACTCTCAGTATCATCCCCCAAATCCAACGCAGGTTCCTACCAAGATTAGCACTTGTCGATCACATCACAGTGAGTAACATACAGCCTCAATTTGAGCCGTCATCTTTACGTTATGTTTTGTTTCTCAGCACAAAGAAATAAAATACACTCACGCGTGCGGGGTCGGTGGTATCTTTATGTATGTTTGTCTTTGTTGACGAGGCTTGAGGGGTTACATGACATGTCAAATTGCTTCTGTGCCGCAGGCGCTGAAATGCATGAACGGAGGACGCTATCCAGTGACGGGAGGGTGACAGGTGGGGCTAGTGGCATTGCAGATGGGGATCGATTGAGGTGTTTGTCTCTCTTATGCTTGTTGGAAGTGGTATTATGCAGGTAATTATGGACTGGCGGGTACTACCTGCATCTGCCGTGTCACTCTCTTCTTCTAGAACTTTACAACCTCAAGATAGATAGAAAGAATGAACTATAATGGAATAAACTGTCATCTCTTCTCTGATCATTAGCTTGCGGGGAGAACTACGCTAATGCGACAAGACCCTTGTTCCGGGCGTCTTCAAGACAGGATTTTTCAACTGTGGCATGCTTGATTATTGGCTCTGAAAAATCTTTAACCTTTTGAGGCTGGAACGGCCGTCGTAACGTGTTCGTTTTGTTGCCACTCATGCTGTCGTGATGCGATTGCGGGAGTGTGACATCGCACCAGGTGCATGTACGCCATGAAAATGAAACGTCGGAGATGATTGCAGATATACGACAATGCTAATGTGTTTAATTCCTGTGCCATTACTAATCATTCACTTCATTGGTGTCATAAGTATTACAATTGAAGGCTAAAAGCGCACAAAGTCACTCCAATAATTCCAATCCAATAAGTCATCCCCGACATTAAAATCCCAAGCATCGAGTACACTCCCCGACATCTCAGCATCACCATTTCCAACACGTCTCTTACTCCAAAGCAGCTCAATACAAGCCAGTACAGCCTCACCCTCACTTAATGCCTTCCGTCTCGCCTCCCAAGCTTCCATAGTCAAGTTTCCCAGAGCAGTAAACAACGAATTATCAACAGAATCCACAAGTTCAGGATGATCGGTGTATAAACTGTCCACTAATTTCCAAGCCAGATTTATTCGCGGTCCGGAAGGTCGTCTGCGAAGTTCACTGATAACGTAGATCCAAGCGTCGATTTGGTAGTTAGATGTTAGATGAGTAAACATCTGAGAAGAGAATTTACTCTTGAAACCCACGTTAACGAGTTCCAAGAATGACAACGCTGCGTTGAAGAGGATATCGCTATCTTCTTTCGTCATGTAGACATCTCCATCGCCAGGCGCTGCTTTAGCCCTAGGATGATGTAGCCTGAAACGCATTCTCGCAATAGCTAGTTTCGCCATTGCATACGTCAGATCATGAAACGGAACAGCTCTGTCAAGCTTAGCAAGATACTTCTCTGTGTAAATCGTCTCGAGCTCGTTGATAGCTTCGTCTTCGGCTTTTGTTGACCCTCCTGGTCTTCCAAAGCCTGGAACGATGCAATCAAAGACTTTGGCTGCTTTGGGAGATGAGCGAAGCCATTGTGTTACTTCGAACTTCATCAAAACGCAGACCATTTCTGTTGGCCCGGTGTGCTGGACGGGGGGTTCGAGCATATCTGGATGAAGCTCTGTGTCATTGATGTTGAAGGGAAGACGAACGTCGCCGAATTCGGATCTTGCTAGCTTGATTCCAGGTGTTGAACTTGCTCGGACTCGCGAGTCCAGACCTTTTATCTGCCACCAGAGTCGAATGCGCATTTCTTTCTCGAAGAATGAGAGCTTTGTATCGGTGTCTGATTTGTGTAGGCCCATCATCTGTCCAGCTCTTATGGCAACGGCTGTCAGAGTACTGGCTAGTTCGATCTCTGGATTTGAGAAGATGAACAGGACCATGGCCTGAAGAGTCTCCAGATCCTTCGTGGTGAGAAAGTCAGCTCCTGCAAGAGCTCGTATTGTCGCAGTTCGATAGCGCGTGAGTAATGTCCCTCTGTCCTCGCCCAAAGATGCCAGACAGGCTTCTGACGACAGTGAAGTAATCGAAAGGAGGTATATGGAGAACATAAGTGCTGAAAGGGGCTTGGGTACGTTTGCCAGATCCCAAGTCGCTTCCAGGATGCGTTTCTGTAGACTTGGGACGTGAACAATCTTGATGAGGGGATTGACGCATTCGACGAAGGTCTGCCAGAAGAAAAAGATTTGTTTCGGTTCTGGATGATTCTCGTAGGCTTTCGATTGAAGGTCGAAGATCATGAAGTGAAATGGTAGTGAAGGATGAAGGAAAGGGTCGTCTTTGTTACGTAGTGAAAACATGGGAGGATATTTGAGCTATACTGTCAGTGAAAGCCATGCATCCTGATCGAAACTACATACCTCATGGCTCAGCTTTGACCAAAGACATCTACATATATCAGTATCAGTATGCAAACTATTGATGGACAGAATGACTTACAATTCCGTTGCAGCATCCGACACCGTCATAGACGTATCATCCTCACTCTTCGCCTCCAAAACCGACGACACCCAAACATTAGCATGCTGACTATAATCCACACCATTCTTCTTCATCAACGCCTCATACTGCGCCAGCCTCGCCAGCAAATCCTCATCAGCAGCTCTTTTTCGCGGTTTCGGCGGAAGAGGCGCTTCGTAGCTACATTCTGCTCGGCCTTTCTGACAATTTGAACAGGGATGTTGGCGATCGCACTTTACTTTTCGTCGGGCGCACATTGAACATGCATATTTCCGTAGCTCTGCCATGATATCGATGATGATGGGGAGTGGAGGATGTAGAGGGAAGCGAGAAACTCTGTGGTTTCGGGTGCGGAGGACTCGGGGATGTCGGGGCTGGGAGGGGTTTAGCGTCGGGATCTGAGAAGTCCGAGGATTGTTAGTTTGTTAAAGCTGGCGATGGAATACTCTAGGCAGAGTATGAACATGAGTATCAATGGGGTATAATACAGCTCTTTTGACTCCTATTTTTATATATATGAATGTGTTAAATTTCGCCTGCGAATCACAGGTGCTATAAGTTAGTGGTCTAGTTTTCCTATGAAATCACATGTGGGGAGCAAGAAAACTTTAGACGTTAAACTGGGGTGCTAAAATTAACTGGTGTTAAGGCCTGCTAATATATACTAAACTTACCTAAGTCTTTTTATCACTTAGGATAGAGGTCCTAAGTTTTGCTGCCTCCCTAAGCCCCGATGATCAATTGCGTACTACTTCGCAGCCTCAACGGAGCTATTTCCTCTAACGAACCAAGATAAGCTTTCTCCCATCCCGAGGCGTGCTCGGTTATGAAGGACCTAGAAGGGCACGAGAAACTACTTATTATCCCAATCTGCACGTCCTCCCTCTCATGCATAGAATAGACTCAACTATCCATTCCCTCAAAGGCTGTTCTCCTCGATCTAGTTGATTGACTGGGTTTGACGCTTCCTCATCATGCCAGACGATAAAATCACCCTCGAGGCAGCCCATCGGCGCTTCAAAGAGCCACTACCCAAACTAACCGCCATCAAATGCTCAATTATAGCTTACGCGTTACGCGTCTTTATCGTTGTTTCGAATTATGGTCTTTCGCTGAAAGAAAAGATCATCACACCCGCCAACGGGCCGACTCTTACAAAGGGTTACGCTTGTCGACCGAAGTTACCCATACGGTATGTCGTTAACTCATTATTTTGACAGAATCTAACAGTAATAGAATATTCTTTCCCAAAAGCTTCGATAAAAACTCTCAAACAAAACTTCCTACAATGCTTACCATCCACGGCGGCGGTTTCGTCATGGGTGATCCTCGTGACGATGATCATTTCAACTACACATTCGCCAACATGCACTCTGTTCTCGTCGTCGCGCTGAATTACTCTAAAGCACCGCATGTGCACTTCCCAACCCCAATTTACGACCTCGAGGCGCTCGTCTTAGCAGTTCTCTCCGACTCATCGCTACCAATTGACCAAGACCGCATCGCAATCATGGGTTCCTCGGCTGGTGGCAACCTAGCGCTCTCTGTATCCCAACTCCCGAGTATGTGCGGCAGTGGAGATGGCGTGCGACGCATCAAGACTGCTGTACCGATGTATCCAGTGGTTGATATGTCTGTGAGCCGAGAGTACAAGATGCAGACTCGGCAGTGGAAACCTCAACTTGGAGGGTTTCGCGCAAAGACGATGGATATGTTGTTTGCGCTTTCGCCTGTTTTTGAAGCAGCGTACTCTCTACCTGGTCAAGATCATCATGATCCACTGTTGAATCCTGTTTACGCCGATAAAGATCGACTCCCGCCACATATGTTCTTTCTTGCGTGTGAGCTTGACATGCTGGCGGGGGAATCATGGAGAATGATTTGTGGACTGACGGACCGTGACATTGGAGATGAGACCGTGGGCAGAGAGGCACCTGGGCCTAAAGGGGAGTTGATACTGGATGATGAGAGGTATTCTTTTGAGATGAAGACTAAGGAAGGAAGTTATAAATGGCTGTTGATTCCGGATCAGATTCATGCGTATGATAAGTATGAGAATTTGGAGAAGCTTCACGGGGATAAAGAGTGTTCAAGAGATGCTGAGTTGAAGTTGATAGAGGCTCAGAAGGTGATTGGGAAGTGGTTGTTTGATGAGCCATTTGCTTGAGGAATTTGAGGGAGGTAGAGAGACGAACTGGGGATATTCGTGATGGGATATGCCAAGTCATCGTAACATAGGTCGAATTAGTACTGTCTATTCATATAGGGGTATTCCTCGAGACAGACGTTCTTCTCTCAACCAAGTTCTTCATCCACTGGTATACTAATGAACTTCTTAAGAACCTCCTCCTCCACCACAACCTCCACCACCTCCTCCGCATCCACCACCGCCGCCACATCCTCCTCCTCCAGAACAACCTCCTCCAGAACAAGCAGCCCCAGCACATCCACCACCACCATCTCCACCACCCGCACATCCTCCCCCAGCTGCATTACCTCCACAACTCCCAGCCGCACAGCCAGGCGCAGCTCCATAGGCGTACGCCACAGGGACAAACACAACCGGTGCCATAAAAGGTCCGTACACTACAGATGTCAGTCAATATTCAATCTCCAGAAATGGGAAGGCAACGTACTCCAGTAGGAATAACCCCAGTGATCATAGTATTGATCCTTAGGGGGAAGCTTACGACCTTTCTTCTCGGCGCGTCTGCAGGCCTTTTGGTAGTTCTCTTCAAGACGCTTGTTTTGAACCTCGCGGAGTCTATTTTGGACTTTTTCGACGTGGCTTGCTGCGACGAGACCTTCATTTGATGTTCGGACTGCATTGTGAGAGGAGATATGGGCTGAGTTGTCAGGAGGACACATATCTGCAGCTCCAGACTCGTAAAACTTGTCGGCAACTAAAATCGTCAGTCACCATTCTTCAGGTCTGTTGTTGGACTTACTCTTCTCGCTGTGGGAGAGCTTGAGAACTCTCCCAATTGATGTGACGTGCGCGGCTCTCACGCTCTCGCAATACCAGCAGGTACACTCAGAGTAGACTTCATCAAACATCTCTTGGTAAATCTTGCTCGTCCACTCAAATCCATCGTTCAACTTCTCATCCTCAATCTTGTCATCATGTCGCACATACTTGAACACTCGCTTCGTTGTGTACATGAAGTACGACAGTGGCATGAGTTGATGGGTATGCCAGCCAAGATCAACATCGAGGGTAGGAACGGCAGTCTTCTTGGGATTCTTGGCGATGATTCTCATGAAGCGATTATACTTCAAACAGCATCTGTCCATGGTCTCGCGTGCGGTGGGAGAGTGTAGCCAATCAAGCTTACACATCTTTTCGGCAAAGATTCCTTGTCGCATCACAGCGCCGCAGAGATCGAGAGCAAAGGGGCTGAAGTTCTCCCAGTAGCGAGACATCATCTTCCGAACACAGATTTTTGAGAACGCTGGCACAAGGCCCATTCGTCCCCTGGCGACATCGCCGTGGATAGTGGCGAGAGCACTTGGTTTGAGAAGTGCCTCAGACTCAATCATCTTGCGAACAGTCTCCATGGTAGGCGGATCTTCAGGGTCCGGTGAATCAAGAAGTTTCTGGATCTGAAGGCGCAGAACATGCTGAATCATACGATTGGGAAACATGCGTTGGTCAAATAAAGATCCTTTGTGCACAGTAATAGGAACGGGAGTTCCGCTGTTAGGCCAGAGCATCGTTCCAGGCATGGGCTGACTCTTGAAGATGACGTTATCCGCGTCTTTGCAGAACTTGACGACGCTGAGGGTTTCTTTGGTGATGCGGGTATTGCACTTTGGGCAGCGAGCCTCAAACCTGATATCGCCGTAGCCAGCGCCCATTAGACCCGGTCGGTCTGGGGTCTTGGGTGTTTCGTCGAGACCGCAGGTAGTCCAGGGGACGTCGAATGGTTGTGCGCAGTTCTTGTTAGGACAGGCGATGGTCTTGACGAGGGGGTCGTCGACGTTGTCCCATTGACGACCTGTTTGGGCGACCCAGCGTGCCTTGTCGTCGTCGGAAACGTTGTAGCTGAATGAACCGTCTATTGCAGCATTGACGAGACTCCATGGCATTCCGGACTGCCAGAATTGACGGTGGCCTTGGCGGATACAGTCTTCGAGGAAGTTGTAGGGGTTCAACATGTGAGAGTGATATACCATCAACACGTCTGCAATTTGTTAGCACCATCATACGGAGGCCAACAATGCGACTTACCAAGAGGCGGAAGAGCCTTCTTCTCCCACCAACGAGGCGACTCCCCAACCGGAAACTGCGCAAAAGACGGAGAATTCTTATCGCCCATATCACCCTCCGTCAAAGGCATCAACTCCCTCGGAAGTGAACTCCACCACGCCTCATACCGATCAACAGCCCTCGCGACAAACAACGCCCATCGTTTCTCACGCACTTTACTCAGCGCTTTCTTCTTATCGTCTAGTTCATGGTTAAACTCCCCTGCAGCAGGATGTTCGTCAACGTCGCCATTCTCATGGACTACAATGTTTCCATCGGCACGAGTATCCCATAATCCCCAGAGTCCATCTGTATAGCCAATGTCTTCTTTTAGCGCTTCAAACGCGAAGAGAAGACGGAGGTGCGCGAGGCAGGTACTAGAGTCTGGTTCATGGGGGAGGGTGTCGATGTGAAGATCTGTGAATGGTGCTGTGAGGTCATCTGGGCCGGGTGCAGGTGTATCGTCCACGGCCTGATAAGCCGGAGGGGCAGCCATGGTAACAAAATAATTTATAATAATAATTTATAACCAGCAATACTCTTTGATTGGATTAATGAGGTTGATTGCTGTTGATAATTGTCTTGTTGAGTTGGAAACTTGGCAGTTTATATCACGGAACTGTGCCGCGATGCAAGACCCCTCGATCTTGCCATGTTCTCCGCGTTTACATCATTTGTGGACAAGCGAGGCAGTGCAAAAGCGTGTGTGACTGGTTGGATAAGGAAAGCAGCGGAATGATCACAAGGGTAAATCATGCCGATGATCCGAGTATTCTCCAAGCTTATTTGCTGGTGCACTAACAAATCTGCGGGGTACACCAGGGACCATGCATATTATTGGAGAAATGCTGTTAGCCTAATAACTAGAGTTACAGCCACCGCCCGGTTACACCTGAGGAACAGGCAGCAGAATTTGTAGAGCTAAGCCTTGGGGAGATGTACTCGGGCGGCGATTCTTATGCAATCGCTGCAAGGCTGGGCGTAGAGATCACCAAAATGGAAGGATTCTTTTCTTCCTTCTAGAAGGTCTTGGGTTATGCCTTGCATGTTCTAGCTTTGGGGCTGTGACGTCGCAGTGGATGCCTCTCACATCTGATTGTACAACCAACAACAGTTCTGGACCGTCATGGATTGGGGGCCGTTTTGGATGAGGACCAACACGTCAGCGATAAGAATCAGGTCATTGGGATTTGACAATGACAATTACGTATGAGGCCCGGCGTTTGAATCGAGGGCAATTGAACAAGGCGTGTGATACAGGGTTAGGCTGTATACATGCTGCATGCATCTTTGACGGTCGTTCTCAATTGGGAATGCGAAAATTACATTACGGCCCGCAATACCTGGGCAATGAGAAAATGATCTGATCTGGCCGGGTAAAGTAAGCCTTAGATCCGACATCATGCAATTGACGGGTCGCAAGACTGGCTGAATTTAGTCGTATTTTGTGAGACATTGCGCGTTGGTTACACGATATCTCGGTGTTTTGGCGTAAGACGGGTCATTCACCTCAAAAATGCCGAATCAAATCACCGATATGACTTTGTATTTAGACTGGTTTCGCAAATAAAGTTATCAGATCAATTCCTCATCATTCATAACCCACTATTCCCGTATTTCCCTAAAATGTCAACCCTCAAAGTCCTCGTGGTAGGCGGAGGCATCGCCGGCCCCTCAGTGGCCCACTGGCTCTCCCGCACCGGCGCAGAAATCACCCTCATTGAGCGCTCCCCCAAAGCCAGAACAACAGGCCAACAACTCGATCTCCGGCACCAAGGCGTGTCTGTCATGAAGAAAATGGGTATTGAGCCTGCGGTTCGCGCTAAGCATGTTCACGAAGTTGGAACACAACTCATTGACACGAATGGTCGGACGAAGGCGTTTTTTCCGACGACTGAGAGTGGGGATGGGAAGCAGAGTGTCACGACCGAGTATGAGATCCTGCGTGGTGATCTGGTCAAGATTTTGTTGGGGCTTACGGAGGGGAAGCAGAATGTGAAGCATCGCTTTGGAACGAGTGTTGCGAGCTTGACGCAGGATGATGAGAGTGATCTGAATGGAAAGGTTCATGTCGGGTTTGATGATGGTGGTAAAGACGACTTTGATCTTGTTGTTGCTGCTGATGGAACGGGTTCAAGGACACGACAACTCATGCTTGGACCTGACGCTCCTGATCCACGACATTTCCTTGGCGGTTATATCGGCTTCTTCAGCGTCTTGTCGAAACCGCACGACACGAATCGCTTCACGTTCTGTCATTTGACAGGCTCACGCTGGCTCGGTACAAGAAAGGACTGCCCGGAGATGACGCGCGTGTACATGAGCCTACAGGGTCAGAATGAGGGTCTTGCAGCGGCGCATCAGTCGGGAAAGCTGGAGGATCTCAAATCTGCTTGGGCGAATGTTTTCGCAGACGGGAAATGGGAAAGTGATCGGTTCATGGATGCCTTGAAGAATTCACCAGAGGCAGATGATCTCTACTCCACGCCCTCCCAAGAAGTTCGACTTCCGCCTGGGTCGTGGTCCAAAGGTCGTGTTGTAGCCATCGGCGACGCAGCACACGCTCAAACAGCGAATGGCTATGGAACAACATGGGGTATCGTTGGTTCGTATATCCTCGCTGGCGAAGTCGCGACTCTGTGCAAACAAGATCCCAGCAAGGGAGTTGTACAGGGCGTGAAGAGATACGAAGAGATCTTTCGACCTATTGCAACGTCTCTGCACGGCAACCAAAGCATATTCGCTAGAACGGTCTTTGCACCAAAGACGGAATTTGGAGTGCAGATGCTTCACTCGCTGGCAAGAATGGCATCATGGTTCAAGCTAGATCAAGGAATGGGTCTTCGTTCCAAGATCGCAAACTGGCAAGTTCCAGAATATCCAGTATTGAACGCTGAGAAATAAAATGGGGGTATCAAATACAAAGCTGTATTATAGTTAGACAGGCAATTCATCGCTTCTCAATGTTTACAAAACTCACCTCAAGATGAGTCAAAACACACACAAAGATATGCAAAACGAAAAGGTTCAAGTATCAATATCACAGTTCACAAGGAAAAACCCATCATCGGACACTATTCTGCGACGACATGGAACCTCTGCCGCCAGACTCAGTCATGCTAGGTGTATGATGTTCACGCTGCTGCAGTCGCGAGATGGAATTGACGTCTTTGGCGCCTGGTAAGCTGATTGCGTCGTAGTCCAGATAGGCGTACGCACGCTGTCCCTCAATGACTTCCTCGACGTCCCTTGGACTGCGGGAGCGACGCAGGGCGATGGAGTTGGTGTAGGTGTTGCTGGCGTGGCTGAGGCCGTTGGCGGGGTAAGTGGTGTTGCCGGAGGATAAGCCTGGGATGAATTTGCGGAAGATGGGGCGGAGAAGAGCGAGGCAGCCTGGGAGTGTTAGTGAGGTGGCAGATGGGAATGTAAGGGAAGAGACATACTGGTGAAGACGGCGAGGTGGACTTCGACGTTGGCCCAGACCATTGCGAGGGAGAAGTCGTAGGGGAATTCTCGTGAGTTGGCGGTGTATCGCTGCGCTTCGACAATTTGAAAGATGGAAGCAATACCGACTCTGTAAAGTGTAAGCAATTGATAGTCTCACGATGAAGTGAACTTACAATGATCCAAGGCTGAAGATACCAATGACAGCAATTTTTTGCCCAAATATCAACTTCATCCTCACGACCTCAAACAACGGTAGGGCAAGAATAATGAAATCCATCAAACAATGCGTCAAATCAGTCCCAAGATAATACTGCCCAATGTTATTCATGCATTTCCCATCAATAGACTTATCCCAATATGCCTGCACAGGCATACAGTGAAAAATCGTCATAAACGTCCGGATGGTGATCCAGCATCCACAGCATACCATCAAGATAATGATGGGTACGCGTATAGACGAGAACTGAAAGATGCGACGGTAAAAAGTGAGCACGGCCATCTTGCTGAGAAAGATTGACCACGAGTACAGAATCTCGCTTGCGAAGAGAATCTCATGTGATTTCTCAAGAATGTAATCGATCTTCTCTTCGGGAAAGTGGCCGATTTTGCGACCCATGTAAAAACATACGGTCCCTTGGAAGTTTGTTAATTCAGGTAATTGGAGGAGAAAATGATGAGAGCGTCACTCACACACGATGAGAAGAATTGCATAACCAAGAGCCACAAACTACACGATCATAAGCATTTATTTTGATAAACTGGAGGTTAAAGTTAGGTTTGAGGTCGTACCCAAGCTGCGATTGACAAGGCATCGTCATAGCCAACACCCATCTTAGTCATGCGCCTCGCCTTGATTCTAAGGATCAGGGCGAGGGCGCTCGCAGGGACGGGGATGATTATGGCGGCCCAGACATTGGGAACCCGGCCCGTCATGATTGAGGTGGGAGCAACGAAGAGAAGCTTCTGGGATTCATTTGAATATGGAGAGGTAAATGAAGGTGAGAGCTTTGGGGGGAAGGGAAAAAAGAGGGGCGACTGGGTGAGCCTTTATGCCGAAGGAAAGCTAAGAAAGATACGAGCGGTAGGATTGCCTTAGATTAGCTGCTAGGTACTGGATGAGTGACCTGCTGTGCTGTTGGGTGTGGCAGGGGCCAAGGCATTAGCATTGCCACAACGTTGACAAGCCAAGCGACTTGTGCAACCCTCCGTCAGTACAAAGCTGAAAGAGAATTGCAGCAGGGGCACCACTGTAAATTAAAGAAAATACGCCCCGTCAGCTTCCGCAAAATGGCTGCCTTATTTTCAACCCTTGTCTGCTTCACTCAAGCATTGGCTAAATGGGGGGAAAGTCGCGCAGTCATCATCACACCCACTTCTGCTGGGCGAATAGAAAGGCCAAGCTCACGAGACACTGCGACGCTGATCAAGTGACCCCAAGATAAGGGTTCATTGGCCAAGCTGAAAATGCGGTCGTTATCTCCCAAGGTACTACGTAGAGATAGGCTTTTTTGGATTGGCACCTTCTTGATGGAGGTTAGTTTTATGCCGGTGAGATTGTTCTACAAGCCTTCTTTTCTTCTTTTCCTTCTTTATGGGGGTTTTTGAGGAGAGAGGAATGGAATTTGGGAGGAATTGGATTTTGGGTACACGTCATAGAGGGCTTGGCCTGGACTGGGGTCGGTAGAAGTAGTGGATATCTACCCCAGACTTTAAACGAGTCAGGTCCCACTTGGCACCAGCATTAGCCGTTGAAATCTGCCGCCGTTAAAAACGAGGCTTTGTTCGCCGGCTTATCTCAATTGAAACGAAACGTGAAAGACAGGCTGGGAAGTGGGTGTGAACGACCCAACAGCCTTGTGAGGCAGGCTGTGAGCCATGCATTGGAGATGACTCATTTGAATACAAATTGTTTGCTTGAACTGATAAAGAGAATAAAGGAATGCAGTGTGCACGTGCCGAAGCTTGGGAGCAAACTTGTTTATTGAGTGACGCTTTGGTAAATACTGCGATAAACCAGTGAATGAAATCGGCAATTCATCATTAATCATATGGTTATCTCAATCCGTATCGTTATCTTGCAATTACTTCCGCACGGTCCATGATTTCCTGGCAGCTATTCCAAATCCTCCTTCTGTTCCTCAACCCCGGTAGTTCTCCCCACCGTCTCGTCAACTCCCCCCGCAATCGCGTCCAATTAGTATTCTTCCGATCCAGCATCCCCACAGGCGTCGTGTATCTGTGTTTCTGTTTCTCTTGAAGCTCATTTGCAAAACGAACTAATCGCTCAATTTTTGCTGCATCTTCCTCAGATCCACTGTCGTTGAGACGAGCGGAAGATATCTCGTCGTTAGTTTTGACCAAGGTTTGGCCGATTTCTGTTTGCTCGGCTGCTGTTGTTGTGACGAAGAATGAGAGCGGGAGGGAGGACCATGCTTCGTAGAGCCAGGGGAGTTCGCGGAGGGTTAGGTGGTAGAAGAGGGATTGCGGGAGATGGCGGAATGATCGTGATGATCGTCGCAGGTTTGCAATGTCCCATGAATCAAGTCGAAGGAGAATTTCGAGCTTGATCTCCTGCGGCAGCTTGGAGAAGACATCTGTAGAATGCGCCATTGACAAAGCCTCGTCTGAACAACTGTCGTCAGGGTTGCTGGTATTCTGTACTGATACAAGAATATCCTGTAACCCCGGGACAAAGCACGGATTCGCCGCAAGAAACTCGTCACCAATGTGATGCCTCCAGTACATTTCCCTTCCCCTCTTCACGGCAGCATGTTCTGGTATCGGCATCCCAAGTGCATTTCTTCCCTGTCCCCATCTCGCCAAAGCCTCAACATCCGCAAATCCATATCGATATATCGACGCTCGCTTGAACACCTCAAAGCATGTCGGATGAACTGGCATTGCACTAACACCATCATCATCATAGTCTGTCTCTGGGGCGCGAACATTGTTGCGTCGTGGAAAAACTTCCGAATAAGACCTGTAGTCGGGTTCCATGCAGCCGCTTATACCGCTGAGTACAAAACGGCCTTGTTTCTCGAAATCTTCAAGTTCACTTTCCTGTGGCTCCCAGGTCTCGTTGCGGGATAAGAGGCATTGATATGTATTGCACTCTCTCATCGCCTCGGCTGAGATGCGGTTTCCGTGGTATGCATTGATTGATGTGCAGTTCGGTCCGGAAACGTGCTCAGAACGGCTAGAATAGAGATTTCTAGTCGAGATAAATCTCGTTTCTGGTTCTGGGCCATTTCTCGGGATGGAAGTGCAGCCTGGTTGTGCGCAACTTTGGCTTCCGGGGAGTTCTCCGATGCCAGCTTTTGCATGGCTGCACCATGCTGCTGAGGGGGGTTCTCCATTTGTTCGATGACGGCTGATGTTGAAGCTGACGCCGCAAATCATGCAGGGTGTTTCTACATCTTGGTCTGTGTACAAATCTATTTGGAAGAAATCGAAGGATGGAAATACATATGGCGCTGCTGTGTGTTCATAGAAGCCCACGCTTCGCATCGCTCCGTCATTGTCCACGTTGACGTCAACAGAGTGTGTAGACATCGCTTCGTCCAGGTCCATGATGGTTTGATAGTACCTAGGCTCAGTTTAAAACGGATCGGCGGACTGGAGCTCGTTTGATGCTAGTGGGAGTAAAATGGGAATGGTTTGAGAAAATTGTGGGTGATGAGGGGTTGAAACGTTGTTTCACAGTCTCCCCACTTGTCCAAGTTTGCGGCTGATGAGATATACTTGTAAACTGCAGACAAACTTCTCGTGGCAATAAGTAGCCACTAACTGCAACGATCTCCACCAAGTTGGTCTTATCGATAAGCACGTGTTTCAGAGGCAAGAGTTGAACACGAATTGACGTAGACGCACTGAACCGCGTTCCTTTCCATCAACTGTAAAACCAGCCAATCAATTTTACGATACAGACGTAGACTACCTGCGATTGAGATAAACTTACATATAAAGCACTGCAACAATGCCAAAACCTCTCGCGCCTCTCCAACCGGAGGTGTTGAACGCGGTTAGGCCCACAATGACGCCCTGACTCAGTTCCTCGCTGACAATCCCCAGCTCAAAGAGGAGAGTATTGTCAAAGACAAGCTAGCCGACACAGCTGCACTTAAAGAAAATAGCCCACCAAAGTCTTCGCCTGCGAAAAAGGCCACTCCAGCTTCTGGCAAAAAGCGCAAGGCCGAATTGTCCCTCGATGAAGAAATTGCAGCATACAAGGCTGACCTGAACGATACCGTCAGCCAAGCTTCTTTTGAGAACGATAGACTTCCCAGTTGTAGTGTCATCCGCACCAAGATGAACAAGCTCTTTGACTCGGGTGTTATGAACAAAGCTGAGTTCTGCAGAGCCACCGGTGCTAACTCAAACTCCCTTAACAAATTCCTCAAACAGAAAGGTCCCTTCGGTGGATCTAATAGTGCTGTTTGGCGTAATGCATACGTATGGTTTCAACAACGTGAAGTTGTGGGCCTTAAAATGCCAGACACCAAGAAACGACAGCTCGAGGAGAGTAAGAAGGATACCGCTGATGGAACTCCCTCCAAGACCGCAGCTACAAAAGCCCTCCCTGATATTAGCGAGATTCACCTCGAAGGCGAAGAGACAGATGAGGTACCCATCTACGACAACTGCGATGAGATCCGCCGCAAGATAAACGCACACATGAAAATACCCAGCGTGACCCAAGCGCAATTCTGCAGAGATATCTACGCTCAGTGGAAAGCACCCAAGTGCAAGGGTATCCAATCAAAACAGCTTTCTGACTTCCGGAATGCAAAGGGCGGTAATGCCGGGGCGAAGAGTTCCGTATTTTACGGAGCATATGTTTATTTTGAGAAGGTGAGGATCGCGCAGGGGAAACCGGTCACGAAACATAGGGTGGAAATGACGTTTATGCATCCAGGGGGTATTCCGAGAGATCGGGATGATAGAACGACTTGGTTTGCTGGTGCGGCTTGACGATGCTTTCGTCGCTGGTAATAAACTGATGGGGAAATGGTCGATGTGTTCTGTTCTGGGTGTTTGATCTCGCGGGCTTGATAGGGATCATGCTTGGATGATATCTGCTGGTCAGTGAGTAAAATGGGGCTGTATCAATTTGGGATTTGCTTGATGAAAGTCTGGTGTTTGCTTACTCTTTGAACTGTAGCTGCTACTTGTGACGAATGTACTTGCGCTGTAGACTTTGCCAGGCAGTTCTTGAAGACGTGTAGGAGAGCACTGCCAGCGCCTCCAATGGGCTGGGTCAACCGTATGGAACAGAGCACGCTCTCGCGAATTTGTGTGAAGCGATACCAAATGACCTCCGCCGCGTCAGAACGGATAGATACCAGCGCGAAACCGACATATTCAGTGCGCATCAAGAAAGAGCAATATTGTCAATCGGCACCAAGACGTTTAATGATTTTGAGCCCCGCGACATAGTCTAACTGGTCTACAGTGAGCGCACATCGACAAGGGTCGCGATAACCAGCCAACAACTAACACAGACAACTTCGCAACCACCAAAAAAGAAGAAGAACATGCACAACAGGTCAAGCAATTACAGAAGGTAAAAACAGCGAAAAAGAAAAATTACATACAACAGCGGGGATTCGCTGGTCGTCACCGACCCAACTACTAATCCGCCGGTTAGTGGCTTGACTATGGGAGAGCGGACGGGATCCCGTATTTTCCACTACCTTTGGTCGTATGTGCTAGAGGAAAGTGAGCTTACGTCCTATAACCACACGAGCTTACAGCGGTCTTGAGTGCTGTTCAGTGGGTCGGCCTGCCGGGTTTCGGTCACCAGGCATATTGATAGCTTGGATATTGACCGGAAAATCTCACGGTCAGTCATTCAGAAGTATTGAAATGGATGAAATGTGTCCCTTTTTGTCATTGTATCATGTTATGTAAACTTCTTGCGGGAAGTTCCCCTGATCCATTGGGACCTCGGTTCGCTGTTTCGTGTCTCATTGGTTCTGTCTCACAACTTCACATTCAGATCAGCAACCTTGAATGAATGGGCAACTTCCAGCCGGATCCCAGCATTAAATGTTGGCCAGAAGCTCAAATTAAATCACGGTCCGCGATCTCAAATATTACCTCAAATCTCATGAGCTTCCAATTGGCAAGTTTCTGCTCTATTCTCTGCTCATCGACCGCTTTGTCCACGCAACATGTATCCCCCAACAAACGAAGAGCTACCCTACAGAATTGGCGCTAGACGAGATGCTCAGTGATATTGTCCACGACCGCTGTCTCAACAAGCGCTAGCGCCCCAGCTCCTCTAACGAGTTTTCAGAGACCATTTCTTGCAGGCACATACCGTTGGAAGAAAACTCTGCCTTGATCGGCCCATTGTAAATGTTTCTGTAGCGATAAGATTATCCATTACTTGGCAGCCTCATTTCTTTGCAAAATCCTCATTCAATCGCGCCTCCATTTGCTGAAGTCGCCTCGATGCTCCCCGATACCCACTGAACCCAGTCGCATTTTTTCAGTAGCGAAATGAGGCTGACAAAAAAAAAGTGGCTGGGCCAAATCAGAGTTTTCACTCTGCCTCAGGCCTAAGTCCACCAAGACCCACTGTAACTCTCTATAAAAGTCCAATCTTCCTCAGACCTTTGGGATTTTTTTTCTTTTCTTCTTCATGTCGACAATACTTCAGAGAATCATTTCTATAGTATTCGACCTTCTCTTGGTTCCCTAAAAGAGCCACAGATCCCACCCTGGTTGATGAATGTATATCCTCGACACCCTAGAGTGAATACCCTCTTGGTCCTCTCGCCCTGTCCGCAAGGATGGCGGTGGTTGTCTCGTGCAGCTGCTGTATAGAGATGGTTTGCTTGATGATCTCGACCCCAGCTGTGGTCTTGCCCTTGGGCGCGTGGCTGGGGTGGGTGTTGATGGACGTCTGACAGGCGTGTTTTCTTTTTTCCTTTTCGTTGCTTTCTGGGGCTTGTCTTCGGGAGTGAGGAAGATGGTCTGTGATGCGATGATTGGTATCGCACTCTCAGCATCGTGATGTGAAATGTTTATCCGTACCCTTGTCTCACTCTGAGATCTGCCATCTTACTCCGTGGCTTATTTCTATTTTTGTTCAAGGAAGATTAAATGTAGCCCAATACTCACCGCGATATACTAGCTGTAAAGCTCCTGTGGATATAGCGGTCCATCATCATGGCCACATCCCGTAAGGTACTCTTGGAGTGCTATTCGTAAATTGTACTATCTTTTTGATCATTAATTGTCGGACCTCCAAGTCAAGTCTTGGGTCACGTAAACAATAGGCGCGTGGACAAGTCTGGTTGGTCGCAGTTTCGCTTCCCTGAGGCACGGTGTTTTCGCCATGTCAATGCCTGCCCTTGTTCACAGGCCATGTCTTGTTAACGAACACCTGAAGCTCTTTGTTAGCCGAACTTGTCTTGCTGTTCAATGCCCGCCAGGCAGTGACATTGTCTCACGATGTCCCTTTGTTTCTTGCTCCCTTGTTTACCTGTTGTTCGAGCGATATTTCATGACGCATGAGAACAACAAAGAGGATAGTCCTTTATAACTGCAGCAACTTCTGCTCTCAATACTCCCAATCACCAACGATTGACAACATCAAAAGCTACCATAGTAACATCATCAGCCATGTGTATCATCTACTCTACTCCTAAAAGTTGCGGCAACTGCGAAGCTGAGGATATCGCGCTTACCAACAAAGAGGAATGCGAAGCTATCAAGCAAGGCCAGGCCTGTCTGGGAAAGAAAGAGGTCGTGCTTAACAATGCATGGCTGTGTCCAGCGTGCAAATTTAATACAGCTCGTGGCCCGTCCTACCTGGAAACATACGACTATCAACCAAAGATCCGACAACAGATCACCAAAGAAGAGAGTGCTGAAAAGAAGACGGGTTGCTTCACGGATAAAGTCAAGAAGATGATCGGTAAAAAGTAGGGATCCATGCTTCTCTGCTAGCACTGACTACAAGGTTGAGCCGCCAACTAACACAAGACCCTGGAGAGTAAGTATTGGGTGCACTCCTATGCAGCAGGACGAGAGATATCTGGGATCATAGGAACAGCTATTTATGCAAGACTCGCGAAGATAACACAGCTGTACAGTGTATCTGAAAGGGAATTCGGAAGATTAGTAAACAAATATATTCTTCTGCAACGAGTGTCAAGCCTCTACAAGCTGTCCATTGTCATGCCGCGTGCTTTTGAATGAAAATCAATGTTGCTTTTGATGTAATTGGTAAGCTGAAAGGAGCATGCTCTCACTTGCCACTGCGTCAATGCCTACTTTTAAAGACGATTCCTGAGTTTGAGTTCTTTGTAATTGCTGCAAAATGTCAATCTGAATCATAACTTGGCTTGACTTATTCACGTCTCAGTATCTGGGCTGATTTAACCACTGTATATAATCCCGCACCAGCTCCTGCTTCCCGATTAATCAAACTCGCATTTAAGTATTCTATTCTACCAAATAAAAGTCTACAGCAACACCAAACAGCAGCATAAGCCATGTGCAAGGACCTTTATTGCCGGACGCTTTGCGGCGCATGCGAGAAGAAGTCCACGGATCAAGATAGGCAGAAATATGAGGACAAAGGAATAGACATATGCAAAACTGCTAAGGAATAGGGGAGGATCTGTCCACAAAGACCTATCGATGAGACGAGCGGTTCCTGTCGGAAATGCGGCGAGGACACATACTTGGGACTGTATCAGACAGGACGATATTGGTAAGAGAGTTGGTAAGCGGCATGGCTAATGGTATAGCAGCTCGGAAGGTGAAGCTTCTAGCATGCTTTCTGCGTTACTGTACTGATTCAGTTAAGCCTATAGTGAAGAGTGACTAAGAATGTCTTGACAAGGGAACTGCTTGTCCAGGGCTCCCTAGACCAGTCCTGACCATAACTCTATTCTTGAATAGATGCTCTCAGTGTTCGCCAATACTTTGAGGCAGAGTGCTAAGCCTGAACCAATTTCTTATTTCCTTGTTCACCTTCCTTCCGTGCCTTTTTCACCACTGACTGGTTACTCCGATTCATATAGAGCACCGACCTCGACCCGTGTATAAAAGCCCCTGGCAACCCCGTCTCCTCTCCAGAACTATCTTGTATGAAAACTTTTCCTCGACCAAACCAAACTCTAGTCACAATAAACTGGAACACAATCATGTGTACTGAACATATTGGACTACCCCTCTGTGGCAACTGCGGCCTCGACTACGATCAGAAAGAGATATGGAGCGTTTATGGAAAAACATGGATAAAGATGTGTGAATCTGCTAAGAAGGAGACAAATACTCTTTGTCAACGTTGTCGCAATGACACATCTCGGGGACCGCCTTGGACTGGGCAAAGTCGATAAGAGGGTCAGTTAGTGATTCTTTTTACTGTTTCTAAAGGAAAAGTTAACAGGGTACTTACTGCATAATTGTACTTGTCTGGTTAAATCCTTTGTGAAGAGTGACTTAAAATAACGTGAGAAGGGCACCGCCTGGCTCGAGCTCCGTCGAACAAGCCCTGTCAGAGACTTGTCTTTGACCAGACTACCAGTGTTCACCACATGCTTTGATATAACTTGCACATTGGCCATTTTTGGACCTTTGTGTAGTGTGAGTCGAACAAAGAGCTAACTTTGTTCACTTACAAAGGAAGAAGACTTCGGATACATGAACATCAGATTATATTACCAACATTACCTATAAGTCAGTGTTTACGCTGAATATATTCTGCTTTGGCTTATCCACATACATTCACAACTTTCATCCACCCTATCAACCCTTTACAAAACCTTACAACGAGCATCCCTCGATATACACTCAACCATCAACAAACATGTGCACCATACCCAAGATAACCTGGACATGCCCCCAGTGCGGCAAGAAAACCGGCCCTGAATCTGGCCCGCTCCTCAAATGCAGAGACGCCGAGGCGGGGAAGAATTGCCCGAGGAGAAACGAGCAACCAATGTCTGGATCCAAGGCATGCGATAATCACAAGCATCTCCCGAAGAAAGAGAAGGAGTGGTATCAGAACTTGTGATTATACGCAGGGGAAGGTGATTAGGAAAAGGTCCGCTTGAGCAGTCACTTTAGCCAACATTCACTCACGGTTTCGTATACTATCAACCTTGGAATATTAACGACTTGTTTCTTCACATGATGCATTGACGTGAGACATGCGGGAAGATTCCGCGCTCGACCAGAATCTTGTCCAGATAGCTCATCAGTGCATAAATTCAGGCTGCATACAGCGTCCCGGAATCTACTTGTTTGGTTCACTGATGTGTAGTCTGAAGTGAATTTTGCCGAGCGCTGAAGTTTACTGCGTGTCTTACCCCAGGAAAAGTGATTGGCGTAGTTGCATAGCTGCCAAATGGCCTGTAGTATAAATATAGTTCAAAATTCTATGCCCTGCCGTGCAGTAGCAAACATACCTCCTGGTGCTCAGTCACCTCAAGATCCAAGAACTTTCCGCTCACAATGTGCACTGTCACTCAGAACATAAGTAAATGCCGCTTCTGCCCAAAGGAACGGAATCTCGACTTAGGAGAAACAGTTCAGTGCGAGAAAGTGAAGAGTGAGAAGAAGTGCGATGGAGTTACCATAAAAGAAATCCACCATGAGTGGATATGCGAGACTTGCTCCACGCAAAAGACAACCGAAAAGACATAGCAAGAAGACCTAGATATAAGAGGATCTTGGAAACAAGCAGGCTAATAAACAATTTTCAAGAATTGACTCGGACGCAATGACTGGGTTGTGTCAGTGACTGCTCGTGGTTTTGCGTGCCGCACCGACAAGTTGGCTTTGTAGGGCTGCATGATCATAGTTTCGGAACTAACATGGTACTGTAAAGCCTAGGGAGTATTGAAACAAACGTGTGATGATTCAGAAATGAGCCAAGGAGAAGAGCTTCATTCGACCCTTTGGCCAGCGATACTACAAGTTCCTTAGACCCTCTCACTAGCCCAATGTTCGAGGAACCCTAGCCGTGCTTATCACCCAACATGGTATATTTGAGGGTCTATCAAGCAAGATCCATCTTCGATGGAACAAAAGACTTTCCTAGCAGCCAGCCCAATCAATACTGCAAAAACTGACTCCGGTAATGAGATTGGCCTCTGCGCCGTTAAGCTTTCAGCCTTTCAGCGCAGCCCCACCATGGAGATGTCCGCGGACGAGCCCGTAGAATCGGACAGCCCCACCTCCGATTGGCTGCACTGCCTCTGGAGTTCCTGGTATAAGAAGATGAGAGAAGTGCGCAGCAGAAGCCGATATCATCAACCATTCGCTTTAATACCCAATCAAGTCATCACCTAACACGCTGACCACTCAACTTTAAGTACCTACCTCAACCTTTGCACGTCTACACCAACATCATGATGAACTGTCATAAAGAACCCGAGTTCCAAATCCGCGACATCCCCAGCCTCCGTGGCTACATAGCCATTGTCACAGGCGGTAATTGGTTAACTAAACCCCTACAAATCCCATTACTGATTGGTCAGGCAACTCCGGTATTGGCTATGAAACAACCCTTCAACTCGCTCTCAAGGGCGCTAGAGTCTACATCGCCAGCCGCTCAAGCGAAAGAGTCAACAAAGCCATCTCCGAGATGCGACGGAACAGTCCGGACTTAGATATTCACTTCCTCAAGCTTGATCTTCAAGATCTTCAGAGTATCAAGGACACTGCTGCTGATTTCATGAGTCGCGAGAGTCGCCTTGATCTGTTGATCAACAACGCTGGCGTAAGTGCAACCCGAAGCATTAAGAAATACAGCTAACGCAGCACAAGATCATGGCTAGTCCCTGGCAATTGACAAATGACGGCTTTGAAGTCCAATGGCAGACTTGCTTCCTCTCTCACCACGCCCTCACCATGTCATTGATGCCTCTCCTCGTCGCAGCCGCTCAAACCAGTGGTCGCATGGACCGTGTGAGAGTTGTTAATGTTGCTAGCGACATGGCTTTCAGAATGGGACCGGAAGCCATCAATTATGAGGATCCCAACCTCACCGGTGTCACTGGGCAGCTAGCACCATGGTAAGCATTCCAAATCAGGATCTTCTTCGATTCAGCTTGCTAACCTACATCAGGAGGAGATATGGTCACTGCAAGCAAGCCAGCATCATCGCCGCGAAAGCCATAACAGAACGCTACCAGCCGCTCGGCGTAACAGCATACTCCCTTCACCCAGGTATCATCAAGTCCGGTCTCCAATCTCACTCGAACAGCATCTTTGGTGCCATGACCCGTGTGGCTATGAAAGTCGGCCCAACATCTACACCACTCGAAGGATCAATGAACTCGCTGTTCTGTGCTACAAGCTCTCAAGCTTACGAGCATGCTGGGAGATATTATGTTCCTGTTCAGAAGCTGGATGACAAGGCTAATAAGTGGCTGGATGATCCTCAGGCTGTTGGCAAACTTTGGGACTTGGCGAGTAAACTATTGAAGGAGCATGGGTTTGTTTTTGAGGACTTGCCTCAGTATTATGCTTGATTAGGAGGACAGGATGGTACTAGAACTACAACATAGGTAGCGCCGAGTATTTTGGTACGTGGTATTTAGAAACATATGCATTGTGGCGACAGTTATTGAATAAATGGTATAAGCAGATGCTTTTCATGCATTCCGTTTCTTTGACTGTTGCGCCCAACCTCCATCAAGTTCTGAGTTGGATCTTGCTAGAGAATATAACATTACGCTCACAACCAAAGTGAAAACTATCATGGTATTCTCTGCTGCTTTAAGTGCTTGCACGCGTCAATGCATTAGAAGAACCTTATGTTTGTTAAAATTCATGAATTTGAGAGACATAACTGGGTATAGATTACAGTAAAAGAAAAAGTGATCAAGAATTAAAAAAGGTTTCGTGGTCTAACGGTTATGACTGCGGATTCTGATTCCGCCAGCGAGGGTTCGACTCCCTCCGAGACCTGCTTTTTGACATCTGCTAATGCTTTATTCAATACGCATTGGATTCATGAACTACTCAGTTTTTTTAATTTTTATTTTCCAATTTGAACCTTCTGGCTGATATGCAGTATTTGTTATGTGGACTTTATTCACTGAAGCATTTTTATACTGCTATGCTATTCTCTTTGCCAATGTGAATCTGCAATTTAAGCCAGGATGTCAATTTCAGGCTTTCCGTTATTCTAGTTGAAAACACTACTGCAAGCAGGGTCGAGATAATCTCATTTATCTTTTCTAAATGCGGCAACCAAAGTGGCACCTGACTTAAACTTTATAGCTGTTTATACTCGAAACCAGAATTGGCTGAATCTAGGAGTCCTTTTTCTATACCTCCAGCTTGGGTCCCAAACTTGCGTGCAGAGTAGGGCGTGTATTATCAGCCAGAAAGCTTTTATATGTGCGGAAATGCTTTGATTGACTGCATTAAGTAGTGTCAAACCATATAGCTATGTGTTTATTTAAATATTTCTTTATTCGTGCTTCTATTGAGTTTATGCAAACTTATACCTTTCAGCGATCCTTTGTGTCCAAGTTACATGTCCTACATACTGGGACCTTAGAAGCACTTGTCAACAAGACTCTGTTGATGGCCAGGAACATAAGGCGAGGTACAATAACCACTAGGTCTCGACCAGGACGCACTCTGAATGACACATGCCAATGATACCATTTAGGCTGATGCAAATCGAATGATAATGACTGGCAAACACAAGTGTTTTTAATTTCTCATGAGGTACAATAGAAATGCTTCAACGTCTCACGAATAGGGCTTTTCCCACACGCTCTGTAGATTTCTTTCACAAACCAGCCTTCACTATAACTCTGTCAAGAAATGGCCAGGTCTTCGAATACTAACTTTAGTCATATGTTCTCCAGGTATAAAAGCTGTATATTTTCCCTCAAAAGCCTTTTTCCAATCATCAGGCTTCGTCCTTTTCAAACATCTCTAGTTCGTTCATAACAAATGTCCCAAAACTCCCTGCTGATAACCTTGGACTGGTTGTATAAGTTGACTTGATAAATCCGATCAGTTGCAAAGTGTTGCGTAACGCCGAAAATTACTGTAGTCTGTTGTCACCCCCGGCCATTACCTGGGATGGACCTGGACACCCTTTGAGTAAAGGACTCTCATACTGGGCTTCTTGCAGGACATATTTGTCAGCTGGTGTTGCCACAATCTTGCTTATGGAGGATGAGTAATGCCTTTCGGACGAATTGGTGCCCCTCGTCGAGCCGGAAATTCCTGCTACGCCAAGCCTGCCCAAGCCAACGAATAACTACGATTCTTCAGTTAACCGAAAATCCATCTGAAAAATTAGAAATATGCCTTATTCCATCACCTGCATTTCAAGTCTCCACAAGTTTCGACCGAAGACATGCTTAAATCCGATCATGGATAACGCCGCCCTAGAATTTGTCCATATAAGCGACTAACGACCACGTCAAGATCTTGACACCTCAGGCAGATGAACCTTTTAGAAAATCCATAAGTCACCATGTCTCTCATACTCAAGAACATTATGCCCCAAGCTTTCGGCTGCAGAGATCACATTCAAGACGACAGCAAGCCTACAATGCCTTCAGAACAAACCTTCCAGCGCCATGAGATCCAATCAGCTCGCAATGCTGTAGCTGAAACCATTCTCGACAGACATAGCACTCGTGCGTTTTGCACTGGTCAAGCAGTTCCCATGTCTGTCATAGAGGATTGTTTTAGTGTTGCTCAACATGCTCCTTCTTCGACGAATATCCAGCCTTGGAGAGTCACTGTCGCTTCTGGTGAGCCGCTGAAGCGCTTATCTGCGGCACTGATTGCTGCTTTTGAGAATAAAGAGGAGCTCAAGATTGATGCGATTCCTGAGTCGTATAACCACTATCGTTCAGAACTGGGTCATCATGTCTACGGACCGAATGGTTACAACATTGCCCGCGGAGATACAGAGGCAATGACGAAAACTCTCATCGACAACTTTAACTTCTACAACGCGCCAGTCGTCGCCGTTATTTCCATTGATAAAGACCTAAACAAAGGCGATGTTCTGTCAGTTGGGATTTATCTGCAGACCCTTCTTCTACTGTTGACGGAGAAGGGATTGGGCACGCAAGTCTCTGCTGCGCCAACTGGATACCCGGATATCATCAAGAGGGAGTTGGGTATCGATGAGAACCTGGATATCTTGTGCACGGTTGGAATTGGTTTTGAGAACAAGTCTCAGCACATTAATTCTTTGAAGATGCCCAGGGACGATTGGAAGCAGAGTGTCAGATTTGTGATGGGATAGTGGAGTAGTGTTACGTTAGTGGTGTTATGCTTGTTTCTTAGCGCTTTTAGCGGTAAATGACCTGTTGAGGTCTGTTCTAGCATTGTTTGTTTGGCGCTTCCCCAACCTGTTGTCTGGGACGATCTCGTTTCGCTCGTGTATTCGTTCTCTGAACTCCTTTAAAAGTTAACATGACAATTCGCCTCGCTTCTGATGCTGATCTCTTCAATCCAAGGGAAAATACTTGGCACTGACCGGAGTGTTGACATAAAAGTCTCTAGTGCTTACGTCAGACACATTTTGTTGCTTCGACGATGATCATACCCTTAGATAGAGAGGCACATAACGCCCCCGCATCTTGACACAGCACGAGACAAACTTGACTTTGCAGGTTACTCAGAAGATTCAAGATGGATAAATCGTGTGAGATCCCTCAAGGGAAGGAGGTCTCTAACGGCCAAGTCAACGACGACCTACCGACGGCCGAGGCCCTCAAGATCGCTGATGCGATTGAGGTCCTTGATGGCAAGGGAGAGAAGCATACCTTCAAGAGCATTTATAGCGGGCCAGGGCTGCCACGTCGAGTCCTCGTTGTCTTCGTTCGCCATTTCTTCTGCTGCGTATGGTCCCCATACTGCGATATTTGCCCAGCTAACACCCTCAGTCATGCGTGAGCTACACCAGCTTTCTGGCCAAAAACGCAACTCCAGAAAAGCTAAAAGAAATAAACACCGAGATCGTGATAGTAGGTCACGGAGACCTTAGAACAGTCGACATGTATCGCATAGACACAGGCTGCGAATTTCCCATCTATACTGATCCTTCTGAAGAGCTTTACAACACTCTCGGCATGATTCAGACGTGGGAAGAGGGGCCTCCAAATAAGTATATCCCGCACTCGTCTTTCTGGGTAGCTTGGTTGTCCATGAAGAATGCGTTTTGGAAGATACTGGAGGGATATCCTGTGTGGAATTGGGGAACGACGAGTCAGCAGGGCGGAGAGTTCTTATTTGTTGGGGAGGGGGATGATAAGAAGGTGACGTGGTGTCATCGGATGAGGAATTCGAGGGATCATACGGATACTGATGAGATTTTAGAGATTTTGGGGTTGAGGAAGTGAGGATGAGTTGGCGATGTCTTTGTACTTCCTTGTACATAAGTATGAGCGAGACGACAACCTTGAAGCACCTTCACCCATGGCGGAAAGATTAACAGAATCGTACATTTCCCGCACTGATAGCTGAGTTCGTCAGCGGATTGGTTACAACTCACAGGTATGAGAAATAGGTATACAATGGCGATGGAAAGGGAAGCCTACGGTAGGTTTTATTGTTCACATTGCATTTCGCAGAACATGGCTGTCCAATAAGCTGTCTCTCTACGCGACCGGCACCATTGCGTATATTCATCCTTAACAAGCTTACCGAGCGGAGCAAAACAAGCAATAGCGTCTCAGAACACCACCTCGGACAGACTCCCATTATCCGAGATCAGCTGGTATTGGCTGACATTCGGATAATACATTATCGGACTTAAGAAATAGTGGTCTCATTGGTAATACGGCTATTGCCGAGTAAGCTTCACCGGATGAGGTGGGTCAGATCCGACAGCCAAGATGGGGGCTGAAATGAGGTTTAAATGCAGATCAATGTCCTCCAGCCATCCGCTCTCACAGTTGTTCGTTTGTATTGGAATAGACAGCTATGGAGTTCATCGCTGCTGGTGCATCTTGGGCGTTGGGCAAGGCACCTTCGCCGCAGAAAATTCTCGGTCGCCTTGGTCTCGCATCACTCGTCGCGCAGAATTCATGGCCTGAATTATCCTCGAAGCTCTCACCACAAGCGTCAATCGTCTTACCCCATGACTCGTCGTTTGGTGGTCTTGTTAGTAGGTGGCGAGACTGGCATGGGCCGCAGCCTGGTGCCGTCGTGAGGACTTTCTCCGAGAGTGACGTGCAAGAAACTGTAAGGATGATTGTTCTGAGACGAGTGTCCTACTGACATGTCGCAGATTAGATTCGCAAATGGCCATGGAATTCCGTTCCTTGCGAGATCTGGTGGCCATGGAGCAACTGAAGCACTGCAGCTAGCCAAGGATGTCATTGTTGTGGACATGCGGGATCAAAATGTTATTGACATTGCGGATGACGGAAAGTCTGCGAGGATAGGTGGAGGCGCCAGTGTGAAGAAAGTAGTAAATGAGCTCTGGGCAGCTGGAAAGCAAACAGGTAAGTTGGTCACCTGAATCAAGTGACGCTGCTGAAACAGAAGACAGTCACCGGCATCTGCGAATGCGTCGGCGTTTCAGCGCCCGTCCTTGGTGGCGGTCACGGCTGGTTACAAGGCCAATACGGCCTCGCATCAGACCAAGTCATTTCAGCACGAGTTGTACTCCCCAATGGAGACGCAGTGACGGCCTCGGAGGACTCAAACCCCGATTTGTTCTGGGCTCTTCGTGGAGCAGGGCATAACTTTGGCATCGTGACGGAATGGCAGTACCGAATCTACGACATCAACAATCCCAAGTGGTCTTATGAGATTTTCGTCTTTCTTGGGGATAAACTTGAGGATGTTCTGGAGTTGACGAATAAGATGATGAAGACTCAACCGCCGCATTTGACTCACTGGATCTACATCGTCAACATTCCTGAAATTGACCCAGATAAGGCGAGTATCTTTTCTTGGGATGAGAAACCTAGCTGACACTTTGTAGCCAATCATCTGGTACGCCGTCATCTCAGATGGCGCTGTCCAAGAAGCGCGAGACTATGCGAAACCACTACACGACCTCGGTCCTCTCAACGTCGACGCCGGCGAAGCTTCAATGCCTGAGTTAGCCACCATCACCCTCATGGGTGACGATTCTGTCGGATGCGCAAAGGGCTTCACCGGTCTTCGATACCCAATTGGTCTCAAGACATACGATCTCGTCGCCGTGCGCAAAGTCTTCAATGAAATCGCTGACATGTCGAAGCGTGTTCCCGAGTTCGCTGGTTCATTCTTTCTTCTTGAAGGGTATTCTACACATGGCGTCAAGGCAGTTGATGCGAAAAACTCCGCATTTCCTCACCGCGATGATGAGATTCTTGTTACGCCTTACATCCTCTACAAACCTAACGCGACGCTTGATGGACTTGCGCAGGAGCATGGTGAGAAATTGAGGAGGCATTTGTTAGAGGCTAGTGGGGACCCCGAGCATTTACGTGCATACGTTAACTACGCTCATGGCTTTGAGTCTCTGGAAGAGATGTACGGCCATGAGCCCTGGAGGATCGAAAAGCTCAAGACACTCAAAAAGAAGTGGGATCCTGAGAACAGGATGAGGTTTTACGCGCCAATCGTCTAGCAAGGCATTCTCAGCCCTAAAGTCAGTGTCAGCCCTACGCTGAAACCCTTGTAAATCTCACCCGGTCTCGCCGAATCGGTCACTCGGAACAGCGGGCCCGCGGGTCAAGAGCATCCATCACAGGACAGTACCATACGCAGATCAATAGCCAAGACTGCAAGATAAAGCATCATAAGCTATCATGCATAATCATTCGCATCGAAAAGAGTAGCCAGTTCGTGAGGCTTTCACGTGACGTAAGCATCCGCGTGTCCCTGACTCTGCGGCAGTGCAGACGCTAAGCAATCTAAGCTTAAACTACCTATGGGTGGATGTAAATGTCATTTCCTAATTCCCATAAACTATTTTCTCAGTCTCTATACCCAGATACTTGAACCTTGCGGTAGAAGTGAAGATGCAGCAACAGCCTGTTCGAGCAACGTTATCGTGTAGCTCCTGTCGACAACGAAAGTACGCCGCCTTTTCTTGGCGCCGATGACGATGCTGACGAGATCTCCAGACTGAAATGTGACCGCGATGAGCCATGTAGCAATTGTGTTGCGAGAAATGTCTCGTGTCAATATGCGCCTTGGCCACGAGGTCGCGTTGCTGCTCAGAGACGGGATAGCAGACATAATGATCTGAGTGATCGTGTTCGACATCTTGAGCAACTTCTTGGCTCCATGGTTCAACAGATGCCCGCCCAGCAGGGGACGTCTAATGGTTCGCCTAGTATCAAGAGCCCGGCGAGTACTTTTGTTACCACTCAAGGATCTCATCAAGGGTCGCATCAGTCTTCTCATGTGGAGGGCTCAGAGGTCAAGCCTGGGAGAATGATGGCGAATCCCAATGAGACGATTTATGTTTCTAGCAGTCACTGGTCTGCTATCTGTCATGAGGTGAGTAACTACTTAGCGCAGAGAGCACTTCTGAAACGAGGACACCCCAGGTTGAGCATATTCGCGAACATCTGGAGGAAAGCCATGAAGCGAGTGACTTGGGCATAGTGGATCAAGCTCAAAGCCAAGTACCGCTGCTTCTGGGGCCAGGAAGATTAGCCCCAACTCTTGAAGAGATTCTGGCGGACGTTCCCCCGAAGCACATCACAGATAGACTTGTGTCTCGATACTTCACGTCGACTGAGCCGTCGATCAGTACGTTCAACTTCTGGCTCCGGTGTTCTAACTGACTCTGCGAAGTGATCACCCATTCAGGAGAGTTTGAAGGCGAGGTAAGTGACTTCTACTACTGTTTTGCCTGGCTCACCTTTATATAGTACAAACGCTTCTGGAACGACCCCAACTCTGTCTCCGTCCAATGGGTCGGCATGTTCTTCGGCATTCTAGCCACCGGAACATTCCTGTACATTCGATCGCAAGACGAGCTCCCTGAAGGAATGGGATCAGCTCTTGAGGTCGCAGAGTCCTTCCAGCAGAGGTGCACAGACTGTCTTCTTCTTTCCAAGTACTCCACGGCTCCTGGTAAGTATACTTTGGAGACACTCCTATTCAATATCCACGGTGAATTCGTCCGTCGTCGAGATGCTCACTTGGGTGTCTGGATCCTTACCGGTATTGCTATTCGTTTGGCTATGCGAATGGGCTACCATCGTGATCCAGATAACTACCCTCGGATCTCGCCTTTTCACGGCGAGATGCGCCGTCGAGTATGGGGTGTTTTCCAGCAACTTGATATCCTGACCTCTTGCCAACTGGGCTTGCCATCACTCATTCAAGAGTCTCAGTGCGATACTCGCCTGCCGCGTAACATCAACGACGAGGACTTTGGCCCTGAGTCAACACAGCTTCCTCCCCCGAGACCCGAGACGGAGGGTACCGATATATTATATACCCGCGTCAAAGTTAGGATGATGTCCATCTTTCGCACAATCTTCAACCAGGTGTCGCTCGGGAAAACAGAAGATTATAACGAGATCATGGCTCTTGATCAAAAGCTTCATCAGATGCGTCAGTCCATGCCGACTTGCTATAAGATAGCCAGGCTGGAAGATTGCTTCATGGTTCCACCGTACCTCCTCATTCGACGATATAACCTTGAACTACTCTTCCAAAAAGCAAGATGTACACTGCACCGCCATCATATGACCAAGGCATACCAGGACCCTAAGTATAACTACTCCAGAACGGCTTGCGTTGACTCAGCAATGACTGTGCTGGGGCACCAGGCTAGTATATTGAAAGAGGTCCAGGTCGGTGGACTGCTGTACAACGACAGATGGTTTCTCACTTCTCTCGAGAGACATGACTTCTCGCTAGCATCCATGGTAGTTTGCGTCGAGCTTGGAGTGCCACCTGAGCAGCAGAATCCAGAACTCGTGGGATATACTCGTGAGACGATGATCGAGGCGCTTCAAACCTCGCAAGCTTTTTGGGCGGCTATCAAAGCTGTTTCTGCTGAGGCCAAGCAGGCGTATGATATGCTCACTGTGATGCTGAAAGCTGTCACGACTTGTTCAAAAGACGAGGCGAAGCTACCAGCTGAGAATGCGGAGAAAGCGCCGGCTCAGAACGGCAACGGTAATGGTCGGTCTGATGCTCGAATCAATATGTCTTATAAACTGACCAGAGTAGTGAACATGAGTGGGCATTCTGATTCGAACGAGACGCCATTCTCAACTGAGTTCCAAGGCATCGAGGCTATGCTGAACAGCTCGGATGGCGTCGACTGGGTACGTCGCTCTACAAGAACAAAGTTTCCTAAGCTGACCTTCCTCTTCTCAGGATATGTGGGAATCTCTAGTCCACATGCCTGAGGACTTCTCGAATTACGAAATGCCCGAGGGGCTGTGACAAGATGCGATTTTCGCTTTTATCCCCCGATATAATGAGGGCCTATCCTATGTCGGAAGCGGCTGCGTGTCTTGCTGACAGATGACGCAGCAAGCGGGGTTTGGTGTAGACTGATAAATTTTCTCATCTCTCAATCAGATTCACCCAATCAATACACAAGCCTCGTGCAATAGTCATAATCTACTCAATCCGTGAATACTTCTATTAACCTTCCTTAAGCCGTCAATATGCCTGCTCAATTAGTCATCTTCGACTTTGATGGGACTCTTTTTGATACCCATCAAGCCATTTCTCACAGCATCAAGCTCACCTTCGACTCGCTGCTCCCAGACTCAGCTCCGGCAGAGTCTGAAGTGCAGAAGTTGATCGGTTCTGGATTGGGCCTCAAGGAAGTTCTCAAAGAACTACATACTTCTCCCGATTTTTTCGATGAGGGTGAATGGACGTCAACATATCGTCGCTTCTACAACGATGAGGGTCAGAAACTCGTATCGGCATTTCATGGTGCCCAGGAACTATTGAAGAAGTTGGCTGAAAGAGACATTCCTGTCGCCATTATCAGTAACAAAGGAGTGGCCGCAGTCGACGCGGCCCTGAACAACAACGACATCGACACCATCCCCAAAGATTTGATCGTCGGAGATAACACTCCGGGCGCAACGAGGAAGCCTGACCCCGGAAGCTTCGAGAATGTTCTGCTCCCAGCCTTGACAGCTCGTGGGCTCACAGACATTGACGTCTCGAAAACTTTAGTCGTTGGGGACACGGAGGCAGATGTGAAATTTGCTGCCAACATTGGAGCAAAGTCTGTTTGGTGCAGATATGGATATGGGGATAAGCACGCATGTGAGAAGTTGAAGCCTCAATTCACGGTGGGCTCACTGGATGAGGTGGTAGGACTTGTTGACAGGATTTGAATCTTCTGATATGGTTTATCCGAGATCGTGGCTATCACAAATTGGAGCCGTAGGAAGAGGCTCGCATCGAAAGGAAGAGAAACAAAAGGAAATGGCGGGATGCGTGAGTTATCAGATGTATCCCGTAAATAGAGTTCAGCTTATCGATTTTGAAGCCCCGTTTTCCCAGAGGCGAAAAACAAGCCGCGTGCTGCCTTCATGCCGCGCACGAGCATAGAGAGTTTATGTGAGAACAGGGGAACCAATAGCGCGAGGTGGAATGTCTGGACTGCAACTTTCTTCAACCATAAATTCTAAGTAGACAGGGATTCTTGAAACGCTAATCAGGTAGCCTTATATATCTCATGCTCAGCTCAGCTCTATTACTCATCATGTCAGTAACGCAAGACATTACCTACGTGGTAGCCCTATGGAACGTCTCTTTTCAAAGGGCTTCGGTAAAAGACGAAGAATGCCCCCACCAAAGTCAAACCTCCTGCTCAAGTATCCCCAAGCCGTTGCCGGTTCTAACGACGCGCCACACAACTTCCCCTGAAAGCCTTCGGGGGATCAATACCAGCTCGATATCGGGATCTGGAAACGACTTGATTGAGTACCCCCTACTCAAAGCATCCAATGTTGGTATTGCATATGGTATGTGTGAAAAGCAATCTATCAACCCAGCTATCGGCCACGAACTTGCATTAAATCTTCGGAAATTGCACAGCACGAAATTCTGAGGCTCGTAAATGCCACGTGGAGTTCCCTTTATGCTTCCCCTAGACTCAAAATAGAGTTGTATCTACAAATCGCGAGATATTCGTCGTGAATTTCTAAAATTCCCTTTAAACTCTATCCCAAATGTTTATAAAATCCCAGGTCTCGCCCCTCTTGAGCGCATTTCTTACATTCTCTCAACACCAGCACTCTACATTTTAATTTTACATCTCATATCCTACAAACCAAGATGTTCTTCATCACGGTCATTCTCTTCCTCCTCCTCGCCACCACTGGCACAGCCCATATGGTCCCCGAGCTTCCAGGCTACAGGAACATGTGGTCTGACAGTTTCGACGGACATGCTGGCTCTCTGCCAGATACTTCCAAGTGGAACATTGAACAATGGTACCAGAATCTGAACGGAGATTACCAGGAGTACAAAGCTTCCCAGCAGAACCTCCATCTCACCGGTAATGGTGTCCTTCGTATCATTCCGAAGCGCGACGGCAGTGCTGAAAAGGGTTGGTCATCCGGTCGTCTTGAGAGCAAGTACACGTTTACCCCCACACCAAATACCAAGACCGTTGTCCAAGGTTATATTCGTCTTGGTAGCGCTCCTGCTTCAAGGAAACAGGGTATCTGGCCTGCGTTTTGGTTGCTTGGTGATAGTCACCGAACTGGCGGCCCTATCTGGCCTGCTTGTGGTGAGATCGACATCATGGAGCACGTCAACGGTGAGACCCAGAGCCATGCTGCTGTTCATTGTGACAAGGCTCCTGGTGGTATCTGTGGTGAGAAGACGGGTATTGCCAACTCTGTTGATCTTCCGGATGCGGGTACGAACTGGCATACTTACAAAGTTGTGATCGACCGTACGCCGGTTAATTGGGCGGAGGAGAGTTTGAACTTCTATGTTGATGGGAAAAACTTTCACCAGCTTAAGGGTGCGAGAATCAACGATCCGGAAGTTTGGAAGACTATTGCCCACAACAAGATGTTCTTTCTTCTAAACGTCGCTGTTGGCGGTGAATGGGTAATTGAACTAGTCTTTGTGAAGGATTTGAGCTAATGCTTTGCAGCCACAACCGCCTAACGAGGCTACCGCAGATGGCGCCGCGAGTGGAATGGAAGTCGGATATGTTGCCCACTATGAGTTAGAAGGTGCAGGAAGTGGTGCAGACTCTCAGTTTGGCTATGAAGATGATGGGTACTACTCCCCTGATGCTCCAGCTGATCCGGAGCAGCCAGCTCAGCCCCCTATACAGGATCCACCAGTGGACCCTACTTACCCAGACGACCTCGACTACCCAAACCCTGGAGTTCCCGATCAGCCTGCGCAACCTCCTGTACAGGATCCATACTACCCGGACGACCTAAATGAGTACGACAACCCAGGCTATCCTTCATCTGACTATCCCGAGGCGCATGACCACCCCACAGACGGCTACAACCATGACACTGTCCCTCAAGTTCCCGCGCCTCAGCCTGAAGATGGCTCAAGTCCTAGTTCCAAGGGTACCTATTATGATGACGAGGGCGACGACTACTACGATGACTGCGACGTCTGCGCCAAGATTCGCAAGCAAGACCGTTACAAGGACCGTTACACCGGGCCTGGTCTTCCTGACTGGTACTACTTTAACCGGGAACCCCCCGTGTAGCACCGACCAACTTGATGCCTGTCCTTCTTAAAGTCATGCTTGGCGAGATCGACCAGCTCTAAGTATTTAGTACAGACTGGGAGACTCAAGACGGAACAGCCATTTGAGATTTCATCCATGTCTCTGATCTTGCTAGGGGTCATCTTGCCACCCTTGCCGTGAAAGAAGGAGTAGGGATGGCTTCGTCGATCCTGATAACCGCGGCAACTCATGCGGCCCCTTTCACGTTCCTTACATAAGGGGGAGAAGGGCGCTCTTTGCCGTGATCGTGGATTGCATACTCTCCATTGAGGTTAGTCGTGCCTTCGAAGACTGGGGCTACGGGAAATCGAGGAATAGCATGCTGTTTCCGGAATATGCTGGGCTGCTGTAATGCGGTTCTGCTGCTACATATCTTTAAAGCCCTTCTGATCCAGGTTGTCCTCATGGTTTCGAACTTTTAGACTTTTTTAATCTAATACCTCGATGTTTATTTTCTTAATCTTTTTGAGTCTGGTCTTAAGAGTGGCCCTTTTCTGTGGCTTTCGTTCTTTCTCTCTTTGTGTCTGGTTTATGTCTGATACACGAACGAATATACCAGTGTTTAGCTTTCGTTCGATTGATAATCTATATCCCTAGTCAATAAATATCATCTCTTAATCATTCTATCCGCGATTCTCGTGGTCTAAGTACCCACGCTGTTCAAGTCGTAGACTTTGCTGCTGTGGTTATGGAACTGACCCCTTTTCAGCGCCAGAACGACTTCACATTGGATGCGTCGTACATGCGGTAGCGTCCTGGCGTACGGTCGAATAATCCAGAGAGGTTGTTCTTGGCCACGGATGATTGTGAAGGATAGAAGTTGGAGAAACAACCATATGTTGCTAAAAGGTAGTTTTAGCGTTTCGTAATATTTATTGGCGCAAGGCTTCTCATCTTTTTATTCTTGATAACAGTCTTGCCTTCGAGAGTTAGTAGTGCATGGATATCACTCTTCCGCAGCAAGTTTTTGTTTTTGACTTAGCTTGTTATCCCCTAGCCTGTGGTCTTCCATCTTCCGAGAACAGCTCGCAAGAAATTCCGATCGATTGGCCGACCCGAGGCATCACAATATGAGGATGGTAGAACCACCAGGACAACGCTTTTGTTCTATAGTAAGAAATAAAACTTGACGCAATTCATCCCGTGCCAGGATTTCATCAGACCAATCTTAGTTCAATCTCAAAGCCATGTCCAGGAACAGCATCCTCAACTCAGAAACTGAACACGCAGACCAGTCACAGTTAGCCCAGCCACTTCAAGTGTTCTATATTCCACTGAGTGAACAGTGTCAAAAGTTTCTTTGAACGAGATGGTTAGTCCGCTGGGTCATTCATCTACTCCAATAGATAGCTTGCTTTTGAATTATTAACACGAATTTGCAAAGATGAGCATCCTGCACTGCCAACAGCTGGCGGCTTGGACTGAGCGTTCCTGTTATTCGAGAAGCTATTGTCATAGGGCTAGTTTTATCCGTTTAAAAGCAAACAATGGGCCTGTTCAAACGGCTGGAACTCGTTCATAACCAATGGCAGACGATTTTCTCGAAGCAGTGGCAGCAGAGCTTTCGCATTCACCTTCTCCACCGAGGTGTGCCTTTCCATCAGAATCCCAACTCGGAATTCTGTTTCTTCTTCTCCCAACACAAACACAACCCACTAACATCAAAAGATTCCTAACTATCACAACACTCTCTCTATTGTCAACTAAAACCTTCTTACTCTTTTTTTTTAAAAAAAAATAAATAAAAAGGCACTTCTCAAAGCAAGGTAACCGAGACTCTATCACTCCTAGCATGACTTCAGCCCTAACAACCGAACTTCAGCTATCCCAAACACAGTACCATGTATCGACTCGTGGCCAGAAAGCCCCTCAACCGTGAGGTTGAGGCATGCGATATCCCTTCCAAGGATGTCGAGAACTTGGTTCGAGCCCTAGAAGATTTCGAGCTGGAACAAGATCAGTCCTTCGAGGACTGGGTCGAAATAATTGACCACGCTACCCCCAAGACTACTCGGCCTGCAAAGACCTCATCCGTGAAGACCACCAACAAGGCTGCCAAACAGGATTCTGCCGGTGTCAAGGATACGAAGGAGGAAGCTATCAAGGAGGAGAAGCAGAAGGGCCCCGTCCCCGACGACGCTGTCCTTACCAAGGGTCTCAAGTTTGCCCGCCTCGCCGGAAACGTTAACAAGTAGACGAAGAGTCTGTAATGTTGTGGTCAAGTTGGAGGATCGCGGGCCTTCATTTTTGTTGTTGCTCTTTTGGGTCGGTGCTTGATGTATGAAAAAGGGTTTGGCGATGTACCATAGCATGCTGTGAGCCGACCTGTCTAGCTAGGCGTTCTGCTCCCTAGTCTAATCAACCCATACTGCACTTTGCGATAAAGCACACGGCTGGTTATCATATTGTTGAGGTTATCTCATCCCACGTCTCATACAAAGCCCCTGCGCACTTCGCGCCTCGGATAACACCCAACCCGTAGACCTCACAGTAGAACTGTCGCCAAGGACCATACTGGCACCGTAAGCTTGCAAACTACAGAGCTCGACCCTGAACAGACTTTTTACAGGTCACTTAACTCGAAGCGTCGATCACGAGCTTTTCGCGTCCTACTTTGATGACGCGTTCCACGAAAGAACCTTGGTAGCGGCGCATTCGAGAAGGTTGCCAGGCCACATAAGCAATTCCCGCAGCATCGAAAGGATTTCCCGAAACGTCTTGGATGAAGGATCAACTGTGTGTTAGCTATGCCAGATTGGGTGGTGCCAAGCCGCTGAGGTGCATAAGGCATTCGGTAGGGCGTTTTGGCAGACTTCTCCGTGAGGAGAGGTATTAACAGATGTTGAAGTGAAATTAAGGTTTGAATCATCAGTAGAGAACAGGTTGCGATGGAGGCTTGACTTTGCGAAGCCGATGGCAGTAAAAGGGCTGCCTTGAGGAAGATATTTGCTAATCGTCAAGCAAACGATTAATCTTGGTAGAATCATATCGTAGGGCTGTTAGTGTCCAAACGCTACACTACGCCGCGCCACGCATCCATGTCCAAGCCCCTGTCAATCATCGTCATCAACTCATGAACAGTTCGGCCGAAATATCACACATCAGGTGTAGCAGCGGACAGCCAAGCATTGGCTACCTCCCTGCATTATATATCATCAGACTGACCCCAATCTTGTCAACCATCATCAACAAGATCAACAGTCACAATTTCCAACATGACTGCGACAACCACCATCAATCTCATCAACCTATGCAGCTCCATATCAAAGCGCGCAGCATCTTGTGCAGCCGCCGCAGATAATTTAACCGAACGAGTCAACAGCGATGAACAGCATGTTCTCGAGCTCAAGCTCATATCATCTGGTCTTGACCAACTGAAGACCAACATCACCGAGTTGGAAGAACTCCTCCATGTCAAACCCGAAGGCCCTCGATTCCAAGACATTCGCAATACTCTCACTCCGCTCCTGGCTACTTACGAAACAACAATTGAAGTTCTGCGTATGCAACTGAGCAGCTGGCAGCCAAAATATGTCACAGGATCGGATAGTGAATTCTTGAAGGCACATGAAGACTGTCTTACTGTCTATAATGATGTTCTTGAAGTATTTACTCGCCTCATCAGGTGCGTTGACGATTGCACATCTTGGCTCACTTTCTAATGATCAACCAGAAAGGATCAGACTTTAGGCCCAATTGGCACGACTTATTTCATTCATCAAGCCGAGGAAGTAGTGAAATCGGCTATGAACAAGAGACTTGTCAAACCGGATACAGATACTGTTCGAGATGCTGCCATGCCCAACAGCGAGAAAGCCCCTATTGAGGAGAAAGAGGTTGCACCGCCTTCGTATTCAGTGCCTGCAACATCAACAACGACATCGTCGGCAATAGCATCACCGTCAATAGTCTCACCACCGCTCGCTCAAAGCCCCGTAAACAACTGTCGTCGCCCCAAAGGCTCATCGTTCTTCAAAGCCCTCACATCAGGCTTCCGCAAACATGATCCATTGGTCTCAACACTCTGCCAAGCCGCCATTCGTGGGGACGAGCAACAAGTCTCAGGGCTGATCTCCCAAGCCGCGAACGTCAACGGTCGCAACGAAGATGGGGATACACCACTGAAGTGCGCCATAAGATATGATCAAGTTGGAACTGCTCGTCTTCTTCTGCAAGCTGGAGCACAAAGTAATAAGCTACCGGCTTTGTTCAAGGCTGCTTCCGTTGGAAGTCTCAAGATCGCTAGGATGCTTATTGATTCAGGGGAGAGTGTACACAGCACATCCAAGACTGGGAAGCCATACTTTGTTGATGTTGTTGCTAAAGGCAACATGGATGGTATCCGATTCTTACTCGAAAATGGCGCTCCAGTCAATGCCAAGAATGAAAGACGCGAGGAAGTTATTGTTCAGGTCGTCAAGACGGACAACATCGAGGTCACTCGTCTTCTTCTCAACCACGGCGCCAATGCAAATGCCAAGGATGCAATAGGCGAAGAGATCATTGTATACGCCGTCAAAAAGGGCACTGTCGAGCTTGCTCGTCTCCTCCTCGATCATGGCGCCGATCCCAATGCCGAAAGTGTCATCAAACATTCCATCCTTTACACCGCTGTCCAAAGCGGTAATGCCGATATGGTCGGACTACTCCTTGACAAAGGCGCAAGTGTGAGACTGTTGAATATCCTTGGCACTAGTATTCTAGAGGCTACTATAGGAATGAAACGACTCCAGATTGTTAAGAAACTTATCGAGGGGGGTGCCGATGTTGATGGTACAGATGCGCTTCAGCAACCTATTCTGATCAAGGTTATCAGGAATCCGTTTCTGAACAATGATGAGAAGGTTGAGATTCTGAAGATGCTAATGGATAAGGGTGCGAGTCCTGAGACTGTCGATATAACCTTTGGACTACCTGCTATTTGTCACGCTGTCGAAATGCCCAGTACTCCGGTGGTACAAGAGATTCTCAGTCGAGGCGTGAATACCAAGGTCCGTATGATCTCGGGTCAGACGCTTCTCACATACTCTATCGATGTCAATCGGCAGAACACCGTTGAGGCGCTCTTAGCGTCAGGTGCTGATGTAAACGAGGTTGATGGACTGAACAGAACGCCTTTAATGCTGGCGCTGTTGAGGTTGGACTATAACCTGACGAAGAAACTGATAGATTACAATGCTGATCCAACAGCCAAAGAGAATCAAGAAGCTGTCAAGTTCATCAAGGCTGTTGGAAGAAAGGATTTGCAGGAACTTCTAAGGCCAAGGGAGGCAGAGGCAGGTCCTTCAGCTCCGGTTGTTCGACACGAGACCGAACTGCCTACGTCTGAGGCACCACCGCCTTCGTATGAGCTTGTCGCTGGAAAGGTCTAAATTTCCAGGGCACTTGCTATTTCACTGATGAAACAAGAATATTTTCAGCAATTATACTACGAAGCTCCATTTCAATTGACGTGAAGTGTATTTCTCGTGATAATGACGCAAAGATGTCAGCGGGCATGATGACATAACACGGCTTCATCATTGACTCAGAAACCAAAACTCCAAAACCGACGGCCTTAGGTTGATAGTCACACGTTACCCCTCAAACGACGTCCTCAGGTTGATAGTCTTGATTAGAAATCCGACGCCGAGATTTTACTATTTATTCGTTGCAAATTTCCCTCATTTCGTTTCTGAATCTTCAATCTCTCAATTCATTCGACCTTGTCTCATCGCAATTGCTTCTTCCATTCTCATCATGAGTTCCGACGACGTCGCCATCAATGGATGGACTGCTGTCCCAGTTGACGAGGGGAAAATCTTCGAAAAAGGGCCCTACATCAATGAGCCTGATTACATTGATGTTAAAAGCATTCAGTTCCCGACCGATGATCCGATTGTCAAGGAAACTCAACAACATGCCAAAGATAAACTGTTGAAGCAGACTTACAACCACTCCATGAGAGTCTACTACTGGTGTAAGTCAATACCGACCTCGCAAAGATTGAATTCTGTGTACTGACAGAACCCTCAACCAGCGACCGTCATTCTCCGACAGCAATTCCCTGAGCAGGCTGATACCCTCTCCCCTTCAACCCTCGCCCTAGCATGTCTTCTTCACGACATCGGCACCACCGATGAGAACATGTCCTCAACCCGTCTCTCATTCGAGTTCCAAGGTGGCTTCCAAGCTCTCAACCTCCTCCAAGACATCGGCTCTTCAAAAGACCAAGCCGAAGCTGTCTGTGAAACCATCATCCGTCATCAAGACCTCGGAACTCAAGGAAACATCACTTTTCTTGGACAGCTCATTCAATTAGCTACTATCTACGATAATGTTGGTGAGCATCCGAATGTCAAGGACTTTGGAAAGATTATCCACGATAAAACGCGTGAAGAAGTCAACAAGGCTTTTCCTCGTGAGGGATGGTTGGGATGTTTTGCGGCTACGATTAGGAAGGAAGAGGGATTGAAGCCATGGTGCCATACTACTCACATTCCCAAGTTTGCGGAGCAAGTTGAGGGGAATCAGCTGCAGAAGCCATACGAGTGAGGCTTGAGTGCCTGCCATCATCGCTTAGAGCTTCATATTGTCTCTTACAAGCAGTCTGTAGTCGAATTCCACCAATCTTTCATTCCGCCATCTATGTCTTGATACAAGACTCTTGTGTTCCTGTAACCCAGCATTACCTCCCATCACAACTCTACGATGCCCGATCAGTATCCAGATACATCAGGCCACTCCGTCTCAATACCCTCTTTGATGATCATATCCTGAAACTCCTTAAACAACTCCTTCTTCCCTTGCACACCATGCGGCGACAATTCCTTGTCCAAACAATGCGCCGCCAACAACCCCGCCGCCTCACCAATATTCCACTCAACAGGATGTAACCTGTAACATCCATTCGTAATATGTGTAGTCCCTATGTTCTTCGACGCCGCAAGCAAATTCGGTCTTTCAATTGGTATCAAAGCACCAAGAGGAATCTCGAATGGGCAGCAGGCTACATCGATGTAATTATCACCGCCGGTGGATGGATGGAGGTCGATACGATACATTCCTACGCCGACACTATCGGGATAATGAACTGCGCCTTTTGAGCCACGGACGTCAAGGGAGAGATCTTGCTCCACGATCGTGGTCACGGCTTTGATGCGTCGAGATTCGCGGACGTAGGGAGCCATTGCGAGACCATGTTCTGTGCCGGTTATATCACCTCTCAGGCGAAGACCAGGATAGCCTGTGCCCTTTCCATCGGCTCGGGGACAGTCTGTTTGGAGGTAATATAGCATACTGTACGACAAGGATGCGGCTTTAGCGAGACGCTCTTGGAGTTCATCCTCTGAGACGTCAATGATGGGCTTTTCGAAGTAGTCGATCATGGGCCAGTTGACGAGGCAAATATCTGAACGATACGCTCCAGGGATGAAGTTATCCTTTGCTGCAATTCGTCGGAATGTCCAGAGATTCATGTCTCCTCCTGACTTTCTCTGGTCTGAAATCACGGAAGCTGGATCATCGTTCGGGTTTGGTGTAAACTCTCGCTCAACAATCTCTAGCGTTCGTGGATGCGGCGCCTTGAGACCAAGTAACGGGGCGCCCCAGAAATCAGGGTGGAAGCTTCTCCAGTGATCGTATCTCTCGGGTTTTGGAATCGTATGATCTTCGCCCTCGATGTGATCCACAGCGAAACAAATCGATACAGCTTGGGAGTTCTGAGGCTGCGCTTCCTCCGGCGCACTCGGTTCTCCCGTGTGTCTTCGAGACTCAAAACCCGTCACATACGGCGTTTTGGTAATGGGTAGCAAGTCCCCCAGTTCCGTAGCATCAATAACGTACTTTGCATCAACAGTGAATGTCCCCCCATCATCTAACTTCCGAAACTCAACAGACCTCACAACCTGCCCAAGCATCTCACAAAAAACAGGCTTAACGCGCTTCTTAACAGTGAGCAGTCCACTACCGATGAACGGCATGAGCATAGCTTCAATGACAGCCACTGCAACTCTCGGCTCATGACAAAGCTTGCTGACATGTCCCGCTCCAGGATTCAGCTGCGCTCTCCGTCTCGCTTCCTCTGTCAGCGGATAATTATCGCGATAAAACTGCCTTATCCCATCACGTAGTGCGCGATAAGACCGTGTGACGCCGAATTGCTCAACCCAGGTATGTTCATCTGGAGGTACAGCTTGGCTAGTTAATTGGCCGCCTAGCCAGTCATATTCTTCAGTGAGAAAAACACTACGGCCTCGACGGAGAGCTCCGAGTGCTGCTGCGACACCGCCTAGTCCACCGCCTGCGATTAGAATATCTGTTGAGAAGTGCTTTGGTCGTGTTTTTAAATAAGCTGTTTGCCATGAGGTGATGTTTTTGACGTGCCCATTGGGGGGTTCAGAGAGTTCGCCCATTCTTGATGGCTGATGAGTCAACCAACAGTCAACTCAAAAATGACAATCTGAGACTTCAAAAGTAAATATTGAGCAAACATGGGAATCGACTTGTTTTAATTCGTCTCAACGAATCCTTCTCCCGCCGATCACCGCCATGTTTCCCCAGATCTGCGTTTCACTTCCCATACCCGACACTCCCCGTGAGGGGTCGCACCGCACGTGCATATCCCATTCTCATGACCAAAACCGCCAAGACATTCCCCCCTCAACTCATCGGGAAGAAATCTCACATCTCCCCGATCCTTACATTCTCAAGGCTACTGCACAATGTCTGATCACAGAGAGAACAATGCACGCAAGCGACCGCGTCAGCCCGCGTCTGATCCGCGATATCCCAGGAAGAGAAGTCTCAAAGCATGCCATGTATGCAGAGCGCGTAAGACAAAGTGCGATAATGTGCAGCCGACGTGTGGATTCTGTGCGTCGTTGAATATTTCGTGTTCGTATGATAATACCGAGAAGGATCATTCTACGTGAGTTCATCCCCTGCTTGGAGGATATATGCTAATGTTTTTGGCAGCTTTGATCCTGCGAGTCTTGAGATTCTGAGACAGTTGGGGCAGATTATTAGTTCGCAGGATGAGTTGACGCAGATTGTACGATCGATTGCTGCGTCGCAGTCGCAAGCCGGTTTGGGCGCTGCTCATAATTTACATGTCACTGAGGGTTTGAACTGGGATGCGAGTGTCCAAGCGCAACAGTTACCATACTATGACTGGTCTGGAGGACAATCTGACTCAAACTCAACGACCCCAGCAGCATCGGCCAGCGTGGCCGCAGTTCGATGGTTCGGCATCCTCGCCAACGACGCATCGAATGAAGCTTTCCCAGACGCTGATGCACCCTTGGGTCTAGACGGTGAACTGCTTGACACATCATCCGATGGTCAAGCAGACAGCGACATCACGCCATTGCAGAAGGCGACAAGGATCATAGATACTCAACCACCAAGTCGGGATGGCAACGATCATGCAGAGAATGTTGCCGAAGAAAGCTTATGGCAGGCCTCGGAGAGCATATCCCTCCTCGATCGAGAACAGACCTTGTTTCAGAACTTCCTGCACCGCATATGTTCGTGGGTACGTCGATCGCACTCTGCATTAACATGCATACTAAGATCCTATCAGCTTGATTTGTTCGACCCAGCTCGAACATTTTCTACGCGAGTTCCCCATCTAGCAGTCCGCAACGCAGGTCTTCTCAACGCCATCCTTGCGTTATCATGCTACCATCAATCCCTCGACGAAACCATCGCCCCCAGTCAACGTCCGTCTCAAAACACCGCTTTACAATATTACTACCAAACTCTTCACTACGTTCAGAAAGCCATGCGTTACTCAACGTATCAGAATAGTCAAGAACTCATGGCGACGACGCTGATGGTCTCAACGTATGAGATGCTACGAGGTTCACGCAAAGATTGGCAACAACATCTTCAAGGAGTATTCTGGATCTTGAGATCTCGCCAGATTGAAGTTGAAACATCGAGTCTTGAAAGTACGACTTGGTGGGCTTGGTTGCGGCAGGACATTTGGGTTGCTTTTCGGGAAAAGAGGAGAACATATAGTACGTGGATGCCTAAGAAGGGATACGCGGAGCTAGATAGTCATGAGTTAGCTTCGCGCGCTGTATGGATAATGGCGCAGGTTATTAACTTTTGCGCTGTTGATTCGTCTGTGGAGGTGGAAGGGCTGACGGGGAGGATTGGGTGGGCAAAGGCTTTGAGGAAGATGTTGGATGAGTGGCGGTCTCATTTAACTGTTGAGTTCTCAGCGTTGCCGACCATGGGGAATCGGGAGAGTGAAGTGTTTCAGCCGCATTTGATACACCCTCAATGTTTTGGTAAGCATCGTGCATCGTGAGATTGGCGTAGCTGACTGGATGGCAGGACTTGCTGTGCAGCTTCATCATTGCTCACGCATTCTCATCACCGCGCATGAACCTCATCTGGATGGCATCCAAGGCTTACTAAAACGCCAGAAGGAGGTTCAAGAGAGTATAAGAATGGTATGCGGTATTGGAATGACGCTTACAGAAGACGCATCGAGCATGCTGTCGTCACAATGTCTATTCATTGGTAGGTATCCAATCCAATATTACAGCCCACATCAACTAATAGCGTGTGCAGCCGGAATGTTCATGCAGAACCCCCGCGAGAGAGAATGTGTAGTAGAAATGCTGGATATATGTCAGAAGAAATGTGGCTGGCCTACAACTTCGCTACGGTCAGAATTGGAACAGATTTGGGAGAATCCCGATGCGCTTTGGGATAGTCAGCATCGGTGATGCAGCGTTGTAGGGAGATGTAACCGCGAGATTTGTTACAATCGGGGCCATGTTGTGTATGGTTTGTGATACCCTTAATACATAATCAGCAGTATCTTTCGTTGAAGCTCTGAGGCCCAGATACTGAAAAGAACGAATATACGAGGTAGGTTACATCACGCACGGTGATTTGTCGTATTCCGGCTGGAATAAGCAGTCCTGAGTTTCAGCCCCCAACGCCAAATGCTCATCCAATGACCTCAATAAACCAAGCAAACAGCACACAATATTTCTGCAATCTGCAATACTTGCTGACCTATATATCAGATCCCCTCCAACCTGATAGCCTACGCTTTCTACCCGATACTCCCCGTGTAGTCTGCCAAGCCTATTGTCAAATCACGCGCCCGAGACTCCCCGCCGAGATGTTCTACCCCAGGACATGATCTACACCCCGCATTCTGTTTGTTTGCCTTCTCGCCCGGAAGATTAAGTCAAAAGAGGGTGTCCTCTTGAATGTTCTCCACTACTTAAAACCATGATGCTCTCGTAAGCTTAATTCATGTTGTCAATCCTTCTTCAATCATTTATCCGAGAGAAGTGAGTGAAGATGACGATACATGGCATGTTTCGGCGCATTGTGCGCAATGATGCTATTCGTGTTGATCCACCGGAGATTTACAACTGGCGTGTTATCGCTCTGACAGCTTCGGTGAGATATACTCCATAACAGTTGTGAGAATAATGAGCTAACATTCATAGGCATGCTTTGCTGGAGCGCTGTTTGGAGTCGATGCAGGTATTATTGGTGGCGTGCTGGCTATGCCAGACTTCAAGCGGTCCGTGAAAATATCCTCACCCTGCAACCCATGCTGATAGAGTTTGTACAGGGAGTTTGGTCTTGACAATCGCCCAAAGGAGGACGCAGCTGATCTTGCAGGAAACCTGGTCACCACAATGCAAGCTGGTGCCATCGCTGGAGCTCTCCTATCAAGTCCCTTTGCAGATCGAAAAGGTCGGAAGCCAGCGCTGCTTCTTGTCGCGATCACTGGCTTTATCGGTGGTATCATGCAGGCGTTCTCTTACGGTCATTTATCAGTCTTTTATATCGGACGGTAAGTTTAATAACCTCTGTCTACGGCACAATAACCAACTCGGTCCAGATTCGTCGAGGGTCTCGGTCTCGGCGCAGGGACAATGCTCGCACCAACATACGTCTCCGAAAACTCCCCCCGCGCAATCCGCGGGTTTCTCGTGGGTTTCTTCCAACTCCTCCTCGTGCTCGGCGGCATGACAGCATATTTCATCAACTACGGTTCCCTTCTTCATCTCCCCGGCAAAGCCACATGGATGGTCCCCTTAGGATGTCAATCCATCTGTCCAGCATTACTCTTCTTCAGCATGCTCTTTTGTCCCGAATCACCACGCTGGCTAGCGTCTCGAGATCAGTGGGAGAAAGCAGGTGCTGTTTTATCAGATGTGAGGAAGTTGCCGGTTGATCATGCGTATATCCAGCAGGAGCTGCTGGAGTTGAAGACGCAGATTGATCAGGAGAGGGAGGTCATGCAGGATACGGGGTTTTGGGCGCTTCAGAAGGAGTGTTGGACTTTGCCTTGGAATAGGAAGAGGGCGCTTCTGACGGTGGCTATTGTTACTCTTGGGCAGTGGACGGGCGTGAGTTGCTTCTACAGCTGGACAGTTAGGAAGATCGGTTGCTAACGAAGTGCAGACTGGTGCTATTAACTACTACGCACCTACTGTAAGTCCTTTCTCATGCTAACCAGAGGCCCAAGCTGACATTTGATAGATCTTCAGCGGTTTAGGCCTCAGCAGTACGACCACCGCACTATTCGCTCAAGGAGTAAGTAAACTCTAAAGCTTTCTTCCCCCATCAGTTACTGACTTACTTCAGATCTATGGTGTCGTCAAGGTCGTTACATGCTTGATTTTTATCTTCTTTCTAGCCGATTCTCTCGGCCGTCGCAAGTCATTCATGTTTGGCGGTGCAATCCAAGCATTCTGCATGTTTTTCGTCGGTTTCGTATGTAAGCTGCTTCGCATCGAGACTCTGACTGACGTTCCCAGTACCTACGCTTTGGTCCTGAACCAGGAGAGGGTGACCATCCTCCTCCAGCGGGTATTGCTGCTTTGGCAATGATATACATCTTTGCTGCGGCTTTTAACATGAGTTGGGGTCCAGTGTGTAAGTCTTTCAGGCCTTTCATATGACTGGTTGTCTAATGGCAATAGCATGGATATATGTCTCTGAGATTCCAACGAATCGACTTCGTGCATACAACGTTGCTCTCGCATCATTCACTCATTGGGTTCACAACCTCGCAGTATCAAAGTCAACCCCAGTCATGCTCCTGCACGATCCATGGAGAGCATATTTCATCTTTGGATCATTCAACCTGTTCATGGCCATCGCTGCATACTGGATTCCAGAGACCAAGGGCGTAAGTCACCCCCCTTGCTTGTACTCACTCAGACTCTGACTCGGATGATTCACAGATCTCACTGGAACGCATGGACGAAGTCTTTGGTATCGCAGACTTTTCCAACGTCGAGGACGTGGGCATCGCAGCACGCCGTGCAAAACGAATCGACGACGAAGACGTGGAAGATATCCAAGCCCCCAACAAATCCTAATCACATCTCTCACGATTACGCGAGAGAATAGAGTTTCATGACTGGATTGTGATATAAACTCTGTTGGTTCAATAAAATGTTCATGCCCCCAAACCCCTGCATTATTCATTCGTAGCGAGAATCTTTTCAGTTACGACGAGTATCATTTCATTCTCCCTTGTAATATATACGCGAGACGAAATTTATGCCATTCTCGTGTTCTGAAACATCCTGTCTCCGTGGTTGGCCTGAGCCGTTTAGCCGATATTTTTGATGAAGACGCGACAACATTTTGCCGTGTATCCGTGGGTCGATCGTTCAGTTTTTTCTCCATAGTTGGCCGAGATGCCGGATCAGCGCAGAATCAGTGATGCATTCAATCAAATTGGAGAAGTATAATCTTTCTCCAGTTTATGCCAAGTTTTTGGGTTCACTAAATGGATGATCGTTGGGTGACGTGACTGCACCGTAGTTCTGCTGTCAGTTGCCTCTGTCCCCTGACCCCCTGATCATTGAATTGACAGTTAACGACTGACTCATTAATCGCGACTATTGACAACTATTTTTACTAGGCGGAAAACATGTCATATCATTCTTAGGTTATCTCCATTTGAAATTCTCGTATTACGCCAACTACCGCTTCGTTTACCCCTTGCGTCTAAACCTGTTTCGGCAGTTGACCGACACTAACAAAATCTGTCCATCAATAGTCTGACAAACATCAAACAACCAACACAAAATATTCATGTTTATCAAAATAATAAAAGTTGGTATCGAATTATCTCTAGTTAAAAAATAAAATAAAAACAGAGAGAAACAGTAGTCTAGTCCCCCCAACGCCAGTCCCAAAAAACACACCGCGCTATGCCGAAATACCCTGTCTATAATACCTGTATTCCACCGATGCCCCCTGGCACATGTAATGATCTGCAATGAGATCCTTGGCCCGAACATCCAGCCACCCAGCAGCTGCATCCTTGACGCCAAAGCCCAACCACACCTCATCGTCGAGATATCCGTGGTTCGACGGTGGGAACTCGGTCTGGTTGGTGTAGTACGACATTGAGCCGGTCCATGAATAGCTGAGGTCCGATTCTCCGTGGTACGTGAGTTTCTTGCCCACGCTGATCATTCGGTACGGCGCTGCTGATTCATACACTGCTATCCGGCGGTCATACCATGTAAACGAAGCGCGCGGGAAGTCTTGTCGTCGCTGTACTATTCCCATCATGACGGTGTTTTGCTCATCGGGCTCACATGTTCCGCGGTTGCACATTGTAAGACTTAGCATGGGTGAACTCTGGTGGACGTGGCTACCGTCGATCATGACGTCGTGAATGCATGTCTTTCTCTTTTTTCCATGCCAAGTCTTTCCCGGCTTCGCCGTCGGTGGGTATGGTTCTTCAACAGCTGATTGCTGGTCATCAGCCGCGACGATGGGTTCGACGGGCTCATCGGCGGATTTCCAGCGGAATAATTGTCCCGGCTCCACCATCATCAAAAGCTCGGAGTCTGGGCTAAAGGGGGACTGAGCTAGCGCCCAGTTCTTTTCGCGCTGGTATCGAGGATGGTTTTCTTCGCCTGGTACTGGTTCGCGAGCGAGACCTGTTGGTTCGGCGAAGCGAATTGGGGGAAGGCGTGATGAGTAGTCGGGACCGAGGACTTGTTCGAGTTCGGGGAGGGCGGCGCGCACGTCAATGAGGAATTGGCCTTGACACATTGTGTCGTCGTCGACTTGATGGGTGAAGATGAGAAGAGGTTCGCCGGAGCGTGTCCAGAATAGCTTCATATCCTCTGGGCCGACGTATTTATCCATGTCGGGTTGTCTCTTGCAGTGATGTTCTGGTCCACCAAAGTCCTCCAGCAGCAGTGTAGACCATTCACCGGTTCTGATAACAGGTCGGTCTAGGTAATTGGTAGTGAGATTTGCAAAGGTTGCTACTTGACGAGCGACTTTGTACTTTTTGCCGTTGATTTCTTTTGCGACATGGGTTGTGCGAGCGATGACGAGAAAGTCATGAGTGATATTAGCATCGCGAGGAAGTTCGAGTATCGTCGGGTTAAAAAGCTTATGACCAGTCTTTCTCGCATCGATCTTATTATAAAAGCCCATGTTATTCCGTAGACTTGTCAAGAGATGGTAGTCGTAGTATGGTTTATCCTCAGCATCGTCGCCACGGTCGAGGTGGAGATCGTAGTAGTCATCCTGAGTATTCGATTGATCATTTTTCTTAGGCTTCTGTTCAGATGTCTTGTCCTTATCGTCTTTGTGTTGAGGTCGTCGATGAAAAGGCTCCTTTGGTGATGTCTTCTTTGGCGGTTCGTAGCGATTTGGATCTTCAGGTGGGGGCTCCTGCTCATAAAAGAAAGGTCGTTCTTGGAGTGGTGTGATAGAAAGACCGTCTGATATTTTAATATGAAATATTGTTAAAAGAATGATGCAGAAAGTCAAGACGGCTACGAACGTTAGCACGCCGCGAAGCAAGTGGTTGTGAGACCGCATGGTGGTATCATCAAACCGCTGTGAACATGAGAAAGGTGAATGTCAGTGTCGGGGCGAATAAACTTAAGCGGCCATAGCTCGAATGATATACGGGAGAGACAGTTGGTGCTAGTCATACGAACCCACATCGTATTCCGTTTCGTCATGGCCATGGTCAAGATGAGGTAACAAGGTTGTTTAGACGCCGCGTGGTCAAGCTTTCGCCAAGCATGTCAGTACAGTACTTGTTCTCACTGTATCCCTTGTAGCCCTTGTACCACCCGATCTAACCGGGTCTCCACAGTTCTCGACCCTGCTACTGGATCTGCCGTAAAAACGTGAAACCCCTCCCCTCCTATCTTCTCTCTGTTTTATCTGAAACATGATTCATACCGTAAAACAACTGCGACTGCATAGCATATCCTTGCGTTAATCAGTGGCGGTTGGTAAAACGGTAGCCGCTGGAATGCAAGCCCAGCTCTGCTCAAAATAGAAGCGCGCCCAGTGGAATAACGCCATTGTAACGTGCTAGAAACATGACGAGACGCCACAAAAAAAGTTTGGTACCCAGCTGAGAAGAAGCCTCCATTGAATTCCAGATCCACACTGCGAGTCAAGCCGCGCAAGCTTTGTTGACATCAGGTCTTCGGCACGGCGATCCGCGGGGTGAACGACGCCCGCCCCCATGCAATCAATTAAAAACCCCAACGACATGACTGCCGATTTGCCGTGGGAATATCGGAATTATTGTAATATCTACTGTTGCTTTGCTGTAAGGAGTAAATAACCCCCCTTGATTGCGTGGAACAAAATGTCGCACAATACGGCTGGTGAGACGTATCCTTGAAACCTGACCGTGGTAATAGATTGGTTGGGGCGGAGTTTCTGTGAGTAATGTGATATGGAAGCGATGCAATGCGCCTATTTTCTTGCAACACACGATTTGTGAGATGGAGGTGTCGATGCGTAGGTTTGTTGGTTGCACGAATATGTCGGTAACAAGCCCAGTATTTGCTGGCTTGCGCCGTATTGGAGATGTACAATATGTGGAAATAACACGCCGCAATACGTCATATGCAATGCAATCGCCTTGGTTTTGCGTGGCTCAATGGCGTGCACCCAACCCTTCAATTCTTCTGTCAGATATCGACTTGGCAGGCGCCTCTAATTTCATGGATTGATAGTCTAGAGTAGCTGCAACGTTGGTGATGGTGTTGGTCCTGTCACTTTTGGGATACGGACTTCATCGTGCCACTTGAACGCTAGCCACCGTTGACTATTGATGATGGCTTCGGCTAATACCCAATACAGAATGACAGCCGCCTCAAGACCCCTATCTCTAGTCATGCTCAGCCTTCAATGATGCAGTCACAACATGCATCTATTCTGTAACGTTGTTTTCCAGATCTTACAAACCGGGGATTTACTCATGCAGCACCTGTCATCGTAGTCAACGTCGCAACCGGACATTTTGAACACAATAAAGTCAGCGCTAGTATCTTTCAAGCCGCATCGGCTATTCCGTTGCGGCTGCAAACTTTTGAAGGTTTTGCTTAGGGTCTTGGCAAAAACGAGACTGGGATCAAGGGTGAGCTTTATTTTTATTCTTATTTAGGATTCATGGCATGCAGTCTCGTAAGGCAGGATACGAGAAATCATGGGTTGTTCCGTGATTTTCTAACTCCATTGTCAGCAGTTCGTATAAGCATCACGAGTTGAAAACGTGCGATTCGTAGACGAGGTGTCCAATTGTAAAGAGGGGACCCTGCAGACAGTGCCTGAGCAAAAGAATCAGCTGAGTTATGCGCATCCTTTGTCGGATCATCGAATTATTAGTGAGGATGAAGAGGAAAAAGGGAAAATTGAGAAAAAATATGCGGATAATGGTGGATTCAAACCACCTATCTTGGACGAACAGGGAATCGAACCCTGGACCACTCCCAGAAGGTGATCTCGTGGAGAGAACATGCTAAGGGAGTATTATACCACTAAACCATTCGCCCGCAACGACTTATGATTGGTTGAAGATGTTGAAACAAATCCAGACCATGTACACCGTTTACCTGCTGAACGGCGTTATTCCCAATGGTTTGATACCATTGACTTTCATGAACAACAGCAATGAACAGAACGTAATCTGATATTTCGCATACAATTTCTGCTACGGCTCACCGACCCCCTTATGAGGGGCTGCGGGGGGGAGCAAGAACAGAATTTCAGAGACTCCAGGCTGAGGTTCAGGGTAAGCTCGCCAGAATCAGGTCGGCCTGTCCAGTCGATATACCGTTTTAGCGGTATTGAAATACGCCTCATATTCAATATCATCCTCCGTATCATCTAAATCATAATGATAATGACCTCCAGAATTCTTCCCATCTGCAGCGTAACAATGCGTATGCTCAACACGCAAGCTCATTTTCCCATTAGGATCAGCAGAATGCAAAACCGACAAGCAGAGCATTGGTGCATCAAAGGCATGAAAGGTCAGCCAGTTATCGACATCCTTGCGACTCTTGAATGGCAGGTTCTTCTCAGTTGGGAAGTCGGGCATGATATGGTACTTTGCTTTCCCTTTCTTGACCAAGAAGAGTCCACCGAGACTGACAGTCTGCTCTTCACCATATGCTTGATGAAGACCTTTTCGGATACACTCTGCAAAACTTCTTTCGGAGCCAGTCCTCTTTCGAGCTGTGATCTTGATCACTGGTCCCGGATTGCCTGAGGAGCCAAACAGGTTGATCATCAAAGCGCAGTCAAGAGATGAGCTCTTGTCGACATGTACAGCGCTTGTCTCTTTGTCGATCTTTGCATAACGACTCTCATTCTTGACATTTTCAAAGCTGTCTTGCCATCCAATATTAGGCGCAAGTTCGCAGTTATGACCAACAATGTGATGCGGTCCAGCTCCAGCACCAAGTAATCCTCCTTTCGCAGGATCCATCTCCATAGCCTCCGCAAGCTCAGTCATGGACCAAACGCAATCCATCTTCGGACGCGGAAACAGATTCGGTTGGCCTCCAACATCAGCGATCCTCTCATCTCCTGATAGCCCCTCGGTGGCTAGATAATAAGGCGCTTGCCGAAGATCCGGACAGGACACAACGCTCACGGTGGAGTGCTCATAATTGGCTGCCAAGGGTGCTTGAAGTTTAGCTGCCACTTCTTCCAAGCTAGGCGGAGATAAGGGAAACTTTTCTATGCGCATGCTTATCCTCGAAGATTATGTTGATGTGCATAAAGATGAAATGATTGGGTCGCTCCGGAAATGGCGATATCACAGCCTCAACTGTACCGAGGCGGGGTCCGCGGAGCATAAACTCAAAATTCGTTCCAAGTATAAAGATAAACTCAAAATGATTGCAGTATTACGCGACACCAACTTTCTTCTAACCATCCAACAATGCACGTGGGATGAACTTGAGGAATTAGCGGGAAGGATGAAACAAAATGCAAAAAGGAAAGCCTCGCATACGCTCGCAATCGAATATAGGAACAGCCCGATGCGGGGGTCGAACCCGCAACCTTGAGATCGCGTACTCGTAAGAGTCTCACGCTCTACCGATTGAGCTAACCGGGCGTGGCTCTTGATGATGTCGGATTAAATCTCCAAATAGGGATTATGTAGCCATGATTCAGCCAAATCGTGACATTCATGGACCTGCTTCGAGAGAATGAATGCCTTGTTTAACTGGAAGCGCGAAGCTTTTACTGGCACTTGGTGAATATAATGGCAACCTTGTCATTGTGCTATTGTCTGTGTCTCAAACAGATGAATAACTAGCATGGGACATTAAATCTGGTTGGTGCTAGTCGCCCAGATGGCCTCAGCCTCATCGTCCTCACCCTTGTACAAGACAACATTTCCATCATCTTGAACAGCAAGATAGACCTCATCACCATGGTCACAAGTATCCGAAGCCCAAACAGCCTCATCGTCATGGGTACTAAATACCTTGTCAGATCATACAACAACCTCTACGGGTGAAATACTTACTACAAGACGAAGTTTCCATCATCCTGAAGATGAATGCCCTTGATGTCGTCACGTTGGTCTTCTGTGTTCTGCCACACGCATTCGCCTTCCCAGTAGATGGCGATCTTGCCGTCTTCTTGCATCCTGAATTCGTTGCTGCCGCTTTCGCTGGTAAGGCTGTCGCCAGGGTAGAGCCAGTTATCGTTGTCAAGTCTTCCCATTGTGAAGGTTGTTGAGAGTTAGGTGAAAGTGTATTGGGAGGATAAGAACTTCGAAGAAAAGAGGAAGTATTTGAGTAGAAATGAGAGAAGGTGAATTGCGATGAGGTGAATTGGTTGAGAGCGATAGGAGCAGAGATACATATCCTTATATAGAACCAACTGGCCTCATTCAACCCCGCACTCACCTTCTCATTTCCATTATTGAGGCTGTGTTCCAGTACGAGACATGCACATGTGCCAAGATACAAAGTCGGATGGTGAAGTTATCTTCAAAAGAGGCCTCACAAGCCTCAACCTCACCACAATGCGGAGGAGTCGGCTATCTCATCACTCCCGCCCGCATTTTGCCGCCTTGGCCTCCCGCATATTATGGAGTCAAAACTCTAGCCAAGAACGGAAACGGCATCTTTCCTCTCCACGGTTATGCACGTCTCAGGCTGGGCGAGTCTTGGTCTACGACACGATGCCCCTTATTGCGCCACGTTGTCTGCATATTTCAGATCAGCGGCCTCCATTGAATTCACTGGTAGTTGGGGAGTCTCGGCGCTGACATGTGAGTGGACCGGGATTCCTAGCTTGCGCGTACGACATATCCAATGCCAGGTCGTCTTGGCGCTTACATACAACAACGCAGGTTGCGTTGTGCAACGATTTAACATGGTATGATATGATGATCTCCCCCCCGAACCTGTTTCAGAGGATTTGATCTGCGGTGGTTATACATATGGAGTATTTATCGTCCGTTCCTACATCGCTTCCGCGAACATATCCCCGCCACCTATTGGTTCTGTAAACAATAATCTTGGTCTTTGCAAGAACAAGGAACTTATATCTTACTGTAAGAAGGCCACGTATTGCGCACTAAGATTTAGCTCAAACAGTCGAGTTGTATACCTTGGTAATGCTTAACCGCTGAATAACTTTAGCAGACGGTTGAGCGAAAACGACCTGCGAGACAGAGGAAACGCCATGGACAGAGCTACATCGTACGATTTAACATTGAGATATCTTAGCTCGGACTTTGAGTGCCTCTTGCATTTCTTGACATGTGATAACTAACTGGTACTAGCTATCCGAAGCCACTCGTCTATCATCGAAAGTGGCCGACGCGGTAGTCCTTTATACTTCTTCTCATCGTACGTCTCGTTGAGTGTCTGACGTAGCATCTTAGCCCTTCTCACCATGATTCTACTAGTGCCATACGGGTCATTTGATTCTGCAAAGTTGTTTGCCTTCTCTTCAGCCTGCCGCCTTCGCTCCCTGACATCTTCGCTCTCTGCTCCCTCGACAAGACAAAGCTGACAGCGACATTCAAAGTTCCAGGTTCTCTGGATGGTTGACTTTCTTGTGTCATAGTCACTGGAACCATCATAACTGTGGGTGATCTCTTCACCAGCCGCAATTCTTCTCATAGCGCGAAAGATGATGAGATCACCAATGTAATCCTTCTTCGCATTGAGAATACAAGAATGGTTGATGTAAGATGCCCGTATCCAAAGACCGGTACTAGCGTTGCTTACATCCTCATCCTCGGTTTGTTGACCCAGCCCAAAGGCGTTGCGCTGTATGATATCGTGTATCTGGAACGTATCGATTATGGGCGAACCATCGACTTTCTTCAATTCTGTGCCAAGTCCATGGTAGTCTCCATAGAGACCAAGTACTTTCTCGACCTGAGATGGATTATTGAGAAGCTTTCTCACAACAGCTTTATGCAAGCCAGCAGGGAAGACCTTGATTGCAGCGTCTTCTCTAAGGTCGCACGCCAGGGCTGTGAATGTTTCAGCCTCGTGACTCCAGGCCACACAGAACGCTTTCTCGCACAGGATGATATCGCCTGGTTCGACATCTCGGGTTGCGAAAAGACCGCGACCAGCTCCGGGGCTGTTTTTGATCTCTGTTGGACCGTAGTACGAGGCTGTACCAGGTCTACCCCCTGTCTTGGACAAATTGCCCACGATTTTGCTCATGTTGTAGGTCCCGTTAGTCTCTTCTTGCAGTCTTGCATTGGCATTTCGTAGATGTAGCTTGGGTTGCTGGTCATCCGGTTGAAGTATCTCTTGCTGCTCGAAGTAGCGTCGAGCCTTGAGGAACTCGCCTTGAGCATGTGCCGCCAGGCCAGCACGATGATATGCTTTGCCATCAAGAGCCTTGAGCTCTTCAGTCTCTCCATTGGCCATGGAGTCTAAGGCATCCGAAATTGCTTCGTCAAATCTCTGAAGCTGAAGGTTGACATGAGCTCGGTTGCGGTGCAGGTCTTTGCGTAGTGTCTTGCTTCCTTCGTCACTCTCCACCAGCTTCAAACCTTCTGTGTACCAGAAGTATGCTTCGGCGTAGTTCTTCTTCTTGAGAAGTGCAAAGTTGCCTTTCTTCTTGTACTCTTCCGGAGACAAAGGATCCGGTCTCCCAGAGTAATATTCCTTGTGCCGCCACGACTCTGGGTTCTCGGAGATCGCGCCAATGATGAGATCTGATGGATGATCTATTCGAATTGTGCGTTCTCCTTGAGCATTGAGAGTGTAGTATGGCTCTTTGATCACCAGATCAGAAGCTATGTCTAGGACATTGTCACCGTACTGCGATGTATGAAGAAAGACCTCCAGCCGCTCCACCTCGTCAGATGACTGGCCTTTAACGACAGTCCAGGAGGATGCCTGAAGTACAACTACAGGTGACACACGACGCAACGAAAGAAAGAAGCCCCGGTGGTGCGTTTCTATTCTCAGGTTCTTGATGCTCATTGGTTGTAGATCTGCAAGTCTGGCTGTACTGGGGGGATATGGCTTGCCTATACCATAAGCTGCCATAGTTTCTCGACTTTCCCTCGGCGCACCAAACCCAAAAGCTCCAGAAGACATCTCTTGCACGAGTGAAGTAGAGATAGCCTGCTCGACCAAGGACTTGGGGTCTGTAGGTTCCCTCGATTGGCCCGACTGTTCTTCACATTGCCTCGCAACGTCTTGGACTGTGCGTTGAATACGCTCCGACTCCTGGGGGGACATGAAGATTGTGTTATTCGTCATCGTAGTGAAGATATAAGTTATTGAGGAACTCAATTATCCTTTAATGTGGGAATCATGAGTGAAAATAGATGTAACTGTGATTAGTATGCCCGGCAGGGTAGGAGAAGATGAAGTCTGGCCCTTTATCAGTTGATCAGAGGACTTGATTTTATTAGCGATTGATCTCGATCGAGATAACATGGATACACTTCAATATTGAGTGATTCATGCCGATATGCCTTGTCTTGTCAGCACTAGACGCCGATCTGTCTTTAGATGTAACCCGTTTCATGTTATCTCGCGGCACATAAGGGGGAACCTGTACCGCCTTCGACGAGTTATTTACTCATTAAACTGGACTTCTGGGCGGAGGGTTTTCACTGAGTGAAGTTGAACCAGTCAGAAGCCTGAGAATCCGAAATATCCACCGAGATGAACTTTTGATCAAAATAAACTCGATTTTGATGAGCTCTCACCTCCATGAGTCCAGAGGGTCGGGTCTGACTGTATCGGCGTAAATAAACCAATGGCGAAGCTCATTTTCCGAGCGGGCCAATGAAGATGCAGCATACTCTTACAAAAACCCATCAAACAATTTCCAAGCTTCAACGTCGAGTATGAAGATGTACACATATTAACAATAATAGGTAGATGCAACGTGTATTATATGGATGATGGTATTTGGCTCAACGATCAAGCCCCGGGCACCGTCGTCCAGGTAAAATCGCGAATTGCCTAGGTCCTCAATGATGGTAACCGTATGATGGTTGAGTCGCAAGCCAAGTCGACACCTTGTTAAGTAAAAGACTGCACATTGACTCATAAACCATATCATAACTGTAGGCTTTCCCGCAGCTGTCAGATATCTGTCCTAAGGGAGCATGACCGTACGATTGAGGGCATACTGGAGTTCAAGGTGACGCCCCCGCATCACTTTCAAGCAGATCGCAGTTTTACGAAAGTTGGATCACTAAGGCTTACGCTAATATTTCCGCTATTAACAACATTAGTTCTGGCGTGTGGCATAAGATCAAGAATCGAGGCTCTTACTATGCTGATGCAACTTCCGGAAGAACCGACGAGACCCGGAGGCAAGTACACAAGTCAAGGGAGGTTTCAGACTCAAATGACGTGTTTGTGGGCGTTGTGACCATAACATAGAAAGAAGGAAGCTTGATTGTTGCCTTGATACATCTTGCCGAGACATTGATATGGTTTACACAAACACGAGCCTGTTAGCAACTATTGGAGATACAGGCTACACTCCCCGCTCTTCGTTTACTTAGATGAGGCGCCGGGCTCTCCTCCGTGAGACATGTAGGTGCGTTAATTGTGACAAAGACGTGCGTCATCTGGCGTTCCCTCACGCTGGGCCGTTTCTCTTCATAAGGTACTGTAGTTAATAGCACAATTCGCAATGTGATACTTGACGCGAGTCAAGAAAAGGAGAAGGAAAGAAACGCAGACGAGCGAGGCAAATACAATGCAAATTCAAAATATAGGAAACAACTATTTATACGTATGCTGTAGGCGTTATCCAATAATAATCTCATGCTCAAATACAAATGACCTCCCACCAACGATATTTTCTATGACGATTCATGAAGCTTGATCGTACGCGAAGAATCCTTAAGTAGCCTCTGCCTTGCGACCGTAGACGTAGCGGACAGTCATGTAAGGGTGAAGCTTGCGGTTTTTAAGAAACTTGCGCATCTCCATGAGGAAGACTTGATACTCGTCCTCGGGCCACTGAAGGATCGTCTTCCAGAGGAGAAGGGTGTAGCCTGGGATAATGTTAGTGATGAGAGGGAGAGTTCCGGGTTAGCAGACATACCTTCGAGATCGTTCTCGAGAGTCGCGCGGACGTAGTTACCAACCGCAGCGAGATTAGGGTCACGGGGCCAACCACCAATAGGGAACTACACCGTCAGCCTTGCCACACCATCCTCTCAGTTTAACTCACCTTGTACTCAATGCTTTTGATGTCAGTGAATCCAGCAGCCTGGATCCCCTTCTCCTGCAAATCACCCTCCTGCACGAAGAAGGGGTTTCCAAGCGCAGCGCCGCCCTCAGTGAAGAGCTTCGCCCAGAGCTTCAAGCAATCAAGATCATCAGTTGTTCCATCGTCACTTCGGATGTGAACGTCTGCTTCGCCGGATTGGATCCAGCCGTCGGGGGCACAGCAGCGGTATGCTTCCTTGAAGAGAGACGACCAGTCTTTGATGGCGCCGAAGAGATAGCGGATGTGGATAAAGTCGAAGGTGTTGTTGTCCCATGTCCAGCGGAGGGTGGCGTCGTCGATTTCGAACTTGACGTTCGGAGGGACCCAGCTGGAAAGAATGAGTGAGATGGTCAGAAGGGGAGTGATGGGGCGTACCTGGGTTGGATGGGTGACAGATCGGAGCCGATGACTTCAGCTTCGGGGTACTCGTCTGCAAAGTCACTACATCGGTGAGTAATCATTATGATGGAGGGTTCTAATGTCTTACATTGCCCAGATACCTATACGTGATTAGTCAAGTCAACGTACGATATGCATGCAAGTCTCACCTGTTCCGGTTCCTACATCGAGTACTTTCTAATTGGTGTGAGCACGTCATATGACCAATAATGGATACACTTACCTGAACATTGTCCTTGATAGGAGCAAGGAAAAGCTTTCCACCGAGAAGCAGAGTCAAAGCCTGATGGCTACATGTTGTCAGCAGGGTGGGGTCTCTGTAGGATATAACGTACTTGATGTCAATGGACGCAGACTGCTGTTCATCGTTGGGAGTAAAGTACTCAGTAGGATGTCTATCACTGTGGAACGTTCGGCCCTGAATAGTACGGTACTCAAGAATGCTAGAGGTGATAGAAGCAGTGGAGCTCGCTCTGCAGAATGGTCAGCAGCTGTGAGGTAGTATCGGCAAGGGACCATACGCATCATCACCAACAGCCGAGTCGGTCTCACTCTCATCACCATCCTGACAGCATTAGCGAGATACGTATTGAATACGAGAAGTGCTCTAAACTCACCTGTGGATCAGCAGCGGGAACTAACTCAGGCTGCGGCGCCGGAGCTGACTCAACGGCCGGCGCTAGGTCGGACCGAGCCGCAGCAGGAGCAGCAGCCGCAGGAGAAGAGGGTTGATCAGACATTGTGCAGTTTGTGACCAACAGTATCTGCAAGGGTTGGGTTATGTTTTGCTTCTGGTTCTCTGCGAGTGATGTGGAATTTGAGTCAACAAACAGCGAAAAGGGGGATTGAGGGGAACTTTTGGGAAACGAGGCGCGTTTGGTAACACGATAAAGAAACTGGTTTTGGTGGGGCTGACATGCGGCTTAGAACGAATGCGGTTTGGGCTTGTTTGCTTTGGGGAGCCAATCGTCGACAAGTATTGTTTGTGTTGCAGTCAGCGTAGGAAGAGGTTTAGCGCTTCCATTTCTCCTCGCCAAGATCTCTCGAAAGAGCATGCAAAATGAAGGTCGAGATCCCAGTCGTTCTCACATTCCATGGGAATAAGGTTTTGGGAGGAATGGTCTCGAATTTGTTTAAGGTTTTTGGATCTTAACGCTTATCTTTCTAGCCAGCCAATCAGCAACAGACCATGCCATCCATCATCAAACCAGTCCAGCACCATATCCCGAGTCCAAAATGTCAATATCCATCGTCCTGTATTCAAAACAGATACAAGACCCTGATGCTGATAATCTGCTATCATCATAGGCGAGGCAAATGCCTCCGCCTAGCTTGACCCCACGGTCTTCTTCTTTCACCTCTCGCTGTACCTCGTCTTGCTGTGCCTCTTCTTGCCATATCTCTTCTTGAAGCTATCTTCAGTGCGTAAAGAGAGAAGTTTCTTGAATCTTCATGAAGGGTATATTTCATGACTACCCTCTGGGGGTCCTGCAGCCGGCTTTGCTGGGGGCCTCCTCAAGCGGAGGGCAACCCCATCCGTTGCCTTCGGGTCCGTAAGGACTTTCCCGCGGGCGACCTGATTGGCTGCTGACCTCGCTGAGGCTTGGTGCTTAGATCTGATCTGTGAATTGCTTCACTTTTGAACAAGAAGGACCTTATGGGTCTTTTATATGTGACTTTGAACTAATAGCTGAAGAGCTCTTTTATTAGTGTGTTTATGACTGGTTGTATTTTCAAGACGTAAATCCGAAAGGTTCCCTTTTCACTTTGTTCTTGAAGTTACTCCTCTGTGCCCAGATTTGCCTAATCAACCCTTGTGAGCCTCCATAATCTGCTCATAGAGAGAGTTTCCAAGAGTTTCTTTCAGTGGTCGAAGCCACTCTCCCTCTCCCTTGTTCTCGACAATTCCATGCAGTTTGAGGATTTGGAATATCATGGCAATTGTAATGGCTCCGTTGTTCTGCATAGCCAGGAAGGTTCCAAGTTGTGGAAGAGCCAGTGTGTGTAGTTTCACAATGCCGATGTATTTTTCGATGGGATGGCCATCTTTGTCTGCCGCTTCTCCGAAGAGAATGTTCTTCGCTTCGCCGATCTCGCGGTAAAAGCAGCCGATGACTTAGTGCATGATCTCGTTAGCAATGGCCTGCTTTCCATAGTCTTTCTACCAGTACTCACCAGGAAGGTCAGGGGCATTATCTACTCCAATTATGCGGGCCATGATGGAGGGCGCCTAGCCCTGAACATCAAGCTCCGGGTAGAGGAGAACGCTCGAGTCTTGTTCGGCGTCTTGTTTCAGATCAGAGATGGTTTTCAAGTCTACCACCAACTCGCGAAACGCAAGTTCCATGGCATCGAGCACCGCGAAGAGGTCGGGCTCAGGGTGTTCGGCCTTGAGGTCTTCCAGTTTGGCCAAGCATTTTCCCCACTCCGCGTGGGTGAAGTCACCGCGGTGGCTGAGCTCAGTGACGATTGCGTCGAGATCGTTTGCCGGGATGGGTATATTTGGGCGATCTTCTGGATTCAGGGGACGCTGGGGGCGGTGCCCACCACATAGTATTGTGTGCATAAAGGGGCCTGCAAGGCTTTCCAATAACTCCATGATGGTGGTTGCTTTGACTTCAGACGAGAAGATGTTGATGTAGAAAGCGACAAGAGAGGTGGGATGTGGCACTAACTTTTCGTCGCTCAATATGGCAGGGCAGTAATAGTCGGATAAATAGCGGCTAAATATCTGCCAGTTACATCAGAGGCCCTCGTAAATTGTAACGATGCAAAAAGATGGGAGCAGCCCATGTATCAATCGAGTTAAAAAGGAGATGCTGACCATCTATTTAACTGTACTCTCGTTGTTTTTTTTGCACTTGGTCTGTTCAAGGTAACGGTACAGAACAGCATTCATAACTTTAACCTCCAGTGTTCTTGTTCATGGACGTATTCTCGCCTTGACTGGCACCCCCTTACCAAATCCATAGATCCAAAGTCAGAATGCCCCCAATAACTAACAGAAACACTGTTATCCATACACCACATATCGCTGCAACACCATATCCCAATATCTTAGCACCAAGCGAAACGTCCTTGAACATTCCAACCAAGAAAGACGATAATACCAGACACCCGAATACAAAGAGCCCGATGTTGATCGTGAACAGCACCTTTCCTCGAAATTTCTCTCTGTAACCTTGAATCCGAAGAAATTTACTATCCAATTCATTCAAAACAGTCATAAGGCTCAACAGGATCATGATGATGAGAACGATAGCTGCGAGGAGTACCACCACGCCAAAGAAGTCGTAAAGTAGTGTTCCAAGGTCTTTGAATCTCGTTTGCATGCTAAGAACACCAGCGGCGAGCGACAAAGGTAGGAAGATGGTGGCTAAGAGGGTAAGTTGTTGAACGCCCCTAGTCTGATTAATGTTCCGAGCGAGTTCAAGATACTTGAGATCGTGATCCAATCGATCTGAGAACTTCTGAAGTTGTTCGTTCGCCTCTCGGCAGTACCCTCGTAGTTCCATGTCAATGGCCATCAACTTGTTCGCATGAGTTGATGAGTCGACGACTGGAGGCGTTGATCTGACAACATCAATCAGAGATTCCGTGGTGGATATCAATTTGCGGCCCATCTCTGCAAGATCTCGGTACTCGTACGACCGCTTGGTGATTGTTTTTAAGTTCCATTGTCGAAGCTCGGCTAAGCTGGGATCCGTGGTTGCATCATCTGCATGGTCGATTTCATCTGATTCCAAGGCGTTGAGGAATGCGATAAAGAGTTTCAGGCATGCGTGGTGGAACTGTAGAAGGAATAATTGCTTCCAGTTATCCTTGGATCGAACGGTGATGTAAGATGCATCTAGTAACTTGATTTGTATCCTGATTTGCTTTGCGGCATAGAAGTCTGAGAAACCATCGCTGGGTTGTTTCCGTGCATACGTATCGCATGTGATGAGAACTGATAGTGTTAAAACTCAGTCCATACAGTTCAACAGAGACTTACCGCATTTCTTCTGGTCCTCTTCCCAAACCTTGATGAATCTTGTGACTTTGACGGGCCATGCAGTCTCATACGTTGTGATATGATACGATGCGTCCGAGTAAGCTCGTTGCCATTGCTTAGAAAGTTGCATGAACCCCGTAGCAACTGGAAAGGTGTCCTGAGGACCATCAGATCCTTCTTCTATCACCTCCAGTCGTATACTCTGATTCGTCTGCGGAGGTAGATGATGTCTTGTCTCGCCTTGTGGTACGGCTTCCACTTCATCGTCCCAAAGGTATTGCCAACGCGACTCTCCTCCAACTGCAATATCGCAAGCCCCATTGAATCGCTTCTCGCTAGGACCAAGGCGTATACTGTTCTTCCATTTCTGCCTGTCAAGGAGTCCTTCTCTTCCTTTGACGTAGTTGCGAAATAATACAGCGGTTGTGATAAGCGAGACGACACTGGATGCAACACCGATAGGATCCATCTCTAGATGTCAAGTCGTTGGGGTGTTGGTGTGTCGATCTCGCATAGAATTATGAGGTGAGTGACTGGTGCGGGGTTTTGGCAGTGCATGAGGCTGAAAGATGCCAAGAACATGAGCCAATCGCCATGAAGGAGCCCCTGGAATGATCTGACAATTTTGCTTTGATAAAAGGCGATATGTTGCAGTAACTCGAGCTGGTATTGACGGAGAGAGATATCTCAGACATTTTTTTTTACCAGGTGACTCCAAAGTACGCGTGGCTACAGAACAACAAGATCGCAACAACTTTTTCCAAGGCTTTTTTATCCGCAATTATCTATCCAACCCCTCTACTCTTGAGCCTTCTGTCCCATCCAGAAGTAATACTTCTCATAAGAATGAATATTCACATTATTCAGATCCTTCCTCGCATCAGCCAAGAAGACCTCGATCTCTTCGGGCTCCAGAATCTTGCGCAGTGGCTTAGCAGCCATGGCTCCGAACATGTCGTTGACAGCAGTCTTGAGGTACAATCCGATGAGCCGAAGTTTCTTGTCCTGCTGAGAGTTAGCATGTTCGGCTTAGAAAGAAAGCTGGCGTTTACCTTTGCCCATGTTCCGATGGGGACTTTGAGGACTTTACGGGATACGTTGGTGAAGCCAGCTTTCTCAAGAGGTTCACGCAAGTTCTCGCCCGCGCGAAACTTCATGCCGAAGCTGGCTACGGCTTCCTCGGCGGTGTCGAAGAATTTAGCCAGAGGGGCGTCTGGGGCTAGGGAGCCATCGTCGCAGTTGGCGCGGGCATCGAGTTCTTGGATTTCGATCCAAGCTCCAGGCTTCATGTGACTGCATCACTGTAAGACTCTATTCAAGGAAGCTGGGAGGTTGGAGGTACTCGTGAGCTTGACGCAGGACCTTGACTTGGTCCTTCAACCAGGGACTGATGCAGCGCATATGCACAAAGTCAAAGTCGCCGCCGTGCATCCATTCGTCTTCGATGTCGTCGACGAGAAACTTGAGGTTTGGAGGGACCCATGATGGTTGGATTGGGCTGAGATCAACTCCTACCACAGATGCGCTGGGGTATTTGTCGGCGACTGTGATGATTAGTCTCAAGATCATGCGAAAGAGCGGTCTGACCTACCATCGATGGCCCAGATACCAGTGCCGGTTGCGAGATCGATGATCTTTTGGGGATTGTCGACGATGGGTGAGAAGAACAGATTTCCACTTGAATTGTCAGTGTCTCAGTCGTTGCATTATGCAATGATTGCTTCCTACTTGGTGAGCTCCAGCATCATGGCGTGTTTCATATCGTCTCGGTTCTGCTCTGCATCATCATTGGGAATCGGATATCTACTCATGTCAGCCATCCATCGCAACACGCACTTCAGGCTTCTCACGTTCCATGACGATACTGATGATACTATCCCCAAATCAGCACATTTCTCACCTCGCCAAGCCGTCGAACTCACCCGTCTTCCATTCTCAAAAGCATGCTGATAAATACTCGTGTTCAAACTCGTCGAACTAGACGACAAAGTCGCCGAGTCAAAATCCGACGTCTCAAACTCATCCTCCTCCTCCGCTCGCTCACCCGCAGCGATAGGCTCGATCGGTTCTTGCGTAGTAGTCACTGGTTCCGCCATGATTAAAGAGTTGAAGTTTTAGCGTTGCTACCCGAATGTTCCGAGGCGGGAAGCATAGTAATTTTGAGGAAAGGTGGATTCGGATGATTTTCTAGCCCCGCAGCCATCGCGGGAAAATGGCGCAGGCCCCTGAAGATAACGGAGAATTTACAGAGTGGGACATGTGATTGGATTCAGGCTGATTAAGGACAGTGACTGCATTTTCATTCAAGACATCATTACCTATCCTCTACTCTAGTTATCCAACATAAGAAACATAAGAGACAATGCAAAGAACGAATCCATAACCAAATCATCAAGCATACTCGATAGTGAATTCCATGCTCTGACCGGGAACACATCTTGTTCCTGGCGCAACAGCCATCGCGACTGACCACGTACCCGAAGCACAGCGCTGGAAAGCAGTTCCTGTCTTGATGCAGTTCCAGTAACCCTCGGGCTTACAAGCTTTACCAGGAGTGATGACGCCAGCGGCGGGTTTGGTCGGTGCAGGCTTGACCGGTGTCGTGGTGCTTGTTGTCTTGCGAGTTGTCGACTTGAGGGTTGTCTTCTTGGTAGTTGAAGGAACAGTGATGAAAACTCCGCCAGGCCTGTAAGACATGTTAGCAAGATCAAGCAAAGAGAGGAAGCGACTTACGTTGTGGACTTCACAGGGGCCTTGGTAGTAGTCGGTTTCTTCGTAGTAGTTGTCTTTGTCGGAGAAGCAGCAGAAGTAGGATACTGTACTCCTGGACCAGCAGGGCACTGACCGACCGGCGGTCCAGTGTTTGTCGAGGTGAGGGATACATCAGGTCCAGGGTTAGGAAACATGAGATCGATCATCTCCTTCGTTCCGCATCCATTTCCAACATTGGCGACAAACATAGCAGGTCGTTTCTTGAGCGGTGTCTTTGGTGTTCCACTTCCAGCCTTGACCGTAATAGCCGCGCAGTTCATATACATCTCGCGATTTCCGATCTTGTTAAACCAAGTCCAAGCAAAAAGAGCTTCTCCAGCTGGTGTATCAACAGGAAGAGTAAACTGAAAGTTCGAAGTCGGCGCCTTGGGGCAATTTCCAATCCACGATTGGATAACCACCCAAGTCTTGCCGCGATCAAAAGATAGTGAGGCCTGACAACTACCGCCTCCGTGGTCTGCACCGCCAGCGATGCTGATACTGTACGACTTTCCAGCTTGCCACGTAGCGGTAGGTGCACCGGCAGGAGTGCCGAAAAGAGAGTTATATCCCTTGCAAGGAAAATTGCTTCCGTCGCCGTTGAGAGGTGAAGTCATGCTGTAGTCGATGTCTTGTCCGGCGTTAGGGTTGTATTTGCTCTTGAAGGGGGGAGGATATGTCATCTCCATGTGAGCTTGGGCTAGACCAGCTAGACCGAGCGCTGTAGCGAAGGCGTTGAAGAGTTTCATGGTGGAAGGAGAGTTGGTGTTGAAGGGATAGAGAACAAAAGGAAAGCCAAGAGGCTGTTGTTATGTATGTAGAAGAATGTGTGATGAGAATGAATTGGTAAGAAACGGTGAGGCTTTCGATTAGTTTTATAGATTTTTTAAGAGGTGAAATATTGGTTTTGACGTGCCAAGGTTGAGAGGTCAGTCGAGAATTAGGGAGGATTGCGGGTTCGTGTTAGGGCGGCAGGCTAGAACGAGTCCCCTTCAAGGGATGTGAAGGGGAGAAGAACCAGCCTCAACACCAGCCCCAACATGATTTCAGTGCGTATTACAGTTATACAGTGAGCTTTTTCAGTGGGAGCACAAGTTACAGAGTGGTTGGGAATTGGTCATATGCTGCGTAGTTGAGACATGGTGATGAGTGAGGTTGCATCATGGGGGATGAAGGGATAAGACTTTTTGATGCGATGAGTTTCTCAAGATGGCTGGAGTTGAACTTTTGGGGTGTGAAACTTGGAAATTGACAATGGGTATTGTCATGAGGCTCTGATGTTACGTAGTTGAAGTGGTGTTTTGCTGGTGAATACATTGATTCAGATGGCTGGATATGAGACATGTTAGGCGACGATGGCCGCCAGGGCTGGGAATACCACGGGACGACCATGGACCCTCTCGCAATACCTAAGAATAGTCAAAATGGATTTCACGCTCAATGACAATGCATCAATTGTAGGGTAGCGCATCTGTTGCAAAATAATGGTCTCGATCGTTTTAGCGATCGCAGAGCAGACAGTACGATGGCCAGTAACTGTGTTCAATGCAGCCTCGGAGGAAACTCACCGTTTGGCTTTCAATTCTGAACCTTGCTTCATGCATCCATTCAGTCAATATCCATCAACATCTAGAATTTCTCTACGGGAAAAAGTGAAATAGGCCTATGCTCCGCCGTTAACCGTTACGCCATTCCCTAAGCTGTTCCTGCATCCTCCCAACGCCACGCGTCACAGAAAAATGCAAAGGACGTCCCTGAAAATCGCATTCCTCAAATCCCGGTTTTGGAAAAAGATCGGAATTCTACTGTGGCTGGGCGGTTGCGTAGTGTGGTCGTTGGGAATGTGAATGGGTTTAAAGCGGACAGGATCATCACTGGTTTCGGGTTTCGCCACGGAGAGGATTGGTCTGGGCAGTTAGCATAAATAAGTGTGAAGGATGGAAAATGTTGAGACAGGTGATTAAGTTCTTTTTATAGATTTTTTGACAGAATTGTTTCGTCTCAGCGAGGATTGGGGGACGCCGTTAATGACTGTCTCGGGCGCGGCGCTTGGTGTAGCGACCTCAGAAAGCGCTAGACAACACCAAGTGCGAAATACAGGCAATGACTTCCCTGACAGTCGCTACTGATAAGATAAACGAGTTTTACTGCGGTAAACAAGCTTATTCATCAATCTCGGGTTTTGCGGAATGTCGGCATATCAACGACGTCAATGACTCTAGAACTGGGGCATATCTCCGAAGCACATATTTGTCAGCCAGATTTCGTGCATTGAAATGCTTGAATAAACTGTTACATCGCTCGATGAATAAAGATGTGCGGCCGTATTTCCGCCAGTAGGACTTGAGTCTTTGGTGAAGGTGGATTTTGATACTGAACTGGTGACGATTTTATCATCAATTCTTGGCGTCACTGTGGTCTCCGCCCAGGTTTTACAGAATGCGACTTGCATAATTGTGATCGCATCAATTTTATAACCCTGCCGCATGTGCAGGAACTTTCGTCTTGCTATTTGAGAGAGATTCTCTTTGCTCAACTAATCAGAATCACCAAAGGTTCGAAATGCAGCCAGATATTCCCTACCGACAAACCCATCAACAGGTTCCAGATGAGTGGAAGCTAGAACAAGGTCTCGAGCCCGCCCGTCTGGGAATTCGTAACCAAAGCAGTATCCAGGTCAACACAGAGCCTCATAGGCTCAATCCAAATGACCACGAAGAACTCAAGGGTCCTGATATCCCTGAAGATCCAGACCTGGATGTTCAAGATGAAAGGCCCGGTTGGAAGGGCTATGTTGAGTGGGAGGACTATCCTGACAAGAAAGCCAAGGCTCACCAACGCTTTTCGCGCTTCACGTTTCCCCCTCCGCCTGAGTTCCAGTTAGAGCCTCTTCCTGCGACGAACCCCGTTCTTGAGGGTAAGCGATGGAAGTTATGGCATAAAGCTATTGGAGGGGTTTTGAATCAAGTGCCCCAGATCAGTTGGGAGACTGTTCTCAAGGTAAGTACCTCTGAGCGATTGAGTAGGAGGGATGACTAACTGTCACAGGAAAAACACCCAGAAATGCTTCATCTTCTCGAATTTCCCTACAATGGAGAAGCGCCTAAGAGTCTCCTAACCAAAGACTACATCATGCCAAACGAGCTCCATTTCGTCCGAAATCACGGTGGCATTCCTGACATCGAAGCAAGCGCCTACGACATTCGTCTCGACGGTCTGGTCAATGACCCCAGGACGCTCACTCTAGCAGACTTACAAAATGAGTCCCTCTTTCCAAGAGTAAACAAACTCGTGACCATTCAATGCAGTGGTACTCGTCGCTTCGAACAAATTGTCGAGTATCCAGGTGAAGGCGACGAAATGATCAACGCCCCCTGGGCAGAAGGTGCTATAGGTACAGCAAAGTGGACAGGCGTCAGTCTGAAGAAAGTCATCAAGTACTGCGGCGGTCTGAAACATGGTGCCAAGCATCTTGAACTCTACGGCGCAGACACGTATTTCAAGGGCGGGCAGTGCATGAACTACGTTGTGTCAGTCCCTTGGTCGAAAGTCAAGGCGAACGAAGTTATTTTGGCTTGGGAGATGAATGACAAGCCATTGCCAAAGATTCACGGTTTCCCTTTGAGGGCTGTTGTCTTTGGGTACATTGGGGCAAGGAGTTGTAAGTGGCTTTATCGGGTTAAGGCGATTGAGAATCCTAGTCTTGCGCCTGTGCAGAGTAGGGAGTATTTGTACTTTCAGCAGCAGACTGGAAAACACAACCAGCTTCCAACCAGTAAGTCTCACTTTCTTTGATCCTTGAAATAGACGCTGACTATTCTGCAGTGGGTATTCAGATCCAGGAGATGCCCGTCAGTAGTGCGATCATGTCGCCTTGGAACAAGGAAGTTGTCGTCCACGATGGTGAGATCGAAGTCAAAGGTACGTCTCATCTAGTCCTTACTGTGCCACTTCTGACTCTCTCAGGCTGGGCATACTCAGGCGGCGGCCGATGGCCCGAACGCGTAGAAATATCCTCCGACGGCGGCTACGTATGGTACGCCGTCCCCATCGAGAACCTCTCCCCCAAGCACAAATTCGCCTGGCGCACCTTCACCGGCAAAGTCCCCTGCGACCACGAAGGCTGGACTGAACTCGTCGTTCGATGCTGGGACAACAGTTTGAACACGCAGCCCATGGAAGTTCGACATAGCTGGAATTGGAGTTTGCATGTGACGAGTAGCTGTCATCGTGTTAAAATTTATAGTGTGAATGCGAAGAGGGAGGCTACGAGGAAGAGATTGAGGGAGTTTGATGAGCATGGGCAGGGGTTTACGCCTATTACGAGACCGACGGAGTTTGTGCCCATGAGTTTGGAGGAGTATGAGAAGGAGGTTGCGAATGTTGAGCCGAGAGATGTTGATGATTAGAATTTGTGATTGATCTAGACTTTGGGTCACTTGATTGCAAGTTTGGCTATAATACGCTAGTTGAGGCCAAGATGGTGCTTTTCCAAACAGTCAATCCTTATAAACTAAACCATCGAACTCTATCAATTGCAAGTCCGGTCGCAGCTTCGGTGTTACTCCCAATACCAGAAGTGAATGGCTTGGTATTCTCTGTACCATTCGGTAAAATCGTCAAGCTTAGGCGGTCTCTCAAGTTCAACCCGCTCACTCCCTGCAATGCAACCCAGCACCGCAGCAGAAAGTCCGTCATTTCAGACAAACAGAGCAAGAACCGTTGAAAGAAGTTTCTAGGTGCTCACAATGGAGTCATCAGAGGCCATCTATGACGCCTTAGACTCATGTCGCAGGTTGATAATAATCACGTCACAATTCGACAATGGAGCTGGCGTCTCGGATATAAGGACAGCGTCCGGCATTTCAACGACCAATCGACACCGAAACATTTGTCAGTGAAGGAAAAATGTCCGAAGTGAGTATCAATTGTTTTGGGGGTCTATTCGCTTCGTATGGCTGACAATGCTAGTCAAATGAAGCTCCCGTTTATACCCTCGCTGAGGGCAAGCCGGTCGAGGACCCAACCTCCTCCGTCGTGCTTCGTGGACCAAAGGTTCGAGGAGGCGGGCTTGCGTTGCTGGCGGATACGCAATTGATTGAGACTCTGGCTCATTTCCCCCGTGAGCGTATCCCAGAGCGGTATGTCTTCCCAAGTCCTTTACCTCAACCTGACTAACGATATCAGCGTTGTTCATGCCAAAGCTGCTGGAGCATGGGGCTACTTTGAGTGCACCCATGATATCACAGACTGGTGTTCAGCAGCACCTTTCCGCCGAATTGGCAAGCAAACTCAAGTCCTTGCCCGTCTATCCACTGTAGCTGGCGAAAAGGGATCTTCTGACACCCTCCGCGACATCAGAGGCTTCGCCCTCAAGATGAAGACCGAGGAAGGAAACTGGGATTTTGTCGGGAACGACTTACCCGTTTTCTTCATCCGTGACCCAGCAAAGTTTCCTTCGTTGAACAGATCTCATAAACGTCACCCGCAGACTGCCGTCGCTGATGCGAGTATGTTTTGGGATTTTCACAACAACAATCAAGAAGGCGCTCATTGCCTTATGCAATTGTTCGGACCTCGTGGTGTACCGGAGTCTCTTAGGAACGTGAATGGTTTTGGAAACCACACGTTCAAGTTTGGAAAACCTGAGGATGGATCTTTCAAGTATGTCAAGATCCACTTCAAGCCTGATGCTGGCATCAAGAATCTTTCACAAGAGGATGCTGTTCGTCTGGCAGGTGAAGAGCCGGATTATCATGTCAAGGATATGTACAACTCTATTGAGCGGGGTGACTATCCGACGTGGACTATGTATCTTCAGGTCATGGACCCCAAAGAGGCTGAGACTTACAAGTGGAACATCTTCGACATCACCAAGATCTGGCCGCACAAGGATTACCCTCTGATTCCAGTTGGAAAGCTTGTTCTGAACAAGAACCCGGAGAATCACTTCCATGATATCGAGCAGGCTGCTTTTTCACCTTCGACTTTGATCCCTGGTATTGCTCCCTCAGCTGATATCATGCTCCATGCGAGAATGTTCAGTTATCCTGATGCTGCACGATATCGTGTAGGACCCAATTATCAGCAACTTCCATGCAATCGACCTTTAGATGCATACTCACCCTATCAGAGAGACGGGCCGATGCGCCTTGACGGGAACTATGGTTCTGACCCCGATTACGGTATGTGATGTGTTTAACAAAAGCCTGGAAGAAGATGCTAACAAATACAGTCCGTTCCTCGTTCCGCAAGATCAAAAGCGGTCCCGCCGACGTGGCACACAGCGAATGGGTTGGCAGAGTCCAAGCCTACTCCTCCGACGTGGAAGAAGAAGATTGGGAACAGCCGCGTGATCTATGGAAGATCTTCAAGGATAGCGGCGATGATGAAGTCTTTCTCAATAACCTATCTAGCCATGTCAACAAGGCGCTTCCAGAGGTTCAAGAGGAAACAGTTCGTAAGTTGCAACCTCCATGGCACAAGGATTTGGTGGAACTGGGCTAACAGTGTGACAGGCATGTGGGCAAATGTTGATGAGGAGATCTCGAAGAGGCTTGAGGAGAAGTTGAAGAAGTTGACTGGCGATTTTGACCATTCGAAGGCGCCACCCAGTCAGACTGTGCTGGCATCGAGGCGCAAGTGATGCGTCTGAGAAAAGGAATACTACCCAAATAGGACAAGAATGCCTTGGTGATATAGAGTGAATATAACGCGCTGAGGCTATGGTATGGCGTTGTTTCATGGGGCACGTTTCTCTTACGGAGACCGAGCTGCTCCTCTTTTCTCAAGTCGCACAAAGTGTCGTAATATGCTGTACTATAAGCAGTTGGGCGTATTTCACGGAGATAACAATGCGTGCTGGGGGTTAACAGCCTTGCTCACCGTTCTGTGTAACCCATACGCCCTAAGAATAGATGCACTAATCTTTGCCGAAGATGGTTCCTTGGTCAATACCCGATTAACGGACCATGTTACTGCTGTGTTTCATGACATGCCATGATTATAGTTCCGTCACTCTCGTATTCATCTGCATGTCAGATCAAAAAGCGCCGAAGCTGAGCTATCTGTCGAGTTAGGCATACAGTCCGTACGTATCAGCCTGACCTGACTTTCTAAAAGCCACGATACGTAGACAACAGCTCACCAAGATGTAATTTAAAATTCTATCCTAGTGCTCATCCCAGCCGCACAGCGGTTTAAGGTCCATGTAGATCTTTACCCTCAGTTCTGCAACCAGATTGAGTACCATTCAAAATGGAGAATGATGTCTCTCGTCCTTCAGAGTCTGTCCAGAGAATGGACGTCACGTCGGCATCAACTTGGTCTCCGTCCAAGAACAGCTCCTTGCAGCATTCCCCATTACTTCACTCTTCATCCCCTCCAGCCTGGCAGGGCACGACAACCAGCGAGACTAGCTTTCTGAGTCCCCATCAAGAACCCAACCAAAGGATTACAGCTATAGAGTCTCACTACTCCTCAACTTGGTCGAACATTCTGAAGAGCAGATGGCTGATGGTCGCCTGTCTGGTCTTTGGCATTGCAGCTGCTGTTGGTCATGATACACTCAATAATCATCTCTTTGGTAAAGAAGCCAAGAATCAAATCTGGTGGCTTCGTCTCGGGCAGTCTCTTGCCTTTGTTTCGAAAGCAAACTCTGCCATTGCAATCTCACTGGCCTATGAGCAGATAACTTGGAGATCAGTGGGCCAGAGGAGCTTCTCCGTACGGGCCATCGACTCCTTGTTTGGCGCAGCACATAACGCTATTGAACTTCTCAATGTCGAAGCTTGGAAGAAGTCATGGTTTGTCATGCTTCTCGCTCTTTACATGTGGATATCGCCGCTCGTGGTGATCTTCACTTCGGCGACTCTCAGCGTCGTCAGGCATGAGAATACTGCATGCTATTCCGTCCGGACCCTCAACTTCTCCCACGAACCAAAGAAGAAGTGGACTCACAGAAGACGTGCAGATGGCGATGAGATAATGGAAGGTGCTAGACTATCATGGTACAACGATACTTTGCCGGATGAGGATGGCCCAGATGTCTTTGACTTTTGGATCAGTCCGAGTGCATACCTCAAAGAGATCGCATCCAGAGTTCTTACTGGAGGACAGGCACTTCAAAGAGACGATGTAGCTGATGAAATCTGCGGGAAAGGGTGGGATTGTTCAACGATTATCCACTTCACCGGTCCGGGTTACAAGTGTGAACAACTCGGCAAGGGTACTAACTCGACCCTCGAACAGTTCAACGGTAGGGATGCCCCGTTCAATATGAGCAGGATGATTCCTGAGGGTTGGAATACTTACTATTCAATTGCCGACGAGGGAGACTACGCTGAACGCCAGATCGAGCATGAGAAATACTACGGTCGACCATTGCAAACACTTCCGTTTCCTAAGAATCTTGGTGCTTTCAGAACAGAGCCGATTATCTGGTTGGGCTACGTTACTGTCGACGACGTACTGGTCAAACACGCTGAAAATAGCAGCCAAAAAGGATGGGACACAGACTTCACACCCGTTATTTCGGCTTGCGAGCACTGGCAGGTCAACTATACAGTAAGCCTTACATACACGAGGGGATTCCAGTCGTACAACGTTACCAATCGGGAGTATCTGCGCAAAGTCATCAACACGACATACGTGGACGACTCAGCTGACGACGGAACGTTGGACAAGACTGTCGCGGAACCACAAGAAAATTACGTGCTTCCCAAAGATTGGAGGAATTATCAACGCATTGCAGCGTATCACTCGCTAGGGCTAAAGTTACGAGAATTACTGCATGGAGGCTTGTCGCTTCCCGATAAAGGAAAGAGTACTGAGATCATGACTTCGAAGTTAGTTGGGCGGCATGAGTTTCTTCCTGTTCCTGATTTTGAGGATCAGATTCGACGATTGTACGAGAATTTACTTATTTCGCTGTTGTCGGATACACAGTTACTTATCGTAGCGTGGGCTGCAAATCCGGATGAACCGTCTGGGACGAGACCGGGAACGAACGGGACGGAGTACCCTTGCATCAGAAGGACGACGGCGGGATACTTCTTTTATCAGAGAAAGATTCTTGTTACTGTGTATGCTGTTTCGTTTGTTATTGTTGCTGTTGGCGTGGCGTATGGGATGAAGGCTATGAGGCAAGATGGAGTTGAAGAGTTGCGGGAGGTCACATTCTCGTCGATTGCAGTCGCGACAAAAGGCGTGAACCTGAAGGGTCATGGAAGAGATGACAAAATCAAGGCTTGGTTGGTCGAGGATGAGCATGAGGGCAGAGTGTATGAGTTCAGGAATGAGGAAGACACGCAACGAAAGAGCAGTGCTGGTGCCACGGCGAGTGCCTGAAATTGGGTACTTCTGTCACTCGCATACACCAAAGTTCAGTTGTTTGCAAGCAAGATCTAATAAATGCTGGATAAAAGGACGAACCAGCGGACCGAAGTGGAGATTCCATACGATGGCAGTTGGTGGTGATGAATAATGGTATAAATCTATAGCTAGTCTAATCTTTTAACAACTTATTCACCCTGCTCTTAATCTCCTTATTAAACCGAAAGTTAATCGGACTCTCACTCCCAACAAACACAAACCCATCATACAGCGCACATCCCACCATAGACCCTATCAACGTCGCTGCCCAAGGCCCGTAAAACCACCATCCGCTATGAAACACATTTGACCCGCGATACCCAACCGCATACGCAACTACCCGCGGTCCAAAATCGGAGGCAGGGTTCAACGCAGATCCAATATTGTAGCCGAGGGTGAACTTGAGAGTAGTGACCAGAAAGCCGAGTACCAAAGCATGCATTCCAGCGCCCGGCGGGTTGTTCTGATCATCACCCAGTGCAAAGACAGCGATCATCATGATGGCACTGCCGACGACTTGGTTGAAGAATGCGGACTGGAGGGATACCCATTCTCGAGGTGTTGAGAAGAAAGTCTTTGACATCCCGTCCATCTCAGGGTCGACGTAGTGGATTGAGTCAGCGTAAATGCCATACGCCAAAGCCCCGGCGACAATGCTAGCGATGAATTGGGCGACGATGTAAATGAAACACTGCCGCCATGGAAAGCCACGGAATAATGACAGCGAGATAGAAATGGTCGGGTTCATGTGCGCGCCTGAGACGCCGCCGCCGAGGTAAATGCCAAACATCCATGCGAAGCCCCACGCCCAACAAGAAGTCTCGTAGGTACCATAAGGCTGGGACTGTTTTGCCGAGAGATTCACAGACAGAGTGCCAGTGAGACCTAAGAAGATCGCAACAGAAGTGGCAAGGAATTCAGCAAGTGGTTCAGGATGTTTGGCTCGTATCCTAGCCCACCAATTCCTCATCTCATTCGGATCAGTCTCACCAGCTTCAACCTCTGGCCTCTCCTGTTGACCCAAAGGTTCGCCATCAATCTTGTAATCTGGCTGATTGTTACTTTGCTGATGAGAAGCAACTCTCGACGCAGGGTCGTGATGTGATGGTGTTGCTGCGGGTGTTGCTTCACTGGGGATGTAGTCAAATACCGGCTGACCTGCATCATTGCGCTTCTCATTATGTGCAACGCCAGCTGCTGTAGTTCGACTCTGCTGGTTCTGCATGTCGCGTGATGCGATACTGGTTTGAGTATGCATTCGGTGTGGTTGGCCTGAAGCGGTACGTGAAGCGTAGCCTGCTGGTGTATCTTCCGATTCCTCTTTGACTATGGCCATTTCCTCATCAACTTTTCCATCCGGTCCGATCGGTTTCACCACCTTGCGACGAACGCGGTGGGGAAGAGGTTTTCCGAGACTGAAAATGGGTTTCTTGCCTGCCTCGCCGAACCAAGGGTTCTCTTCATAGTAGCCCTCTTCAGCAGGGGCATATGTATGATATTGAGATGCATGTTGTTGTGCTGTAGGGCGAGCTATACTGTGGCCACTGGACATTCTCGTAAAGCGCCGTGAGCTAGCTGGCCGCTTGCTCATTCGCGACATGAAGCTGGAAGGTAGTCCATGAAGTCCACGCCGTCTTGAGTGGGTTGACTTTGCATGGTCGATATGTCCTGTTTCTCGGTCCGAGATGGTGCTGGGAATTCTGCTTGCAACATTCCCAAGATGCACCTGGCCCGGTGTTGAAGGGGTCGTGGGTTTCGAAAAATAATCATGATTCTGTTCCTGATGTCCAGCCATTGTAAACGCTCAAATTCAGCAGATTCTTGCTCATTCCCACTGTAAAACCTGGATTCAGAACTTTTATATGATTCAGGTACATATAAACCAACCCTTATAATAATGACGTTTATCCTCCACTTTAACGTCAACCGGAGGTTTCTCTCCAAGTGTGGACTCATCAGCCTCAAACTTTCGCCGCTAAAATCTCTTAATTATGGGCCTGTCAACCGCTTAAACTGGGCCGCGATCTCAAGATCAAGATTGTTGCCCCTTTGAGGGTGTGATGTTCCTGAAACTTTCCCTTTGTAGAGGGCAGTTGGCCGAATGAGGTGCTCGATGCTACGTATTCCATGACTCTTCCTTGGAGGCAAGGATGAAAATTCGGGTTGTCCCTGATCACAATTCTTTGGTTGCTTCAAAGGGGAGAAGAGATAAGGGTATTTGTGGATCGTTTCATCGCCTTGTTGCGTGTTTCTGTTGGGTTCTCGGGAATATTCCTGCTTCCTACGCTTGGCTTCTCACCGCATGCTATAGGTAGTCTTGGCGGTATGGATCATAATAGCAAGCGTTTTAAGATATTGAGTCATGAGGAGATATTTGTTTGAGAAAATATCATGGTCTCCAATCTTGGAAACCTCGATACATATACACGCCAGCCCATATCAAGTCTCATACCGAGGCGGCTATCTTGCTGCATCAGATCAACATGAAAACACCTGAAGCCCATAAATGTGAAAGAAGCAGGAATTGAAAGATAATAAGCTTTGGGCACCTAGAAGAGGCTCCCTGTACGTGGAGAATTGTCAAGGTAATACGGTTCGAAGTGTTGTATTCTTGGCCCTTCACATAAGTTTGTGAAATGGAAATTTGAATAATTGCCGCCGTCACGGTAACTCATTTCTTCGGCTAGACCTCTTTTATCGATTTGATGAACTGTTAACAGTAGGGGTCGTTGTTTAGGAGATCGTTTTGTACAAGGGAGCTTCGAAGTACATAGAACATCTGCAGTCAATTATGTCCTTCTTGTCTTGGTACTCGTTTCTTAGACAAGTAACTGTGATAAGGTTAAAAGGTTAAGGGGTTAAAAGAAGCTTTAGCCGCAACACAAAGGTAAAGAAAACATATCTTAGACAACTAACAAATCGAGATTTGGTAGCAACTCTTCCAGTTTGCAGGAGTTATAAGGGCTGAAGCACTGAGAGGAGAACTGACCCAGCGTTGTTCTTTATCCTCAGTGCCTAACACTGACAAAGTTCTCCAAGAACAATGAAGAAATCAAAGAAGCCTCAACAGCCAAGGTCTATTCGACACAAAATCTCAATATCATTAGAAGCAATGGACAGCTTCCATGTATTACTGCATGTGAATGGTCTAGAGTGCCTAAGTCAAGCGTTCTCAGCTCGCCGACGCATGTTCATCGTGGGGTTCGCAAGAACATGCTTGATTGAGTTCTTCACAGGGTAAGATCTAGACAAACCTGTTACTAAAAGCTGTTGGTGTCTTTGTGGTAGTCCATATTGGAACCCTGTGAATTCCTTGTTCTCTTTATTCTTGATCCTCTGTATTCTTGATCTCCTGAAGCTTGTCCTTACATCAGACTCTAAGTACCCAAACTCCAGGTATCTGTTTCGTCTGCATATCCTCGCCTGCACTAGCGTCTTTTTTTTCTTTTCCTTGCATTCATCATTATTGTCGACTTCATATTGCTCACAAGCACAGAATGGCGATCCTGCGAAATCATGCTGGGGCTTTTCAATACTTCACATCACGGGTCGAAAACACCGAGATCATCTCAATGGAACATGTCATGACAACAAAAATGAAGAACAAAAAGGGGCACGATGGTGAAGTGCAAAAGGAAAGGTCTCGGAGGGAGTCGAACCCTCGCTGGCGGAATCAGAATCCGCAGTCATAACCGTTAGACCACGAAACCTGTGTTCTAATTGGTGCAAGTTATTGGCAAAATTTTGATTTGTCAGCGTTGCGCGGACCTGACAGCGCGCCTTGACTGATCTCCCTGCACACTGTAGACACCATCTCGGCTGCAAACATCTCGCTGGTGCCGTTGTTGAGATGCGGTTACCAGCTCAGCCCTTTGGCGGCACACTCGCCATAATTGGTGGCTTTTCTCACGCTTGAGCAGTTACACTGTTGTTCCGGTGTGAAAGTTTGAGGTCTACATCACTACGGGGTGGAGTACCAGAGATAAGCGTTGTTTTGGCGGCGTCGTTACTGTGCTAGAGGACCGAGTGGGCTGGTGTTGAGGTGCGCGACAGCCCTGGTAGCTGTTTCTGCCACTGAATATAAGCTGTAACCAAACAACAACTATCACATACGACCAAAGGTAGTGGAAAATACGGGATCCCGTCCGCTCTCCCATAGTCAAGCCACTAACCGGCGGATTAGTAGTTGGGTCGGTGACGACCAGCGAATCCCCGCTGTTGTATGTTTTTGCCCATCTTCAATTGGCCTCTGTAACATACCACGCTTGATTCATCCATCGCAAAGTACGAGCTACCACGCTTAGTTCATCCATCGGATAACATACTTTGCGATGGATGAATCAAGCGTGGTATGTTACAAAGGTCGATTGAAAATCTTTTAGATGAGTTGAAGGAAGAAGGATGACCCGGCATTGTTATTTATTTTTGGTTATCGAGGGAAGTGGTGGTTGAGAAATGAGGTGAGACACGGTCATTTTGGTGGTGGTTGATTCGCGTTGCAGGATGAGGCTATGAGATTAATTTGACGGCGATCTGAGTTTCGATAGGATGCTGCCATTGTGCAACCAACTGGCAGAAAGTCCAAAAGCTTATTATGACCTCGTTTATTAATTGCAATTCGGAGGTACATCAGACGCGGCGGTTAACTGAGTCGCTGATATAGTCTTGTGCAGGTGTCTTGCAAATATTCAGATCCTTGATGAGGCTGCAACTGCAAAGCCTGAGACTCCCAAACCCATAAGTAATTTCAAGTCGCACCCAGAACCTTTTCGCTGCTATTTAGAATCTAACAGGTTTTCAATTTTTCTCAAGCCATTGTCTCCATAATCCGATCACTCAGGATCATCATCCAACAACTCCCTAACCCTTCCCAACGCTTCCCTCTGAACATCCTCAACCGACTGATCAACACTAACAATCAAAACATCCTTCTCATCATCCGCCGGTCTCTCCAACACCTCAAACTGACTATGCACAAGAGCAGGTCCCGCAAAATGGCCCTTCCTCGCAGCAGCCCGCTTCGTGAGCACTTCCTCCGGCGCATCAAGATGTAAGAAGTGAACTCGCAAATCACCAGCTTTGTCAGATCCTTCACGCAGAATATCGCGGTATTGACGCTTGAGTGCGGAGCAGGTGACTACGAGATGTTCTGTTCCTGGGCCGATGGGATGGTGGGTGGCGTGTTCATGCAGAGCTTGGAGCCAGCCGTAGCGATCTTGGTCGGTGAGGGGTTGGCCGTGGCTCATTTTCTCGATGTTGGTTTTTGGATGGAACTATGAGGCTGTTAGTGAGCTTCTAGAGAGAAAGGAGGTGACATACATCATCGCCTTCAACGAATTTGAGATCGAGTTTCTCTGCTATGAACTTGGCGACAGAGGTCTTGCCTGATGCTGTCGGGCCTGAGACGAAGAGGATCCATCGATGGCCTTTAGGGACGGGCTTGACTTCTGGTTTCTTTAGGTCACTCATATTATGTATCTCCTGCCGACGAGAAATGGTCCAATGTTAAGCAAGATGTTTCTATTGCAATGTCACGTATGCTGGAGAGCAAGTATGGCGTTGAACTGACTTGACGTCATAGTGATCTCCAGCTTTGTGAAGGGACCATCAATTCGTTACGCATGACCTCCAATTTTCACTTTCGATGAGCTTCCATAGAAAACCTACTATACAGATCAAACTGCAGTAATGTAGTTAATTGGACCATGTTCGTCTTCGTGCAAGAAACGTAGGGTAGGATGACCATACTCAATCATCCTCGTCCTGCTTCCTTGATTGACACTGTCATCACGGGCCATCAATGGATCCGGATTACTCATTTCCAATCTCCATAATTCTCTGACCTTTTCCCAGTCTTTGGTACGGGGCCCGAGATACCCGAAAGGATACCGCCATCAATCCACGACCCTGAAGGAGCATCACCATGCGCCAAGTTGTACGTGCATCTGAGCAGCATTAGCAGTTGAAACAAGCTTATCGACGCGACGATACTGCGAAACAACCATTTCCATCCTTCCACGCGTAATCTCAGCCAACGCTGAAATGCTCCAGCCGCGCTTCTGGGGGGATTGTTGAAGCTCAAGCACATCTCGCCTGTTTCTGCAATCCGAGATAACCAATTGATAGCACCGTTTCAGGTCAGATTCTAGACGATTGATAACAACCGCCCATATCCTTGTCCTTCATGGAGAAAAAAGGAGCGTTGACATTTCTGGGTCACGGACGCAAGTGGAGAAGTGAAATCGGCCCATTTTGCTAGCATATTTATTATCATGGACGTAAAAACTACGGACAAGAGTCTAGATCCTTGGCTTCATTTATCTGATTACCAATGCTTCGAGGGATTTATCACTCCAGACAATAACAAGTGTTGGCCTCTGCGTTGTATACGAATGGACGGGATGGGTAATTGCCTGTTTAAGCACGGCCAAGAGCTGGATCAGCCTTATGGTCTGGGCATGCGATTGGATGGGTAATTTCCTGCCATAACACGGCGTTTATCTCCGTCAACCCGTTCAAACCCTTCGTGTTGCTCGGTGTGCAAAGCCTATCGTTCCAAGAGAAATGAGTCCTGCCGATCATTTTCCACGCAAAACTCAGTATCAACTACGAATGCAACCACCAGCCATGTGAACAGCAACAAAACAGAAACATTCACTGCTGATCAATTCCACGTGTCTCTTCTTCTCTAGGGTACCGTCCGACATCGTCATCAATCGCGCCCTTGCATGTGGCGCGCCCTGCCACGGCGGGCATTTCCCGAACCAATAACAAAAGCAAAGTTGTTCTAGAAGACCAGCTAGCGCCGCTTGAGAAAATTTCTGGAAGGGGAAAAATCTCGACATGTGTGGCTGCGGACCCGAGGTTGCAGGCTCGGTAAGACCGACATCATGCGACGGAGAATACGGGACACTTCAGTTGGTAGCAGACTTTTCTGTGTTAGGTAGGTCGTTTGCTTTGGTGAGGCAATAACCTGGGTTTAAGGGGCGATCCTTTTAGTTCACTTCTAATACAAGCTTAACCTGTACGTGGCCTAGCCACATTTTACTTCTCAGTTTCACGATTCAAGCTTCATCAAGATCCAAGAAATGTAATGTACTCCGTAGTGATCTGAAGATCTTGGCCGTCACGACGTGTCGCATGGAGACCAACTCCATATTCCCCATGGGGGCTGTTTATCATTGACAATCGCCAAGAAAACATGTGGTCAACGTTATTATGTATCAAGTGGTTTCTTTTACGTACAAACACCGCTGGGTCTAGAAGTGCGTGCGTTATGGGTGACTCCACTGGTAAGGGGATGGGAAACATGTGGTGATGGTTAGGTGTTCATAGCTTTTATGGGTTACTCAAGGATGGCGAGATAAACATGAACTGAGCTTTATTCATGGGTTGAGAAGGAGGAGAGATAATGTTGTAATTCTTGTTGGTAGTGATACTGATTATCGTGATGATGATGATCCCTTCTGCGGCCGTAAGAATTGGACTCGAGTGAACGAGTCTCGGGCCGACCGCAGCCTCAAGTGGAGACGGCGTCAAGTGCCGAAATCTGCAAAATCTCCCATGTCAAGCCGAGCCCAGCAGCAGCGGATATGGCGTCAAAACTTGGAGTAAGCTGAGCCTTCTCCGCACCAAGCTTTTCACTCTTCTACCAAAACTTGGGGAAAAATCACCTTACACTGCCATCATACCACAACCACGGTTCTCCCTCTGTCTGTTACGTACAAAAAAACATCCCTTGCCACCCGGGGCCCCGAGATTTCACCCCAGGAACAAACAGTCCTTGTCTTACTGGAGATTGTGAAGGTTAGTTGGAGTCGCGAGTTGGAGCGAGAATAGCCGCGAGCTGAATTGGAGAAGCGGAACCGCTAACCTGACTTTGTCTAGGGCGTGTTTACGAAAGGGGAAAAGTGTGGACAAACTCTGCAGAAAAATTTGATGAGGGACGGTATTTCTCGGCTCAGACTGTAAAAGATTCAATGATTGACCCGTTCGAGATAAGCTACAAACTCGGCCCGCTCAGATATTCTGCCCCCATGGGGCCTTTTCATTGCACTCTGGACCGCGACAAACTCCTATCTCTTACGTATCCACAGGATCCATAAACGGAGATGCGAGTCAGTTTGGGGTAGAGCAGATCAAAGTTCCAACGAAACTCTTTTACGTAGTTGAGTGGGAACATACCCCAGATGAGATGGGTTCAAATATATAAGCGTGCCCCAGACTCTCCAGTTCTTGGGTTCCTTTTCTTGTCTATCCATCTTTGTGTTTATCTTGTGAAAGGGAAGAACTGCAATCATGAGCCATTACGATTCGGAGAATCAGGCCCCTGAGCCTACTAAGCATCACGGTGAAGACAATGCTGTCACCAACGATGCTGTCTTTGGAACAATCACCGAAGATGGTCCCAACTACCGAAACGTACGTCTTCTCCACCTCCAACTCATCAAACGTAGCTAATGAGAGCAGGTTGGTTGGCTCGGAACTTCAGTTCTGATGATGAAGTCCCAAATCGGCCTCGGCGTCCTCTCAATCCCCGCCTCTTTCGACGCCCTCGGTCTCATCCCCGGCATCATCTGCATGCTGTGCATCGCCGTAATCACAACATGGTCAGACTACATCGTCGGAAGGTTCAAGCAGCGACACCCTGAGGTCTACGGCATCGATGACGCAGCTGGGCTTGTGTTTGGACGCTTTGGACGCGAGTTTTATGGTATTTCGTACTCGCTTCTTACGATTTGCATTGCGGGTTCTGCTATGCTTGGTATCTCGATTGCTTTGAACAGTTTGAGTATGCATGGTACTTGTACCGCGGTCTTTGTGGCTGTTGCGTGTGTTGTGGCTTTTGTTACCGCTTCGATTCGAACGCTTGATAAAGTCAGTTGGCTTGCTTGGGTTGGTCTCGTCACCCTCGTCACATCTAGTAAGTCCCATCATCACAAACCCAGCGAACATGTCTAACGAAATACAGTCTTTGTAGTCACCATCGCCGTTGGTGTTCAGGACCGCCCCGATCTCGCCCCCAAGGACGGCGTCTGGAAGTCCGACTACAAGCTCTTCAACACCCCTACCTTCGCTGAAGCTATGTCCGCCATCGCTGCTTTCATTTTCGCCTACTGTGGAACTCCTGTCTTCTTCCCTATCGCTGCTGAGATGCGAGAGCCCAAGCACTACAAGAAGGCTTTGATCCTTTGCCAGAGCGTCGTCACTGTCGTTTACGTCGTTGTCGGCATTGTTGTGTACTACTACTGCGGTACCTATGTTGCTTCTCCTGCTCTCGGATCTGCTGGAAAGACTATCAAGAAGGTCGCCTACGGTCTGGCTCTTCCTGGTCTGATCGTCTCTGCTACCCTCTACACTCACGTAAGTTGATCTATCTCATTGTGCTATTGCAATCAGTACTAACACTATGAAGGTTCCCGCCAAGTACGCCTTCGTCCGCTTGCTCCGAGGCTCCAAGCACCTCACTGACAACTCCCTCACCCACTGGGCCGTCTGGCTCAGCTGCACCTTCGGCATGGCCATCATCGCCTACGTCATCGCCTCCGGCATCCCCGTCTTCGGCGGTCTCGTCTCCCTCGTCGGCGCCCTTCTCGGAACCCTTCAGTGCATGCAGCTCTTTGGCTGCCTCTGGCTCTACGACCACTGGGCTGAGGGCAAGGACAAGTCACAGCGCACTACCAAGTGGACCATGATGGTTGGCTGGTGTGGCTTTGTTATTGTTCTTGGTACCTTCCTCATGATCGGTGGTACTTATGGTTCTATCAAGGGTATTATCGACTCTTATAACGTGAGCGGTGGTTCTGCTGCTTGGTCTTGTGCCGATAACTCCAACTCTTCTTAGAGGGTAGAGGCAGGATAGATGTTTAGATGTGATTATAGATGATTTATAGATGTTAAATGCAAGCGTTGATTGAGTTCAAACAATGGTCAGCCGCGTCTCGTGAACACATGAACAGTCTTTGCAACGTCACTCTCAATGTTGCAGAGATCAGCCACTACCCCTTTACGGAGGAACCACTCACAGCTTCTCCTTTAATGAACTCACTCTCCACTCCCCCTTCAGATCTCGCTCAATTCTCTCAAATACCCCTGGTCCCTGCTTCCCCAAACCTGTCCCCACCGCCACAGCATAAGCTCCAACACTCCTCATCCTTCGATAACCGTCCCCATCACGTACTCCACCAACACCGATGATCTTTATATGACTCAGTTCTGGGACTTGATCGAGCATCTTTCTCAACGTTGACACGTTGCCGAGTGCAAGGGGGTGGAGAGGTGGACCGGCCATGCCACCAACACCAGTACCTGGTAATTGAGGATCCATATGCTTGTTGTTTTCAAGAATGAGGCACGACCCAAGAGTGTTGGTAGCAGTGATGAAACTCAGGGACGATGCAGCTGGTAGCAAGGTCTCAATCAAAGTCGCAAACTGCCCAAGGTGCGTATACGGTGGCGTCTTGATACCAACGGGCAAAGACGGATTCTTCGGAAGCAGATCCAGATACTTCTTGAGAGCACCACCCCCATACGCAGGCGGCGGAGCTCCTGGGATATTTGGACAGCTCAAGTTGACCTCCATGGCCAAAGGGAAAGCAAGGATCTTCGATGCAGCCTCAATGCGCGCATAGCTCTCTTGTATGTCTTCAGGTGATCCCGTAACACTGACAATAAATGTCTTTCGCAACTCAGGAAGGCGGCGGGCAATCTCTGCTAGGAAACCGAGGTATCCATCCAGCGTTATTGGACTGTAACCAAGATTGTTCAGGCTCGCTGAAGCACTTTCTGTGTGGCCCTTCGGCGGAGTCTGGTTAGAAGAAGTGCCTTTATCAGGACTTGAGGAGGAAGCGTTGAAGAAAAGGTATTGGTGTTGCTCATGCTGGTGATTGAAGCCATTGATAAGTGACGTGCGGGTCGTGATAGCGCCTGTAGAGGTGGAAGAGGCGATCGCCAAAAGATCGTTGATATCAGTGGCCCATGGGGTTGCCGAGTTCAGTAAAGGCGGGTCGATGTTTAACTGAGGCGGCGCCATTGTTGCGGCTTGTTATCTGGAAGCAGTCGAGGAATGAAGTTGAAGATGAGGGGCTGGAGATTGGAGTTGGTGGTGATAAGAATCGTATTATGTAATCAACAAGCAGGCGGGTGGCTCTCGGGTGCTCTCATCAAAGTCTGGTCTAAACATGAGAATCATGGTATGAGTTTACACTTGTGTCATAAAAGTTTAGGCTAAGTACAGGATAGGCCTCTGGCTTGTTATTCACTAAACCTAGCCAAGGACGAACGGAATCATTCTTCCTGCTGTTGCACTGTTCACTATCATCTTGCTGTCTACTTTGAACAGCCTGTTCGCTCAGAGAATTGGAACAAAGTACCTATGTCAGTGTTCCTGTTACGATTTACCACGCGAATCTTTCACTAGTCCTTTGAAGTCTCTTTGTTCAGCCACCATCCGCTGAGTATTACGGTGGCGAACATCCGAACAGATCTCAATACATAACCGTATTATCCGGCGAATATGCTTCACGCAGATCACTATCCGCGTTGTCATCCTATATAAGGCCATCCTTGCGACTCTCCCAGAGATCTTTCCGAATCAACAGCATCCGTCAACTTATCACAATCCTACTCCACACGAACAATCACATCAGAATTACAGAAACATCTCCTCTTCGAAATCAACAACCATGTCGCACTCTTTCGAGATAGACGGAAATTCTCCCCTTCTCTTTCTCCCTGACCATCTTCTCATTTCATTTCTGAACAAGGCCTCTTTCGATGGAGCCGATATTGAAGAGATCGTGAAGGAAATCCTCGGCACTCGTGCATTGTTCCTTTCGGAACCACGTCGTGAACCCGAGATCCTGGAAAGCGTACTTCGCAAGGGTCGGCTCCCTTTCACACTAAAAGGTTACTTCAAGTTTGGTTTCCAGCCTTGTTTCCAATGGATTCCTACGCAGAGTCGAGATCACAACCGTGGCGAACAGTCTGTCATTGTCGGTTTTACGGAGCGATATAAGTCTGAAGAAGACACGAGAGATGCTCTGAATATCTTGAAGTTATTTCTGCAGCAGACACCCTACGTTATTGGGGCTTCAGCTTCTGATCCGTCTCCACGACCCCCTGTCGACCACTTGGTTGAATGGATAAAATGGACCGCAGATGCATGGTTTGCTGATGAGTTCCGAGATGGCATCTGTGGCTTGATTGAGATGCTGTGTAAGAGGGGCGATGTCATTGATCTTTATTAAGATCGCTTTGGGTCCCAAGGTCATCCAGAGACAGGACCCGACAATGCAGTCGAGCTTGCAATGCAATCGTATTGCCCCAGCTCTCTCCTTAAGAACTCTCTAATGTATCGACCTGCTGGCGAAGGGCCACTAACAGCTAGGAGCAAACTCTGGAGACGTTTCGGTTCTGATCTGCCTCGAGGAACGCATCGCGCTGTTTCAAACATGGAGTGGATAGTCGCTGGTATTCACACCCAGTTCTACAGCCGAAAGTTTGGTCCTTTCAGGGGTTATGGCGAGAGGCTCAAGGGTTTTGATTATCCTGATGGTATTGCTGAGGTCTACAAGATCAAGGCCTGCTTGTTGTCGAACGACTACTGTACCGACGAGACTGAAAGGGAGGCCCTAAACAATCTTACTCAGGCGATCACCAAGGCCCAGGAGATGATGCCATTCACTGGTCGTCTTCACCATACTGAGCAGAGTGAGAATGAAGGGTTGTTCATGCTTTTCAGTGCTGTATCAGGCCTCGCTTCCGATGCTTACAAAATGGAATGTGAGAAGCTGACTGAGGAGTTTGGCCCACGACGCCATCAATTCATCATCAATGATCGATTTGATCCTCGAGTTGAATGGATGAAGTATACGGCCGACATCAAAATTCCCGAGTTGCAGAGTGAACCTGGAAAGAAGTTTCGCGATGAGGCCCTCGACATCTGGCGACGCCTGATCATTGAGCGCGGCGACAGCCGTCGATGGTGGGAGATTTCGGAACAGGATAAGTGGTTCGTCCCTACTGAAGAGGTCAAGTCTGCTCTCAGAGACGCGACTCCATCTGCTGCTGATGCTATGGGTCTGTAGAGTGTTTGAGCGTTGGGTTGTTTGAGGAGAGTTTTGGTGTTTTCGCGCATTCCTGTAGCAAGCGCGGGACGCTTTGCAGTCGGGAGTCTGGAATCTATCGAGATCTAGTTGAATAAAAAGGTAAGTGCATGAACCCGTTCTTTGAATCGTACCATTGTGAGGGAAATAAGATAGTGACCGTGATACTAACGTTGCAACAACCAGGATATGAACCCCGCACAGCACCCGCCGATCCCACTCAAAGTCGGGGAACCTTGATCATATCCTTCCTGATTGAGTATACGGAACCGACGCTTATCGGCCGGTCATGTTTCTCCATGATTGTTGAGCGAATCTCGGTGCGGCTCTACAATTGAAGTCCGGATCCTTCTCGTTACACTGACTCTGTATAAAAGATCGACATTTTACCAGCTCGCTTTTTCCCTCTCCCAAGCCTCTCATACTGTCAAGTCAATCATCGATCATGAGGTCCTCTTTGTCTCAGGTGGCGACAGCCAGCGTCCTTCTGGCCTCGGGTGTCAAATCTCTCGCCGTGCAACCTCACGCCCTACGGAGCGAGACGCCTGATGAGTCCCCTGCTCTCAAGATTCCCGGACTGCCTCTGCCAAACGCGACAAGGTCTTACTGGCAAGATCCTCCTCACCGCATCGCCAACCTCCGCACTACCAAGGATCTGCCGACCGAGAAGACCTTTGATTATATCATCATCGGGTCCGGTATCTCAGGTGCAGCTACAGCGCACAAGCTGTTGGATCGCGACTCAAGTCTATCAATCCTGATGATCGAAGCGCGCACCGCAGCTTCAGGCGCGACGGGTCGTAACGGAGGTCATTGCAAGCCCGGTGACTACAATGGTGTGAAGGCTTGGGTCGAGACATACGGCGAGGATGATGCTCTTCGAATTGCCAACATGGAGCAAGATTGTGTCAACGACGTGCGCGACTTTGTCCGCTCACACAACGTTTCAAGCGACTTCACAGACGTCGAGACCGCTAGTCTGTACTGGACTGATGATTCGTTCAAGACGGCCGTTGAGTCAATTGAGTTTCAGCATGAGCTTGAGAAGCGCAGGCCCAATGACGTTCCCAAGAACAAGAGGACTATTTGGAAGGGTCAGGATGCGCGTGACTACTGGGGATGGCCTGAGATCGTGGGAGCTGTGACCTTCAAGGCTCATACTCAGAATCCATACCATACCGTTTGTGCGATGCTTGAGTACAGTCTTGAGAAAGGTCTCAATCTGCAGACAAACACCATGGCGCTGAGTCTCAACCAGCTCGGCAAGAAGACCAAGGCTGGAGCAAGATGGGAAGTCAAGACGAATCGTGGCACCGTCAAGAGCAAGCACGTCGTACTCGCTACCAATGGCTTCACTCCTGCTCTTCATCCCGGCATCGCCAGCACCAACTTCACCATGCCCGTCCGCAACCAAGTCTCCGCCGTCACACCCTCCGCCAACACGACCGACAACAAAGTCTTCCGACGAAGCAACAGCGTTCCCGATCTCCACAGTGGAAACGTTTACATCGCGGCTCAACCCCCAGGCGCCAAGGACGCAGGTAGTGTTGTAATCGGCGGCTCAACCCAAATGTCACCCACGCGTGAACGCTACATCACCGACGATACCGCCATCAACGAGCAAATCGCCTACGTTCTTCATGGTGCAGCACGTACAGTCTATGGGTATGAGAACTGGGGCGGTTCGACCAAGGTTATCCAGGATTGGACGGGTATTGTGTGCGAGACACCTGATGGGTTCCCCTTGGTCGGTGAAGTTCCGGCTGAGGATGGATTATGGGCTATTGTTTGTATGAACGGGCATGGCATGGCGTGGGCTTATAGGAGTGCTGAGGCGCTTGTTGATATGATGACTGAGGGAAAGACGCCGAAGTGGTTTCCTGGGCAGTTCAAGGCACAACGGGCCTGGGAGGGTCAGAGTAACGAGGAGCTGTAAGATTTCCAAATTCAGAGTAATCAGTTAAACTTTGCAAAATCTTCCTCATTCAAGGACGTGAGCGAACTGAAGTCGTGGGCTCCGTGTTGAGACAGGCCAGTGGTTGTTGTGGCCCTAAGATACTTGTTAGTATTAACTCTTGTGGGACCCTTCCTCCTCGAGTATGTGAAGTTGCGATGCTTCTGGTAGCACTGCGTTCGAGATACTTGTCTCTTGACACAATTGAGTGAGAGATGGGCCCATGGTGTTGTCTTGTGCCATTATTGTAGGTAAGTCCAAGGAGGCACTTTTCAGGAAAGATCGGGAGCCGATCGATAAAGTATTGGAGTATCTAATAGTGCTCGACATTTTGATAACAGATATGGACTCCACAGAAAGTGTGTGGAGTCGTGGACCGGTCTAAGAGGTTGATGTCGGGCGTTGGAATTGATTGCTACGGCTCCCGGGTGGTCGAGAACGTAGGCAATGGTGACAAGGCAAGGTGACGCTGAAACAGAAAGGAGTCATCTTACCAGATTTCCGCATCGGCCCTTGAAACCACAAGTTAGCGATATTGGTAGATACACTTTGGGGCTTGATGACTCACCGGGTTCATGTTGATGATCTTTGGTAGCATTGGTCAGTAGCATCCCGTTTATAAACTCAAAACTGATTTCTCAGCTTTGTCAAAATCGGATATACAAAATCTGACATATTTCCGACGCTAATCACGATAATCTCCCATCTCGGATCTGAAATCTGCATTAATAATGGTAAAAATGCTGTTGTGGAGATCTGACTTGGCCGGTTCCATCTTTATTGGCTCGGAAGTACGGATCTTCGGATATACGTAATCTTTCGGACTTGTTCGCCGCTGTTTATATACAATCTCGTCATCCCTTGATAATGAAGTTCTGAACATATCAGGCTCTGAACATTATCCAAAATGGTGACTGAAAGCGAAAAAGGTGAGTTAACGCGTTGTTTGTGCTGGGGATTGGGGCTAACTGGTGCAGAACAAGGCTTTATGCCTGATCCCGAAAGGGACGCGCCGTCTGATATCAACACGCTCACAGGCCCAGATGAGGAAGCCATCTCAAGAACAAAGACCAACGTCTCAATAGCTGAAACCTTCTCGCTCCCTCGTGAGATACTCTTTGTTGCGATTATCTGCATGGCGCAATTCATGACACAAGCCGCTCTCGGAAACTGTCTCAACATCATCCATATCATCGGCGACTCATTCAACCTCACTAATCCCGCGGAGCTAAGCTGGCTCATCGCCGGGTTCAGTCTCACGGTCGGAACGTTCATCCTCTTCTCCGGTCGTCTTGGCGATATCTTCGGATACAAGCGCCTCTTTCTCATCGGTTTCGTCTGGTTCGCTGTTTGGTCCATGATTTGCGGCCTTGCAAACTACTCCAACCATGTTCTGTTCATCTTTGCCCGAGTGTTCCAGGGCATTGGGCCTGCGCTTGTTATGCCGAACGGTCTCGCTATCCTGGGAGCTTCGTACAAACCTGGTGGTAGAAAGGCTGTTGCGTTTGCGCTGTTTGGAGCTTGTGCGCCTGGTGGTTGTGTTTTTGGAGCTTTGTTCGCTGGACTTTTTGTTCATGGGGATCCTGCTTGGTGGCCTTGGACTTACTACTCCTTCGCCCTTGGACTGGCGTTCATTGCGCTCATGGCGTACTTCATCATTCCGGACCCGCCTCACAAGTTGTCGTCTGCCGATATGAGCTGGCGAGATATCCTTGGCCAGCTTGACCTTCTTGGTGCCACGACCGGTATCACTGCACTGGTCCTCTTCAACTTTGCCTGGAACCAAGCCCCCATCGATGGCTGGGACAAACCCTGGGTATTCGTCCTTCTTATCGTTGGGGTACTCCTCATCCCCGTTTTCTTCTACGTTGAATTGCGCGTCGCTTCGCATCCTCTCATTCCCTTTGATGCTCTGACCAGCGATGTTGCCTATATTCTCGGATGTATTGTCTGTGGCTGGGCTACCTTTGGTATCTGGGTGTACTACACTTGGCAATTCTTCCAGATGCTTCGTGGAGCATCACCACTTCTTACGAGTGCTTGGATGAGCCCCGTTGCTGTCTCCGGAGCCTGCGCTGCATTGATTACTGCATGGCTTCTTCATGTGTCGCATCCTGCTTTGGTCATGCTGCTCGCTCTCACAGCCTTCACGACTGGCACTATCCTGATGATGACAGCCCCCGTCGAGCAGTCTTACTGGTACCAGTCTTTCTTCGGCCTTATCATCATGACGTTTGGCATGGACATGTCGTTCCCGGCTGCGACGCTGATTCTCTCTAATTCTGTCAAGAGAGAGCATCAAGGTATTGCAGCAAGCTTGGTTAGCACCATAGTCAACTACAGTATCAGTTTGGGTCTTGGATTCGCTGCTACAGTGGAGGTTAACGTTACAAACGGTGGAGAGTCAAAGCATGAGTTGTTGATTGGTTATCGATCGGCTTTCTACATGGCCGTTGGCTCCGCCGGGCTGGGACTCGGTATCAGTATTATCTACTTCCTCAAGACGAAGTGGTATCAGAGGAAGGCGAAGCAATGAACAGGGAAGTTATAGAATGGCGGTTTCATGGAATCATGTTTGCGGGAGGGAAATTTGATAGATTATGACTTTATAGACACGGCCTACAGCCTCATGATAGAATTTAAGTTACCGATAAGAATTTGATCTGGCGCGAGTATCTTGACGTTCTTGGGACTGAAATTCCCACTGCAGAAGAAAAAGTCCAAAGATTATGTCGATGGAACCTTGGAGGCTTTGGAGTAGCAGAGCTGGGCGGTGCGCAATATGATAGAAGATGATGCCTCGACTGAGCTTGCAAACTTCAACATGAGGCCTGGGCAGCTTGAACATCCATCAGACGAACCGTGAGTCACCATGTCCAAGTGTTGACAGGGCCACATAGTTCTGTTGTTCATGGGAGTCTGGCTGATCTCGCTATGTCGCGTCACTGTTTCAAACTTCAGTAGCTGCAACTGGTATGTTCCAGTGCCATGAGCCCTGCAAAGGCGGCGCATTCTATTTCGTCCACCTCAATGACAAATGTCGACCCGAACATCACATTGCCTCTTTGAATCACAGACCATGAGTAGTTCTCCCGCGCCCGACCGCGTGTCAGTTTGACTTCCCGCTTACCCTCCAATGCCACTGAAGCAGCCCTCTAAGCCCTGCTGACTGGTGTCGTCATAGGGCTGATGGACTCCCGAATGCGAAGTGGACCTCGGAAAGCGAGCCAATCGTAAAATTCTCGATCGCCAGCCGTTGATGGCTGCGGAATCTATCGACGCTAGAATAAAATCCCCTGAACCTTTTGCGAGTGCGATTATCAAGTGCGTAATGCATTCCTCCGAATTCTATTCCCATTTCATGCGTTTTGTCATTTCGCTGGTGATTCAGACACAGCGCTCATGTTCGCATCGCCAGTGTGAATGTTGAAGGGCAGTGGGGTAGCAGTCCCCAGACTGACAAAAGATATGACTGGCTGTAGCTAGAAATATAGAAGAATTTGTACAAATGTAAGATGAATCACATAAAAACTTGGAGGAAGTAAGAGATAGAATAGCAGCAATGATTCAATCTCCTCTTGATCTTAATCTTATCACAGGTTGTTCTCTATTGATCGCAGAGTCAAGCTTTCATTTGAGAACCACTAAACCCCATTTGGCAATCAACTCGCATCCGAGTGCGAAGACACTGTCACTAACTTAGCGTCATTTCAAAAAGACTGCAGCCTCAAATCAATGCGAGATACGAGATGCGCCAGTGGAACAATAGTATATATATCTGTATCCCAGTCGCTTCGAAAAATTCATTTCATCACTAAAGCATTCAATCAACTACCATTTCATACAAACAAACATCATCTTTACTCTCATCCCTCAGCAACACGATCCCCTTAGTACCCAAGGACCAAAACAACCAAAACATGCCTGCTCAGCGCTTCAAGGCAATCATCGTCGGAGGTGGTCCAGTTGGCCTCACAGCTGCTCATGCTCTATCCCGCGCAAACATTGACTTCATTCTTCTTGAACGTCGCTCAAGCGCTGTCATCGACGCTGGCTCCAACCTCGTCCTCAACCCCATGGGTCTTCGCGCTCTTGATCAACTCGGTCTCGCAGCTCCTCTTGAACAAGTCAGCTCCCCTCTTGGTCTGATCAGCCGTCAAGATCACCAGGGGCGCGACATTGGCGACGCGTACTGGTTCATTCTGTTTAACAAACTGTGAGTTCACCCCTTATTTTGACGAACTCTCGACTGACAGATTAAGCTTGGGAACTTTTCCCCGTGTTGTCAGCCGTCATGACCTCACCAAAGTACTCTACGACTCCTTCACTCCCCTCCAGAAGAGCCAGATCCTCACCGACAAGAAAGTCGCCGACATCATCCCCAGCGAAACCGGCGTCAAAGTCTCCTGTGACGACGGAACATCTTATGAGGGTTCCATCGTCATCGGAGCAGATGGCGCTCACAGCTATGTCCGAAACAAGATGCGAAACCTTGCTGAAAATGCCGACTCTGATGAGATCAATGACGAAAAGCCCTTCCTGACCACATTTCGAGCTCTCTGGCTCCGCATGCCTACCAAGTTCGCGGGTATCGAGCCTGGCACTACCTGTGAGACTCACGGTCCTGGTGCAGCGACACAGCTCTTTGCGGGTGAAGATTCTTCGGTGATGGGCCTTTATGAGAAGTTGGATGCGCCTACTCGCGATCGGGTGCGATACACCGAGAAGGATCAAATCGATCTTGTTGAGCGATGGGGACACATTCCTCTGGTGCCCGGAGGCAGACTCACCCTCAAGGAGGCCTTCGAAGCTCGCACACAGTCTGGTCTTGTCAGTCTCGAAGAAGGTGTCGTCAACCACTGGAGCTGGGGCGGTCGTGTCGTTCTCGCAGGCGACTCAGCACACAAGTTCACCCCCAGCACAGGGGCAGGCTGCAACAATGGCCTCATCGACGTCGTTGCACTGGTCAACCAGCTGTACGCCCTTCGCCAGCAAACACCTTCCCCAACTCACGCTCAACTCGCGACCGCCTTTCAGTCGTACCAAACTTCACGCATGGATGCCGTTGTCGAAGCTTGCCGGGGCTCGGGTCAAGCCACTTCCAGTGCCACTTGGCAGACTGGCGTGTTCAAGTTCATTGACAAGCACATCATTGGCATCACTGCCATACAAAACATGCTGTTTGGTCTGGGTGCTCCCAAGATGGCGCAGTCGCCTAAGTTGACGTTCATCAAGGGGCCGGAGAGACATGTTGGCAAGATTGCTTGGACAGAGCCGCAGGAAAACAAGGTTTATTGAGGGGGTTTGGACACAAGAATGGTTTCTTTGACTTGTACTTGTACTTTTTTTTTTTACATAATTTAGCGAGGGGTGCTAGACGGTAGACTTCATGATCAATCTCACATCTTCAATGGAATGCAACGACCGTTTCGAGTGACGAATGTGACAACTTGATATGCCCAGCAAGAGGAACTGGAGCCGCAGGTCTAACCCCCCCTGGCGACTTGAATTCTCAAGCTGTCAAGGTAGAAGTCCCTTGGCTCAAGGTCTCGTCATCTGCGACTTGCAATCGTGTCTGGGTACTGCTTGTCAGCCGCGTCCATGCGTCGTCGAATGTTGTCGAATGATAGAGAGTGAGATACTGATTAGCATTGACACAGATGCGTCATAAAAAAAGAATCAAAATTTGCCAACGGCGCACACCAACGTTGACGAACAGAGATGGAAGTGGCTTATTGAAGTCAACGCATCCAATAACGTCGTTGAGCTTGGCAGATTGATAATCTAATTCAGTTAAGACAGTAACAGATTCTACGCTATCGGCACGTTGAGATGACGAGATTTGTTAGTGTTATAGCGCGCTTGAAAGCCCCGCAAACGTCATCGGCACAACCGAGCTGACAAATTTCATGACGATGACAAATGAGTGACAGTGGGATACCACCAAATAAAAGACGGAGTTTTTACGCAGATATCCGAATTCAATTACCGATAATTGGTTATAATAAAAAGCCGTTGCCAATTCAATTTCCCCATCTTCAAATCCCAAACCCGCATGTCACGACTTCTCAGAACAAGACCAATTCTGAAACCGCTCTTCAACCCCGCTCAACTCAGACCTTTTCACCTTACAACCACCAAAATGACAACCGGACTATTCAACTACATCGATCCGACATCGAGTCTCGATGATAACGGAAACAGAGTCAAGCCTTGGGCTAAAGTCGATGTTGATCAAACTTCTTTTGAGCGCAGCCAGCACAAGCGCGACGTCGTGGATATTCGCAACGCCGCTAGCATAACCAGTTTCGGTGTAGATGTTTCTGGCTTCGATGTCTTCAAGTCTCCTGCCAAAGAAACCGAGTTCACTGATGATGCGGCTGTAAGGAATGGATACTACGGCGAAGTTGAAGCGCTGCTCAAAGAGAGGATTCCTGAGATTAAGAAGGTTGTCATTTTCGATCATACTATTCGCAGAAGGGAGAAGTCGAGTCCGAGACAGCCTGTGCAGCAAGTCCATGTTGATCAAACCCCCGGCGCAGCTGAAGCTCGTGTGAGACGACACACCGATCCTTCAGAGACGGAAGAGCTTCTCAAGGGAAGATACCAAATCATCAACGTCTGGCGACCCATCGGCCATCCCGCCACAGACTTTCCCCTCGCAGTCGTCGACTGGCGCACAACCAAGCCTGAAGACATGATCAAAGTCGATCTTCTGTACCCCAAGCGCGACGACAACGACGACGATGATCGTGGAAAGGAAGTCCTCCCCGATGCTTCGACACTTCGATCAACGGAGGGCTATCAAATCAAGGGCGAGACATATTCTGTTGCGCCGAATGATGAGCACAAGTTTTACTACGCTAAGGATATGACGCCTGAGGAGGTCATGTTGATCAAGTGCTTTGATTCAAAGAGCGAGGTTCATGAGGGTGGTCAGCATGGGTTGGCGGGATATACGCCTCATACTGCGTTTGTTGATCCTGCTACGCCAGCGGACGCGAAGGGACGACAAAGTATTGAGGTTAGATGCTTGGTGTTTTACTAGAAATGCCCGGAGATGAGATATTTTCGGACTTACATAGCGTTATGAGTTGATAAAGGAGAATTTACTTGCTATTCGTGAGAATCAAAGTTTGTTCAGTTTGTAAACCTTACCAACTTTCCAGCAAGATAGATTAAGTTAACCCTTCAAGTAACCAACAGCCATTTTCATTTCCACTTAATTGGTATTATATGTCTGCCGAAAAATTCGTTCAATTTTCCCTTTCTTCAACTCGGCCTTGTTGGTGAGAGTACCCAAAAGTCTGGTTGTCTGTAACTTCCGCACTGGCTTCTTGTTCTCCAGGTGAGTCACCTCACTGTCCATAAAACACTACCGCCGTTACCGTGGGTCCTGCCACTGCAGTTGCACAACCATTACATGCTATTGTTCATAATGCAGAGGCCTCTACCTCCAGAGATTTCTCCTCTTCCGCCCTCTTTACTCTACAAACTTCGGAGTTCTCCTTCGCCACATTCCCATTTTACCATATCTTCTGGATTATTCCATCATAATTCTTCAAGCGCACTGGTAAGACATCTACTACGCGATCATGGCATAATCTCAATGTAATAGAGCGTAGCCAACATGGCACAACCCACGATGGTCGAAGATCCCAATCCCGGTAACGCACGCAAGCAAAAGGAAGACACGCCAACCATGTCGGCCAGCGAAATGTCTTCACTTTCCTTCCATCCATTCCCGAAACTCCCACCCGAACTCCGACTGAAGATTTGGAAATCGGCCTGTTTCCCTTTCACCCCCAGCGAACACGGCCTACACTACGTCAACTTGGTAAGCCTCACGGACAACGAGCTACCTGAGGACGAGCGTATATATGGGACACCAATGGAGGTGATAGCGCTTCTTCCCGATCTCCAGACCTCGCCCAAACCTCAGGAGTTTGTCGGACGCGCCAACAGATCTGCCTACATGTGGGACGCTGGTCTCTGGAACGCATGCAGAGAGTCGAGGGGAGTTATTGCCGCGCACTTTCGGCTGCACATCTCGCGTAGGCAAAATCCCTCTCTTCCAATCTGTCTCTTTCTTCGAAACAAGGAGCCTGCAGCGCCCTTGATGGTCATGCCCACCCGGGACATATTTTGCATCAAAAACCTCGGCCTACCATCGTTGCCATCCAGTTTGGAGGCTGCTCGCCTTAACCTTCTGGGCCTCTTTGGCCAAAGAACTGTCATCCGGCACTCGTTCAATCTTGCCCTTGAGTTTGACTCCAGTTGGAATGACGAGTTCCCCAGCGACTGGTACGAACTGAAAAGAGAGAATTCACCTCGAGGCTTGTTTACAGTCTGGCTCAAGAGTTGCAGGGAGGGCCGTGGCGATGCGCCTTGTATCTACCTGCTCAACAAGGCCGCTCGTCGGGGGCCGAATTGGGAGGTGAATGGGAATACAGTCTTCCACGATTGCGACGGTGCTTACGTGACAGTTGAAGATGATTACGCTGGCTGGCACTCGGCCTTTCCGGAAGAAACTTCAGCTACGCTACGGTTCCTCTACTGTGTTTGGGAGCTTTGGACCGCGGCCTCTTGCGAGGACTGTACTGCCGAGGCGATATGTGAACTCTGTCACAATTACCCCGATTTCGATCTGACCAAGCATGTCAAAGTTCTCATTCGTCACGAACAGGAAGCTGGTGAGGAGGAACAAGAGGATGAATCGGTTGACGCGAACGACGACAACGAGGATGAAGTTAAGTAAGACGGTGAAGAGGGCAAAGAGATCTAAATCCTAGAATGGGTGAAGCTGGGGAGGCAGCTGGTTGGGACATTAATGACTTCTACAGACTTTATGTAATGATGCTCTCTCCCTGATTTACGAACAATCAAGGATGTCTGACAGGGAGAGTGAGTCAACCACTTGCTAGCGAAGAAAGATTGAGACAAAGCGCCACGGAGAAGGTACAAGGAAGGCGAGCATTGAAGTCTGGATTTATGAATCACGATTTGTACTTCAACCTGAAAGCTGTCAATACCGAAGTTGACTTGATGCCACAGTCCGGTGAAAGACGGTTAATAAAGCTACATTATTATGTCTAAACCACCGGGACATTAGAGTCCCAACCACCCGCCGCTGAAGATGACTCAAGTAAAGAGCATCTGAGATTTTGAGCGGTGGCCGGCCCGGTAAGCGGTAACGCAAGAGTTATTGGCTCTCCATGGACTGCACTGCCAGTGGAATCTTGTCCAATGACCAAACCCTTAAGGTTCATTGAAGTCGCGAACGCTTCTCGCGGTTGACTGGCTCACCCCCATTCAGGCAGACACATCTTGTGTCACTGCCACTGCCACCGCGACATGGAAACAGATCCAACAATCATGTGCTTTTGTTTATAAGGCGAATGACTCCCACCACAGATCCATTCATTCTCTTCATCCTTCGAGCCTCACTCTTCACTTTTCTTCTAAACCCCCCTTCATCTCAAACCTTCATCGCAAATCACGTCAGTTCACAAGATGTCTTCACCTACCTTCCACCCGTTCCCCCGCCTCCCAACCGAGATTCAGCTTCAGATATGGGGAGTAGCCTGTATCTCTTCCACTATCTCCAGAGACGCTTATAATGAACAGCCTTGCTTGCACTACGTCAACGTTGACACATACAAGACCAAAGAGAGAGATCAACTCAACATAAGAGCCATCGACAACCAACGGGCTCCCCTCTTCGACGGCCAGAACCCTATCAACAACCGATCCGCCTACATGTGGGATGGTGGCCTCTGGATGGCTTTCAAACAGTCCCACGAGGTTACCACTAAGCAGTCATATCCCATATGGGCTCGACTTCGCAAAAATGAGTACTATCCTGGACGCCCTGCGATTCTCGCAACTCGAGATGCACGCGATCCACATAAGTACATGGTTTTCCCACGACTAGACATTTTCTGCATCAGAACAGCAGACTGGAAGTCCTTGCCCCATCACGTCGCATGTTGCAAGACTGGCCTCCCATCTTTTGATCCACTGTCCTCCTCTGTTGTTACGGTGGACAGACTCGCTATTGAGTTTGATTCCAGCTGGATCATTGACTTTCCGGAGACCTTGGAAGAACTGAAAGGCGAGAACTCTGCTCGTGGCCTCGTAACAACATGGATTGAAGGTGTTGACATCCGACCGGTCTCACCCGGCCTCTTTCTGATAGATAAGGGTACAATTTTGGTTCAAAAGACTGGCACCTGGCGTCCTGTGTATCATGACTGCGATGGGATGTACACTCAGATGCATTTGCGGCGTTACAATGACGCCATAGATAAGTTCATCGAGGCTTTTTGGAGCCTCCTTTCCACAGAGAAGTATGGAGACCTCTACGCACACGATAACCCCGACAGTCATGACGAAGAGTTACGCCCCACACACCCACGCGAAAATCAATGTTCTCGTTCGCTTCGAGTTCGTAAATCGCAAGGAAGTCAGTTGGACCGCTGTTTGCAATGAGATGCCCGATGAGGACGAAAAGGGTGCTCTGCGGGCCATATCGACCACTGGGAGGGTTTATGACCTGGACTATGATGATGATGTTGGGTATGTCATAGGGCACGTCGTTAGAACTTTTTGGAACATGATGGATTCAGAGGATCCTTGTAGCGAAGACAAGTTGGACCGAGTGGAATACGTCAAGTTCTTGTAGCTGGAGTTAAGGAGTGGAAACCAAAGCATGTAACAAGTACCTAGACAGAGTGCTCGGCAGTCGATAGATCAAGAATGGAAACAAGCTCGCTTTATGAGCTAGTCTATCGAGTTATCCTAACTTCCCATCCCTGTCTCGATGCAATATTTTGAACCGTGATGCATCCCAAAGTAGGATATCTATGACTTTCATCAAGATGCTCTATTACCTCCATATATGCTCTTAAGATGTTTCTACGACAACGAACTAGATTCAAAAGAGTAAAACTAAGTAAGAACCATCCAATCCAAGAGTAAATTGTTTGTGAGGATCAGGTCTGGATCCTTAGGGGCGTCGTCACTCTCTGCGACATGCCCATGTCTGCTCTCATGCATGTTCAAATACTATGTGAGGCGCAGGGCACGATTGACGTGCTGCTGCAAGCCACAAGATATTTCCGAAACTGATGAATAGTATTTTGACACTTGGCCTTGCCGTTTTCTGTTACTGCATATTGATATGTCTATGAGTTCACACATAGATAATCTATCAAATGCTCATGGTTACCCTGTATCGTCGTGGTGGACAACAGCCCCGCATTTTATGGTTCTGCCGTTCCAGACCGTTTTTGCCACTCCAATTGGTCCCTTGCTCATCAATTCCCCCACGTAAATTTCCATCCCCACCAACTCTTCTTATCCATTATCGAACCATCATGGCCAAGACAAAGTCCAAGAAGCGCAAACAAGCGCAAGCTCAAGCTCAATCCGACAACCCTCGAAAGATTGCAAAGACAACCTCCCCTTCGATCCCGACGCCTCCTCCCGATGGCACGACGACGCACTTCGAGCCCAAGAACCTCCATACCGTTGTATCAGAAGAAGAGCTCGAGATTACCATCGACACACTCAATTCGCTTGCCCAATACCCCGGCTTGATCAAGTCAAAGCTGTGCAAGGACCTGAGAGTTGCTGTGTACGACTTCAGACAAGCTTGTACGACTGGTGTGAACAATGCTGCTGGCGCGAACCTCACGGCGCAGGTTACTGCTGCTCTTGCCGATCGGAAATACACTGAAGCTCGAATTCTTCTTTCTGAGATGAAGATTCGTGGCGAACAGCCCAAGCTTGGTGCTCTTTGTCGATGGGTCCGAGATCTTGATGTCATCAGTGGTCTGTCGACGATTCCCGACCAGCAAGGCCTTGTCAAGCGCTCTGAGAGGGAAGAGACACTCATCAAGGTCATTGATGCGGTGCTTCGAGTTTGCGGTCACGAAGACCGAAACCCCAATGCCATCATCCAGCCTTCATCAATTGCCCTCCAGGAGATCTGGGATCTTCGTTCCGATACTCCAACGGAGCAAGTTTACGCCTCGGTCCTCGATGGAAGTCTCGTAGCTTCGGCGCCTAAGTCTCTCAAGAAGAACATTCGTATCATTGAGACAACGCCCGGCCCCGATCGCAAGCCGCCGAACCATCACGACGCCATCCTTTACGCCTCGACACCAGAGGCTGTTCCGCTGTCGACAACGCCGCCGCCGACGACACATCGACCGCATCCTGTCGTGCAGGGTCTCAGCGTGGCCACCAACGTTCTCTATCCCGAAGAGTGCAAGGCTATCATTGCCGCGGGTGAATACGTCAATTTCGTACCCGATGCGCCGCTTCGAGAAGATGGGGACATCAGTATTCTGGCGCACAACTTTTACTGGGTTGTCGACAAGACGTTTCACGACACACTGTGGTCACGTATTCAACCATTCGTGCCGGTGTCAATGAATGGGCGTTTGGCTCGTGGCATCAACCGCCGCTTCCGAGTGTATCGATAGTAGGTTCTCAGAACCCTGATGCCAATCCCACCACTAACGCATAGCAGTGTCCCAGGAGCAGAGTATCGAGCACATATCGACGGCGCTTGGCCCCCGAGCGGCATTACGAAGGACGACAAATACGTATACGACGATTCGCCGGCCGAAAAGAAGCAGAGCTCGCTGTTCACGTTCTTGATCTATCTCAACCAAGACTTCGAGGGCGGCGAAACCACATACTTCCTACCTGCTGCACGAGAAGGAATACTGAATGCATACCCTGTTCGTCCAGTCATGGGCGGTGCAGCTATCTTCCCCCATGGCGAGATCAACGCGACATTGCATGAAGGCACCGGTGTACGGAAGGGAGCCAAATACGTGATCCGAACCGAGATTGAGTACGATGTTGAACCGACGGAAGAGGTCAAGATCTGAATACAAATGGAGCGCAAGGCTCGGGGCACAGACAAATTGGATATATGAACGGCTGGACCGGGGAAAAGTATTGTTACGGTATTTACGTCTAATGAACAACAATGATCAACTACTCTGTCGCTGTGGTCTCCCCCTCGGCTGGCTTGCGCCCCCAAACGATACGTTGCAGGTAGTAAGCATGCGCAGGCTTCTTGGACTTCAACTCCCTCCTCAGCTGCGCACAGTACAGATGAACCTGTTCCTGAGTCCAGCCCTCGAGCAGCGTAGCCATGAAAGAAATGTGTCCCTCCACATCGGATAGAATGCTCATTGTCGTGAACCTTCCAATTTCCTTCAGCCGCTCGTCCTGCGGCCAATCCCCAACAGGAACTTTGATCGTCTTGGATTGGATGTCCACGAAACCAGCGGCCTTTAGACCCTTCTCCTGCAGATTATCTGGAAGAGGAGTGAACACACGACCGAGCTTCTTACCGCCTTCATGGAAGAACTTGCCCCATTCTGCAATGGCGCTGCCAGGTTTAAGACTGTCGTCGTCGCTGCAGCCCATGGGGTCGCCTTCGTGGGACTCGATCCAGCCGCCGGGCTTGGTTACTTGGTATGCGCGCTCGTACAAGGCGTACCAGTCGGGCACACTGCCGTAAAGGAAACGGAGGTGGACGAAGTCGGCAGAGTTGGGAGGGAACGTCCAGTCGAGGGTGAAGTCTTCGATCTCGAACTTGACGTTGGGGGGGACCCAGCTAGATACTGTTAGGCCGTGCGGCCGTAGTTGGAGCTGGAGACTCACGTTGGCTGGATTGGCGAGATGTCTGTACCGATGACTTCCGTCTCAGGGAACTCATCGCCAAAGTCCATGGCCCAAATACCAGTGCCAGTTCCGATATCGAGGACTTTGCTGGGCTCTTTGATGGGAGCGAGGAAGAGCTTGCCGTCCATGATCAACGTGGAAGTATGGTGGATAATATCCAGAGCCTCAGAGGCCTGGTTATCGTTGGACGCCCAGTACTGAGCATCGCCTCGCTCGGCGTGGTATGTACGGCCGTTGATGGTTCGGTACTGGAGAATGCTGGAGTTGATGCTGGCGGTGGAACTAGCAGCGTCGTCGCCTACCGCGGAGTCGGCGTCTGAGTTATCGGTAGCTTCAGTGTTCTAATTGAGTTAATTAAGAAGTCACCCTGTGAGGTAATGCTCATATATCGTACCTCCCAGTGCGTCGGGGCAAGCATCTCCTGTGATGGGGCAATCTCGCCTTGTGCGACTTCTGGTATAGCGCTCATGATGAAGTTTATTGACAAGAACAGAGTGGAAGAAGGGGAACGTCGGCGAAAAAAGGATGCTCTTTCACCCCTCTTTGCTTGGCCCCAGCTTGCATCGCATGGTGCGTGCTACGGTATCACCAGTTGAGATTCAAGGGTTCTGGCGCTAGGTACCGGGGAGAAGCGGATGCGGTCCACTTGGATAAAGGGTTTTTGAGCGGGAATGGGAATTGGCCCGCGGGAGGTTTCATGCAAACGGCTTGGGGAAGATCATGACCTGATTTTGTTGGTCGCTAATGCGTGACGAGCAGAGAATACGGTCCTCGCATTCAGGCGGATCCATCAATTCCTGCCATCTTGCGTCTTACCAAGTAGGCACTACAGCAGTACTGAGACGTCCTCGGTCCTCAGTTTAACTACTTTGAACAATCTTGACATTGAGTTGAGGTTCACATATACGCTAGTCAACAATGCAATCAATAAAAAATCCTTCAATTCTATAACAACAAGCTGATGTCAATTCAGATACAGGCTTAACTCTCTACTCGCTTGAGTGACTAGCACATTCATTCCATCGCCCAAGTAGCCCATGCACTTGCGTAAACTCTTCTCTCAAGTAATCAGAGCAATCCGAAAGAATGTCTGCTCACTCACTGAAGTAACTCCATAATTGACATGGCCGGCATGAATCTAGCTAACTCCTCAGGGATATTGTTTTGGAACAATGTGACCATAACGGTCCATCCAGGCATTGCCTCCAACGAATTTCCATGCGACGATAATTCCAAACTCAGGAGGAATAATCTTTTCCAAGTCGATGTTGAATTTAGTGAGAGAAGGGTGAATTACAGGTACCTCCTTTTTGAAGGCGTCTCCTACAAACTCATAATCAGATCGCAGCTGCTGGCGAGTGATTGTTATGACCTCAATGACATGAACTGGACGGCGAGACGGGGTTTTCTCTGCTGAGGGATTCACTGGTTGAACAAACCACCGATCCTCTGCAGGGGACAGGGCAAGCAAACTCATTCCTTGTGGAAATGGCGACTCTAAATCGCAATAGTCGTCATACTCCTGCACAGCTACCGATGCCACATCGTCTGTGACTGGTAGTCGGAGGTATCTCACATGTGAATCGACTTGATGTTGGATCCAAAGCTCACACCTCGCCCAGCGAGATCCATCAAAGATATCCTGGATTTCCTGCTCCACGGGAATAGTGGCCTCTCCAGAAACCCTTTCAGGCGCATTGCTAGTGATAGATTCTTCATGTGGAAGTCTAAGGGTAAGAGATTACTCGCTGACACCTTGCTCTTCCTCGACAGGCTGAAGGATGGTCATAGCGTGGTCGTGAGCACGGTGCTTCAGCTCATCAAATATAAGGTCCTTGAAATTCTTTGCAAGCTTGATAAACAAGTCATGAGCATCGTATGGAAGAAAGGACCATTCAGCAAGAGGAATGTCATTTCTGAGAGCCCTTAGCATGCCCCTACGCCTTTCCGTTGTAATCTTATGCTTGTGGTCCGTGGTTGATACGGGGCAATGTATCATTATTTAAAGTCATGGGGCCCCTGAGTTGGCCTCGGTGCCGTTCTGCATTTGATTTTATTATCTTTGTTGTCTTTAAGCATCGGCTCCATTGAAAAGCCGCTTACAACAACGACTGTGACTATCGCAGCAGCTAGACAATGGAACAATTAGTTGATTCTATTTTATGTCATGAACAATAGATAAACAGCGCTTTCCGTCTTGAAGTACATGATGTAAATATAAATAATTCTAGAACATAGATCCAACAGCGATCCTTCGGCAGAACATAGGAAAAGTATGACAGTAAGACTCCTTGGAGGACATTTGACCTCAGCTCTCCTATTCATGCCTTCGCGCATGTGACATGAATGAACGTTCGTCTACATTTGTATGAACCCCCAGCACGTGTGTATCCTATCCAGAGCGTGACTGAACAGTCTCTGATTATATGGTCTCACAACAGATGACTCTTTTATTCTCATTGCTTTGATATATCGATGTGGTTTCAAGAGATTCTTGGAGCCAGCCCAAAGCATGGCTGGGAAATGAAGTCCTCGCCAGTACTCTGTCCAAGACGACTACTTGAAGGATTATATCCTGCGCGATAGCAATATCTCAATGTTGCCGGCTCAAGATTGACCTAGAAGTTAGTCCTCCTTCCAGCGATCTATCTCTATTCGCGTGCTCTCTTGAAGCACACCAAATGCCCAATGCCGACGGGAGTATTCATGAGATGGCGACTGCTAGCAAACCATATATATCTCCTCCTTTGTAAGCAGGAACGATGCCCGGTAGTGATGTCCATCTCCAACGGTTGTGACCAAGGCTCGATGTACCCCAACCTGGGCTGCACTGAAGCTGCAGACTCACGACAGACCATGTTAAAGGACTATCTGTGGTTTGAAATGGCCTGCATAACAACTTGGTCGAGCTTCCCCTCGTTCCAGGTCCTGTCACAGATTATGTAGAGACAAAACTCGAGGCTTCATGTAACTTCAACAACAAAGATCTCCCATGCGCCAGTGCACAATAGCTTGCAGTTGAGTCAAGTTGTTAAAGTAGAATTTATATTGTACAGTTTATCAATGTACAAGTTTTAAACAAAGATGAGCAAAGGGATTCGAACTTACAGACCTTAAAAAATTGATGGAGCGAAACCGTCATTCTGCCCCACCACTCATCCCTCTTCACCAACATCAACCCAGACCGAGAATGGATCTCATTTTTTTTTCCTGAGATGTGGCTAGAGATGATGCTTACATATCGAATTCATCCAGAAATGAATTACTGTTATTGATTCTAATTCGCTCTGCGTTGGAGTTTGGTTCATCGACATCTTGTACCAGTCGTGCGTGCTATAAAGTTGCTCTTTTGACTGGGCACCGTTCATGCTTCGAGTTGTCGACCAGCTCTATAGGGATGAACTAGATTGACAGCTATTATTAATCCTTTGACACAGGACCAAAGCCCTTCATTTGGGACTGATCAAATAGGTAACATGTTCGACTCAACTCACATCGGTTCAAGAACCTGTAGGCCTGGTGGGTGTCTCTTCTACGACTGGTCGAAATGTCCTTTCATGTCAATGTGCTGTTGGTAAAAATGCGCCCTGAAGTGAATACGCTGCTGCTTGTTTGAGAAACTTATTCTGTCTTTCTGCTTGGTATTGATGGGCTCCATTAGTCTATGACAGTAACAAAGTGCTCGCCTAAATGCTTCTATATGAGGTTGTTGTGCATATCTAGGCGTTGTCTAGAGTTTCTCGGACGGCTCCAACAGCCTCCGCCTTCTATACTCTGAGCATACCAAGGGTTCCAAGGTGAAATGGTACAAATGTGGCCCCTAAACGTTCAAATAAAGTTGTGTCGCTAACAAAACCGTCGAAACACTAATCTTTCTGTTGATGAGTGAGCTGGGGACACAAGAAGAGTTCATTATTGGCTTACTGTTGTCATTGGGCAAAATGCCGCTCAGACCAATCAATCTGCTCTGAATGCATGTCCACGTAACCCAATAGTGAGAGCTGTCGAAGCTGTCGCTGCCCCGTATTGCGAGCCAACCAGTGCTTGGACAGCACGGCCGCCAAAGGTCTCAAAAGGCTCAAATGCCACCTTGCCCACCTCGATGTTGGGGAACACAACATCGGCCATGGGCCGCGTAGGAGTCTTCAAACACTCCAGGAGTTGGGACGGAAAGTTGGCTTTGTAGACGTAGGCATTGTGCTGGTCGTCTCTGTGTGTTACTAATAGGCGGACCTGGAAGATATTGTGTTATTAGGAGCATTCATCAATGCAAGAGGAGTGGTCAACTTACCAGGAACAGACGCGGCTGCTGTCTGTCGTCCGAACGCCACTGTATCTGAGCCAGGCTCAGGAGCACACACACGAGATAGGGATCGCGAGTCCAATCCTGGGGTGTAACGCTCCCCAGTCTTCGGTCATAGAGCCGCTGAACCGGGAGGTTCCAGATCCCCGGAGGACCTGCTCGGGGTGTGAATCTCAATCGACGCTCTTGGTCGACGTTGTAGTGATGATACCCGATCACAGGTTCCGGGTGCGGAACCTGAATATGTCCCGCAATGCGGAAGACGGTGCAAACTGGTACATGGACCAGGCGTTCGGCGTAGAAAAACGCAGCGGATACACTATCAAAAGTCAATCAGGGCCGCGCCGTCAAAGCGTATGTGACATACCGGACAACCTCTAAAAGGCCGGTTCCACAAAAGAGTGAACTAACGTAATGAAGTTTCATCTTTTGGACTGGGGAAGTCGCAAGACGTGTCGCATAGTACGTCTCACGATTTGTCGCATGGGCTTCAACATTCTCCGCGTCGTTTCCGCCATGGGTCTCCTCGAACCGGCAACCCGTAAGGGTGAGGTGGTCTGAGGTCCAAAGCACGGGGTGCACTTGGAAGTTGGCGTTTCCAACACTCAAAGCGTGGAGAGACTTGATTGTCGATGGCATATTGGCCTCCATGTTGAGTGGTGACTCTTGTGTTGATATGAAGATAGATGTTGATGACTGGGTACAGGGGTAAGATGAGTTGAACGAAAATCAAAGTGTAGGGGAGAGGATTAGAGAAGATAACAAAAGATGAGAGAAGGTGGGATCAGTTGAGGTAGCAAGAAATCGGTCAGCGGGAACTTGGGCTCGCACAGAATGGTACTGGCAGTGCCGCAGCGGAACAAGAGACCAGCTGCCACTGCACCAAGACCAGAAGGGCTCTACGTGAGGAGGGAATTGCTTCAAGACCGAGCGTCTGCCTATTGTCCTTGAAGATTTTCCCAGGAGCTTGGTGATTGGCACAGTCAAGAAGGCATTCTGAGTAACTCACGGGGTGTTGGTGATGAGGAGATATTGAACAGCCCAACTTACGCAGTCAAAGATTTAGCTCAGGAGTTCCCATCGTCCACGGGTGTTCACCTGTCATGAATAATACTTGATCCATCGAGAATACCTTACTCACAAGAACCATAGGATTTGAAAACAGAATGTCTGTTTATCCTCACGAACAATAAGAACAGTACCGACTTGTTCCTCCTTTGAGGAGGTGCAGCGTGTAGCTAGCTATATTCATCCTACTCTTCTTCTTCCTCTTTTAACAGTCAATTCTTTCTGACTAACAACAATAAGATCTCCTATTAATTTTCCAGTAGTTATAAAAACGATAAGGATGAGAAATTACTTGAGTGCCATTAAACTTTCATGCCTTATGGGAAGGGCTGACAAGCCAGTAAAAACAAGTTCTGTAAACAAAAACTGATTTTTAGAATTTTACGTCCTGGAACTTTTATTTTTAGACATTCTGAGTCAGGCCGTGAAAACCTACCATCACCGTAAACTTCCAACCAGGCCTTTACAAGCTGCAACTTATTCTGGCACACAATTTTATCACCTGCAGCCCACTCCATCTCCACTCCTCCGTTTGTTTTCTGCAACAGCACGTAACACTCCACGACGATGTCTACCTTAAACAAGATGGAACAGACTATGAGACGCAGAGCACTAAATGATATTGAAAAACAATCGTCTATGAAGAGGTAAGCTTAACGGAACCTGCGACCCAAACCCAAGCTGACAGACTCTTAGTATCGCAACATCCAAGTTCTTCGCCTTCGTCGTCGGCCCCGAAGAAACCGAGTTCACCATCCATTCCACCCTCGTCGCAAAGCAATCACCCGTCATGAGCATCCTCGTCAACGGCCGCTTTAAGGAAGCGTCGGAACAACGTGTCAAATGGACCGACCTCGACGAAGCCATCTTCCTCAGCTTTTGGGAGTTTGCGTACACCGGGGACTACGAGAACCCTAGTCCAGAGGAAGAGGAAGAGGAGAAGACAGATTCATCCGATGATGAGCTGGCCCACTGGAGCAAATCTTGGGCGCTCTACGTTCGCCTTTTCCCAAGAAGCGCCGGACCTACCAAGGTCAATCCAACGAGAGATCGTGTACTCTGGGAAGACTTTGTCGAGGAATACGCCCCCATGCCTCGACCATTCGACGTAGGAAACATCGGCTCAGATACACTGCTGCATCACGCTCGAGTGTGCGCCTTCGCGGATCGCTACTGCATGGACGGGTTGATGGAAATATCGATGGGCAAGCTATTCCTCGCGCTCGAAGCAACTATACCTTGGGGAGATAAATGGAATACCATCATGGATCTCCTCGTCTTTTGTTCTGGCAGGTTTGTTCCCGAGAGGCTGCGTCGGATTGTAGCGGATTACGTTATCTGTCAAGGCGACCTCTTCCGGGATGAGGAGGCGTTTCAGAACTTTTTGCAGGATCCTGGTTGTTCGATGAGGGAACTCTTGCAGGAGCTCCGAATGGAAGATGAGGGAGATGGGTGATTGTCCTGTGGTGTCGCATGTCATCTACGGTTGGAGATGGGAGGCCGACTATCCTCGACCTGGAGATTGTGGCTCGGTTGAAGCGCCTTGTTCGTGGGTGGTTGGGAGGCCAACCAACATTGGTGGCGTGGTGACTGAACAGAAGGTCTTCGGGAATTTGACGTCTTGGGGAGAATCTTTGGATTCTTTGACCTAATACTGGACTTTGAGGCTTGCATGTTGCCCAACCACTTGTTGTTCACTTGCATAGGAAGGACGGAGGGAGCGTAAAAACCGCCTTTGTGCGCGCCAACTTGGCGGTTCCTTTTGTATGTTACCAAAAATTCACAGCAGAATCTTTGTCTCACTGCGAATATGATTCCTCTAGAAGACAGACTACGTATGCAAAAGTGTGTTCGCCCCAGTTCGACTCACAACCCGGACTCGCTGACCTTCATAAACCAGGGCATATGAGAGTGGCGAGTTCACCGACTTTGCCTTCACTTGTAAAGGGTAAACAATTCATGTTCACAAGATCATCGTCTGTGGCCAGTCCACTGTCTTTCAGAGAGTATGCACTGGGAAGTTCAAGGTCCTGCTTCTCGCTAAGCACAATTTCATGCCCGCTAATAAGGCCTAGGAAGCTTCCTCCTGGACATATGATATGAACGACCATCCTCTTGATGCCGTAAACCGCATGGCCGAATATCTCTATACTGGAACCTTTACAGTTCCAGATGGCGGAGATATGTTCACTCATGTAACAAGGTTCACAATGGCAGACAAGTACGGGATCGGTGGACTGGTGGAACTCGCAAGCAAGATGTTCCTCGAGTCGTTGCACAAAGACTGCAACTATCACGACTTTGCCAGTTCAATTCCAGTTATCTACAAGCTTCCCAAAGAAACATCTAAAAACCTTCGAGCCGGGGCTTTGATCTTCGCAAGAACAAAAATGGGGACGGCGCTGACTGTAACTGAGCTGCAAACAGTCATTGCGTAGTTCTTGTACGACTGCCCAAAGTTTGCGAGAGACCTTCTGAGTCTCTTGCTACTAATTCCACTAATGGGTACTTATTATAACTCGGATTGTGAATCGAGAAGCGTGGTTCCCATTCAGGTTCTACAGTGTCGATGTCAGAAATGTGGCAAGGGGGGTGCTAACGCTGGACTGAATCTTCATGCTTGGAGTAAGATATTGGGATACGAGCTCGACATGAATGAGAAAGATATTCGATTGGGGAAGGATCTGGGTTACAACAAATGGTATATATGAGTTGATATCAGTCCAGAACCTCTGTGAACATAGTTATTGCAAGGAATCCAAATTCTACCACAGACAAAGTGTTCTTGCCTGATGCTTGTGATAACCACTTTTCATCACAGCGGGAGCTCATGCTGTCAACAGTGAGTTAGTGATTGGAAGATTGAGAGATTCTTCACTAACTCTGTTCAAGGTTTGACCAAAGGCTTTCTCAATTTACACTTTCGGACTTTATCGTTAGGGTTTGATGGGAACAGTTTACTTTGATTGAAGATCCAATGAAACGTGGTTGAACTGTTGCACATGGTTAATCTTCTCACTAAATAGAGTACAGTTTTAGAAAGTCTCTCAAGAAAGAACTTTATTCATCTTTCTTATATATACCTTTCACACTTCTTCATCCTGAACCAGGAAGACTCAACCAGTCTCATTCTGTAATTCACTCTCGATCATCGCCATGAATAGTCAGGAAAGGAAGCGCATGCAGAAGTAAGTTGCTTTCGCTTCACATCTAAGCTCAACTAACAGCCCCCAGGGCTCGAAAAGCTGGTCAGTTCACTGACTTTGCTTTTCTCTGCAAAGGCACAACTATTCCTGTTCACAAAATCATAATCTGTGCACAATCTTCTGTTTTCAATGCTGCTTGCACTGGTGGCTTCAAGGTAAGGACAAGGTAGACTCTCTTGACATTATACTGATCGTTCTGTAGGAAGCCAAGTCTGGAGTCTATGACTTGAGCGAGTACTCCCTTGAACTAGTCGAGATGATGGCCGATTACTTCTACCTCGGGCATTACGACAATCCGACTGCAACTGGATCCAGAATATCCCTTTCGATGCATTCTTCGATGCTGGCCTTGGCAGACAAGTATGACATCGAAGGGCTTTAAAAGCGGGCCAGTGATTTGTACATTCACGGGCTGAAACACAAAGATGTTGAACTGGAAGACTTTCTCAAGTCGCTTCCGGTCCTGTACCAACTGCCCATATTAGTTTCCGTGGATGCCATCGATGAGGCTATCGCTCACACAAGGGAAAACCTTCTGACATGCACATGCAGGGAAGTTACCAAGGTTTTGATCGACCAACTCTCTGACGCTTGTCAGGACTTCCTGAAGGACGTGATGATGTCTGTCATGAGCACCCCTTTGAAGGCGAAATGTGAGGATTGTAAAGAACGAGCTCGCTCATTACAGGCATTTCAAGGAATACAAGGTCTGATCCCCAACCGTGGGTCTTACTACCTGTGAGCTCAATAGTTATCGAACGTACTTGTTGGACTTTCTAGGGGTTGGGCTTTGTTATGGATCACTGTTACAAGAGTGAGTTGATGCTAGAACTGTCGGTGTGCATTGAGTCTAGAGAAACTATACAAAACTAGTTTGCATTAGAATTCCTTTTTCTGTAACTTTAGTGTATTATCCTTGATTTCAGCCAAGCTTCACAGAATTCTCAAGATGACATATACAAAAGTTGACCTCGAATTCTCAACGCTTATGAATGTCATGTATAGAGATAAACATGGCCTTGATATCGTTCTACATAGAGACGGAGATAGTTACACCAGACACTTGACTGTTGGAAGCAGTCGTAGGATATCCTCCGGGTTTGTATGGCGTGGGAAAGAACATCACTCCTGGATGAAGATATTCAAATGATAAACAAATCTTAAACGATCTCTTTCTTTGTTGGACTCCTGTTTCTAAAGGCTATATAGGCTTTAAGCCGCAGATCTCAGCTCTTAATAAAGCATCGGGCTGTTGTTTCACCTAGGCCAATGATTGCTTGTGAAAGGGGCTCGGGAAACTGCGCCAACTTGAAACGCTAGCGCACGGGGCCTAAAGTTTGTAGACTCTCCTTGTCCTACGAAAGCTTGAGATCATACTTGGCGTAATAAATCAAACTTTGTGAGAATATTGGTACTGATTCAAGCAATGGACGAGTCACATGCCTCCAATTTTTAAAAACCTTTAGTGATTGAAAGCTTGTTTGACCGAAATTTTCATGTAGACTGGAAGTTAGAGTGATCTTACATGGTTAACGTGATATGTATCGCGAGATAGGTCCAGAAAGCACCAGAAACTCATTCGAAATGGGCGGACATCGAAGTGGGAGTGTTCGAGAGAACCTCTGGCGGTATGAATCTCCCTTGACTCCCATCTACCAGAATGACCTACTAATTCTTATCTACAGAACCAGACAAAACCACGAGTTCACTGACTTTACCTTCATCTGCAAAGCCGCCCGATTCCCGGTCCACAAAGTCATCGTCTACAGTCAATCAAACGTCTTCCATATGGCATGCACCAGGCCTTTCAAGGTAAGTCTCCCAGTCGACACTGACGACCGTAGCTAACACTATGCAGGAATCGTCGACAAACGAGTATGATCTATCAGATTGTTCTGTGGACAATGTACAATGGTTGATCGACTTCCTTTACATGGGAACTTACCAGACGGAATACTCCAAGAACCCAACACTCACCGACCACATCGCCATGTTCGCGCTGGGTGACATGTACGACATCGAGCCACTTGCTCTTTATGCGGCAGAGCAGTTTCGTATCGTCATTGCTGCGATAGACACCTTCGAAGAAATTCTCCCTTTGATCCCTCAGGTCTATGGCTCAACGCCGGAGCACCGAAAAGAACTGCGGGAACAGATCGTGAAGTTCACAAGGTGCCCAATCCGTGGGGAAAAGGGTGCAATGGAGTCGAGAGAATGGTACGATGACGTGGCTCAACAGTGCCCCGACTTCATCAAGGACCTTGTCTTCAGCTATTTTGATTGGCCTGATCCTCAAGAGGTAGAGTGGTAGTGGTATGCATGTAGTTTTGATAGTTGTTATACTTGGAGTGTCTTTTCATGGCCGAGTAGGGTTGTTGGAAGCAGAAGTAAAGGAAGTAAAAAGATGCTGGTTACTCATTTGTAGATTGGTATATAGGAAACAGAGTTAATATACAGAAAAATAAACTCATTGTATGCATATAACAAGTGATAGCCAAAAAGAAATCTTGTAGGACCGAGCGTGGATCGAACACGCGACCTAGGGATCTGCAATCCCTCGCTCGTACCACTGAGCTATCGATCCTTGATGATGAGCTGCGAAGGCTCGTTGGATGAGGGTAGCGAGAGAAAATGACAGATTATGTGAGGGTCGTGATGAATATTCCGCGAGACCAGGTCTTGATTCCCTGAGCATGGAAATTGTTGGGGTAATTTAGGTTATTTGTGAACTCTCTCTCTGGTTCCTTGCCGTTGCAAAACACGGGTCATTTCTGATCCGTCTTATCAGAACGCGCGATAGGCCGCGCAGGCTTCAATTGATCGATACGTGGAAAACTTCAGAAATGTGCTGTGAGCTTCCCTATCAAGACTAGAGCTGGTCATCAACGGATTGAGATGCCGTGGAAGCGGGGTAAAAGATAAGTTGAGACAGGGCCTTTTGCAAGACCTTTTGCGACTTACCCTTGTGAGCTCGTTGTCGTCATTTCCGCAAGGATTACATAACCATTCCCGGCGAGAGTTTCACCGTCTGGCAATTTATAACCTTCTTCAACATCCCCATCCAATTTGCTCACCAAGAAGGATTGCAGCCATGGGCCTTTTAAAAACAGCACTGCTCCTAGCAGGAGCTTCGCTGGGGGCTTTTGCCTCCCAGATTCCCCTCAAGGACACAGAATCTCCGCAAGCCTCAACCTTTCAAATTCACCAAAGCTCATTATTCCCAGAGCATACAATCCGCATTAGAGAGCAGGTTGACGACTCCATATGTGACGCCCGTGTGAAGCAGTACACAGGCTGGCTCGATATCGGCAATCAGCACCTTTTCTTCTGGTACTTTGAGAGCAAGAATGCACCAAAGACTGATCCTCTCGTACTTTGGTTGACGGGAGGTCCTGGCGGTTCATCAATGCTGGGTTTGCTTCAAGAGCTTGGACCTTGTTTGATCAATGAGCACGGTAATGGAACGGTCCATAACCCTTATGGATGGAATGAGAATGCGAACTACATCTTTGTAGACCAGCCCGCTGGTGTTGGTTTCTCTTACTTGGATGATGGAGAGCCAATTCCGTCAAACTCGTTCGTCGCGGCCGAGAGTTTGCATAAGTTCCTGCAGCTTTTTGTGAGCCAAGTCTTTCCAGATCTTGCTGACAGACCCTTCCATATCTCCGGGGAGAGTTACGGAGTAAGTAAGCTAGCTCGCTCTGCTGAAAGGATATGACTGACTCTTTAGGGCCACTACATCCCCGTCCTGGGAGCGACAATTGTTGCACAGAACAGTCTCTACCCCAAACGTCCCCAAGTTAATCTTGAGTCAGTCTTGATCGGCAACGGCTATGTCTCACCCTTGGACACCCATTTCGGATACTGGGAAACGCTTTGCACCACAAATCCCGGTGTTGAGAAGCCCATCTTCAACAGCACACGCTGTGATATTATGGCTGCGAATCTTCCACGATGCCTCGATCTTGCTCGCGTATGCTACGAGCATCCCGACCATGCTATCTGCGGCGCTGCTGGGAAGGTCTGCTGGGATGGAGTCATCAGTTGGTACGACGATGAATCTGGAGCTGGCGGCAATAGGAATAGATTCGACATCACCGCGCCCTGTGAATCTCATGATGATATGTGCTATAAGGAAGCAGCACTGATAGAGAAGTATCTCAACTCCCCGAAAGTATTCGATGCCTTGGGTGTACCCAGTGCAGTGACGAACTACTCCATTGCCTCAGAGGACGTCGCAGTGGCATTCACTTTTGGTGTTGATCAAGAAATCAGCACTCAGTCGCAGATTCTGTACTTACTCAGCCATGATATCGATGTGTTGATGTACCAAGGAAACCTGGATCTTGCATGCAATACGGCCGGCAACTTGAGATGGAGCAACAGTATGCCCTGGAAGGGACAGCCGGAGTATGTTGCGCAAAGACCAAAGTCGTGGGGAGCTGGGGGCGAAGAGATTGGATGGTATAAGGAGGTCAAGATCAAGATGGGCGATACCGATAAAAAGACGACATTCTCATTCGCTACCGTCGATGGAGCTGGCCATATGGTAAGGTCTTTAACACGGAAGGTACCCTCATGCTAACAAGTCCTCACAGGTTCCCCAGGGCAAGCCGAAGGAGGCTCTGGAATTAGTGAACAGGTGGTTGAAGAAGCGAACATTCAGCAAATAAGCAAAACTGACTGAGATGGGGAGCGTCGCAAGAATGGAAAATCTGATACTGAGTAAATAGCCTAGTCAGGTACTTGGGTTAGCATGATCTTTGCGGGGTGCAGAGTGAAGGGAATTATTCCCGTCATTTGTTACTGATTCCTCAAAAGACGCTGAACGAAGTACTTGTGCAGCATGAGCACTTCCATGCAATCATCGTGCAAATGCTTGTTATACTGTGTTCACTATTAATCTTTGACCAGCCTCGAGTTTATCTCGTGGCTTGTAGTTACTTCTCACTTAGTTAATGTTTTCTAGGAGGAGGAAACTTTCGAAGGTCTCGTCGACCAAAGTTTCAAACGATACACCTTGACACGCAACTCTTCCTAGTTCCTACGGGGTCTTTTATATGCTAGGGAAGCGTGATACTAAGTGCAAGCTGACATGATGCAAAAACTCGCCGTAGGAAGTTCTTTGGATACGAAAAGAAGGATTATGCTTACAGTAAGACGGTGGAAACCGAGCTGACAGCGCATTGGAGAAACATTTGGCCTACTGAATTCTCATAGAGATTTCTGGCAGAGCGACTCAGCTGTTTTTGCACAAGCCCTCAATCAGCTGCCTCAGAGAGAAGGCTCTGCATCCATCAAGAGACGATTGCATTATAACAGCGCCTCATCAACTTTCGTAGCATCATCGAGGTTCAGCTCCAGAAACCTGACTAATCTAGGTGACGCAATTATCCCGCGTTTCAAGCCACCTGCAGAAGTAGTAGTAAGCAATGCTACATTACATCGGGCTTGAGTTGGGGGCATGTGACGCTGAGACTCAGAGCTGTGTGGACCCAAGATCTGTCAATCCTGCATACGGATGGTGACATTTCTGCTGATCCTCTATGGAGGGGAAGAGATACTGACAGCTGAGGAAAGATTCCCTTTTGACTGTCAAGTTACTAAAGAGCGGGATAAAGTGTATAACGCACCCATCGCTAACAAGCTCAAGACCTGCCGCGGCATCTAGACAAACCCAATCAAGATCTAATCAGACGGTTGCTCGAAAGTGTAAAAATAGACTTATTCCAAGGTTAGTTCCAGATCATGTCCTCGACATCATCAGGTGCGCGACGCAATATCTCGTATCAATAGCACCACCTCTGCATGTCTTGATTCTCTACACCCTCATTTACCCCGATGTTGGTTGTCAACCGCCTCCACCATTCTCGAGTCCCGAGGCCTCTTGTGTTTCCCAAGACTATTCAGACGGAGCATTATCGTTTTCTGGTTACTCATGTCAGACTTAAGCTGGGCTGTGCAGTTGGTTATTTTTAAGCTTACCCAAAGAAAATGGGCCGAGGCCATCGGTTCTAGAGGCGGGTTGGGCTTATTCTTGGCTTGGCTGGAGCATCCGTCAACTAAACGGCTGGGCTTAGTGACATTTGAGAGCCTGCCGCAAAGCTGAACTTTTGGCTTGAAATTTGCACTTTGGAGCCAACATATTATGCAAATATGGATGCAAACATAGACACTTTCACAATCTGATCAGCAAAAGATACGAGAAGGATCGAGTCCTTCATCCTCTTATTACTCAAGCCAAGATTAGATTGACAACGCAGACCTCGTGAGAAAGGCGGTGGCACAGCTGACCTCGTCTCTAGCTCTTCAGCCCCAGAGCCTGGTTTCTCGAGTATGACAGTTACAACTTGCGGGATAAACTTGCCTTGGGGGCTGACCCCCTCCACCCACGATCAAGGCCTCAGCCCTGACAGTTCGGGGATAGCTTCAAATGCGCAGCAGCTAGCGCTGATCTTAGCCTTGCCTGATCAGGCGCAGCAGCTCCCAAGTTCTCGTGGAAGCTTGGGGCACCCGAAAATAGTAACTTTTTGCTAATTGACGTAGGGCATGACATGAACCCATGCTGTCTGTCAAGCTCCAGCTCAGCCTTACCAAAGGCTAATTTTGAGTGTTGGAGTGAAGTATCCCGCTGTGGCGCCAGCCACCACCATCTTTTAGAGGTGAGCCCACGATCTGGGCGATGCTGCTGAAGCTTGAATCCAGTGGCATACTATTGTGTATATAAACAACGTTTGATTCCCTCCATTCGATTAAATTTTATCATTCTCATTCTCATCATCTCTTCTACAACAATCACAACTACCTTCGCTACAAAACCGTCGCTTCCACTTTTACTACAGCTTCAATCGCTTCAACACAACTTTCTCAACCCTTCTTTCCCATATACTCTTTCATCTCTCAATATGCGCTACTCATACACTCTTCTCGCCTTTGCCGCTACGGCTCTGGCCCTTCCCACTGCAAAGCCCGCCGATGACGGTTCATGGGCTCCTGGTATGTTTGACTGATCCTATCATCCAGCGTCATACTAACAGCATCAGGAAAATACGAGGGTGGTGATACTGGCAAGGACGACGGCAAGTGGGCTCCTGGTAAGATCTGAAAATCTCTGCAGCAATTTACAATACTGATCAATACCAGGCAAGTATGAGGGCCCCGGTACCGGCTTTGACGATGGCCAATACCACCCTGGCAAGGACGGCAAGAAGGCCAAGCGCTACGATGACGGTAGCTGGCACGAGGGCAAATATGAGGGCAAGCCTCAGACCAAGTACGACGATGGCAAATGGTATCCCGGCAAATACCCCGGCGGCAAGGAGAAGCGCAACGACGACGGATCATGGCACCCTGGAAAGTACGAGGGCAAGCCTCAGACAAAATATGATGACGGCAAATGGTACCCCGGAAAATATCCTGGTGGAAAGGCCAAGCGCAACGATGATGGTAGCTGGCACCCCGGCAAATACGAGGGAAAGCCGGGAACCAAGTATGACGATGGAAAGTGGTATCCCGGAAAGTACCCCGGTGGAAAGGAGAAGCGTGAGGATGATGGAAGCTGGCACGAGGGCAAATACGAGGGCGGCGACACTGGCCGTGACGATGGCAAGTGGGAAGCTGGTAAGTCACAACATCTCCAAGCTATCAAGACTTCAAGACTAACATATCAAAGGCAAATATGAGGGCGGAGACACTGGCTTCGATGACGGTCAATACCACCCCGACCAGAAGGCCAAGCGCAATGACGATGGCAGCTGGCACGAGGGCAAGTATGAGGGCGGCAAGACTGGCTACGATGATGGAAAATGGTACCCTGGAAAGTACCCCGGCAAGGAGTAAAAGTGTTATTAAACACCTAGATGGGTTTTGGAGTTTGGGATTGGGTTACTGGTTTTGGCATTTGCATATTCTTGGCATCAAACATTCCTTCTTCTTCTTCTGATAGGCTTCAAATTGCCTATACTACATATTATTTACATAGGACACTCCTTTTAATTATTTATACTATTTCGACTTCAACAAACAGTCAATATCCGTTCGCCTGCAAGCCATGAAAGCCTTGACCTCGGAGCGCAAAACTTCTGACAGTGAGACAAGGCATCGAAATTGACTGGTCTAATATCTACTAAATCGACCCTAAATTTACACAAGTCTTTTTCTTATTTAATTCAGTTCTTAAAGTTGCTGTACAAGCTACAGCAACCCTGCAGGAAGAGTCTTATTGGTGGAGGATGTGCATGACAGGGATCCGTTGATCCTTCTTCGAACTCCGAGCCCCTCATTCATTCTGCTTACCAACTCTCGCCCGACAACAATGGCAGAACTTGTCATTTTGGAACGAACTATATCGCAGCAGATTCGCCAGGAAGACAATGCCGAACCTGCTTACCAAGAACACGACAGCATTGCTGACAGCGATAATGTTGCGGAGCCAAGTGAACAAGCTGCCGCTGAATACCCAGCGGGCATCAAATTCTGGCTGACCATACTCTCCGTGGTCTCCATCCTCATCCTTGCCAGTATAGACATGAACATAGTCGCCACAGCAGTCCCAGCTATCACCGATCACTTTCACACGGTCGCCCACGTGGGCTGGTACTCATCCGCCTTCAGACTCTGCGTCTGCGCATTCCAGTTCATCTTCGGGAAAGCATACAAACTCTTCTCTGTCAAACGCGTCTTTCTCACTTCCAATGTTATCTCCATAGCTGGATCTGTACTCTCGGGCGCTGCTGTTTCGTCGACGATGCTTGTTGTCGGTAGAGCTGTCGCTGGCCTGGGATCTGCAGGACTGTTCGCTGGCTCGTTCATCATTGTTGTTCAGTCTACTCCTCTTCATCGACGACCTGTATTTCTGGGAATCTTGGGCGCTGCTGAAGGCTTGGCTACCATTGCTGCACCGTTGCTTGGCGGTGCGCTTCAGACTCTCAGCTGGCGATGGTGTTTTTACATCAGCGTGCCTTCTGGTGCAGTTACTCTACTTCTTACCATGTTTTGTCTATCGGATGACCAGAAACCTAGCGCTGTTGCTGAAATGACGTTTATGCACAAGGTTGCTCAGCTCGACCTTGTTAGTAACATGCTTCTTCTCCCAGCGCTCACAAGCCTCTTTCTCGCTCTCTCATTGGCTGGCACTATATACCCATGGAGTAGCGGCCAGGTGGTCGGACCTCTCGTCATATTCGCTGTTCTTCTTGGTTTGTTCGTCTGGAACCAGATCCGCCGAGGCGATGCTGCTGCACTTCCGCCTCGCATCATGAAGCATCGCTGCATAATCGCGGGTTTCATCTTCATATTCTGCGTCAACAGCACAGGAGTTGTACTAGAATACTACCTACCTACATACTATCAACTCGTCCGTGGATACACGCCCGTCAAGAGCGGCTACATGATGTTGCCTATCATCATCGCGGCAACAGTCGGTTCACTCATCCAGGGAGCTGGAACTAGTGCATGCGGTTACTACACGCCTTTCATGCTCTTCGCATCCATCATCATGCCAATTTCTGCAGGGCTCATTACTACGTTCAAAATTGATACCAGTTTTGAAAAGCTCATTGCCTACACGGCACTTTTAGGTTTGGCCTACGGCATTGGGTTCATTGGCCCTCAAACAGCTGTGCAGACAGTTCTCCCAGCTGAAGACGTCCCGCTTGGCTTATCCATCATGTTGTTTGCTCAATCATTTGGTCCAGCTCTGTCTGTTCCCATTGCGCAGGTGCTCTTCATGAACAGGCTTTCTGATAACCTTGATGGCATTGTGCCGGGGCTGAATGGGACGCACATCAGCAACAGCGGTCTTACCGAGATGGCTGTCAATGTACCAGAATCTGCGATGAGACAGGTGCTAATTGCAATTGACAAAAGTCTCGGGCAGACATGGTATCTTGTGGTTGGGCTGGCTTCAGTCGCGCTAGTTGGGAGTCTGATGACGGAATGGAGATCAGTAAAGGAAAAACGCGAATGAACTGATATCCAGGTCTGCTGGCCACTACTCGACCTTGTAGTCCTGAGTATAGTGATGAAGCAATCATATTGGCCCTCCAACTGTGAAGATTCTGCTAAGTTAGAGGACTGTCGAGATGAAGGGTCGGGGCGAACGGGAGCCCTGTAAGATGGTGAGGTGAGTTGGACAATTTTGGCAAATGTATTGCTACCTTTGACAAGAACTTATTTGATCACCCAATGTTCGCAAAGTTCATGTAACAGACTGAGATTAGTGAAATACAAAATTTGTTATCGTTGTCCTCTCTACCACCTGCTACCTCCAACATGATGTGTTGGCCATCTTAATTCACGTGTGAAGCGATGATGTCCGCCACCTTTTCAGTCTGACTCAACTGCACCATATGTCCAGCACCAACCCTAACGATCTCACTACCCGCCAGGCCCGCGAACTGTTCCTGCAGCTCAGCAGGTAACATTTTATCCCCCTCGCAGATGATGTAGACACTTGGTACCTCTCTCGAACCGCAGTACTGAAGCTTGGTCGCCCATCCTCTGTCAGCTTGATGTTGAAGACCTGGAAGCCACTTGTTGGCCTCATCGTCTGAGAAGTCGCTGTAAAGCAGGTTTCTGGGGTCTTTGCATGATTGTGTACCATTTGACTCCTAGCGGGTGGTTAGAATCCGGGCGATATGTATGAGAGTCGAGGATCTTACGTGGTAGTCAAAGAACTCCATTGGCCCTTGTTCATAGCCCTCGAGTGCGACCCCAGCTGTGATGAAGACGATTTTCTTGACGCCTCCAGGCTCTCCAGTAGCCTGTCTGGCTTCAGAGGTCAGCCCTTTGAGGGCGCCACTGCCAATGAAGCCTCCAGCTGAGTGCATGACTGCAATGACACCTTCACCACCTGCTTCATCAACGACAGGGGCAAGATATTTGGCGATGTTCGCAATATCATCATCCATAGTCGGGCTGCCCGGAGGAGTCTTGCCAGTGCTGGAAATAGTCGTGATTACTGTTTTGAAGCCTCGTCCAATGAGGATGTCGGCCAGAGGCTGGAAGACCGCAGGGCCTTCATAGAAGCCGGGAACGATGAAGATTGTAGGCGCCATATTTTACTGCCAGTCAAATTGCTGTTGCAACTAATTTTGCCTTGAAACGCTCTGATTGATCACGGTCACATCGTCTTATAAGGCTCTGAGCTTTCATATTCTGACGTAAGCGCCAATTCCATAGTATGCGGCTGAATGACATGCGTGGCGTTGATGCATTTTCAGATTGATGCATCATTGGAGTCACAAATCACATGATGATCATGCATATTGGAGCAGCAAAGATTGATCACTCTGTTGAAAACTGGATTTTAACCTGCTGGTCCTCTTTGAAACGTCTTCGTTCAGAGCGAAACTGAGCATGCTCATCAACAACTGATTTCCTTGTTCTCCAAAACCGATACTTCCGGTTGGCCCCCAACTAGACGACATAATCGGTTCTCGGCACCGTCAAATACATACTCCAGAATCCCCACGGTCAGCTGAGTTACAAGATATGCCATTCGTCTGCCATCAATTGTCCCCAGAGCAGCTTGGACCGGAACTTTCGAGTCATCAGGAACATCCCTCAAACTAACAAGTATTGGCGCGTCCAAGAATGATTGATGCGTTGTGCCATCAATCTGTAGCAACAAACCTGGTCCACGCTGGTTCTTCCAAGTCTCGTTCCACGACGGACCTTGGTCACGAGAATGAGGCCTGCCAATGAGGAAGAGGGGTTTGTCAAGACCAGTTTTGACGACAGGGCCGAGCATGTCGCCGTCAAGATTGATAGCGCCCTGTATGCGGTCGTCGTTGAACAATGTTGACACAGCAGTCGCGCCTCCAATTGAGTGACCAAAGACAAAGATGCGGTCGACTTCAGTGAAGCCGAGCAAGTCCTTTGCGGTGCTGTTGTCTTGGATTTGATCAACGATGAAAGAAATGTCTTGCGAGCGAACCTATGTCAATACGAGTTAGTAATTACTTCAAGACCTTAAACCTTCAGTCAATCACCTTCGCTGATGTTTCCAGAACGGTCTGGTTCCCTTCGCCGACAACGCCAGTAGTGGAACTCCCATCTGGATACTCAATGATCGAAGCGTCGTAAGCATGATCTACTGTGATCACGACGTAGCCGTGGCTAGCTACCGACCTTGCCATGGTGCTGTACATGAGTCTCGATACGCCACGACCCGGGGAGAATATGACGACTATGAATCTGGTTTCATTCTTCTCAGCCTCTTTTGCTGAACGATTCATATCAGGGAGTCGGCAAAGGTTCAATTGCAAGTCTTCAAAAATTCCAGATGGCAAACCCATGGCTTCAGCCTGTCGTCCGAATACGTCTTGAGTTTTGGGAGGCATATATGAAACATTGACATCTCCATCCAGACAAGACTTATCCTGAGCATTGATGGGAATGAAAGCGGAGACCAGAACACGACGCTTCTCAGGACTTGCTCTGGGAGCGTAAGGATCCCATCTGGCTTCATCAGTGAGAGTTTTGATGTTCAGACCAACGCGATAAGGCCCCGAAGATACTGATGGGATCAATAGCCCGGTGGATATGGCAGCAAAGCCAGCAGTGACATTGAAAAGCTGCGTGCTAAGTCGCATGTTAGACTATTAACTTGAAAGGTGCAGACAGGCACGATGCTGAAGTAGTAAGGTTGATGAAGATATTTGGGTCTTATGAGAAAGGGACGTAACATATAAGGCGCCCCACGGAAGCTATGGAAGGCCCATGTGAGTCCTTTCGTGTAGCCTCGTATGATTGCCATCCTTCGGGTCTGCAATGTAGATCTTCTATACGAAGAGAATGGAGACACTGAAGAAGCCCCTGCAACTTGAACCATAAATAAGGGCAAAAATAAAGTATCACTCACAGGCTATTTTTAATGGTGGATCTCGCTTCCAGTATTACGTGAGACTATGGTCGCACCGATAGGTCGATCAGGTTCGCTTGCGACGCGAATGCAAAGAACTATTTCTAGACACCATAGACATGACCTTCAATCCATTAGTAAACCTGTTCAAGGTTTCTGTTCTCTCTAGAGGAGCTTGTTATCTTGTTGATAGCAGGTGTTGATCTCTGAGGAATGCGATTGCTACCCTTAGTCATACAGCGAACCCCAAAAAAGTAAGCGTGTTCCTTCATCTTAAGAGTCTCACAACACCGTGTCAATTCTTATCTAACAACAACCCCTCACTCGTCATTCACCGCTCACCAAACATCTCAATATCCAACAAAATGATCAAACTCGTCGCATTCGACCTCGATGGCACTCTCGCAGAGAGCAAGCAGGCAATCCTCGACTCAATGGGCGAAGCTCTCGCCGATCTTTTGAGCGTCGCACACGTCGCAGTCATTTCAGGTGGCGATTGGCCTCAGTTTCAGAAACAAGTCGCAAGTCGTCTTCCCGCACGAGCTGATCTCTCCAAACTCTGGCTCATGCCTACCACTGGCACAAAACTCTACACGCACAAGGGCGATGAATGGAAGGTGGAATATGCGGAGCTGTTTAGCGAGGAGCAGAGGAAGAACATCATCGAGGCTTTCAACGCTGCTCTTGACGCAACGGGTTTTCAGCCTGAGCAGACTTGGGGCGAGCGCATTGAAGATCGGGGCAGTCAGATCACCTTCTCCGCTCTCGGCCAACAAGCGCCCCCGTCCGCGAAGGAAGTTTGGGATCCTGACTTTGAGAAGCGAAAGATTATCCAAGCAGATTTGTACAAGCGACTTCCGGATTTATCTATCAACATGGGTGGAGCGACTTCTATCGACATCACGCAGAAGGGTGTTGATAAGGGCTATGGGTTGAAGAAGCTCTCGGCGGCGAGTGGGATTCCGCTGAAGCAGATTATGTTTATTGGAGATGCAATCTTTCCGGGTGGAAATGACTATCCTGCCAAGGAGCTGGGACTGCATACGGTGCGAGTGAAGAACCCGGATGGGACTTTGGCTGCTATTGCGGCTATTGTCGCGTGTTTGAGTGAGACTAATGCTTTCCATTAAGATGAGACTCCCATCAATGGTATTTCACGATTGTGAGTAAAGGGACCTCCTTCCTGCTATCAAGGAGATAGACAGAAAATATCGTTCATGTTAGAGGGCAACAGAGATGATGATACAACAAACAACGGATCCTCCAACTCGGGAGGACTCAAAATAGTCATTGTTGATACAACCCAATTGAGCATCGAACCTAAAATGTGACTCGTTCTTTCACGTGAGCGACATGACATGCGTCTTTATCATTGTGTCCGAATTGAACTGGTGCGCACCGATGCGTAATATAACGCCTAAGGATCATACCCCGATAATGACCACTGATGGAACGAAACCCTCATATAATTCAACAACAATAGACATAATTCTAGATATATAATTGTGATTCCAGAAAACTTCCCAACCTAATACTTCCGAAAGCTGAAGTTTGTTCTCCCAGCGACGGATCTAGTCATGGTCGATGCGGATCACGACCTTAGCGAAGTGCTTCTGCTCCTTCAGCCTTCTGTAAGCCTCCTTGGCATCTGCCAGCTCAAAGACCGTATCATCATATACAGGTTTGAGCTTCCTCTCATCAATGTATCGCACAAGCCCCTTGTACTGATTCTGGCTTCCCATGAGAAACCCACGAACAGTGCACGTGAACATGAGAGCACCCATCAAAGGAACGACATCGGTGTCTTGCGCAACAGCACCAACGATCTGGATAGATCCATAAGGGCGCACTGCTTCGAGTGACTGTTTGAGGGTCTCATTACCGCCGATGTCGACGATCATATCGAAGCCTGCTCCATTAGGTGTCAAAGCTCGAGCTTCCTTGCCCCAGCCAGTAGGGTTTTCGCGATAGTTGACAACGTGAGTTGCACCAAGCCTTTTCAACTTCTCCGCTTTCTCTTGAGTCGAGGTAGTCGCCACGACAGTGAGCCCAAGAGACGATGCGAGCTGCAGCATTGCCACACTGACGCCTCCAGTTCCCTGAACCAAGATCCAGGTGTGTGGTCCAATCTGTTCTTTGCTCAGTTCTGAGAGGGCATTCCAAGCTGTGAGCCAGGTGACGGGGAGAGTAGCAGCTTGGAGCCAGTCAAGAGACTCCGGTGCATGAACAAGAGCCCCTTCCGAGAATACTCCATGAGTTCGAAGCGTTCCTTTGGTACCTAGACCGAGCATGGTTGGTACATCAGACATGTTAACCTCTGCGTCACTTCCCCTCTCCACCACCACGTCCGGTGCAGGGAATGTGATGACACGATCACCAGGCTTGTAGTCTTTGACAGAAGATCCGACAGCTTCAACTGAGCCCGCTCCGTCACATAGAGGGACCATGGGTGGGGTGATGGGGCCGAATTGCTAGTCCTTTTCAGTTAATGTCGACGTCTCTCGGCATGTAGACACCTACATCTGATGTGGCAATGACGAGGTCTCGATAGTTGAGACTGACTGCATGGAGTTTGACCAGAACCTCATTTGAGCCGAGTTCATCTTGAGATGGAATGGGCACATTGTCTTCGTACTTGAGCGACGTCTCAAAACCCTGCTGGTCATTAAGAATCCATTGTCTTACCATGATGGGCTGTTCTGGGGATGAGGAGGTGAAATATCGTTATTGAAATAAAAGTATGTAGTTGGGGCTGAACACGAACGGGGTCCTTGTGTTTAAATACTTGATTCCGCATAGATGGATTCCCTTCTTGTTGTTTACTCAGCCAGCGGAAAGTTGCGGATGTGCGGGGCGTGATAACAAAGCAACCCGCAATCCAGAGCGGAACGATCCCCTGAACTTAAATCATCATGTTTTTCCTCCACTACGCTGCTTATACATTAAGGCTTGGCGAAACGCTGGTCCAAAGTTTCTGTGTTCTGCTCATCTCACCCAGATCGTTCCGACTTCCACCTTTCCATCCTATCAGGACCAATATCTAGTTCCATCATACATAGCGCAAAGTCATCAATATCGCTGGGAGACATATCCGCCATGGCCTTCTCATGGTCGTTCCTGCACATAAAGCCTATGTTGCTCTCTGCACACATCTTTGTCCAAGTAAATGCCGACGTCGCCTCCCAAAGTCCCTTTCTCGTGGTGATGGGCAAGGTCCCGTAACAGGGACCAGATTCGGTTTTCAGAAGCTCATAGCCTGACTGAAGGCCCATGGATACACACCATGTCCTTCGAATAGATTCTGACAATACCCACGAATGCCAGAGTAGTTGTTCAGGAGAGAACTGGCCCAGAAGCAGTGGTAATGTGAAATATTGAGGACCTCGGTTCGTGAGATGGTTCTCCATGATAATAGCCCCACTAGCTGTTGCCTGAAAAGCGCCAGACATCATTTCCTTCGTCCAATCTTGTAAAGTCTCAAGATGCTGCTCAGCTCTGTGACGTTGACGCAGATCACCGTCCAACAGGCGGATCGTGCAATAAGCCAGAAGTGTTTGGACACGGCTTAGGCTTTCTAGGATACTTATTTCGGTGCTTCTGCTGCCCTCATATTCCAATAACTTCTCAGCCTTCTGCTCTGCGATCCGAAGCACCATCTCATTGGTCTCCGGTGATCTTGACAAATATGAAGACAGTGTTGTGAAGGCATCGCCAATGCAGTCGGGAAGACTATTTCTGTATAGTTCCTGATGTATAAACACGTTACTTCCGGTTCGGATCCAGTCGCTCAGCCAATCTCTTGTCTGATATAAAAGTCCCCGAATCATGTCCGTCGTGAGATGCGCCCGATTCGACTCTCGAATCGGAACTGTCCTCCAAGAATCTGGATCAAGAAACCAAGCCACCTTCAAATCTTCCAACGAGATAGTCCCAGGAGTGTTTTGGTGGTGCACATGATTATCCACTCCTATGTCTACCAGCTCAAACGAACTGCCACCTTGTCCAGGCTGCAACGACTCTGCTCCCGGGGAGACTCCCGCCGGAGACGCTTGCCCCCCATAATTCTGTGTAGCTTGATAGACAAAGGTGTTAGGTAAAGGCTCATAGAGACAATCCAAGGCCCGAAGGTCACAACGGCGGCACTTGGGCTGCTGCTTCGTGCACTTTCTCTTGGATAATTGGCATGCCTTGCAGGCTTTCACTTCGTATCGGGTCAAGCCTAGGCAGCTCATGATTGGGTTAGCGGGGAAAGACTTCGGAAATTTTCTGATGTTCACAGTAAACACATGGTTGTTTGCGGATGGTGAAGCCTGCTTATAGATCAGATTGCGGATGGGATGCTGCTCGTTACGGTTAGTCTTCCGCGCTGCTTATCTCCCGCTGATTAATGATATTTAGGTGGGCCAGTGAGACTGAGTAAGGGGACATTCGATACGAAGGAAGACGATTATAGCAGCTCAAAAATACAATTCTTAGTCGGAATATACAATGATTTCCAGCCGATAAAGCAGCACAAAGTACGGTATCTAAGCAATTGGCGCAGCCATCCAAATTCTTAGTCTCATGGTAGCGACGATTCACAGAATGAAGCTATCTCCACATCGTTAGTGGTCCAAATTCCGAATACAGCTTCACGCCCCAAACATCAAAACAAAACAAACTTGCCGTATCTTCCTATCAAGTGATCAGCCTCAACGAAAATAATGGCCCCTCGAAAACAAGTGAAAACTTTTCAACCACCAAGAATTTTAAAGCTCGAGTCGCAGGAACAACGGATCGATTGGTTCTTTGAGCTGCGAAGCATCGCCAAAGGCTTTGAGATATGGAACGCGATAGACCCCGATCAGCCAGAACAAGATAACGACAAACTGCAACCTCCCAAGGTTGAATCATACACGAACCTGAAGGCCAACACTTTCCGAGGAAAGTATCATACTCCTGCACACTTCACTTTGTCGAGAAGCCGAAATTGAGCTTGCATCCTACCAACAAAGAGCGCAGAACGAACAGGCAATGCGCGACCTGATCATACCATCAGTACATTCGGACATCTATGACAGTGTCATTGTCAAGATCACTAAAGACGAACCCGGATATACGATACGTCAACTGTTAAAAGCACTTCAGAATGAGGTCGGTCTGACAGGTTCACCTTTTCAAATCATGTGATAAATGAAACCAAAGATGGCGAAGTCAATCCAACCACTTGATACTTCAAGTGGAGAAAGCATTTCTCTCGAGCAAAACACTATGACTACGTGTATATCAGCGACGACTACGCAATTACCAAATTTATCAGAGCGATCGCCCTTCACACTGACGGGAGATAGACTTATCGATCACTGATTGCATAGTCCAGATCCCATCGCCCGGACCAGACTCCCCTTACATTCGAAGAAATCGCTGAATCTTTCTATCGGGATTCCTTATCCAACAACGTCGGCTCGAAAACACTGAAGACTCATCATAAAGGTATTCGACATTCCGCTAAAATCTTTCTTCCCCCTGGGTGCCCTTGCAAGAGAAAAAATCACCCATGGACAGCGGATGATTGTTGCCATGTTGAATATGCCATCACGAAGATGTCGTCGATCCCAGGCAAGAAGCTTTCCCCTGAGGGGTACAATGCAATCCTAGGCGAAATGTAGAAGCCTAAATGGGCCCCACTGCGAGAATTTTGGGAGAAGAAGGGTTGGTAAGTCACAAGAATATGATTCACATACTGGAACGGGTCCTGCTGCGCAGCGGGAACGAAGAGCTATGTACATGTATCTTGTGCATTCGATAGCTCTTATGAATACAATACTGCGGTCTATATCGGGTACTTTTGTCAGTCAAGTCCTAAAGTGCGACAACAATTGCCAAGACTGCAAGGCCTATCACAGGTTCGACACTTCCAGCCGCGTCAACAATGACCGGCGGCTCAGTCGCCATTCCTGGAGCTCCGCCATCCGTCGTAGTACCATCCATACATGTACCAGCATCGCAGGTGGATATTGGTTGTTGGTAGGATGTTGCCAGTCCAACTGTTGTATCATGCCAGGTGCCTTCAGATTGTGAAGCCACCTCTGACTGTTGCGGGCTTGAGCTCGACTGAGTAACTTGAGTATTGACAGAAGCAGGGACAGAGCAAGCAGTTGGTGTCACCAGTGAACCCCCTCCATTGAACGGGTTGTACCCGAGACATTGGGCGTACTGGGCAGCACAGCTAGCCATATTGGCATCCGGTGCGGTGCGACAGGTGTTATAGTCACCGTTACACTCGGTAACGCAGTCGTATGTTTCAGGTATACTGGTGTCTGTACTGACTGCGGGAGTCGTGGTGTCAGTACCAATAGGAGAAGATGAACTCCCGCCATATCCGGGTGCTGAAGAGCTGGAAGCGCTCGAGCGCGTGTCGATAGTAGTGGCCGACTCCGCAGCAGCTGTGCTCAAAGCACCGATAGTGCCTCTAGAACATGCTGTCGGAACTGTGATTGAGCTTGAGCCCAAGAATGGGTTGAACCCGAGACATCTTTCGTAGTCCTCCGCACACAAGGCTTGGCTAGCATCCGGTTCAACTCGGCATGAATTGTATGCATCAGTGCAGGCAGTTGCGCATTCATCGCGCTTGTATAAGCGTGCAAAGATTGGTCCCGTGAGGGCAACAACAAAGAAAGCGAAGGTGGACTTCATCGTGACACGAAATCAATGTTAGTGACGAGTCAATGTCGGGGCATGTGAAAACGAACAAAATAAAGAGCGATGGAATGTGCGGAACGTAGATCTTGAGGAACACGATACTTATAATCACCTCCATGTAACTGACTGTATCACACGTAGTCGTCTAGGGGATAGAACGAACTGCTTTGAGGCATTCGTTCGACAGCTGCTAGCATCCGAGACATGGCTCCCATTCGTCCCGTTTGCGTCTTGTGCCATGGGTAATCGCAGAGGGGATGTAGTTAACTGTAGTACACTGATTCGAGATGTAGCTAAGTCATGTGGCACAACTTAATTCGGTGCTAGCTAATTGCAGACATGTACATGAGGTTGGCACGATGTTTTTGGTCCGGCTGCTTTCAGTTGCTGAAACGACGCCACCAACAGCTCCGAGCACACATTCCGGGCACACAGCAGAAGCTACACATTCTTTCTTCTATGTATGAAGTTTCAGTTGCAATTCTGATTATTGATTCAGGCTTTGAAATGACTGGTACGAGGCAGTGTTGTAAGGGCGCATCGGGTCTCCTCCCTGTCATTAAGCCCATCGACAATCAGAGCAGCTGCCACACGTTTCACAAAGTACAAAGGCCACAATTGCACAAGGGTCAGGAATAAATAAAAGCAATCGAATCAACTTATTTTCAAGTGTGCTGACAAATTCTGTAGGAAGAAAAGGCCAATCATACTTACAAACTTACCTTGTTATCCATCTATCCTCCAACTCATGCCATCCAATACTAAAACGCATCTTAAAAGTTATCACCCGAAGAAAGGCCATCCCAAGAACTCACAGGGAGATGGACAGGGGGTTCAGACTCAAATCTCAGGCTCGACATGCCTTCCAAGGTACTGCGAAACCGCCCTTCATCAAATCCACCCTCAGGAGTCATCTCTGCGGAGTCTTCAATAGACTGCTTGATATCGACCGATGTCTCACAGCTATCAAGCATAGGTACGTTTGAAGGGGTGAATGAGCTCGATGTCATGGACATTGTGGTGTAAAAGCCGCCAGACATGGATGTATCACCAGTTACCGTCTCAACGACCGAACGGGTGTATGTACCTGCTTCGCTGACCTCTTCGAACTCAGACTTCCAAGTACGAGTAGTTTCGCCGCTTGGAGCTTGCATAAAGTCAACGGCGGCCAGCCCCTGATCATGAACATACGGGGCGATGTGAGCATTTTGCCAAGGTTGGACAGACACACCGAAATTTGCGCCCCGAGCAGCAGCGAGCCCATTGCGAATACCCTCGACGAAGTTCAAAAACTTCTTATCGTACTCAGTGAAGGAGTCAACCTTACGGGAAGCCCGAATGATGTCGACCAGAGTGTCGAGAAAGTTGAGCTGCTCTGTTGGGTCGATCCGAGCGGCATACGCAACCAGGACTTCAAACTCTACGAAGGTCAAGCCCTCCATCCTGCCAAGAACTAACATGATGTCATCCACCGCTTGTTCCAGGGTGTCCCTGTCAGTAGATGACAACTCTTGTTGATCGTGGTTCGTCACAATCGAGAACGCATCAAGAATGATGGCTCCTCTGTTGTAGCCAAACTTGTTCGAAATAGACTCCATTTTAACGTTGGATGTGGGAAGGATGTTTTTTGAAGTTGATAGAATGTAGGTTGGTGGTAGCTGGAAGCGTTAATGCCGAAGAGCTGAGGTGAGTTGTTTTGGAGAATAGACAAGCGAATCTAGTTCACTTATTATAGTATGAAATTGCTGTGATACGATGCCATGTATTGAGGTCTCATCCTCGGTGTTCACAATTTCTGTATGGCTTGTTCAGCTTGTTCCTTTTTCGTCCATGTGCTCATTCACAACAAAGGGGTTTGTTGAACAAGAGCAAGTCGTTGTTTTCTGGCTCAAGCCACGTGAACAATAGGTGAGAACATGGGATCTGGGGTGTTTTGGACACAACATTTAAACACCCATATCTCTGTTCGAGCTCATGGATAAATGTTGAAAAGACTTCCATCTGATAACCGTTCTACTATGCAGGCATAACACCTCTCTATGTTATGGTTGTTCTTTTCCCCATCCATGGGTCTTGGGCCCGAGATAGCTACAGAGCTCATACTTGCAGAGATGCTTTCAGCATGTATGATGTCCAGTCTCGCTCTGTCCCCATAGGTTGGCGGATACTAACGTTGCTCAGGTTATGACTTCAGAAACTCTGGTTTTGTACTCTAGAATGATAACTCTGGTTCTATTATATGATTTCTTCATGAAACGCTAATGAGCAAACCTGAAGTCCAGTCTCTTGTTACCTTCGTCCTTGGTCGTCCTTAGATACTCGTCCTTCTCCCCATCTGACATGGCATTCCAAATGCGTTCTCGTGTCTTATTTCGCCACATGTAGTATCCTTTGATGAAGATTGTCATAACCACATTCCAGCCAACAAGTGCAAGGAGAACTTTGTTTCCCCGTCGGTACAGAGGCTTGTCGTCCTCACGATAGATCTGTGGTTATCGTTAGCTGCGATTGAGATAGCGATGAACGTGGTCTTAAACTAACCTGAGATGAGATTACAGAGCTTGCCTGGCAGATCATGTTGTACATGGCACTACCCACTGTTCTGGTGCGGACAGAGCCAGCGTTTCGCGACGTGAGACTGACTGCAGATTTATTAGTGGGGTATCTAATGAAGCAGTTTCCTCATGCTTACCATTGATTGAGTGGATGTAGGGAAAGCCAATCATCAATATTGTTGCTGAATACCACGCCCAAGGACTAGCATTTGCGGGAAGCAGCTCGAGAGTCAAGAGCAACACAAAACACCAGAAGGAATAGTAGAGCAAGAGAGCCATCCTGTTGTTGATCTTCTCTGAGTACCAAGAGATAAGGATCAAGTGCGCCAGGAAAAGAACATATCCTGGAATGGTCAACAGATTCGTCTCAAAGGTGCCGAATCCTAAGGCCTTTAGGTTGAGGGTAAGATAGGCAGTGACGGGGTTTGTAGGGATTAACATGGTCCAACTGATCGCATAGAGTGGCCAAAGGTCGTAGTCCATAAGTGCATCCCAGAGGAGCTTGAGTGTGAGACCTTGACGGTTGTGCATGCCTCCCTGTACCACTATGTTAGTGTTGCTAGAGGTTGTAAGGGACATAGTTCACCTACCTTGCCGGGGTCATCTCGCAAGACACGGTTGACCATGATGACTTCTTCTCTTTCCGTAAACCAACCATCTTTCCCTCGAAACCAACTAGCTGTTTGTGTTGGGCCAGGTGGTAGGTAGAACCAAGACACCACGCCGATGAAGAACGTCAGTGTGCCCTCGAGGACAAACAGCCAACGCCACCCTTCCCAACCTCCGACCGAGCGCATATGAAGGATTCCGTATGCCAGAAACGCGGCTACGATGAAGGTACCATTTGAAGCGCAGTAGAAGAAGCCGACGCGCATAGGAAGCTCCCTGTTGGTGTAAAAATATGAGAGGTAGAGAAGAGCATCCGGGATGAATCCACCTTCGATCAGTCCCAGCAGAGCGCGAGTTGCATAGAAGCTTTGCTTGTCCTGGACAAACCCTTGGCAGATGCCGATAATGCTCCATGTCACCATCTGAATCGGGATCCAAACGTCAGGGCCGAGCTTCTTGGAGATCATTTGTGACGGTACTTCTGCTGACAAGAAGCAGAGGTAAAAGATCATCATTCCATAGTTGTAGTCATTGGTGTTGAGGCCAAGATCGTCGAGCATTCCATCACTCAGAGCCTGTGAGATATTGCCACGATCAAGTTGGAGCGCAAAGAACATGAGGCAAACCCAAGAGCAGATTCTCTTGTCTAACTGCAAGGCACCAGACAGGTTAGCACAGCTTTGAGGCGCCAACAGCAAATGATCTTACCCGTCTGACTAGTTTCTTCTCCTCCTTTTCCGTCCATTCGGCAGTTGGGTCATATCTATGAATGCCTTCATATTCTGGAATAGGCTTGTACAGCTCTGTAGCTCCTCCAGATACAAACGTGTCGCCGGTGAAGTAGGCGCGCTTCTGTGTTGAACCGTAGTCGTAATCAGAGTCAGACGCCAAAATGATGGGGTCGTCAATCGTGGTCGACTTCTTGTCTGCCATATTGCCAGGCCCGAGTTGCGAAATGTGTCGGTACTCGGTCAACTATAGCCCATCGGTGTGCCAAGCTCGGTATATAAGTAGCTCGGGCATTTTTGTAAGACCCATTGATGTATATCGTGCGCTGAGGATTAAATGGTGCAATGGTAGAGATTGGCCGGCATACGCCAGTCTAGTTTAATATTTTGACCATATATGCGACACATAGGCGATGGTGCAATCTCTCGAAGGGTATGTCGAATGTCTCCAACATAACATTGGCTTAAAAACTCCAAATCTCCGCTACATCTTATGCCGATGTCCCGCGTAGTTTGGTGGGTCGACATGGAAAAGAGCTTGCAATGAGACATGAAACAGATTACATCCGTAAAGGGATCAGCCTTACTCGCGCATTTTAGGCTTGGCATTACCGTTAATGCCGCAATTGTAGTCCTTCTGGAAGTGGTGGCTCTGCTGATCAAGTCGACATGTTCGTCAGTTGGTCTGTTTCTGGAACGCGTGCGAAGGTGTCTCGATGGCGTCAACAACACTACCCGAGAGTTTCTCCGGAATATTCCTCGTCAAATAAAGTTGCATAAAACGGACTTTTTACACTCAAGTCATCCTCCTCATCAATCTTGGGGGGGTTATACTTCATCCTTTTGTCTTTCCTTATGGCGATGTCCAGACGGCAATAATGGTGAGTAACGACGTTGTCCGCTTCAGTGGATATCTCAAGAAGCTCAAAAAGTGGGCTCGGCGATGAAAAGAGCCACTCGGAAGCAGGGTACAATTTCCCCGTTCAACCCGTCGCCGCTCCATTTGCTCCGAGATGCTTCAAGCCCCAGCAGCCCATTCCGTAGGCAAGAGTTCGCATGATACAGTAGACATGAGGTTCGAATTCGCTGATTGACTAATAGCTAGAAGACAAATGATAATAATAAAACAGTAGATTTGATTTCGGTTCTGGTTTGGGCTCTGTGTTGTATTATGACGGTTCAAAGTCGGGTGCTTCACAAAGACAAAAAACCATATTTCGCATCAGATCAAGGCAACGCAACGAGGGCCTACAACCTCAAAGTAGGCAGAATAAACTCTTTATAAATGTTTTCCTAGATACCGCCCCAATACTGCAACTAGCCAGATACAGAGCTATGCTTGGAGACAACACGCGAGTTCACAGATGTCAATTCGTACTATAGTAGGTATCTTACCCTGGAGACAGGAGACAGCGTAGAGCTCAGTGGAATGGAACTGAGGTCTCACTGGCGCTTCAAAAAGCAACCAATCAGAGCCACGCCCGGTTAGCTCAATCGGTAGAGCGTGAGACTCTTACGAGTACGCGATCTCAAGGTTGCGGGTTCGACCCCCGCATCGGGCTGTTCCTATAAAAACGATTGCGAGCAATAGCGAGGCATCTCTTTTTGTATTTTTGCACTCTTGATGGACTGTAAACCGTTTTCTGGGGAAGATAATACGACTCTGTGACAAGGCGATATTCGGTCTCACGTCGGCCCCACTGTTGGCCCCAGGCGATAACATGGGAGCTTCCAATGTGTCTTCTTGTCTAAATTCCTCCTGCAACTGCTAAGACGATATCATACTGCACTTGAAATAACTGAGCGGAGATCTCATCAGAATTTGACTCGTTTCAATGAGTGAAAATGGCACTCAATCCGAGCCAGTTCCACTGACCGCGTCATCTTGGTGGGTTGGTCAAGGGGCCGTGACCGCTAGCTCGCGAATATTCGCATTCAGAATACGAAAATTATCATTAGAACCTCTTTAAGAACGCCCAAATGTCTGTCCTGTCTAGAAGAAAATTTCTGATCTCCAAGCGTTGCCTTTGTCAGAAAACCCTCAATTGTTTCTGCCGAACCTTTTGTCCTGTCTTGAGGTCGTTGTTCACATATCGTTATCCTTCTTTCAATTTTCGTATCCGAGAATGAGCGGAGATGGACCCTATGGACCCGTTGTGAACGGGACTCAAATTGTCTTCTTCGAATACTTGCCCAACAAACCAGCCGCGATATCTTTCGTTGTTCTCTTCGGAATTGTCACTTTAGCCCACTTGATATTCCTCTTCATCCTTCGAGCCTGGTTCTTCATCCCCTTCATCCTCGGTGGCATCTGTAAGTAGACCCTACAACCTCGGCCATAACACCATCTAACAAGAATGGAGGCGAAATCTTCGGTTACTTCGGTCGAGCTCAAGCACACGATACCCCCGATAAAGCAGGTCCTTTCATCCTGCAGAACGTCCTCCTCCTTGCCGGAACGCCTTTCCTCGCAGCGACGATCTACATGAGTCTTCGGCGCGTTGCCACGGCGCTTGACTCCCAACATCTTTCATTTATAAGTCTTCGATGGTTGACAAAGCTATATGTCCTCATTGACATTGCGTGCATTGTCAGTCAGTTTATAGGCGCTATCATACCTGCCTCCGGCGAACCAGATGCCATCGCTAAAGGCCGAACTATTCTCATTGCTGGTCTGGTAGTACAGCTCGGCGCATTGAGTGTCTTCATACTCACATCGCTGTACCTATACATACGCATCAGACAAGAAACTGGGCCGTTCTTGGACTCATCTCTGGTACGGTGGCGGCGATACTTCAGAACCATCGAGGCTGTGACGATCATCATGATCATTCGCAGTATTGTCCGTGCAGTCGAGTATCTTCAAGGACAAGGGGGGTTCGTCATTTCGCATGAAGTCTTCATCTATCTCTTCGACGCGTTGCTCATGTTCTTGGTCATGCTCTTGTTTTTAATCATTCACCCGGGACGGCTGGTCAAGAACGGTACGGGGATGAAGTGGAGGGGACAGACGCGAATTGATGAGGCAGGTGAGGATATCATGCATCTACGTGAATATAGAGCTTAGTCAATCCCAGTTGCTTAAAGAAAATGAGAACAATCATCATTATGCAGATAGAATTAGATCTTTATGGCTTTCAATTGATACCAAAATGCTTCATTTTGGACGATGGCAGAGATCTTTGACAGGTAGCATAGCAGCATTACCTAGACGTGAAAATAATTACTAAAAAAAGATATTGGCACGCAGCTTCAATAAGTCCGAATTACCGAATCCGCCTTGTGGCATCCTCCAAAGAATTACAGCCATATCGAGATGATGGGAGCAGCGTATCCTTACCGATAAGAAACGATAAGATAAGATAACCGGTCCAACCCCGCTGTTCATTGGCCGAATCCTGATGTCATCCCGCGACAACAGCAATTTTCAGCCTTCACTCATCTCACTGCTGGATCGCTTTGATCACCAACGGTACAGCCCATCATGTTTGCTCTACGAAGAATCATCGCCCGTCCGATGCTGCGCGTCGCGACACGTCAGATCCACGTGACATCACGTCGATTCGCCTCTGCTGACCAGCCTCCCAACATGCATCAACTCGAGTCGATGATGAATGACCCTCATATCCGTGAGACTTTCGAGAAGCTGAGCCGTCATCCTCCGGCCATTGAGGCTATGCAGAAGATGGGAGATGTTATCAAGAGCAAGGGTAGGCAACTTCAATGAATCAATTGAGACCTCGGCTGATTATCTGGTATAGGGCTTGACACTTCTCAGCCACCGAGTAAGATGGATATCATGAAGCTCATGATGGATAAGGAATTCCGTGATGCGGCGACAACAGTATGTATCTGGATGGATTCTATGTGCGAGTGCTAATGACAGCTGCAGTTGACCACTGAGATGCAAAACGCTGGTGTCGAGATTAACCCCGATGTTGGTCGTACCTACCCGGCTCCTTGTCGTCTATATCACTGACAATATCATTAGGTCTTCATGAAGATGATGCAGGGTGATAAATAAAGTCGAGATCTTCATGTACGGGAAGGTTTAAGGTGTGTAGCATCAGCCATGATAACAGTTGCGATGGCTCCGAGAACAGAATGTCATCATCCATCAAGCATTGAAGAAATCAGGGTATATTATTGAGATTTAAACCAAACCGTCTTGTAACACTGCCAATGTCACGGAGTTGCATGGAAAACTGGTTGATTGTGAATTGCTCCTCGTGATGTCTCGTATACCCAGCGACCAGACCGTGAAGTCCATAACAATCGTCCGAAATGTCCATCCCCGAGCCGTCTCTACATATGTTTCACTTTTTTTTCAAGGTACGATTTATCATGCGCGTCGATCTTAGACCCCGGACCTTAGCTTCCAACGGACACTATTGAAGTCACCGCTCGATAGTCTCATGCAAAATCCCAATCAAGAAGGCACAGGGAGATCAAAGCTCGGAAAGGAAATTGAATGCAATGTATAGAGTGAACATGAGACTTTTCTCCCTGCCGTTCTGGCGCATTTAAATGAGTATGTCGCAGAAGAAAGTCAGCTCACCGGTTCAGCAAGCCACATATCCAAAACAATTCCACATGAAATCATTATCAAGGGAGCTACATAGCTATACAAATATCCCCAGATAAATTGCCAGAGATTTTAACCGTAAAACAAGCTTCTTCAACAGATCACTGGATTGGCTTTCGCTGGTAGTTCGTAAAATTGCGGGATTTTTAGCTCACGCTAGCCTGGGTCCCTTGACACTTCTCCCGTGACCATAATGCGACCTTGAGGTCTAGGCCACGGCTGAACCATCGCGCAGTTTGGAGCCAATCGATGTTTCCACTAGATCAGCTTCTGAATGCCTATTGAGGAAGCTGTTCCTAGATCTGCACAGGCAATCGCGACTTGGTCTGGCGTTGCTAGGTGATGTGAGCTAGTGAAAAGCTGAACCAAGACATGCATCGTAGCCTAGGAAACTTCCAGGGGAATTGGCGCCTTTGGTCTTCAACATTGGTATGGATGGCGGTCGCTTGATTAACCTTCAAGCGAGGGGTGTTTATCTTTGAAGTAGGATAACATGCTAGCTCCTGTAACATAAAGGGCCAGGCGCCATTTTGGTCGTTCCAGTCCCTTCAGCCTTCATTGACAACTCCATTGATTCAAGTTTGCCTATACCTCGATAATCCATCAGAAACGGCAAGATGAGGCACTCAATCACGCAGCTCACAGCTGTTCTCACAGTTCTATTCACAACAGCACATTCTGCAGTCCTTCCACGGGACAAGCAAGGGTCCTGCACGAAGACCAAGGTCGCTATTCTCGGAGCCGGTGTTGCGGGCATAGCGGCCGCCCAGAACTTGACAAAAGCGGGCATTGACCAGTTCATCATTTTAGAGCACAACAACTACATTGGTGGGCGAATGAGGAAACAATCCTTTGGCAAGAACGCAGCTGGACAGCCTTACACTATTGAGTTTGGCGCCAACTGGGTCGAGGGTATCGGCTCGGCCGCTACACACGAAAATCCCATCTGGCAATTGGCAAAGAAGTACAAGTTGGAGTCGCATGAGTCCGATTATGATAAATACAAGACATTTGATCAAAAAGGAGAGACAGACTGGAGCGACAAGATCGACGAATTAGAAGCGATCTACGGAAAGGCTGAAGCGGAAGCTGGTCGCCTCTTGCTAGGCAACTTGCAAGATACTTCAGTACGTGCTGCCATTCGCTCAGCAGGATGGCGCCCAGACAAGGATGACATGCATGCCCAAGCCGCGGACTGGTGGAAATGGGACTTTGAATCCGCTTGGACACCTGACGAGAGTGGTCTCGTCTTCGGAACGGCTGGCGGCAACGCAACATTTGGTTACTTCAGCAATGTCAGCAACCTCGTCGTTGACCAGCGTGGCTTCAGCACCATCATACAAGAGGAAGCCAAGACGTTCCTCAAAGATGGCGATAAGCGACTACGACTTGAGACCACGGTCGAAGGCATCAAATACGGCAAGGACGGCGTGACAATTACAACGAATAAAGGTGATTGCATCCAGGCCGACTACGCGATCTGTACCTTTTCACTGGGCGTGTTGCAGAGCAATACCACCGAGTTCAGCCCCCCTCTCCCCGACTGGAAGCAAAGTGCCATTGATCAATTTGCAATGGGCACGTACACCAAGATTTTCATGCAGTTCGAAGAGGCTTTCTGGGACAACCAAACGCAATTCTTCCTCTATGCCGATCCTCTCGAGCGTGGCCGATACCCTCTCTTCCAATCACTCAACCCTGACGGTTTCGCTCCAGGTTCCAACATTCTCTTTGGAACTGTTACTGGAGAGCAGGCATGGCGCGTGGAACGTCAGACAAACAATGAAACGATGGAACAGATTCTCGACGTCCTGAGATTGATGTTTCCTGACAAGAACGTGACGACGCCGACTGACTTTGCATACCCTCGCTGGAGCACTGAACCGTAAGTCTAGAACAACCGGCTCACACTCGATTGACGTGTTGACTAACGAAACGCAGTTGGGCATATGGCTCCTACAGCAATTGGCCCGTCGGGATGACCCTCGAGAAGCATCAAAACATGCGCGCCAACGTCGAGCGTCTCTGGTTCGCGGGAGAAGCCAACTCCGCAGAGTTCTTTGGGTTCTTGCACGGCGCGTACACTGAAGGCCGTGATATCGCTAACAAGATTGGAAACATCATTAACGGAAAAGCCGGTGACGATGAGTTCGACATGGAGAGGTACGAGAACCTTCATGGAACGACATTTTTGGATGAGTATGATGAGGATAACGGATGGTTGTTTCCGTATGATGTCGAAGAGGGAGAATGAGGAGATTGATGTCAATTCTCTGTAAATAATTATGCATGATGGTAATGATTGTAATGCGACGGAAGGTTTGGGTACTATAATGAGATTAAGGGACTGTTATTGGTTTGCTCAATGTTCTGTCATTCTGATGCGTTTGTTGCATGTTGTCGCCGATACCGCTTTGGAGGCTTATAAATCAAGTGGCTGGGGTTTTCAGTCAACGCACGTTCAGAACCCTTTTATCCTAATCTCGCGACCAAGTCATTTGCTGATAGAGTTTGAGTTTCCAACGGCAAGACCGTAAATACTTTCTCTACATGTGCCTTATGCATCTCAATATGATAGAGTTTGCGAAGCCGGGTAGGGCCGAAGATGGTGGATCTCGCGTGGCACTGGCTTGTCAGCAGGCTGCATAAGTAATCTCGTATGGGGCCAAACAATTTGCGACGATATGACGGTCCAAGTTCTGGAAGCAAGCAATTGAGGCTGTCGTACGACCACTTGTCAAACTGAAAACTCTTCAATGAGATATACGCGGATTCACCTCGGGGCACATCGGCGACTGAACCGATTCCCTGCTTCTCGGCAGTTCTTGGCAAGGTTTCTCCCCCATCTCTTTGATGATTGATCGACCATGACCGAGTGGGAGAAGAGTGGGAGAGCAGCCATGATCACAATAACCATAACCCCGCCCTTTATTTTTCTGTCAATGCGTAAACGTTTATCCCAATCGGTTCTGGTTTATGGAGTAAATGCTTGGAAATCATATGCAGCCTGCTGATAGAGTGACGCGGCTCGCATAGCCTCTTCAATTACCGACTTAATTGTTAGTGAGGGAAAAGTCTTGGCAATTGATGTCATGGATGTATGTGCTAATACTGACTCAGATTTGGGTGTCCTGCATTTGTTCTATGAATCGGCTGCTAACGCACGTTTAAGTGTCCTAAATCCGGTCAGCCCGCTCAGGTCCCAAGCCTCACTAAAGGCAAAACCAAGAAAATACGTCGGTCGCATCCGATGCGATTCGCCCAAAACTAGTTTCAATTCTCATACTCCCATGAAACAACCCCGGTTTACGGAATAACAGTGATCAAACAGCTAAAATCCGTAGAGTATCAGCATCGGATTTAGCGAGTCAGCGGTTTCATAACCCCGTTGAGATAGGTCGGCAAATCAGTTGTCATACTTACCGAACCCGCCAAGACTTGGCTATGTCGTACTTGCAGGGCACTTATTGGCCGAAGCACATGTCCAAGCCACGCCAAGGGATCTAAAGTTAAGGTTTAGGTTTCCGAGGCCAACAGTTGATTATGAGAGACGAATCATCGAAGAGTGACCGCGTAATTCATTGCTTCGGACGCCGAGTTGAGTAGTACACCACGCGAGCATGGGATATCCACCCATCATGGCTTGGCGAGGTATCTCAACGCGTCATAGTCGATTGATATCCTTTTGTTGCAACTATCAAAACCCATCATGTCTCCCGTTTCGAGAGTTCGATGGTTGTACACTCTCAAGCCTTTGACGTAGGCGCTATACCATCCCCCTGACTATCCAAGCCAATTCCAGGAACTGTTTCATATAAAGGCTTTATCCGTCACCATTTATCATGCTGCGATCACTCGCTCTCACAAGTTTCTTGGTCGGACAGTCGCTACGAGCAGTAGCTCAGCGCGATCAGGTTGACAACAGTAACCTCGACCCATTGAAGTTCAAGAACGATGGAACATTCCAAATATCCGTCTTTTCAGATCTCCATTTCGCTGAGGGTACGATATTCAAACTACAATGACTCAAAGAAAGTCGCTGACCAAGAAATAGACGCCTCCTCAATAGGACCCGAGAAAGATGCCAGGACAGTAAAGGTCATGGGCGACGTGATCGATGCCGAGTTACCAGACTTGGTAGTCCTGAACGGAGACCTTATCAACGGCGAATCAACATTCACCCATAACAGCACGGTATACATCGATCAAATCGTCTCCCCCATGGTTGATCGAAATATGACATGGGCTTCAACGTACGGAAACCATGATCACAATCGCAACCTCAACGGAACCGCCATGTTGGAACGCGAGCATACATGGCCTGGGTCTCGAACAGATTCAATGGTCCCAGGAAGCGATGCCGGAACAACAAATTACTACCTCCCCGTATACGCATCGAACTGCAGTTCAAACTGCACACCGGAACTCATCCTCTGGTTCTTTGATAGTCGAGGTGGATTTTACTACCAAGGCGGTTCTCAGCCTAACTGGGTTGACAAGAGTGTTGTGGAATGGTTCAACGAGACCAATGCTGATCTGCGCGAGGAACACGGCAAGAACATTCCTTCACTGGCATTTGTTCACATTCCCGTGTACGCTTCTCTCATGCTGCAGAACAATGGTGTTGATGAAAATTATCATCCTGGTATCAATGACGAAACTGTCATTCAGCAGGGTGCGGGATGGTGCGCAGACAAGAAGGGAGGTTGCGATTACAGCGATCAAGATCTACCCTTGATGCAAGCCCTTGTTGCGACACCTGGCGTCATTGGTCTCTTTTCTGGACATGACCATGCCAATTCGTGGTGCTACAAGTGGGAAGACAAGGTTGGTGATATGGATCTTCCCGGCAATGGCATCAATCTCTGCTACGGTCAACATACCGGCTACGGTGGCTACGGAGACTGGATCCGAGGCGGTCGCCAAATCGTCGTCACACAAGAAGGTCTCAAGAATTATGAAATTGACTCGCATATTCGCCTCGAGTCGGATGAGGTCGTCGGCAGAATCTCTTTGAACTCGACTTTTAACACGGATGCGTACGCCGCAACTCCGAACCAGAAGACGTTCCTCAGCATTGCGAGCTCTTCTACACCGACACCTTCGACGAGACCTGTTTCCTTAGCGTCGCATTTTGGATTGCACAATGCTTTCAGTTCGTCTTTGGTTATTTTCGCAGGGGTTGTTGCATGGATTATGTTGTAAGAATAGCGTTTAGATTAATTGCATGTAGAGTAAAAATTATAGACAGTGATTCCCCCAACCTCATCTTCTCGTTCCCTACACCGTGACAACCCTTCTCAACATGCCTAACCGTCAATCAAAATTATAGGATCTCTGCTCAAAAAGATAGGTAATATTCTATCCTTTAGTGACTGCAAAAAGAGATTTCATTGATGAGACTGGGACTCGAACCCAGGAGGATTGCTCCACCAGGAAATTGGTGTTAAGGTTAACCTTAACCTGGCGCCATAACCAACTCGGCCATCTCACCCAAGCTAGTGCTGATGCTGAATTTCGTTCGTAGCACAGACCAGATGCCTCAGCGATAATGGTTCGATTGAACAAGATGCCCCATCTAAGCTCGTGCTATTTGTTCTGAGGCTTTCACGAAGGAAACGGTGTAATTTGTCTCTTGTTCTCGTGAACTTATGCTTAAATCTATCTTTCCGGGACCTATGAGACTTTCAGCCACAAAGATAAGCCATGAACCTTGAACATGTCCTGTTCGGATGAACAAACCGGCCAGATCACGGAACAAGACAGGTTAATATTGTTCGATTCCATTTCAGCAAATAAGACCATGAATCAATTGTTCTAATCTCTTTTAGCATTTACTGCGCAGACTACTTATATAAAGCCAGCACGAGTTGCAGATTCTATCATCAATTCATCAACAACTCGCTCCAACATAACTTGAGCTTCATACACAGCCATTCCTCTCACATAGTTCGCAAACTCACAGTAAAAGGAAAACAATCAATATGTCCGTCCAGTCCCAAGACGTTGCCGAATACTACTTCAACGGTCACAGGGTTGCGGAATGCATTGAAGACTGGGCTGAAGACGTCACCACCGCGACCGAAGAGATGGAATTTGTTGAGCCCACGAAGCCTCAGGCAAAGGTGCCTCGCATCGGAGATCCTTCCAAAGAAATTCAAATTGATATTCTGTTGAAGCGACACAACGAAGCCCGAGAGATCATGGAACTAATTGAGGAACAGCTCCTTAAGCTTGACTATGAGATTCGACAAGAGCCAATCTCTGAGCCCTCTTCTTTTCGGCATGGTGGCTCGAACCGTCAACAGGGTTCGCACCACGAGTACCTCACTGAAAGCTCTGAGGGACAGTGTGGAGTATGGCAGGATACCTGGACGTCTATTTCTCTGGATAGTGCTTCTGAGAGGATAAGTGAGAAGAAGAAGAAGAAGAAGAAGAGAAGCAAGAAGCCCAAGACTGAGGAAGAGAAGAACCGTCACATCAACAAGGTATTCATGCGAGAGAACGGACTTCTTCCATGATTTAAAGCTACTAACTATTCTTTGGAGCTTTGAAGCTTTGAAGTCTTGTTCTTGCCAAGTTCATTTATGCCTATTCGGTAATCGCATCTGTTGATCGGTTAAAAGGGAAGTCATTGGAGGTAGCAATTTGTCAAGCTTTGAATCGAATTTATTGATATACCAGTAACCATCGAAATCCATAAATGCCCAAGAAATGTGATGTGTATAAACTCAATTCGATCAGTTGGTCGTACAGTGTCCCTGACCGTGGCTGTGGAGTGATCTGAACTGACCTGAAGTGGCTACTCCTTATTTCGGTTAGTATTCGTGTCCCGCTTCCGATCTGATGCGATCTCAGCTCGACATTAACAACTTCTGCCAAGATTTGGGGGAAATCTGAGTTGTTGACGAAGAGCCATATGACGTCATATTGATATCAACGACTCTGGCAAAAGCAGGGATATGCCAATAGCCAGGAACTATGGCCAATCAAGATTTATGCACTAACAGCCCTATCGTATGACTGTAGCCCGAACCATCTCAAATCCTCCAATCAAGTGCGTCGGCGCACAGGCGAAGCGGGGTCCTCCCTGATCTTCGAAAACGGAATCAAGACAGGACTTTATTTTAGTCAGTCACGCTCATCTGTCTCTCTTCCCGCGATACAACAGCCCAGAAATCAACAGCCGATATGCCACACGTTTACACTGCCTCTATCACCGTTTCAACTGGCAGAATACCCGAACCAACACAATCATTTTTACCTTACTTCACTCTAGTGTAGTGCCTATCTTTTCTTCTTTGGGGCTGGCAGGTGACCCCAGTAAAATCTCATTCCTCTTTGCCACTCAGAGGAGGCAAATTCTCAAGAACAACTAAACGCTTCGATTTTACACTCGTTTTGACATCAAAATTCTGATGAACAGCTCAAATAAACCCACACGAGCACAAGAGCACCAAAAGACTAATCGACAGTTGTTGCCCAGAAAGTCTCTCAAGACAGATCATGAGCCGCAATACGTGCCCCTCGATGTCTCCGACATACCCAGGGCAGCCTTGACATCAGTCGCGTGCAACAACTGCCGCCTCAGGAAATCAAAGGTTTGTCCTGCTGCATCGTATTGGCGCCATGTATGAGTAACAGCTTTTATTACCTATAGTGTGATGGTCATAAACCAACATGTTCGGCCTGCGCAAGCCGAAGACAGCAATGTATATATCGCGCCGAGGTTTCTCATGAGAAGATGGTGGAGCTGAGGAAGGGCTCTAAAGATCTCTTTCAGGCACTGGAGCTCTTGAGAACTGCCCCTGATGAACACACCCAGTCCCTCCTGGAGAGATTGCGCAGCAGCGAGTCTGTATCGGACTTCTTGCAGGTTCTTGACTCGGGCATTATAAAGTCACCTTCACCAACCGACCCCTTGGCCACCAGTCCCGCGGGAACTTCAGCCGACTCAACAATAGAGCTAGACCTCAACATGCGATATTCTGGTGTATTCCCTCCTCTAGAAACTCTTGATATCAAGGATGTAGATCTTGGTCTACTAGCAGTTAACAAACGAGCCTTGATATCTTCGAATCAACAAGCAACATCACCTTTGACACCACACATCCCGATAGAATTCGGCCAGAGATCGGAAACACCGACAACTTCTGAATCCTTCTCGACACCAAGCGATACCACTGGAGATAATGGAGTTGATCCTCGGCTGGAGTCTCTTCAAATATGGCAGTGGACTTCCATACCTATACCCGAAAACCTCGCTGCGCAAGCCATATCATTCTACCTTGTAAACGAGCACCCGCTTCTCGCATTCTTCGATGCCGATTTATTTATTCGCGATCTTTTAGCAGGCGGCGGTCGCTTCTGTTCTCCCCTGCTCTTCAGCTCACTTCTTGCCTGGTCCTGCGTAAGTTGCCTTCTATTCTCCTTGATTGAAATCTACCTGACATGGCTAGGCTTCATACTCTCAGTTTGAACCACGAGCTCAAAAACTATCTCTTGCGTTTCTAAGAGAAGCCAAGAGGCGATGGGAGGATCTACCAGACCACACTGCCATCACTACGTTATCATCAGCAATGTTTCTTGTCCTTACTTGCAACCAGCATGGCCAAGACAAAGTTGGTCTTATATATCTCGACGCCAGCACAGAAATTGGCCGTTGCCTTGGTCTATTCGGCGGTGAGGAAACAGCTGTGCCCAATTTCAACGACGACGACGAATTACGGACAGCAGCATCATTTGCCGCTTGGGGGACCTTTGGCTGGCACAGGTTGGTATGACCCTGACCATCCAGACACCCATACTAATTTCGTGCAGTCTGCACTGTATCAACTTCCGAGCGAAACACCGAATACGACACCAGCCATCTTTACCTATACCAGGAGATGTATCTGGGCCGCTCCTGAATGAGCATATGGGTAGCACGTTTACGTGGATATCCAAGTTCTGGGCCAAAGTACACCAAATATTTGGAGAAGGTTATAACCACTTCAGCCGCCTGCCTATGTCACATGCACGTCAGATGTATCAGTTGTTGCTTGACTGGGCCAGTATCCTTCCAGAGGACGTACAGAGGGGTGAAAACTGCCCCCATCATGTTTTGGTACTACAGTGAGTGGGTTAGAATCCATCCTGAGATTGTAAACTGATAGTTGCAGCATTTGGTACCAGACAGCAATAATAGACATATGGCGCCCATTCCTCGGACGTCGAAGCTATGAAGACGCTGGGGAAGGCGAGCTTGCCACCGCGACGCATGAAGCATCCGTCCACCAGCTCAAGCGACTTGTATACATATACCGGAAAAGGTTTGAGACAACAAATCTCACCATGTTCATCACTCCAGGACTTCTCACCCTAATCAACGAGGTGTTTCGAAATCCCGATGCATCTGACGCTCAGTTTTACTTCATATTGGCGGCGCGCGGATGCCTGTCAATAGCATCTTGGTGCAAGGGACTTCGCGGTATCACAGAAGGCTTAATGACCATCGGATGGCAGAATGGAACCTTCAAGCGTGAAGAATGGACAAACAACAGCATGATTGAGGATATCAGAGCTACAACACGGGCGCTCACCCAAGACGGCACATATAGCAGCCTTTACCCAATCAGCCTGGATTCAGCGAGCGAGAGCATGGACGACATCGGCATGGAAGCCCTAGCGGGCGAATTCCTGCGCTTGAGCTCACAAAACGAGCCTCCGCGTGGGAAAGAAGTTGAAATAACAAGCGACCAGGACATCTGGAAGGGAGATCAACGAGACTTGGAATTGACGTTAACTGAGGCGACAGAAGAGGAGGAATTCCATTAGCAAAGCTACTGTATGATTTTTTATTGAGCATATGAACTAATGAGGAAGCGTTGGCGAGCTGGATAATGGCCACTGCTTATGGCAAAGATAGACTGGCTCGTCTGTATAACTTTGTATACAGTTTAGAAGATACCTGATATTAGTCAAGGGAGAGCGACATTATATATTTATTGTATTCAGCTTCTGTTTTGTCTCTGAACTAACTCGAGATGCCAATCCAGTCTAAGGAGCGAAGTCGTACCTCTGTAATGTTCACTTGGTATGAGGTGAGATATGATGGATCCCATGTTCTTGCCGGCAAAAGAAAGAGTGGTGAACTGCAGTCAGCAATAGCTAGTAATCCTTACTCAACATCTTGACTGCACGGAGTTCCGGACCATGGTAGTGCTTACGCCCCCGTTTATTCTCACCCGCGACTCAGCATCTCTGAGATTGGAAACAAGACTCGCACAGCACATTTTCATCAATTTGACTCAATATGGCTTCTGCAGAATCTGGAGAGTACTTTTCTGTTTCTACCATCGCGGTGAATCCCGACAGGATTGGCGAGGTATGACCCCAGCACGCTGTTATGCTCAGTCTGTTTTCTCACATAAGCAGGCCCATGCCTGTCTGGCCGAAGTTGCCGAAGCCACCTTGAAGGAGCCAGGTGCCAAGATCTACAGGTTCTACAAAACTGAAGGCAAAGACGAATTCGTATGCATGGAGAAGTAGGTGCTTCGCATTTAAGAGGTGCGACTGTAACTGACTTCAATGCTCAAGGTTTACTGATCGAGACGCGTATGCGGCACATGTTAGTTCAGAGCATGTGAGGGAATGGGCAAAGAAATACTTGGACTCGGGCATCTTTGTTAGGTCTTTTGAGTTCCATCCTCTTGCTAAAGAAGGTCCTGGAGCTGGAGGGTTCGATCGACCTTAGACAGTCATTGCACAACAGGCTTTGGTAGTTATCTAATTGACTTGGCAAATTGCCATGGAACTATCGGTCGTCCAGAAAGACAGCTAGCATTGCGTGGATTGCAGATGACTTGCGTGAGTTGGGGACAGGGGTACAGACTGATAAAATAGGATGCCAAAATAAACTTAGTAAAGGTCCCCCTAAACTTAGGCTAATTTACCTAAATATCTTTGTCGCTTAGGATCTGGGTCCTAAGTTTTCTTGCCTCCCCTAGCCAGATCTCGATGGAACGCTTCCTCAGCCTCCTGTTCCAAGCAGTTCCACGGTACAACTGCGTCTTCCATAGAAATCAATTGCAGTTTTGTCACCAATCGTTCGACAGAGTGATACGCATCGACATCATGGTCACGTGTTGGATGAAACCTTTCCTTGCTTGCAGATGGGGGGCATTGACATCATAGTGCCACTTTTCCCATCGCCACCTGGATATCATATTAACTCATCAAGACAGAACAGACCAATTCCTAAATCTTGCTAACTTCAATAGTCTGAATATCAATTAAATTTGTTCAAATTATAACAAAAATACCACCAGAAATCTCGCCCAATCATCTCATGAGATATCCACAATGGCAACAGAAGAGACAACTCAAGACGCCCGATCAAATGTCGGCGATCAAAGCGATTATTCCAGCGAAAACGAGTCAAAACAAATGACCCAAGATTCACAGAATAACCAGGTTGATCGATCCAACACTGGGTCTCAGGGAACCCTCAATCAGCCCCAAAATCAACAGTCTGTTCAAACAGCGAGCCAAGAGACGGGAAAGAAAAGCAGCGCACCTCGCGTGAGATTGGATATGGATCTCGATGTTGAGTTACAACTGAAAGCAAAGATCCAAGGCGATCTTGAATTAGCCATCTTGTAAGTCTTGTTGACCTTCAAACTTAACTCAATAATGCTAACATTTGATGCAGGGAGAACTGAGATTATTAAACGATTTTGCTTGTGGAATGTTCCCGGAATGGCGTTGATAATTATATTATAAGAGCGTTTAAATAATGATATCATAATTCATCTTCTGATACACGTTCCTGTTCTTGTCTCAGCGTTTATTATTTGCTTATGGTGATAGCCTCAGGGTAGCTTGGGAGAACACTGCATCACGTGAAGATAGCACCGGTCCCGTTTCCGCTAACCGCATTTGTCAATACTCCTCCGCGGATCCGCGGTTTCGACCTGACATCTCCGCGTCATCAGTCTGACCGTGCCAATTAATCGATATCCGATGCCAATGTGCGCTTGTTTCGCAAAATGAAACGCAATTACTCCGGAGCCCCCATTATGTCGGCTTATCGGGCATCTCGACTGCCAGTTTCGTGCCGCCCTTGCCGCGAGAAGAAGCGCCGTTGTGATCGCAACCAACCTTGTTCGAATTGTACCCAACGGTGCCTCACTTGCGTTTACGAGAATGGCAGTCGAGCCACTAATTCATTGGAGAGTGATACAGTGCCAAATCGAAATCTTGGCGAGGCTTCAGTCGACTTGAACGAAAGCACAATGGCGTTCTCCCCTCTGAGACAGTTGGATCTGTCAGCCAACCTCTTCCCCATGTACACCAACCAGCTGTGCTAATGGTATTTCAGAAACAAGGACATGCTTGACAGACTGACTAAACTAGAGAAAGCCGTCTTCCCAAATGGAGCTCAGGTATCGCAGCCTACCCAGTCAGAACCAACTTCCTCCCGTACGAACCCGAATCCTACCATGTCGGTTCTTGCGAAGCTGATCAATCGATACAGGCCGCAAGTTGTTTAACTGCCATATTGAGACTACCTCAAATAACACATCTGCTTCCATCAATGCGCGCTTGAACCATTTGACGTCGAATCTTCCGCCTGCCCACCAAGCATATCTGCTATGCGAACACTTCGTTTCCACCATTCAACCTACGTTCGGTGTCCTGCATGTACCGTCGACTAGAATACTCGTTCGGCAAGTCTATAGCGCCATGGACACTGACCATGAAATGCCAAAGATTAATGAGTTGCTCATGCTTTTCAGCATCTTTGCTGGTGCAGCTTTAGCCTGGACAGATGAACTTCTTCATAAGCTTGAAGCAACGAAAGAGAACGCCGCATCGGCCTTCGACTGTTATTTTCACTCTGCTCTGTCGATTGTTGAAGATGCTCATACACCACTACCGCCGTTGGTCGAAGTTGTCTCAGCGATATCTACCCTTGCACACGTGGCCATCAACTCCGATGATGTCGTTCCAATCAAAGCGTTGAATCTTAGAAGCCGGTGCTACCTGATGTGCCGCGAAATGATGATTCATCGCTTGGATAGCCCGGTAGCCCAGAAGGAGAGAGAAGTAAGCGTGGCTAACGAGATTGACCTGGAGGTTCAGAGACGTGTATGGTGGAACATGGTTGCTTCTGACTGGTAACGCATCCTACCTATGAACAGTGGCTGATCTTGCTGACCCTTCATCAGGTTAACTTCATTATCCGGGAGCTCTCAGGAGGGTGTCTATACGTTCATCCCAAGACTGATGAGAGTCAAACAACCGCGTAACGTTGACGACATTGACCTCAAAATGTCAGGCGATATGCCTGATTTACCTATCTCCGTTCCAACGGACATGACCTTTTTCCTCCTGCGACTCAGGACGGCGGAGATAGCTCGCGAGATTGTCGATACCATTCCGCCCCTGGCCGACGACTCCCCTGAAGAAGACTATGAAGTAATTCTTCAGCTTGACAAGAAACTACAAGACTTTGCCAAGTGTCTTCCTGAATTCTGCAAGCTCGACCCGGAGAGTATGCAGAAGTCCAAAGAGATCTGCGAAGAGAGACCGTCCATTTACTGGCAGAGGATAAGCCTTCACCTCGGTATACATGCACGGATTTGCCGACTTCACCGCCCTTATCATCTGGCGGCTTACACAGATCCCCGATATTCCTACTCTCGCACAACGATCCTCAATTCAGCATACAAGATTCTGGAACTCAGACGCATGATGGATGACCCGCTTGCTAAGCTCAACTTTAGACCTGAGAGGTATTTGGTCATCTTCTTGCACGTCACCTCAGCCGCCATAGCGTTGGCCGTTGACCTATCGCACAACCCAGATGAACCCGATGCAGATACCGTGAAAGAGAAGGTTCAGGTCGCTTATGAGATGTTGAACAAGTCAAGAAAGAACGCTCAGAGCTTGATCAAAGGCATTGAGAAGAATATGGAACAGGTCATGGGGACTTTGCAGAAGCAGCGTACGAACGCGATGACATCGGCTTCACCGGGTACGACACCAAGCGCGAATTTAAATTCTGTCCCTGACATGAATGATGTGACTATGGGCATGTCGCAAGATGGATTTGGGGATCAACATTCACACCAGCTCTGGTCAGACTTTTTGGCTTCTGTCCCTGACCTTGAAGAGTTTCAGTGGACTTCTCTTCTGCAAGACCTGGACTTTGATCTTAGTCACTTCAGTTAAGAAGTTTGAAGCACGGTGTTGGACGCATTGCAGCGTGAAGCTATCATGATGCATGTATCATGAGAAGCAATTTGCCGGCCAGGTAACCCGCTTGTCGATTTGCTGTAACCTGCAATAAGGCAAGATATGTCTTGGATAATATTACTATACTATATAAAGCCTTTTAATGACGGAAATACCCTCTTCGTGTTTGTGTAGAGACGTCAGTATTAAAACTCCGCAGTTTCATGTCATTATTTGACGCCGCCGCCTAACATCCGTCTGAACTTCGAAGCTTAGGAGATAACAACTGATTATCTGTTACAGTGTCCTGAGCTGGGTGCAGTCATTTCAACCGGAATTGAAGTTAATGTCCGATCAGTCCGGTCCAGACACAGCCCTTCACGGAAAACCCAAGAAGGAAATTCTCGACCGCGGACCTCCGCACCTGATCTCCGACGCATGAGTATATATAGATGGTGACCTTCAATTTACAATGAACAAGACAAAAACACTTTCCATCACATAAATCAAATTAAAAATCGAAGAATGAAGCAAACAAAGGCAAGTCCTTAAAATTACAGCTGCCAACAAGGCTAACATCTCCGCAGGCCATCATCATTGGCGGAGGACCCGCGGGCATTGCAACCGCTCTACGTTTACACCAGAAAGCAAACGTGAAGTGCACAATCTATGAACTTCGACCAGAGCCTTCCACACTGGGAAGCGCCATCGGCATCATGCCAAATGGCCTTCGCCTGCTTGATCGTTTGGGAGTTTACTCGGAGCTCAAGGAGCGCGGAAGCAGTCACTCAACCATGACTATACACTCCATCAACGGAGGGATACTGGGTCAGAGAGACATGGTTGCTGAAGCGAGAGAGCAAACTGGATATGGATATATGCGAATCAAGCGAACTGATCTACAGGACACCCTGTTGAAAACGGTCGATAAAGCTGGTATCGCGTTGTACTACAACAAGTCTCTCACCTCCATCACAGAATCAGTAGATTCAGTCACCGTGACCTTCTCTGACGGAACAAGCGAAACAGCAGACTTGATCCTTGGATGCGATGGGATTCACTCTGCCGTACGACGCCTACATGTCGATCCAGAACAGGTACCTGTATACACAGCGATGTCAGGCCTCGGCGCTCTGGTCCCAAGTTCTTGTGTTTCGGAGGCAGCTCGACAAGAAATGAGAGGCCTGAATGTCACAATGACTCAGGAAGGTATGTTTGGCGTCATGACATGTACTGCTTCCGACGATGAGATTCTTTGGTTTCTGTCCAAAGAAGTTCCGCTTCCAGACTCTGAGAACGCCCGTAACGGATGGGAACTTCATCGACGGGAGGAAGTGGAGGGATTCAAGACTCAACTTCACGACACTTTGAAGGTTGCTGGTGGAGAATGGGGGAGTAAACTGCGAGAGCTGATCAGCAATACTACTGCCGTCAAGTTCTACCCGATCTACAAGTTACCTACCGGAGGAAGATGGTACAAAGGAAGAACTCTTCTGCTTGGCGATGCCGCACATGCCATGCCTCCTCACGCAGGACAAGGTGTGTCGATGGCATTTGAAGACGCGTTTCTCCTTGCGCGACTTCTAGAGAAGGAACAGTCACTCGAGGATACATTCAAGCAGTTTGACGACACCCGAAGGCCAAGAGTTGAGGATATTGCAAACAGATCCTCTGGCAATGCCAAATTGAGAAGAAAGACAGGGCCGTGGGGTTTATGGCTGAAGGAGACGGGACTCTGGCTGTTTTTGCAAGGTGCCTGGGCTTTTGGTATGGATCGATGGGGATCAGAGACCCAGCAGATGGTATACGATATTGACAAAGTCAGCATTTGAGCCAGCGTGTTTCAGTAGATTTTGGATCTTCACTGTTGGATAGTTGCTATGTAAATCACTTATATTTCAATATGATACGCGGTGAACGCGGCCAAGACGCGATCTGCATCCTTCAGTAAATGCATGACTTCATTCTCCTCCATATCATCTTGGCTGCGCATGGATCAACGCTCTTCCGAGCAGGGCACCCTTGAAAAAGTATTGGGCACGAATCCTACGATGAAAAGGAGAAAATGCCGCAAATAATTCTTGGTTCCTCTTTGTTCTTCCTTCATTGACGCGTTTGTCCCCGTGAACTTCGCAGCTGGTGGCTCTTGCGATTGTGAGAAGCTTCACGATTGCAGCCATCCATTCATGATAAATCGATATCTTTGAGCAAGAACGCAAATTATCAACAGTTTCTTTACTAACCAAAGAGCCTTTGATCTATCTAGTTTCCAAAGGTAAGCTTCCTCATGATTTCCTACGTTCCCCTACCGTCAATGATGAGATTGAAACAAATACTTCCATGGCTATGATCACATATGATTCAAGCTGTTTCCGTTACACAAGCTGAGACATCTGATATCCTTCCGCTTTGATTACCGCCTTTATTGATCATTATACTGACTTAACGAAGTTACAGATCCGCGTTACATAGTGTCAGGCTGGAAGGAAAGAAATCTGACAACTTGGTCACACTTGAGCTGAGATTTAGTTGCGTTAATGACAAAATTGAACCGTCCTAAACCTCAAACCTGCGTATGCCGTTGACCTTAAATTTAATTCGTGTACCTCGTAAGGGGTGTTGAACAAGGACTGTAGAGAGGCTTGGGAGATAGGAATATAAGCTTTATATATTCTGTGACTAGCCATTCGATGCCAATTGGCCCGTTTCCTATCTTAGTCTTCGAACCGCTGATTGCCACGGCCTTGGCTCTTAAGATCAATCTCCTCAAGGAACATTGACGTCAACAGTCCGAAAGCACCCAAGCCCGCCATGGTGTAGAAGATCGTGCGAAAACATTCGAGGTAGACTCTTAGTACCTCATTAAGTGTTCCCCGAGGAATGTTCAAGGACCCGAGTTCTTTGATGAAAGCAATGGCTTTTGAGGCGTCCTCCAGAGGTTCCAATGGCCCTGTAATTTGCAAGGAGCTAGAGGCGATAGTCTTTGCAAAGACAGTATTGAAGATCGCAGAAGCAATGGTTAGACCGAGTAGACCACCAAACATACGAATCGTGAGGAATTGCCCGATTGCAACGCCTGTATCGTCAACAGTCTTGACGCTGGCTTGCATCGGTAGAAGGTTGAGTCGCAGAAGAGCAACACCTGTTCCCCAGATGACGGGAAGTCCAAAAAGCATCGATGAGGGCGAATTGAGATTGAAGAGTGCCAGAATTCCAGTACCAAGAGCCAATAATGCCCATGAGAGCCTCAGTAGCCAGGTATAGCCTCCAAACAATGGCACCATCATCATGGAGATCACTGCAACGAACACGCTAATGATGGACGTTGGCAACAGGAAGACAGCTGATTTAATCGGCGTTTCCAGATACACTGCTTGATAAATCAGTGGCAGATACTGAAGTAACGAAACAAGTATCGCTCCGTGAATGAAACCTCCTAGTAATGTCATGTTGGCGGTTATTGAGTGGAACAGACGATGAGGCATGATTGGTGCTGCAGGTTTCGCTTCGTAAAAGACGAAAGCAACAAGAACCAAGACTCCCAGAATCATTGGGACCAATGTCTGCCATGCTGCCCATGAAAACAAAGAGCCAGCCCAACTGAGCGGCAGCACAAAGACCGTGATACCAGAGACAACGAGACCCATGCCAATCCAGTCAAGGCGTTCAATGTTGCTAGCAAGTGATGCATCCATCGTGACAGGCCGTAACTTGAGAAAAAAGAACACCAACGGTGTTCCAATTCCGAGAATGGGGAGATTGATCCATCCGATCCATCGCCAACTGGCGTACGTAGCAAACAAAGCTCCGACAGACGGCCCGAGAATATTGCCCACTGCATTCGGAATGCCCATCAAACCAAGATATTTGGATCGTTCCTCGAGTGTTGTCATGTCAGCGAGGATGACCTGGATAAGAACATCGATGCCACCGCCGCCAAAGCCCTGGAGTACACGGCCCACGATGATGGTCTTCATGTTCTGAGCGACGGCAAAAGTAATGGATCCGATGAAGAAGAGTCCAATGCAGACATAAAGAGGTGGTTTTCGGCCGAATGCGTCTGATATACTCGCCCAGACTGGCTGCATCACCAGACCGCATAGCGTATAGGATAAGTTGGCCCAAAAGGACTCCAGACTTGACCCTTTGAGATCATTGGCTATCGTCTGGCACAAAAGTCAGTACAGAAGCCCTTCATAGAGAATTACGAAAGCTGAGGATGATCTTACAGGAAGGGCAATGCCAAGTGCTGTTGCATCTACTTGGAATACGAACAAAGTAGCCGACAACCCTATGAAAGCCAATTTGAAGGCTAAAGATTTCTTTTGATTTGGCAGACTGCTTTCATCGCCTGGCAACGCTTCCGCATCCTTCGCTGATGATTTTTCCTTCACGTTTTTTGCTGTCTCAGGTTCAATGCCAGGACTTCGCTGTACTGGAAATGCCGAGATCTCGGGATTGCATATTCTGGCGTCTGATTGTTCCATCTTGAGCATTTCACTGAATAAATCTAACAATATCCATCATGTTTATCTCAAAGATAAAACTGGTACCAATGCGATCTCAAGAACTGTCACGTGCTGTGATGAGGCCTCCTTGAATTCACTGCAAGGGGTTTAGCTGAGGTTCTGAAGGATCGAAGGATCCATAATATCCGGGTAAAACGGAATTAAGCAACTGATATGATAGGATCGTTCGAGCACCATAATCCTAGCACGGGTTACCCAGCTTACGCAGAGACCAATCTCATCGGAATCGTGAAGACTCATAATTTCTTCTTATGTTTATTTCATGCATGTTGCGTATAAAATTCGTGACGTCTTGGAGTCTCGGGTACTGATGAATGGGTCAGTCTACCAGTCGCTTCGTTTGTTAGTGCTTACGGGTCATTTCCCAACCGTTCCACCGAGTCGGAAACACGAAACACCGAACGATGGCTTCGCGAGATGCCCTGATTGTTCAGAAGAGAACCAGGTCGAGTGTTCCAAGGCGGAAGACAGGTTGCCAAACATGCCGGTGAGTGCAATCTAGCTTCCTGCTCGTAGAGATATGCACACTGCTGAAGTGATCGGGGGGAGAAACGGCTGACAATTCAACAGCAAAAGAAGGATAAAGTGTGATGAGAGTAAGCCGAGCTGCGCGAGGTGCATTCGATCGGGATGGAAATGCGATTATGGTACAAAGCTGGCCTCTTTAGACTCTTCAGAGAGTGACTCTGCTGCTTCCAGTCCATCAGCTTCCTCACCTCTGTTGCCCATCGCCAGCTACTCCATCCCATTCAAAATTCCTGGAAGCCAGAAAGACCGGAAATTACTCCACTACTTCTGTGTCCAAGGATCGGTTGACATCTCAGGGTTTCTGTCATCCGACTTCTGGTCACAAACTGTACTCCGAGCTGGGCACCAGGATCTAGTGGTACGGCAAGCCCTCGTTGCAATGAGCTCACTCCATCTGGACTATACGTCGTCAAGTTCAGGAGGACGATCAGTAGCCAGTCCTGAGACCTTGAGTCTATATGGTAAAGCTCTACGATCACTGGGGAAGCGCTTAGCTCAGCCATCAGACGACACGACAAAGACTGCTTTGGTCTGTTGCATTTTATTCTATTGCTGCGAAAGCACCATTGGTGACCGCAATGCCGCACTTCAACATCTCAGCAATGGCCTCAAGCTCCTTGTGTCTGCGCAACGTGAGAAGACTGCCGACGAATCCGAGGACATCACGAGGTTGACCACTATCTTCGAACGTCTCGACATGCAAGCCAGCTTCTTTGAGGATGACCGGATACCAATCCTTGCCCTAACAGAGTACAAATGTGGGGACACAGACCATGGTACCTTGCCGTTGCAGAAAGGTTTCCTTGGGCTTCAAGACGCTCAGCAGCGGCTGGTAAAGCTCCAGGCCTGGCTCTACCATTTCGTCAACAAGAACGTCCAATTCTATCAGGAAACAAAAGAGTCGCTAAGCTCGGACATCTTGGAAGAAAAGTCAGCTTTGGAACAAGGCTACAATGCTTGGATCGAAGACCTCCACGAATTCGAGAACAGGGAGCAACGCGACGACCAAACCTTGCGCGGAATCCGGACGCTTCTCGTTCACTTCCATGTTTGTCAAATGATATTGCAGTCCAAGTTCCCTCAAGATCACGAAGTGTTTGAAGCTTCGCCTAACCCAGCCGCTCATCACATACTCGACTTGGCTGAGACCTTGCTCGAGCATACTATACAAGTCAACGCCTCTCCCAATGCTACTAAGACTCCGCGACGCAATTTCTCGCTGGAAACTGGAGTTGTAGCTCCATTGTTCGCGTTGGCCATAAAATGCTCTGATGGCTCCGTGGCTACAAGGGCTACTCAAATGCTTGCCTCGTCGCACAGAAGGGAGGGGTTGTACGATGCTCAAACCATGTCACACATCATCAACGAACTACATAAATCCCGCGATGGTGCTCTGAGTGTCAAGAAGGAAGCCGGTAGTGGAGTAAAAGCTATGAGTCCACTGGAATACCATATACCTAAGCACTACGACGGTGGTGGCATAGATAAGCTTCTATGGTCTATGAGCCTCTGAGAACATATGATCAAGGCCCACTTCCAGACATGGAAGCGCAGAATTACATACCAACTGAAGGAATTAATTTTAATTGCAAAGAGGAATTGTTCTCCTGTCTTGTCGGGTTGTAATAACAATGGGGTTCCTTCAAGACTGAAGTTCCTGGGTGCGTTGTGCGGCGTAGCTGAATGGCCATAAGCCCTAGTACGAAATGAGCGTGCTCAGTTTGTTCGTGAGGCAGAGACAAGTTCCCGCCTTACTTGAAGCCATGAAACTACAATTTCTTCTTACCCGTGTATTAACTGTACAACTACTTGCTGGCCATAAGGTTAAAGTTTGGGCTGCCAATACAGATGATAAGAAGACGATATCTTTTTTCACAATATAAGCTTCTACCCAAAAGCTCCCACGATAACCAATAAACCTTATAGTAAGCTCTCAGGGCTTTGTAATAATCGTGTATTAAAGATGCTAGTATTTCCCTGGCCGTGGACAATATGGATGGTCCAATGACGGGGGACCGCTGTAACGGAACAATGTCACAAGGCTGACTGACAAGGCAGACAGACTCTCCGTAGTCACCCAACTGCTGGTATCAGCCTAACTGCGGGGAAAACCTGATAATCTGACCTGTGATTTCTGCACAGCCGAACATCATTCGAACGACAAATGAAAGGACTGGCCTAATAAATGTGCTAGACCGTCTTGATTTATAGGTCATCTCAGGCTCAGTCGGGGGGCTTAATACTCCGAAGTTTCATTTCAACGGAAGGTCAGACTCCATCATCACGCATCGCCCGTTATCAAACGCAATAGCAATGGCAGCCAACACAAATCTTCAAGAGGATGAAGACGAAATTATCAACGCCTGTACATACCACAGGAGTGAATTCGACAAGGTCCTCATACGGACGCCTGAGCGAAAGCTCGATGCACCATTTCTGCAGTCTTCCTTTGACACCACTTCATCGTCAAGCCTCGGTATCTTGGACCGACTCCCTGAAGAATTAACTCTCATGATACTTCGCGAACTCGACATTCTCTCATATCTGCGTTTTCGGGGAGTCAGTAACCGTGCACGCAGCATAGCAACAACATCGCGTGAATACAAAACTGTCGTGAAGCATGGACTTCAGGGACTGAAACCATTGCTCAAGGCTGAGCTGGGACATGTTCCTACCATTGCCCACTTCTACCAGGCGCTCGTCGATAACAAGTGCGAATTCTGCGGAAAGTTTGCAACATTTCTATATCTTATCACTTGCCAGCGATGCTGCTTCACTTGCTTGCAAATCTCTGCCGACCTGCATGTTCTACCTGTCCCGGTACCCAAAGCGTTCGCGAAAGCGGTGGAGAGCTCAAGTAAGGAGATCGAGAAGATTTGTGGACCTAAACTTCGAGTCGTCTACGGCAAATACTCTCTGCAGCCGTGGCCAAGCGTCAAGAGACCCAGATACCTTGTGCAAACCAAGCCTGTCGTTGAGAAGCTCAGGTCTGCTGGTTCTTCTCGAGGAATGCCAAAGTCTGTACTCTCATATCAACCGCAAAGTCAATCTCACGACGAAATAAGGCATGACTTTTGTTACCGGTATATGGCTGCTACGGCCTTTCCTTGGTACAATTTGAGAAACGATAGAATTGAACGGGGGATGAATTGCAAAGGTTGTCAGTTCCGTGTTGAAGAGTTTGAACGCACAAACAGGCATCTGGACCCTCCATGGGGTTTCAATGATCGGGATCGGGTGTATTCACTGGAAGAGTTCGTGTATCACTTCAGATCTTGTGCGCATGCTAGACAAGTTTGGGCTGATACACAGGAGACACAGGAAGCGCCAGAATCAACTTTCACTCTTCAAGGTGGCATTGTGATTCACTATGAGCCAAGACATGAGCTCCATTGATGTCGTAATGAAGAATAATGTATAGTAGTGGAAGTTTCGCGTAAGGTCTGTAGAGGTTCCCCCTTAGTTGTCCATACATGCTGAAGTATTGCTGTGCGGGGATACTTTTGATACCAACAGTCACATACTCAAGACATCAGTATAATAGCATGGTAGTTCAAAGCTTGAGAGCGCAGTTCTGCAAATAGAGATCCAAGTTCATACAGCCACATTACCATTACCAAACCTGGATGGAAGGCCTTCTCCTGAGCTTCATACATGGCTTCCGCATTCCTTAATATACACAAAAGCATCCCTCTACTGCCTGTCTGTACAAATTAGGCGTTCTTGAGTGCCTCGTGGATCTCCTTCTTATATCTTGTATTGATAGCCCGTCGGTTGAGCTTTTGGGTAGCAGTCACAAGTCCCTGGGTAATTGAGTTAGCGAGATTCGCGAGTCGGAGGATGGGCGAACTTACGCTTGCCGGAGTCCATTCTTCTGGGGTTATCACTACGCCAGCAACAATCTCAGCACTCGATAGACCACCGCGCTTCCCAGCTGCTTGCAGTTCCTTCAGCAGAATTTCCTGAATTCGAGGATCACTGTGCATGCTGTGCTCATCAACGCCCAACTCCCGAGCCATGTGGAGAAGAGAGGTCTCATTAGGCATGACGACAGCAATAGGCCGAGAGTGGTCAGAATCGGCATAAACCATGACGTTCATGATACCCTGAACTCCGCGATAGATAGCTTCTAGCTTTTCGAGCGCAACATACTCGCCACTGAGTAACTTGACCAGGTTCTTGATGCGATCGATCACTCGAAGATGGCCATCGGCATCGAACTCGCCAACGTCTCCGGTTTTAAACCAGCCATCTTCAGTAAAGCTTCTCTTGGTTTCTTCCTCATTTTCGTAGTATCCCAACATAACGGCCGCACCTTTAATCAGGATCTCACCTTGCGGTATCTCGGCATCTGCAGAGTAGCCGAAGTCGGGGACAGAGACCAACTTGACCTCGATTGACCCTGGAATTGTACCGATCGAGTGGAGGGTGAACTCAAGAGGGGATCCCAATGATCCGTTTGCACAGGTTTCTGTGAGACCATAACCTGTGAACATTGGAGCCAAAACTATGGACAGGAAATGCTTCGTCGATAGAGAAATAGCGCTTCCACCATTGAAAAGAAACCGGATCCTGCCACCAGTCATCTCCCGAATCTTTCCAAAGACGATGTTATCAAGCAGACAAGCACCGGGTAGCTTGTGTTTGACCATGAAACTCTTGTAAGCAAAAGCACGCCAGAACAAAGTTCGTAGTAGCACGCTGGAGTTGAGCCGAGTCATGACGCCTTTTCTAATAGTCTCGTAGACCTGAGGGACACCGGGCATAATTGTAGGTGCTAGTTCACGCATGTCGCCAGCGCAGTTTCGTACGGACGTATCAGAGAGGGTTCGTGGGTTACCATAGCCGATGGCTCCGCCAAAGTAATACCCGAGATTCTCGAGAGCCATTTCCAAGACGTGTGCAAGCGGAAGATAGGCGAGTAAGACGTCGTTATGGGTGACACAGTCGGAGACGCAGGTATACAGACCGGCAACTAGAATAATCCATCAGCATCGGCTATCAAGAAGAAAATGGAGGTCATCTTACTGCCTGCAACGAGATTGCGGTGCGCGATTCGCACGCCCTTGGGAACGCCTCCAGATCCTGACGTGTACATCACACAGTACAAGTCATCGGGTTCGGGATAAACAGGATCTACCATTTCGTTCTGGCCATACTTGCAAAGGTCTTCGAAGCTAATCACTTTGATCTTTGGGTGTGAGGTCTTGAAGTTTTCCAGAATTTCCGATCCGCCGAAGATGGATGCTTCATTCACAATCAGAGTGTGTACTTTGGACTTCTTGAGAGGCTCCGCTGCGGTCTTAAGCAGGTAGGGGTCGATATACATGACCTCAGCCTGGGTCTGTAGGAGACTGTGTTCAAGGCCACTTGATCCAAGTGAGTCGTAAGCTGTGATGATTGAGATGGACTGAGTAGCACAAGCATGCGATGTAGCAATCCACTGCGCACTAGATCGACCTTGATTAGAATGAATGCAAAATCAATATTGGACAGCTTTCGTACCTCGTGGAGCCGAACAAAAACACTTTGTCACCTCGTCCAAGCCCCAACTTTCGCAAACCTGAGCCGACTTCAAAGCAATGCTTCTCGTACTGCTTGTACGTCATGAAAGAAAAGCCAGATAACTCGAAGAAGGTCCATTCCTTTTCCATTTTCTGGACCTTGCCGTCGACTTTCTTCTCGAACTGATTTGTTCCCTTGTGGAGCTGAATCAGCTTTCTAGAGCCAACAGCATTGCTGTCGGGGAACAGTCGTGCGCTGCGGCGGATAATGTCGAAAACAGTGCGAAGATCTTCGGATGGGCGTTCGATCAGGCCATCGCGAGCCCGTGGATGGCGGCGGGGAATAGTTTCGTTCGGGGTTTTCTCGTATCCCGGTGATTCGATGGTGAAAGGTGGTTTGAACACCTGATATAAAGGTGTAATGCCTGAGGTATGCGCCATTCCGTCGCAGGGTTGTTAGAAGGGAGCAGGCGCGAAAGAATTGTAAAAATCTGACCAAGTGTTCACTACCACAGCGCGAATATTTCACAAGCCGCGAGATATGAGAAGGTCAACGTTGGGACCGTTGGCTCCAAAAGGTGACTGACAATCATCAGCACCCAACAAAAGAATGGGGACGCAATTTTGTTGGCGCCTTATCCCTGCGTCCGATCCTGACTCACTCCACTCTGACGTGGGACCTCTGACCAACCTACAAAGCGTGGGCAATATAGCGACGCGTAAGTCTTGGTTGTTTGCTGTATCTGTCACACATGGCTAAGCCAAGTTGGGTGCCACGTCTGACACGCTGACACTACCAACCATTCCACCAACCATTCCACCAACCAATTGTCCGAGGGGGTAATAGCACTTGGCAATACAATAATAAGCTGACTGGCGGCCAGTAGGATTACCAGACTTCGATCATGTTTCGTGGCTAGTATGTTCAATTTATCCTGTCGGCTTGGCTTATTGACAAGAAATGGCTGTAAAGGATGGGAAAGCGGGTAGATGCGTTTCGACGGCAGAGTATTGACCCATATGCCTAAACCCCTTTACTGAAGAAGAATATAAGCATCAAAGCGGTTGTGATGACATGTAGGTCCACTGGATTCGGGTTACCCAAGGCTATATCATGCGTGAGCGTGCTCTTTCTGACATAATCTGTCAGTCGGTCGCGTTGGATATTGGGCTTTTCGAGCGGGAACTTCAAATGCACTATAGGATTTATTTCGGTTGGGCTTCGCAGCTCGGATTTCGGCCGTCTCACCGTTGTTGGCCGTCGGCAAAAGAAGAAAGTCGCTTTCGCCATTCATCAAACGTAATTGAGCATGTGGCTTTGGCCGGGAAGTTCAGATATCGTAGGCAAGTTGGTAAATCGTCCTGACGCCAATCATCAGCTCCAGGCAGCCATATACAACTCAATCTTGCTGGGTACCTGACAGGTGTCGTAAAGCTGCCGGACATTCTGGCTATAGAAACCTACAGCGACGTGCAGTCCCCAATCACTATGTCAATTGCGTTGAAGCGGCGGGGCTAAGGCCAGCTTCGATGATCAAGTTCAAAACGCAACCCTCCTTCGCTTAGTAACAGAACTGCGATTTGGTACACTTGTCTGCCTTCCAGTTCAGCTTGTTGTAGTTTATTACAAGAAAGCTATAGTCACTGCGTACAGTACACCTTTCTTGTGCCCTACCCGGTTTGGATTTTCAGGGCGTGAGTTGGCCAAGATGTGCCACTACCTCTCTAACAGCGCGGGCGTTGGCATATCAGTAAGCTGGTTCCTCATACACTACCTAAAGTGAACCCAGGATGTATTATATAAAACTAAACCTTCTAATGCTGCTTCTGGCCTTGGTGCTATCATATAGGACGTCGCACAATAGATCAACGTGCCACATATGGCTTAGATAGTCTAGAAGCTCTAGCTTTTGGTGCGTAGTAGGGTTTAGCACCCTCTGCGCGAAGTACCATCTGTAATATAAGGAGCACAGATAGCAAGCAACCCTCAGCATGTATACTTGCATAAAGACGTTTCACGATGCGATTTGAGAGTGCGTTCTAGGATAAAAAGTTCTCATGTATACGAGCAGCACTAGATTGGCATTCCCCCTTTGACATACCCAGCGCCAGTGGAAGTCAAGGGAACAGATCTTTGGTCTCGACTGAGGTCGGGCAGAAACAATCTTCACAACCACCACCTGGTACTGTGAGCTCATTTTCATCCCGCAGCCTCAAGGAGCATAGGAAACCATTCGAAAGTTCTTACATCAGATTCTTCCCCACTGAGTTTATTAACGACTCTTCCAGCGCAAACCAAGAGGAGCTGTCTTCCAATGCCGATCATGAATTCTCTACCGCGGCCTTGAAGTCTTCGCGCCATCTCTGAAACGAATCCCGAAAGCGATCGTGAATCGTATACTTGATGATAAAGGCTGCGAGCCCACCATACGTCTCCCAGCCAATATACTCAGTCACCTTCTCCCCATTCGTCGGGTCGACGGATTCTATGAACTCGTGGACGCGTTCGTTATGGCTCAGGAAGAACGGCATGCCGACGTAACGCCATGTAACACGATATCCTAGCCTCCCATCATCAGTCTTAAAGCGCTCTAGTCTGTCAACGGTTTCAGCGGCTGTATTTGTCCGCTGTTTTGAGTTCTTATTCATATGAACATCAACTGTGAAGTCCACCCCTGCATAGAGATAACCAGGGCGAGAGATGACTTCACGTAGCTCGGACTCATTTGTCGTTTGATCGGTGATGGGGGGAGCTTTTGTGATGGTTCCACGAGGGGTGAGGGCGTTCCAGTATGACCAGGTATTGGTATCGATGAGCTTCTCAAGGCATGTAAGTGCTGGTGCATTAATCATGACAGAATAGCTGATTGAGAATGCGGACAAGGCATTGACGCTATTGATTGGGGTAGGGAGAGGAGGGCCAAGAATGGCTGGCTGCCCTTTGGTAATTTTCCCATTGGAAAACGACATCGATGAAACTAAGAGAAAGAGAAAGGTTGATCCCACAAAATCAATCAAAATGTCAAAGATCGATTATTCAATATGTTATCTCAATTCCAGATAGGAAGGTCATGAAGGATTGAGGGGAACTGTCTGGCTGATCTTCGGGTACTAGTATTGCGTAAGCTGACAACACCAACATCTGCCCGCAAATGGCTCGGCAACTTCCACGTTCTAGTCAGCGGTGCAGCCTGTAAGTTTCGCCTTGTGAGCTTATTGTTACGGATTGATAACGGAAAAGTTAATGTCTTGTTCTGTCGCTGATCATACTATAGGGTTCGTTCTAGCGAGATTCATCCTTTGTCCTCACCATCGTTCGTGCATGCGCCAGATGCTCATAGCCCAAAGCACGAATTCAGCTTAAGTAAAGCCAGTGACTAGTCACGAGGATACTCTATTCAGACATTTGCATCAATTATAAAGTCGAGTTGGACAGCATCGGCCAGAGAATATGGGCGGCGCCGAAATAAACGACCCCTTCACTCCCGAATTCGCCGAGTTCGTGGCGGAGACCATGGATGAATGGAAGCTTCTTGGAACATCTATCGCGGTGGTGGATGGGGATGAAGTATTCTCTCAAGTTCGTTCGACCCGCGTCAACTTCAAAATTTCATCTTTCTAACACTTGAAAGGCATTTGGTTACGCGACATTGCCAGACATCCCCGCTACCCCAGAAACCCTTTGGTATGGAGGATCTACAACTAAAGCATTTGTCACTACAGCTTTGGCCTATCTGATCGAAAGCAAAGAGTACTCTGCCTTGTCCGATGGCTGGCAGACTAGAGTTTCGTCGATCATTCGTGAGGACTTTGTCACCCAAGATGATTGGGCAACGAACAACATCACGCTTGAGGACCTGGCAAGCCATCGCGCAGGCCTCAGCAACAACGACGCAGGTATTCGCTTACATGAGGATGGCAGACAATGGACGATCAGAGATATCGCACGGAACATTCGTAGCTCTCCTCTTGAATCTCAACCGCGAACAAGCTTCTCTTACAACAATGAGGCTTATGCTACTCTCTCTCTTGTCATCGAAACAGTCACCGGTAAATGGCTCGGTGATGTGTTGAAACAAACTATCTGGGGTCCTCTTGGTATGAACTCTACATACCTCGACTTGCAGGAAGCCGAAGACGCGCCCGAGCACTTGTCAACAGGCTACTACTGGGATCAGGCAGAGAAGTGTCATAGGTCTATTAAACAACTACCTACGGATATTCTCAGTGGTGCAGGGGCTATTATTTCCAACGTCGTTGACTATACGAAGTGGATTAAATGCCTGCTTCGTCAAGACGCTCCGTTGTCGAAACAGGTGCACAAGGACATACGCAGACCTCGTATTGTTGACAACCCAGACCCTGCCCGTGGAACAGACGTTTCTCTGTATGGGCTCTCTTGGTGGAGGACGTCAATCGATGGCCATGTTGTCTACTGGCACTCTGGATCTACAACAGCACATGGCGCTCTGATCTACTGGCTACCAGAAGTGGACTATGGTGTTGTTGTCCTAGCAAATCACCCATCTCCAGTAAGAGAGATTATTGTCCGACGACTTGTCAATGACAAACTCAAAGTCACGTTGGACAAGCGGTACGACGTCGCTAAAGAGTACGTTAAGATTACCCTGGGAAAGCGAAGCCAAGACTGACTTCAAACAGTGCTCGAGAAGCGGAGCGACAGAGACAGCAGGACGCTGAGAATGCAGTGTCGACCCTTTTTCCAAATGCTCCATCGACACCCCGCCAGCCCTCGGTTGATGTTGAAGAGCTTGCAGGCAAATACTATCATCCAGGTTACGGCGTCTTCGATTTCACTACTGCTCAGAGGGCAGACAGCTCAGGGCCAAAGGACCTTGTTGCTGATCGCACAGACGTGCTTTGGAGAAGCCGCGTATTGCTCCGTCACGTCTCTGGGGATTTCTGGGTGATGTTTAGTTCGCTTATGGATACCCCGGGGGTACCAGAGATGTTTTTTGCCACAGAGTTTAAGCTTGGGGTCGACCTTGAGGTTTTGGGTCTCACTTTGAGGTTTACCAAGAAATATTCAAGCTATGAGGTATTTCTATCTAAGGTTTAGAATAGCAGGAGATAAACGAATTAACTATACTGTTATTCAGCTTTCTCGGTGATACGACCGGTTCATGTTCTCAATGGAGCGTGACGAAACCTCAGACTGCTTCAAGTTGATATGCGGAATTTCGGACTCTCGGGGCGTTGCACTCGTGCTCTCCGTGTTTCATGCCGGAGAACGTAAGAGGCAACAAGGCTTTTCCAGGGTGGAGGCGCTCAGTCGGTCCAGCTTGCTTCCAGGGTACTTGGACGGCACACTTCGATCTGACACTGCAAACCCTGGGCGGGACAGCCCGCCCATCCGCGGCGGCCTGGCCTCTGTTGAAGAACAATGCATGCATACCATTCGCCAGATTAGTTCCGGTTGGGGTAATCCCGACTTCGTGGATGCAAAGCCCTACGTAATGAAGGCTGTTGATTAGCCAGGATACGATGCTTTGCATGAAAACCGTTGAAATCGTTTATCTCGTTTCCTAAAGTTAAATAACGAACTCTGACATCTCGGCCCGAGTAAGCTATCCGTAAAACTCACTGTGGGACACTCAAATCTTTAGTAATGCATGGGCGTTTGCAGACGCAAAGCTACAACATAGGATTTCTAAGCCTGCCCTCATACGCGCTGACAAGAGTCACTACGTGGATGAACTATCTAGAGTCCTAGCAGGGCCACAATGTTCCCAATGCCAAATTCAGATGACCCGCTCCCATAGGCCCCTGCATTCTCCGCCTTACGGCCAATGAACTCCAAGATGCATCCTGTCTCCTCCTCTTTCAGAAAGAAATGCCGAAGGCCTGTAGCGAGGTCAAAGCTCGGCTCTTCAGCGGTTGTTTCCCATCCTTTCCGCCTGACCTCGTCAAAGACAAGATCAACATTGTCGACTTGAAGAGCCATATGGTGGAGGTATGGCCCGTGGTGGCTCTCCATAAGCTTGTAAAAGACTGATTCCTGAGTGAGACCTTCGGTGAGAACCATGACGCGGCTGGCGTCGGACGGAAGACCCATAACATGCATCAGCCCGTCGTCACTTTCCGCAGTGGCACCCGCCCTGACTGTAAAGGTTCGCACTGGTGTGAAACCCAGCATGTACTCGTGGAATATCCTTGCGGCTGTTGAGCCAGGCATGATGGCTGCGTAGTGATCGATCTGACCAGTTGAACCGTCAATCAAGCTCAGCACATGCTCGGGAGAACTATCTTTAGACTTTATCTCTTCGAAGGAGATGCTTTCACTGCTGAGTACGCTACGAGCTCTTTCCAGATTGTAGACACAGAACTGGACAGAAAGTCCGATGTCAGTAGGCCCGGCGCCCTCCGGTGCTTGGTTGATGCTTAACGTTGGATCACCTGCGCCCGGCAGTTGATGCAGACTTCCATCAGGGCTAACGCTGGCGCCGTACACCTTTGTTATGGTCTCAATTGCGCGTGGGACGTTGGGGGTCGTGAGAGTCAGATGTGACATCTTCTTAATGCCCAGAAGATTGACTGCGCCAAATTGTCTACGAAAACCTGCCAGGTTCTCACAAGCAATCCACAGAGCTGTTGCATCTGCACTGCTTGCTACATTGGTGAAAAGGCTATTTACGAAAGCCCTTGAGTCATTGGCACATGCTTCAAGAGTGGGTGCTCCATAACCTTCCAACGCAAGACCACTGCAGGCTCTCATGAACAGGTTGGCTGTTCCCGAGTTGCTAACCCATTCGGGCAACATAAAAATACCTGCGGCGTCAAGCTCAGCTAGGATCTTATCCTTGGCTTCGCTCTGGCAGAAAACGTTGTTGGCGCCTGCAAGGATGAACCGAGCCCCACGAGGAACTTCAGCGAACGTGCCATCGACCAAAGCCGGAATGGTCTCTGGCCCTAAGACGTAGCGTTGGGCGCACGGTACAAAGACGTCACCATCTGAGACACCCAAAAAGTCGGCGAGATGATCCTCATCGCTGGTCCTAGCTGGGTGTAGAGAGGCGAATCAAGCTGGTTTTAGGTCAATCCCGCCTCGAGACTCCGCCGATCAAGCCCCATTGCCTGACCGCTGTCAACAACTTGGTGGCGGAGGCGTTCGATGACATCGCAGTCGATGCCTTTGTTGTCAATGTAGAATCCGTATGGGCTGTTGCTACCGTGATTTGTATCCTTGGTTGGATCGCCACCCAGACTCTCAGCTGCAGATATGGTAGTGACCGATTTCTCAGTGAGGGGCATATTGCTGATGCCAGGCATTGGGGATCCGACAGTGGACCTGATGACTTGTCGATAGTAGTGAGAAGCAAGATAGAAGAACGGTAGTTGAAATTGAGTATTGTCTTGTGTAAGGCTGTTGTGTTTCTTGATTTTTTGGTTCTTCCGTGACGGAGAGCTTCTGCCATTTATATACTTCGCATTCTCATGAGCGTTGCATTGCACATCGCTAAGGGATGGTTCACATCCGTCCTCCTCCAGCATCACAATTGTCATGGGCACAAGTATCCTCTTCGTCGTGGGTGATGCTCTTTACTCCTACTCGTGGTGTTGTCTCTTCCGTGACGAACCTCTTGCAGTTGCAGATCGCATTACGTCCTTGAAACAACCTTTTCGGCAGTTGGGTTAGCTCGGTCAAAGTCATCCTCCATGAGAGGATCATTGTGCCTAACATCCCACTCTCATCCCCATCCCCTGCAATAGAAGGCTACTTAGGACGAAGCGCAAGTGAAGTGTCCCCAACCATTCTTTTACCTCAACATCCACTCCTACTTTTACAAGGATACATTTGGTTCACAAATCGTTCTACAGCTTACAACTTTATCTTGCCTAAATCAGGAATACAAACAAGTTTTCAAAGAAAGCTCAAACCAATCCGCCATCAACGCTTCCAACTCTGCCAAAGAGAGTATCGCAAAGATCCTCAACTCTTATATTGCAGCTGGAGCCATTGCGGCCGCCTAGGAAGTTGGCCTTCTCGACCAAGTCCGAAACCAGAAGATGGTGGATATTGGCGTATTCGCAACTGACCACGATCTTCACTTCGACTCCATGGATGCCCTAGTTTCTTCACTCGCCACGGTCGAAGCCCTTGAGCGTGATGGGACTCATGCCAAGCCGGGGAGACTCTTGGAAGAAGCCTATGTAACCAAAGGCCTGTTTCATTGGCTTGCTCTTGGATCCGGAAGCCTCTTCGCTCGTACCCAGTATGCATTGCGGAACAGGAACCGGAAGGGACAATACTTCACTCGGGACTCGGCAGCTATTGCGTTGGCATGCCGTGAAGTAGACCTCCAATACATTGACCCTGTCTTTCTCGATGCCTTGGACAAATCGGTTTGTCAGTTCAACTCAGCAGTGGACCTGGGAAGCGGCAGCGGTGAGAGACTTATGCAGATTCTGGACCGGTTCCCGGGATCTACTGGTATCGGCATTGACACTGCCGGTCCAGCGAACAGATGTGCCAAGGCGGATGCGGTCCGTCGTGGGTATGACCATCGTCTTACTTTCGTGGAGGGTGATGCCCGGGACCTCAGCTACCAGGAAGAGCTTTCTCAGGTGGATCTTTTGACATCCTTTCTGATGGGTCATGACTTTTGGCCTAGGCAGAAATGCATTGCAACTCTATGGAACCTGCGCAACATCTTTCCGAACGTGCAGAGATTCTTTCTCTGCGATACCAATTAACTCAGAGACGAAACTCCAACACACCAAAGTCCATTTCCGTTTCTAGAGCAAAGTTCCTGCCGCTCTAAGCTGAGTTAGTGCTGAGGCAGGCTAAGCTGAGGTGCCTGAGTAGGCCCGTTTTTTTGGGTCGTATACCCCTGCCAGGGTCCTTAGCGGGGACTAGATCTGGGACCATATTCTTATTTTGGGCTCTGGTTAGACTTTCCTATATTAAGAAATCTAACCTTTGTGAACTAATGTTATAAGAGATCTCTATATTTAATACTATTATTATATAAACTATTACTACCCCAGTTTAGACCACTGCTTTTTCACTGATTTCACTTTATCTGTTCTCGTACGCAAGGTTGATTGGTCACGTGCCCCACCACGTGCATTCAATTGATTGAGGTCGATTTGACTTTCGCCAACTAACTTACACAAAACTCAACACAATTCCTTCACAGAACCCCGCCTTTACCCCGCGTTCATCCAACTCTTTTGCGTACGATAGGGAGGATGCAGAGTACCCATTCTGCCTCTATGATCACGTTGATGAGCCACTCTTCATACCGGGCTGAGCCCGTGAAGGCAGCAAGGAAAGCTGCCTCTTCTGCCGTTAGAGGCCAGTCGTGCCTTAGGGCTTTTTCTAGCTTCTTCAATCCAGATAGCTCTCGGTCAATCCAGGCTGGAGATATCGTGCCTCCTAGGTAACCCGGATCCGTACGACTGATCAACTCGATCAGGCTGCAATCAAAGACAACCATCCTGACTAGGCTAGACTTCCCCCTTGACGAGAAGTTCTTCCTGATGGCTGCGGCCATTGTACGCAATGCGCGGCAATCTCTTCCCGCAGCTTGCTTTAGGGCCGGTCCGATCGCATCGATGAGATTGTGGTTGGTCGTGCATTAGCCCTGATCGGGCTGCAGGCTATTGCGAAGCATCGTGACGGTGGCTATGATTGATGTCAGCAAGTGTGACCAACAGAGGAAAAGTCAGGTCCGGTAACGTACTTGTGAGTTTGCTGGTCAATCTTCTACTGGGTTAGGCTCTGACTGACCTTTGAGTGGAAGTGCGATGGATGAATCAGGCGTGTCCTTTAGGTGGGTTGAAGGAAGAAGGTTGATCCAGCTGCTGAGAGACCTGCAGCTGGTATTTGTACTGCTTGGTTAAGGCAGCAATCGCGTCATTGAGGCAGATAAACCTTATCTGATATTGACTTCTGTTATGATGGCCTGCTATAGAGGTCTCTTTGTTTACGTTACTGATAAAAAAGCTAAAAAGCTAGATGGCCTCTTACAAGGTTGAAAGCAAGGGGGAAAAAAAATATAAAAAAATAAACTATTACTTAATTATTACAACCTCAGCAGTTACGTTATATATACCCCATATCCTTTCACCAACCAGACAACGGCTCACCTATACGTAAGTGAACCTTATCTGGGCTTACCTAAGGAGTAATAAGCCTTGCCCCAAAGCTTACCCAGGACATCGTAAGCCTTTGACAAAGGCTTACCCGCCCTAAAGTAAGCCACTTCAGTATATATACACATTCTTTTAGCACTAGATAGAACAAAGCTTACTAGCTATTAATAAAACTTCTTTATATTAATAAGCCTAACATATATTACTTAATTATTAATTAACATAATACCTTGCTATTATTCAGTATAACGCCCTATAACTCTGTAAATATAACAACTAATATAGATTAGTTTACCTATTTGGAACCTAAACTGTTATATTATGCCTTTATATTTAAACTATTATATACCCTATTAATTCCCTTTATTGAATACTTACTTATAGAAAATATTAAAATATAAATTAAGTATATAAAACAGCTTGCTTTATATATATATAACAGAGTTAAATTAAGGCAGAGAACTAGATAAAAGGTTGTCTATAATTATAGCTAGTATACCTTCCCTTACTCCTTAGATACTCCGGGCGTCTCTGCTAAGCGCAAGACATACTTCTTTGCAGATGCCTTACCCGCCTCCAGATCCTTCAAAGCACCCTCGAGTCCAGCGAGCCCTCCCTTAGCAACCTCGTAAGGATGCCCCGAAAACCAGCCGTCGGCCAGGCCAAGACTAACCAGATTGTAAAGGGTAGCACCGAATTCTGCATTGCCAACCTTGAATCCCTCTTTGGCGGTCTCGTGGATATGGCCAACATTAGATCCCAGCACCGTGATTCCCTGAGTTACCTCGTCCTCTTTAGGAACGACACTCATAATCTTTCCGTTCTCTGCAGAAACGACTTTGGAAAGCATCTCCAGGCTTGCCTCATCTGACACAGTATCATAGGCATTAGAGATAACATGCTTTTCTGCGACCTTGCGAAGCTGCTCGTTGATATACTCGGCTCCCTGTCGGTAGTCGATGATGATGTCGCCCTTGCTCTTGTCAAGTAAGGTATCCACGAATGGAATACCATTTCCTGCGATGGCGATGATGGGATGAACATTCGAAAGGGTTGCAAACTTGATGGCGAAGGCTCCCACAGCTGTTGCGGCTCCGTTAACCACCAGGGGCGTTGGGACGGTGGCAGGGCTCCATGGTAGAGGCAGTTGGAGTCTCTGATAAACGCCAAGAGCAGCGGTCATGCTGGCGAGCGGTATCGTGGCGCCCTCTGTGTATGTGTCAGAAAAGAGGCATATATCATATATGCAAAAGGAAAAGGAAACTCATACCTTCAAAGGTGGTGGCATTGGGGAGATGGAATGCTGACTTAGCGGCCGCCACTGAGTACTCTGCGTAGGTACCATGAGGAGTAAACATCTGGTGGAAAGCAGCAACTCGGTCACCGGGACGGAATCCTGTGACTCCTTCGCCGACCGCCTCGACGTAGCCGGCGATATCGTCACCATGATTCGCTGGGTCTCCACCCATCAACTTGGGCATTTTCCAGTCCTTGGGGTTTGTGCCTGACACGACTGTGCGGATGAGGAGCTCACCCGGCCCAGCTGTAGGCACAGGAACGTCGCGGATCTCGACGTTGAGGTCTTTGTTGATGTATGCTTCCTTCATGATTGTTGATGGTGATGTTGTTTATTCTGCTGTTTCTGGCTGAGAGGAAAAGTTTTAGTGTAGCGACAGACATGCTTTATATACCTAGTACTGTCTGTCGGTCACGATCAAATCTACAACACCATGGACATTCGGGTTTAGGACTCAAGCCCACTGTTACTAATCAGACGCATATCTCCGCTTGTGCCAGACAAATCCAAGTGATAAGGGCCAACTCGGTGGCTTGATGTTACCCACACTGCTAATTCGCATTTCGCATAGGGCCGTCTGTTACTAGAACGGCTTGTGCAAGGGAAAGAAGCTTTCCCTCAACTGTAGGTCTAATCTAACCAATCAGAAATCTTCATAGCTCAATCCGACGAAGAAATAGAGTTTGGGAAGCTAAATCATGTGTTACAAATTACGCAAATACGTACTGAAAGCAACCTTAGCGAGGGGGTACCGTAATTTGTCTATAGAATTGCTTACTATACCATAGTGGGTCTTAAGCGTTATTGATGAAAGGCGGGGAAGTGGCGACTAATATGGCGTTCTAAAACCCCCTCTGCCAACTTACTGTTATTTCCTGAGTTAGATTTACAAGTGTACTTTTTGCCCCTACTGTACTGCATATCTGCGCAATTACAATAAGTATCGTGGAAAGTCCGCGTCTCGCTTATTAACCATATAGACATTAATTTAATTTGTAATCACATAGCGGTGCTGCGCTAGAGAAATCTTGATAGCGAAACTAACTCTATGGTTATTGACTTAGCGGTCACACCGCGGATTTCGCGGCTTTTCTGACGCAGACTTTCCAAATTCTAGTAGAGCAACCGTTCCCTGAAAGAACTTATTTATATTCTCATCCCCTCCCTCTTACATAGACGGAAAAGAAGGCCAGTCCATTTGACAATTACCTATCAACGAGAAGCATTTTCCATTTATCTAGCCAAACTCCACAAAACCAATCATAATGGCCCCAGCTACTTCAGACCACGAACTCATCCGCAATTGCATCGCACGTTACTGCATCGGTGTTGATCTCAAAGACTGGAACACCTTTTCAAACGCCTTCCTTGACAACGCCAAGGTCGACTTCCCTGGGCCTGGCGGCCCTGTTGAAGGGGTCACAGCAATCACGGCGACAGCGCAGGGCATGGTCGGGAATTTCCAAACACAACATGCTCTAGCCACGCAGCTCATCGAAATCACAGGTGAAAAAACTGCCAACGCCACTACGTATTGCACGGCTGATGTATTCGGCGTGGGCGAGGATGAAGGCAAACGTGTGACTAATTGGGGCTTGTATCAAGACAAGCTTGTTAAGGGCATTTTTGATGGGCGAGAAGATTGGAAGATCGCTGAGCGTATCGCCACTTTGGCAGCGCCTCTTAGTGGAGATTTGTCCTTGCTTTCCAAATAGTGGCTTGTTAGTGGATGTGTCGAAGGAACGGCTAGAGAGACTATTACACCGTGTTGTTATACACAGAGACTTGCACCAAGTGTAGGAATGAATGATGGACTGTGATAGATTTCTACAGACTTTCAAGATAAAGTGATAGATCCTCGAATCGAGGCGTCCACGTCAGCTTTTCGGATTCCTGGAACAGGACCAAGGCAGGTGGCATTTTCCGCGAGTAGATGCACGAGCTTGTCAAGGTCGACAGTGACCCGGGAGGCTTTTTCGATACCCTGGGTGGTCTGTTGATTGAAGTCCGACTGTAGGTCACCGGCTATAGCGCTTGAATGGATTTGGCTGTTGGCAGAACGCAGCCATTGTCTCGGCCCCGGAAGCCCGAAAACCAAATAGTCTGCCGGCTCATGGCCAGGAAACCCAGCCGATGAAGACACAGGGGCGCGTTGCTCCATAGGTATGCTCTGCTCGCTACCTGGGACAGACGGTTGATACATGGTGTCACCTGTAGTTGTTGTGCCGCTCGTGACAGTGTTGCACATATAGATTCCCCGCTCTTCCAGGTACTCCTCTACATCCATAGCCTCAAGCCATTCTCCCTGGAGGTGCGCAAAATTTGTGTCTAGTATTGTCCTTGTTTTACCTCTCACGATCTGCTGCAAGAACGGAGCTGGCATTCTGAGCACGGCTTTGGTCTCACCTTCAACAACGCGGTACATGTTCGGGAGCCGGGGAGCGGAGTGCAGCGGATACTTGAAATCACCCACGGAAGCATGAAATAGCGACAGGCCTCGCAGAGAATTGACCATCAGGAGCTCTACACCTAGCAACTGAAGAGGGAGAGCTAAGGCTGGGAATTGGCTCCTATCTACCGTGCTGTTAGATAAGATGGACACCACACGCTCGAAGCAGGCTCGAAAGAGCCTTGCTGGCACTGGAATCTGTTTGGAAATGCTTGTCTGTAGAGATATGGTCATAGCCCCGGAATCTACGGTGGCTGACTGATGTGGAGCCAGCACTCCAGGTGCCTGTTGACGAAAGCTAGTGCCTAAATCATCTGTAGCATGCGTCAAGGGTAACATCTTGTTCGTGCTAGATGCAATGGCAGCCATTTGTCCCATGGCATCGTTCAGATGGAAAAGAACATCCGGCGAGTTTCGAGCCTGCGAGGTATCGAGAATACGCCGATGGAGTGTGGAAAAGGTTGCCAATGCGTTGTCCAGAGCGCGGCTAAGCTCTTCAGCCCGGATCCTTTGGGATTCTTGAGCCTCTTGTTTCCGGGCGCGGTACGACCTCTGTGCAAGACGCATCCCTAGCTTCTTCTTCTAGAGCGAGAGGGCCGTCGTTAGCTTCTTGGTGGTTGCGAAGCAGGCGGGTCGGGTCTTCTTGTCACCCACACACTGACCTGCTGACTATTGACCACGTCTTGCCCGTCTTGGATTGGAGGACGGCCACGACGAGCCGGTTGCGAGTTATCCATTTCTGTCAACAAGACAGGTAGGATTGAGGTGTTGTCGATAAAGATGCGCTGACCAGGTAACGCGAGTGGTCATGATCGAAGGGGCTACCCCCATAGTTGATAAATCGATGCGACAAATTGCGGAGACCCTAATCTGCCTTGCCTTAGATAATCAACAGATACATCATACAACCATCTCGGGCCAGTTAAAAGTGTGGCATATGTTGACAAATTGCAGGCCGTTCGGCATAGGCTGTGAAGACAAATTGCGGGTCTGGGCTAGATTATTAATAAGGTTAGGGTTGGAACTAGCGCGGAACTCAAGGACTAGGGAGGGTCTCGGTTGGATGTGGAAATGAGTTGTATTCGGATCTGCTCTTAGGAGGGTGGGGGGGCCGTAATTTGAATAGCGGGCGTGAATCTTTATAGGCTGCTGGCTTAGAAGACAAGGGAGCTCAACAGGCATTAGCTGCTGCCCAGTACACTTATTCCACTGGTGTGCGAGGGGATAATACCCTGAGTATGCCCGATACCTGGGATACTTGGATGTCAAGGAGTTATATCCGGATTTCGATTTCATTCCATTCCGAAAATATGTGTCCGAGCTGATTGATGACACGGCTAGGTGTGCTTATGCTTGAACCGTGACTTTCATGCTCATGATGACGAGACTTGGCCCTACTTATTGGTTTGTTTATATTTTGAGTTAGCTAGCTTGGGACGTTCCCGCTCCGAGGGATCCAAGAGAGAGAAAGGTATAACAAGGTAGCCTTCAAGATGAAAACCGGAGGCCAAGGATTAATTATTATCCAACTAAAGACCTACCTTAGTTACTTATATTAATCTACTAGGTTATAGCTACCTACTTTAAACGATACTACTCTTTCTATCGGATTGAAATCCTGCCCTTATCGGTGACTGAGCGATAGAGGTATCCAGATCACCAGGAACTAGATATTCCTTTATCTATTTCTCCATGGGCATAGATAAGACGGGGTAAAAGACCCTTGTTACGGCCAGTAAACTTATTTCCATGTCGGAGAATTCCACTAACAACACAACACCCTGATCTGGAACCAACGGTCCCAATCATTATGTCAGACATTATATGTATTTGGTCTACTGATGCAGATTCGTGTATTCGTTTGTATTCACGTTTTGTTGTGTCCAAATTTTACCCCTTGAACGTTCTATCAGTACGTAATTATAGACTATCACCCCGGCACCTGTTCAATATATTCAAGTCGGCTTGAACAAGTCAAGCCATCCCCCCGGGGAAAAGAAGCAATTGCAGTGACTGGTACATGGGTTGCATTGATTGGGCAGCTATCCTTTTCAACTTTCAGTATTCACACCGGTAATCACTCGATCGGAGCCTTCGGGGGTGAGATGCTCTGATGCTGCGACTCAAGCTATCGCTTGACGTCACAGTTATTGGATCCTCGGGTCATTAGGAAGTCCGCACATAACCTATAGGCATGCATCATTCATTCTATGTACTTTGTAATTCTCCTAATGTTCCTGGAGGCTGGTGGGAAAAGCCGTATGGACGAAGTGTTACCTATTATGGATGTGTTGGCCTCGGCAATTGATAAGGTTTATACTAGCGCGAGAAGTTATCCAAAAGTTCCTTTAGTAATAGGAGCATTTTGTAATTGCGGGTCACTTACAGATCTCTTTCGGATCGCTTGACACGTTAGCATTTCTCGTTAATGGGTAGACCGTAGATGTTGAAAAGGCACGAGTATGATCCGAGTCCAATAAGTTTAACGCTTTCATTCACCAACTCAATCAACCAGTTCCCTCACAATCAGCAAACTACTCTTTCACCATGCTTGAGCTCCCTAACTACACGGCCTTAAAGACCTCACTTAAGTCGGGCGTACTCTTTGTCACTTTCCATAACCTGGAGTCGCCTACTATCAACTTGTGGGGCAGGAATACCCAAAGCGATCTTACAGACCTCGTCGGGAGACTTGAGGCTGATAATGACACCAAGGTCGTTGTTTTTAACAGCGATGTTCCGAGATTCTTTGTTGCCCACCTTGATGCCTCTATTCTTGCCGAACCTAATGGTCGTATGTCATGATAACCCTTCGATGTAATCACAAGTTCCATATTATACATAACTAACAACAGGCTTTCAGCCGATATCATCTACCCATTCGCAACCCTTCTTCATAAAATCACTACTCTTCGCCAAGTTACAATTGGCGCCATAGAAGGCAAAGCGCGGGGAGCAGGAGCCGAATTCTTGGAGGCTCTGGATATGCGGTTTGCAACTAAGACTGAAACTCTTCTTAGTCAGCCAGAAGTTGGGGTAGGCTTAACCCCAGGTGGCGGCGGTGCCCAGTTTCTCACCCATCTAATCGGCCGCGGACGCGCCATGGAGTATATCCTATCCGCTAAGGATATTACTGCGGACGAAGCTGAAAGGATCGGTTGGATTAATAAAGCATTCGAAACCTCATCAGATATGTATGCCTACATCGAAGGACTAACTTCTCGAATCCGACTGTTCCCCCTAAATTCCTTGGGCGAAGCGAAGAGACTTATCGACCGCGCTTCAGCCCCGTCCTTTGAGGACGTCAAGGCGGAGGCAGAGGCCTTCTCTAGGGTGGTAGTTGAGCCTCTTACCCAACAGGCTCAGGCAAGATCAGCTGAAGTGATCGGTAGTATCGGCCTATTGGACGCAGAGTTGAACCTGGGCGAATTGATGCCTAAATTTTACGAGTAATCCGGAATACGTAACTACCACCACCACTTCATAGCAATGAATCACATCACTTAAAGCATAGCACAAAACATCATCGCCTATACAAAATCCAATAATGAGTCCATATAAAAACTAACAACCAGATCAATTAAAAGTAGGGTCGCTCTAATAATTTACAAAGAATTACTTGAGTTTGTCGAAACTGTGGTTGGAAAGTGCGAAGATGTGCTAGAATGGCCGATATTCGAGGGCAATTTCCACCGCTCCGAAACGGAGACCTTGATATTGAGACCTGAACTGGCCCGTGAAGATCAACCAGGGTCAACCTTCTCAGTCACCTGTGATCCGGCTCGTAGATCAACACCTGGCCGTGGCATCCAAGAAGAGGAGACGCTTGCTCTCCTTGAGAAACCTTTCCTCAACGTGCACATCAAAAATCCCATTCTTGATGCGGCTGACACAAGAATCATAGCAAAAGATGTCATGGAGCATAGGTTCAAGTGGGATGCACCGTCATGTCTCGTGGTGCGTGATGCAAAGACCCCTATGTTGACGTTCGATTTTCTTTCTAATACATACTTAGCTTCTGGCATGCGCCTTAGGCTATTTGTCATCACCATACAGATCGGATTTTGTTACTGCAGACCTGATGCAAGGCTCCAACGCGCCTTGTAGTAGTATTGACGATGCGGACGACTATTCTACTGCCGAGAGCTATTATGTTGCCGCCCAGAAGCGCATTGGCCTCTTGGGATGCTCCATCTTGACGAAGATGACCATCCCCTGTGACGGTGGACATTGGCTCCTCCTCGCGAATGTCCCTTTGTGGAGTGTTATGAAGATATATAAATTGAGACATTTTCACTGCTCCCCGAAACCAGCCTATCCATAATTCATGAATGAACTGAATGTAGAGTTTATCTAAAACGTGTGTAGAGTATGCGGACTGAAGTGAAAACAATGGTATAAGAACACTATCCATAATTCCTCAACAGCCATGTCGACTCGTCTTCTGGCAGAAGACACGGAAATTGACTGTGCCCTGGTCTGAACTGGGAAAGGTTAAGACCAGAATAGTACTCTCTAAGTCGTTCTTGAGAGAAATACTTCTTCCTCGCTGCAGAAATAAATCGTGATGGCTTCAATATAATGCTTATATGATGATTAAAGAAACAGTCAACCTAATTCTTACCGAGATAAGGCGCGCGGCCATTTAATTAAGCAAGGCACTATAAATAGTCATAGATTTCCTACTTCATGAGCAGTTGTAAATACTTTTCTCTTATAAAAATAAGGTCAACGAGTTCCTTTTCTGGTATAATAGTCAGCGAAAGGAACTTTTAATATTGTATTTTTGTCGCTTATGCGCCTGCGATCCGATCTCTCATTGTCAAGCGAGGAAGAGCCTCTAACTTAGCTGCGCCGTAATAGTAGACGAAGATGCGTTAGAAAATACCCGCAAAATCCTCATCTCACGATATGATATTTGCGCTAATATTTTGGAAGTTTGGATTTATTTGAAGCAAAAATGCGGTGTTGAGATACGTTAGAGTCTGGTTGCATTTCTCTACATGCTAATAAGCCTACGCATCGACAATCCGCACGATGACCTTTCCAATATGCTTCTGATCCCATAAATACTCATAGGCCTCTCGAGCATGTTCCAGTTTAAAGAGCGTCTTATCCAAGACGGGATGAATATCATTTTCCTCAATAGCACGGTTCATTTCCTCAAACTGGCGCCTTGACCCAACAGTCACCCCGCGCACAGTGCAGAGGCCGAGGATCGTGTCAAGAAATGTTGGTGACTGACTCATTCCTTCCCCCGAGGCAAACGAGGCAACCGAGCCTACCATCGAGATGACGCCCATGGTCTTCAAGGCAGTGAGCGCCTACCAATCAGGCGAGTAGATCAGCTTCTGCTTTACAAGCACAGCATTGTACGGATTGGACAGAGGACATACCTGTCTGGCTGATGCTGGCCCGCCAACCTCGACTACGAGGTCGACTCCGGATTTGTTGGGCGTCAAGCTCTTGGCGAGCGCTCCCCAGTTTGGATTCTTTATGTAGTTGAGCACGTGGTCCGCACCAAGCTCCTTGAGACGTTGAGCCTTCTCATCCGACGACGTCGTCGCAATGACTCTGGCTCCCGCAGCTTTGGCAAACTTGGACAGCATTAGCTCCAAGACTCATGTTAAGATGCGATGGTTAATTACCATGATAGCAAAGGTGCTGACACCGCCTGTACCCTCGGTAAGAACCGTGTCTCCGGGTCTCAGCACCCGGCCTTCATCAGGAAAGAGAGCACTCCAGGCCGTCAGTGCAGCGCACGGTAGTGACGCTGCCTCCGCCAAACTCAAATTTATCGGGGCACGGACAAGACCCTGCTCTGGGAACGCTCCATACTCTCGAAGCGTGCCATCGAGAGAACCGCCTAGAGAACTATGGAGATAGCTGGCGTCGAAGGGCCCCGCGAGGTGATCCTGGTGAAACGATCCCACGACTCGATCGCCGACTTGGAAGCGACTCACGTGAGATCCAACGGCAGCAACGACGCCAGCTCCATCGGCCACTGGTACTGTGCCATCCTTGGCTGGAAAAGGGTATTGGCCCTGGGGATGTTGTTAGCCGGAGGAACCCAAAAGCCACCCAGAGGCGTGCGTGACCGGAATGCAAGGTTGAGTCACGGCTGCTAGAACTGCAAAGTTAGAGCGTACCTTGGCAATTATCAAGTCGCGGAAGTTGAGCGACGCAGCGTGGACTAGTGGACTTCAATCAGCCATGCCAGAGATAGAGGGGCAAAACTTGCTGCTCATACAGCGAACTAAGACCTCCCTATCGCCGATGGACGGAACAGGAGCGTCAGGCTGGAACTCGAGGGAGCCGAAACCGTTATTGCCGCCAAGTACCCACTGTTTCTGTGTCTGGGGGGCCATTGTGTCTTAATGGATAAAGGGTGAGGGTTTACGGATATGTGCTGGACGATTGTCGGCTTGGTGAAAATTGAAAAAACAGAACTGCTAGATGATCAAGTTCAAGGTCGGGGGCTGTATTAAAATACTTAAACTGCCTATTTTACGTCCTTGGCGCGAGGTATTATATTATCAGAATTTATATTAATAATAACTATCCACCACCAGCCATAAAGACAAAACGTTATGAAGATGTTCTGCTGGGCTGCCGAATAAACTACATTTCCCAGCAATTCTGCCCACATGGGTCAAAGTCGACGGACTTGTAAACAGCCCGAGAAGTCGTCCATGTATCCGTAATTAGACCCGCAATTTGCCTGCTTTGTCTGCTGCTGCAAATCCCATCCAGCTTACGGATAGTGATAGTCAAATAGTCCATCAGCATTGCCCCACAATTTGTCTTGTGGACAAACTCACACAGATTTATAAGCATTCGAAGTGGAACCATGGATACCGCCTTTCTAACCATTCACCATCGATCGCTGGTGCTTACCTCTCGCTGGGGCAATCATTCGTTGATCTAGGCTTGGCCAGGAGGAAATGAGCAAAACAAGACAAATGATGGCTTCTCAACGGACTCAACCGGCCCGACGTGGCCAGCCTCCGATCCGATGCAAGCGGGAGGGGGGCAGGGGATGAGGTCTAACCCCAGGTGTGTGAAGGAAATTTGCTTTACCTGGCCTATATAGGCTAAACCCTCCAAGATCGTCGGACATGGATGCGACTGTGGCTTTCCAGAGCATATCGAGCCCGGAAAATAGGGGGTGCTGAACTCAGAACTTGGAGAGGGTCCGGACTGAGCAGCTTAGCAAGTCTCTGGACGACGCGTTGGCGACCTTTGCCAGACTTCACGAGCACGTACTTTACTCGTCTCGCGTGCAGGGCTCATTAGATGTTCCTGTTCATCTGAATGATGATGTTGTGCTGGGATATGAAATGTACTGGGGCACCATGTACAGTACTGTACTACACCAAACTTTGGTCTGTGACACCATGTACTTACTTATTTCTTGATAGTGTTGGTGGACTAGGTGGTTGCACCTGAGTCAAATTACATAGCGTTACGGAGTTATCAGCCGATAATTGGCACTACAGTATTACTACCCGATTATTTCGATTGGGTATATCTAGACACTAGAGCTACATTGGCTACGTCAGAGTGAACTACTGGTTCAGCAGATGCCGTAGACGTGACCTCATGGCTTGAAGGAGACTTCTCTCTCGGCTTCCATCCGACTGTAGTGACTAGATCTCGGGTAACAGTTCTATGATAAAAGCCTTTTTACGATGATCTTTGTTCTTTTGGTTTGCAAGATATTATCCACTGTTTTCATGAGCGTATCTACTTCCCACCCGATCCTCAATTCCATAAAACGATGGCTTCAATGACGCAGAATGGGGTAACTTCTTTCCATGGCACCACATATACCAACGGCGTTGTGTCGGCAACGCTCCTGGCGCCCAATCTTGAGTTGAGCTTCTGGGGCGGAGTCAACCCTAAAACGGGTGAAGTCATCGATCGATTCCATCTACTAAGTGGACGCCTTTTAAAAGATACTATCTTGGCTATCACCGGTGGGAGGGGATCGTGCGGTGGTAGTGTGATCATGATGGAATTGATCCTCAATGGGCTTGGTCCTAAAGCTCTGATTTTCAAGCGACGAGAAGAGATCATTACACTTGGGGTTATTGTTGCTGAAGAATTCTTTGGCAAGACAGCTCCGGTAATTGCATTGAGGCCAGAGGACTTCCGCCAAGTCCTAGGTTGGAATGGCACTGCTGTTTATATTCATGGAGACAAAGTCTCAGATAGTCCTTTACAATTAAACCCTCCAGAGCTTAACCGCGCTATTTTCGATATCAGCAGCCTTGAAGTTCAACTCTCCGACTTCGACAAGGCTACCATCGAGGGTGCCAACGGAGAGGCCACGAGGATTTCCATAAAGGTTCTAGCTCGGGTGACTGACATTATGGGCGCCCAGGAGATGATGTATGTGAGCCAAGCCCATGTTGATGGTGCCTGGTACGGCCCAGGAAGCGTCGCCTTTGCCAAGAGACTTCGGGATTGGGGTGGAAGGTTTCGCATTCCTTCCACTATTAAGTCTCTTAATATTGACCAGCGCCGCTGGAGAACTCTGGGGATCGATACAGAGCTTGGCTCAACTTGTGATGAGTTGACACATGCCTTCCTCGATATGGATGGCAAGGTGTCGTTCACATGTGGCCCCTATCTACTCGAGACCGCTCCCAAGCTAGGGGACTCTATCGCTTGGGGAGAGTCCAATGCTGTCATCTATGCAACAGTTGAAACTCACGACTGCCCAAATCTAGGTTACATAGACCAGATCAAGTCACTTGAAACATGCTTTGAGCTGACTTAGCAAGATTTCATTTGCTCGTATACGAAGTCTGCCGCGATTTACAGGCCATACGCTATCCATCGGTTGAAACTTGCATTGAAGCCCAAATTTCGGCAGGGCTTCATTGTAGTATTGCAAAGAGGCCGCAAGGCAATGCTCATTATAGGTTGCCGCTGAGCCGATGTTCTTTTCAGGTTGAATGGCTGTGTACGTGAGGTATTCGTCGCTATACCGACGAAAGCTTACTTGCACTCGACGTCCTTGGCTAAACATTCAGCTGTTGAGAATACAACATCATAAGTTCGAGAATCTGCATCAGTGTCTTCACTAGAATTTCATCTTTATGAAGTAAATGAGGGAAGAGCAAATAAGTTTACGTTTGCCTTGTCTAGGATGACAGCAGGCTGCCAGCATCAGGGTCTTGTAAAGTTAAGCTCTTAGTATTAAGGTCTAGTATAGTCCTATTTCCTTACCACTACCTAGGCTAAGTAGACCAAGAAAACTCAACAAGTACAGGATTGTGATCCGAAAGAATGTTCCCATCGGGCTGAACGAAAACCTTAGGAACATAGTTAAAGCTCTTTGCAGTGAGCTTCACGGAGCTACCCGAGCGATAGCTATATTCTCATTAGTATATTGCAAGGCATTGGAGCATCAGCAAGAATGGCGACTTACAAAACCTTGTCAACAATCTCGCACGTGTTGTCAGCTGCAGGGACCTTGCATGGGTTTGCAGTTGCTCCGGCCGTGGGAAACTTGCCTCCCTGAATGAGCTGAACCCAAGAGTCGCTGAAGCCGGCATCGGTGAGTTTGTTGATGCTTCGGCCTGCGTTGGTCCATCTGTCGTTGGTGTCACCAGCCACGATTACGGCTCTTCCCTGGGAGTTGGCATTGATGTAGGCCAGGATCTGATCGATACCTGCAGAGCGAGCGTCGACATCACCTTGGTCAGATCTAAAGAGACTGGGTTAGAGAATGTCTGGTATGCTTCAATCAATCGACGTACCCCGCATCGGCATGAAGGTTGTAAAGATCAACCTCAATGTTCTGAATCTTCATGCGCATGAAGCTGAAACCCTTGGGTGTCAAACAATCGCCAGAGTTCAGGTTGCACTTGTTCCACTTCTTGCGAACAAGACCAGTCCAGTCATAGTTGGCAACAGTGTTGAGGCCATCACCGAATGGAACACCTCCAGAGGTAGGAGTACGGTAAGGATGGTTGTCAGTCGCATAGATGTAGGCATGATAGTTGAAGTCCTCCTGCCTGTGGACAATATCATATTTCTGGGTGGCAAGAACGGTGCCAATGAGGTTGGCGTTAGTTGCCTTATCACCAGGAACTTCGTTGTTGTTGATGATGGCAGGAAGTCCAGCAACATTGTATGTAAGGAAGTTGAAGTTTCCAGTGGCCTGTCCCATGGAAAGACCACCAAGAGTGAGGGCGGCGGCAAGGAGCCGGCTGGACATAGTGCGAATTGACATGTTTTCTTGTCTTGTTGGTGACCAAGGCTGAAGCTACGATAATGGCTCGAACTCACCGTCAATTTATGGGGGGAGCGACATAAAGAGGAGAACACCACGTCCAAGCTTCATGAGCCGATCTGTAATGTTGCATCGTGATCTGCATAATACCTTCCTGTCAGGGGTCCAAAGCCGGAGCTCGTGAAGTGATATCGCGGGCTCAAACTACGAAAGCGATTGTTGTCCGAAAAGCAGCTTCTTCTTTCCAACTTCATAAACCGCGGCATATAGAAACCATCACATTTACACACTACGTCAGTGAGGCACGTAGATTGATTCCTTTGTTTTACTGGTCTACTATCGTTCTTATTGCGTTTCCGAATTGGGCAATTCGCCCGTCTTTACCGAGGTTTTGACTTTTCCACCAATGCGTTGATGGATACCAAGCTTCTTAGCATTATGCGACCGAATAAGTCATTCCCCAGAGAACACGTGCTGTACTATCCCCTGCTAGGCCCGTTCTTTATCGCGGCGCAGTTGATAGATCTCAATTGTTTGGTGAGCGGAAAGGCGGAAATAGAAAGTTTGGATGACATTCAGTCTATACAGAATTGGACTTTAATTTCCGGGTCGAGCAAGGGATGTCGTAGTTCTATATATTTCTCCTCGATGATGAACGTTGAACTTTCCTCTTTTTCTGTCTATCCGTGCACTCATTCGCCAAGACCTTGATCCATTAACGAAGGCATTATGAGAGCCCCGATTGTTGCTGTTGCCTTGCTAGGCTCATCATGCTCAGCCCGTAATGCTGGAGCCGGCGCTTCGCTTGATCCCGTCCAAGCCGTTCTATTGCCTGATGGGGCTTCAGCAAAGAACCCTCTGGCTCATGTTGGAGCCAACGGCCCATGGCACATTGGTACGTGGTGTCTGACCGGAGTTCAGAGTTAATTTCTAACAAATCCAGGCGAGGACTTGACCGGAATCTCTTCAGCGGTTCCAGAAGGATGCCAGGTTGACCAAGCCGCCTATGTATCTCGTCACGGATCCCGCTATCCTGACCAGGGAGCTCACAATGGATGGCTTGAGATGGCTCGTCGTGTAAGAAGTATTCGAGAGTTTCGAGCTTGGAGAAAAACTAACCAATAACTTAGTTCCGAGAGTCTAAGTACACTGCAACTGGACCTTTGTCTTTCATTCATACTTGGGAAAGCCCTCTCACCAACCCTGAGATCCAGATCGCTCAGCTGAGCAAGACTGGATACAAGGAGCTGTTTGATATGGGCTATACCATTAGAAACAGGTGAGAAACTAGGATGTGCAGTCTGTAATATTTTAGCTAACCCAATCAGATACCCTGATCTGTACCGCGAGGGCGAAGACTTTATTGTATGGGCCAACAACTACACTCGAGTTCTCCAGACCGCGCAGCTCTTCCTTCACGGGTTTCTGGGAACCAACTCTTCGCTGGGTACGGTTGTGTCCGTGACCGGCAAAGGCGTGCCTTCTCACCTTGGCGATACCCTTGCTCCGTCTGACATGTGTCCTACCTTTGTCGATGATAGCAGCAAGCAGCAGGACGAGTGGCGCCAGCGATGGCTTCCAGGCTTCAAGAAGCGCTTGTCCAAGTACATCAAGGGAGATCTTCAGCTTGACGATTCAACATGGAATGATTTCCCCTACATCTGTGGTTTTGAGTCGCAAATCACAGGCAAGCTTTCGCCATTCTGCGACACCTTCACCCAGAAGGAGCTGGAAGCATATGAGTATCAGCAAGATCTCAGATACTACTACGGTGTTGGACCCGCCACCAAGGTCGCTTCAAAGATGATGGTGCCTTTCCTTGAATCTCTCATCGAGCGTTTCGTTGCTGGTCCTGATACCACGGGTAAGGACTTTGATGGAAAGCCTTTCAAGCTCCCCAAGATTCTTATGAGCTTCTTGAATGACGGCCAGTTGAACGAGCTGGCTGTTGCTACTGGGGTCTTTGATAAGCAGGCTCCTCTGCCTCTGGATCATATTCCTAAGGACCGTATTTGGCGCAGCTCCAACATCTCCCCCATGAGAGGTACCATCGCCTTTGAGCGTCTCAGCTGTGGTTCTAAGAAGGGTTACGGCTCGAAGAAGTTCGTTCGAATTCTGGTCAATGATGTCGTGTACCCAGTACCTTCTTGCCAGGACGGACCTGGCAAGTCATGCTCTCTGTCGAAGTACTCCAAGTTCACGAAGGACAGACTCAGGAAGAACGGTAACTTTGCCAAGCTTTGTAATGCGACGGACCCTGCCACTCCTACCAAGGTTCTCGGTGCTAGCTTCTTCACGAACTTGGCGCAATCGCACTTGCAGCCTGTTAAGCCGTAAAGCGGGCATGATATAAGGGAGGATTGAGATGATAGACGGGATCAGGCAATGGTCGCACTTACGAGGAGGACTTTTTAATAATATGTTAATTAAACTTTCTTCATTTGGTCTCCAAATTCTTCCCCTTCGTAACAGCTCGATTTGTATCTGAGGTGAAAGCTCAAGAAGACAGCGGATTTGACTGTACCATCGCTCGAATGGCGACGATAGCCCTGACATCATGAGTCATTCAGTCCCAGGCGACCGACCAGCAATCACCAATTTTATATAGATTTGCTGCAAACTGAAAAAAAGAACAGTGGCTTTGGGGTGTTTAAACCATTTATCTACGGTCCAATACAGCCTTGGCCTCCCGGAGTTCATCTTCAGTAGGCATGTTGACGACCATAAGATACAAAACATCCTGTGCAAAGTTAGCTGTGCATCATTAAATCACTGGAAAGCACTGGATATTGTTACCTTGTTGAAAAGAAATTCCCTTGCTGCCTTGACCGGTTTGTAAGGCAGCGGCAACCCGGGCTGCCTGTCAGTTCGTCTTCCACTGGTTCGTCCTTGGTCATGGCCTTCTGGTGCTTGGCCCCTGAAGCCTCGGCGAAGCTTTGTGGGGTCGACATATCCGCCAGTGAGTAGGGAGATCAACGAACCATTGTTGGAAGGGTGGCTCGGATCAGCGTATCGTGAGGTGAACTTTGGAGCTTCTTGCTGGTTGGCCAAGAGGTTATCCGGTCTGTTGAGCGCCTGTCGTCGAGTTAAGTCCATATCCCCATCAGCTTTCAACTTGAATGGCTTACAAATTGAGCCTGGGCCCTCTTGTCATAGTACTCCTGGATATATGTTCTCTTCTCGCCCAGGCTTTGCTTCAGACCTCTCGATTCCTCGCTATCAGTCTCAGCAAGGACATCGAGCGTCGGAAAGATGAGAGGGGCAGCCTCGGGTAGAGCAAAATCACCGTAGGTCTTTCCGCTGGAGGTTTTAAACTTATTAGTGAATCCAGAGTCATATGATCCAATCGAAGAAGCGACCGTTGATGTCAGGTCAACAACCTCGTGAGACCTTCCGGAATCGGGTCGCCAAGTCATGATCAGACAGCATAGACCCTTGGGATAAAAGTACTGCTCGTTCATCTGGGAGATGAACTTGTTTGACCTGTTCAGCTTGTAAGTTCGTGCTTCAGATGGCGCAAGGCCTTGCCAATAAATGTTACCTCTGTCTGCTCTGGACATCCTTCGCAACTTCGATGGTCTTGTACACTGCAGCACTAATGGCAATGCTTGGCGCAATTGGTACAAAGAAACCACCAATCTCTGCGAAATTGATGACCTCGATCCACGGCGAGGCTCTAGTAGACTCGTCAAACTTGTCTAGGAAGTCCAGCCAAGCCGCCTGGTCGATGCCAACTGCCTCAAGCATTGGGGCATATCCACGAACAAAACCGCGAGCTCGGTCTTTTGGCCTCCGCTGTGCAAGGATAACAGGCAGTTCTAGTTGAGAACTGGTTCGACCAGTAGAAGAGCCATGAACACTCAAAAAAGTGGCCACAAGATCCTTGTCCTTTTGCGTCTGTTGAGCGGGGTCGGTACCGCCTTGGGGACTTGAAAGTAGCTCGGATTGTGTTTCGTCGAGCTCCCATTGTCTTTCAGTCAAATCCTCATGGTGACTTGGCTGAGGCTCATAGTCCGGTGGCAGCTCGTCGCTGGCAGCAATGCCGCTCGATTGAGGCTGCTGACTTGACTCTGACGATGCGGCGTTTTTCTCAGCGGTTCTCTTCTCTTTGTAAGAGCTGACGCTCTCTGACACGAGCCCAATACCACCTGCTACGCCACGGACAGCTGACCCTATCAAACCCCCACCTCGACCGCCGCGCTGGAATAAACTACCTCGACCGCGTCCGCTGTTTGACATGATGAAAATGAAGCAAAATGTTTGAGTTGACGATCAAAATATTTGAGGGGATTGAGGTCTGTTTTCACTGCCATGTCGAGTGCTTATTAGTGGAGGCCGCCATCAGCCCTGAAAGACGGGTATGCGGCACCATGACGTCTATGAATGGCCGAGAACGAGACCTCTAGCGGGGGTGCTTGGTTTAGTTTGGGCTAGAAAGTAAGATTATGAGGCAAGGTTAATATTTAGCGTCCATGCGTGTCACTACACCAGCCTTCAACCAGGAATGGACCGTGTTTAGTGCTGACAATACGAAAACAAACGAGAAATAGATCGGCAAAGGGTAGGCACATCGCATTTGAAGGAGACGACCTCCACCGTTGGCGACACCAACACAAGATAGACAGCCTAATCTCTAGGCTTCACCTTCACTGGCAGTCGCGAGATCCAATTCTTGACTACAGGTGTAAACCCCTCGTAATACGGCATGATATCATCATCAGATATACCTGCCTCTGGTGCGATGCTCATCTCGTACCTTCGGAAAAGGCTAGCGATGACAAGACGAGTCTCGATCCATGCTAACTCAATTCCTAGACAAACTCGAGTTCCTTTGCTGAAAGTCACCAGGTATCTGTCAAGATCCGCACCTCCATTGAGCCATCTTTCGGGTTTGAATACAGCAGCATCAGAACCCCAGATTGCCTCGTCCGAAAGAACATCCGGAATGGACATGCTGATTATTGTGCCCGGAGGTATTTCCCAATCACCATAATGTTCAATGCCGTTAGGATTGACGCGACTCAGCTGGCAAAGCGCACCAGGCGAAACGCGAAACGTCTCCTTGAGCACAGCAGTAAGGTATGGTAGCTTTTCCAAAGTCGCGGTCTCAGGTGGCTCACCAGGGTGCTTCCAGACCTCTTTGAGTTCATAGTAAAGGCGCTGCTCAATTTCTGGTTTCTGGAGTAATTGGTATGCCGCCATAGTCAACACGAAGCCAACCGTGTCCCAACCTCCACTCCAGATAGCCACTGCTTGTTGAGCAAGAGGGCCTTTTTCCTTTTCTTCCTTGGGTAGAGAGCTGCCCAGAAAGTCATCAAACACCGTAGGTTGGGTGTTACCTTCAAACTTGCGATTCGGGTCGTTATGCCGAGCCACCACTTTTTGCACCAACTTCTGAGCGAGCTATGATCACGTCAGACTGAGTATACTTCAAAGTGTCACAATACGTACCAAGAAATAATCAAGAAATGCAGAACCTGGGTCGTTAAATCCCATAGCTCTCAAGATCAACTGACGAAAGAGAGATACAAAAAGAGGTATCTCTTTTGGTATGAATCGACCCAGATGTGAGAACCCAAACAGCCGGTCCATCCTCTTATCGTAAAGGTTCTTGGTTGTCTGAACATCTTGCAGAAACCCATATTCTTGGCCGAAAAGATATTTGGTTATGATTTCTGCTGGAACAGCCCGAAACAAGAAGCTTGTAAGAGGTTAGCGACTCTTCTGTGTAGATTGGGATAAACATACGCCAAGTCAACAGGGCTTTCATTCTTACTGTTATCCTCAATCCAAGTGCATCCTTTTTGGATTTCTTCGTTGATTTGGTCCTGTATTTTGGAAAGCTTTGTTCGAGAAAAGGCATTTCCAAATGCAGCACGTTTCTTGACATAAGTCTTGTAGTCCTCAACACCAAACAGGGCGTGATTGATCCCGAATTCCTTAGCCGCCATAGCCTCTTTGTTCAAACGACGAAATCCGAAGATTGTATCGAAGTACTCAGAGTCTTCGATATGAATTTCATTTGGTCCAATGCGAACAATAGGTCCTGGATGCTTATCAGAGAGTGCGTGGAAATGGAGAGAGTTCCATACCGTAGCGCCTATGAAGGTCAGGTAATTTAGCCCAGAGCCGGCCATGTTGATATGAGTCCCAGTAGAATTCATACAATCTCGAAGCGGCACAGATCTTTGGACCTGGGAACTTGGACAGAGGGTGGAAGAAGAGACGTTGTATATATGTAATTAATTTGAAAGAAAGAAAGAAAATAACCGCATATTCGAACAGTTTGGTCTTGTCAACAGATGATCCGATATCAGAAATATGAAGCATGGTCAATGAAACAGCAAGTTCTATGCCAAAACGAAGACACTCGCAGGAGCTCAGAAGCGTACATCCTCGACAAGGAGGTTACATATCCCAAACATATACCTAAAGAATGAGTAAACAGGAAGAGAGTTTTTAGCTCAAGCCACTTCCTGAATGCGAGCACTGAATCAACTCAGTCCGAGCTTCAAGCCAACCACGAGCTTGAAAAACATAAGCCAGTCCCTATCGTGCCTTAAGATGTTACAGCATTGTGATGCATCTGACTCAGCTTACGCCCCTCTTTCGCGGGTAGAAATGTGCCGAGAAATAAAGCAGGGAATGATTTGCAGGCTTCTTGGACTAACTTAGTGTGTTTTAAAAGGCCTGTGACGCTGTTAGGCTGATCCTACGAGAAATCCTACGAGAAGACTTGCTACGCGTATGCCACGAAGGAAGTGGGGTTGATACAGCTTTCTGTATTGCCGCAATGAATACTTCATGCCCAATCAGTTGCCTTTTGTGGTTTCTACAGCAAGCTGTACCTTTGCCAATAACACTAGCAAGTTGGAATGGTGGTTTCTGATGTAATATTTAGGGTCGAGTTCGGCCGAGGCTGGAACATGTCACCCATTATCTCAAATCAGTGAAACTTCACCTGACAAGAGTATAGAGCCGATATATCACATCGAGGGAGCTCCCAGCAACTATAAGTACGCCTGTTCTCGACGGTAGAGCACAATTTTTTACTGAACATACTTCAAGCAAAACCATGCGGGATCTCAAAGCGCCTTGCGAAGTCCCTCATGCTTTACTACCCATCCGTCGTTCTTTGGAAACCCAGGCGTATCAGCTTTCGATCCATCCCATCCTTTAGCCATATAGGCAACTATCAGCAGCATTAGTGAGTGTCAAGTTGTTCCTTGAGAATCGTGTAAGCTTACCGGCTAACAAGAACCCAGCATTACCAGGCATGAACGGAGGTGGCGTGTTTCCGTCACCACCACGAATGGCAAATCCTACCCGGATTATTCAGTATCACCCTGCCTATATCATACAGCGCACAACACTACTTACCTGCGTCATCAAACTTCCAATAATCATATGCTGTCAAGTGATATATCGCGCGCTCAGGATTCCCAATGCGAGCCGAGTTAATCGCCAGTACAGGCCGCCCCCATCCCCGGATGTTTTGGTCAGCCCAGACTTCCCAGACCTTATCCGCTGTTCGTAGCGCTACCTCCTTGTCCACTGCAGGTGTGTCGGGTAAAATGCCCTGTAGCATGATCAAACTTCTCGGGTCACGGTTGAGTGCCGGATCATCCCACCAGGTAGAGTTGAGGCCGTCGTAAACTGTGTAGAGTCCGCCGATTTGAGGAGGCTTAGCCAGGTTCTTTGCAACAGTCGTCCAGTGCTTGGGTATAGGTAAGCCGAGTTTCTTCTTCCATTCGCAGGCAACGTCAAGGCCGTATCTCCAGTACGCGACTTCGTAAGCAAGATTGAGTGTTGTCTCCGGGGGCGTGTTTTCAGTAACACCGATCGCACTACGATTATGTCAGAACGAATTCATGCTTCTGGTTGAGCTGCTGCTTCACTTACGGGGGACCTAGATCATATCTGCCAGACGACTCGTTCAACCATGCATAAGATGCCATGTAATCCGCAGTCGCCTCCAAAATTGGATCCCAACGCTTCAGAGTCTTCTTTGTGGGCTTACTCTTGAAAGCGAGCATAGCCATGTACATGGGATGCGGTTGCTGCCACATCAGATATGCGTTGATTCCACCAGGTGAACTTCGTCCAGTGATCGTTTCGGTCATCTTCGGCCAACGCGCCCCCTCCCATCCCATCTTCTTCGCCCGGGCGAGTGATGTAGGCAGAAGCTTTTCATAAAGTGCGGGAAAGATATTGTGAAAATATCGATCTCGGCCCCATGAGATCCAGTGGGCGTTGTGCCATACGACCATCTCCATGTGAAACTTGCCTTTTGAGATCAGCAAAGTTCTATCGCCACTAGTCAAGGTTTACGTACCATACCAACCGTTGTTCATCAAGCCGCTCTCTTGCGGAGACTCACCATTGGCAGCACTATTGACTCTGACATGGTATTGGGAGGTCACGATTCGACGTTGTATCTCAGTAGCGTTGGGGTTCGTAGACTCGGTCAAATCCACAAAACCCCCTTCACTCCAGTAGTCTTGCCATCCAGCTCTGTTACGACTAGCAATAGTAGACGGCAGATCTGGTACTCTCTTATCTGGGGAGAAGTGAGCCACGAAAGAAATGGTCTTTCCATGCCTTGATGAAAGGATATATCGATGAGCCGTGAGCTTGGTAGAACCCTGCGGCTCAAGGCGCTTTAATGCCAGTGCATCTTTCACAGGCCAACGAAGGTTCACATAGTACTTGGTACCCAAGTCATGATAAATATGCGCTGAGTTCTGTTTCGGGCTTGTTGAAAGCTTTGTTGTATGATTCATAGGGAAATCGTAGACGCCAACAAAGACCTCGTTCTTGTACTTTGTTGTATGGATCGGAGGGTATGGAAAGTCCAGTTCGACGTTGAGCTTTCTTGACTCGATCAACTCTGAGTCAATTGTGAAAATGACTGCGTCTGACTCGAAGTCACCTTGGGTAACAACTTTAACCTTTGCACCATCAACACTGAAGGTTGATGTGATAACTCCTTGCCAGAGGTCTAGTTCTTGGTGGGTGTTGGATATGCTGCTTGATTCCAGCGTATCGCCGTTATATCGGAGTCCGATGCGTCCAAGATTGACACGATTGGGATTCCCTATGAGCCACTGAGAAACATCGGGAAGATCTCGGTCGGGGAGATCATAAGATACATTTCTACCATGTGTTTCTTTAGGTACACCAGTGTATGTATCGATGGGCCTACTAGCGGTCAGCCTCCGAACAGTCACCCACGGCGAGTTCAGCCTACTTTCCAGCTGGTTCAGTGTCATTATGCCAAGCCCAGCGGGACATTGTGTTGAAAGGGAGGTATGTTTGCATTCCAGTCGTATCAACACTGAATGCAAAGTTGCCGTTCCCAACTTGCAATGGGGTCGTTTCATTGGTGATCAGCTTTGTTCGGATGATGTTATTCTCTGTCACAATCCGTTTTCTTTGAACTTAGCGGGCTAGAAGCATTCCTCAGAGGTAGTCTTACCTCTCGATAGCCCCTAACGCTAGGGTCGGCAGTAGAAGCAAACATAAGAATTTTGAGGTCGGCATGGTGACGGTCCAGTCTTAATGAATTTGATTACGACGTGCAGTATCTCTGTAATTGCGTCTCTTTAATATAGGTTCGTTCATCATGCGCAGCGGGAAACTCTGGTATATAGACCCCCAAAGTCCGGGGTAAGCGGGCCCGATCATCAATAGTCAGCTCCTCGTCGGGCTTCATTACCCCGAGCATCCCCAGCGTTCTTGGTGAGTGACACTGAGAACTTCCCAATTGAGAAACACCAAAAGACCTCAAGTTTGCCTAAAGATGCTGCTATTGCGGGGTGTTAAGTTTCCACCAATTCGCTTCATGCCTTGCCAAAACAATTACGATACAGGCATTCACTTTAGCCGGCAATAGCAGAGAGTGATGTTTTTGCCAACCAGGGCTTGCGATGGGCCTTGGATAGATCATGATATGGAGTCGATCACATTTCTCTAAGTCTGCAAGGACCTGACGGTTGTCAAAGCACTACTCTTTCGATGACTTCAGTCTTCTTCAATCATAGATGTCTGTAAAGTCTACTAATTGCAACCTAGTCTAAACCTTCCCAGCAATGATAGCTGCCGCTTGCTCTGAAAGCGCATAAAGAGGAGCTTGAACATGTGCACTCAACGGCACAGGGATGACTGATGCATCAACGACCCGGAGCCCTTGAACACCTTTAACGCGAAACTCTGTGTCAACCACTTTACCCATAGAGCAAGTACCTGAAGGATGCCACGACGTGCCGCCAGTCATAGCTATTCTCTGATCCAACTTTTCATCACTATCATCCAGTGCAAGAGCTTCCACGGGAAGCCCTTCGGGAATAGATTCTCCGATAATCTGTTCACCAAATTTGGACCCCAGCATGAATCTTGTCAACTGGCGCAAAGCTTCACGAAAGACGTACTTGTCTACCTCGGTGGAGAGATAATTGAGATTGACTGCTTACAGTCAGTGATATGAACATCGAATATCTTACTGGATCGAGACAAATACTTACCCTTTGGGTGGTCGTCAGGCTTCCCAGACCCCAATGACACAGAGCCGGTCGAGGTAGGCAAAAAGCTCACCAACGCGCTAGTGATATGCTCTGCATCCATGGGGACACCGGGAAATGGAAGCTTCGCAAACATGACGATGTTTTCAATAAATGTACGTTCTTTCGCGAGAAGAACATGATTGGACTCATTCGGCTTTACCCCTTCATCTTTCTCAATAGCTTTAACAAGTCCCTCTTTGGGGACATTGGTGTTGACGATCCAGTCAAAAGGTACACCTTGCGAGTATTGGGGTTGTTGAAAAAGAGGATTGGCGGACCCAATAGTATATCCAGCAGAAGGATCACGTAGCCGCCAATGCTGGAAGAAAATCATATGATCGGATAAGTTCTTGCCTACTTCTGGAAGGTCGACAAGTGGCTCAATGCCAAACTCTTGAAGATGGCTACTTGAGCCAATGCCAGAGAGCTGAAGGATCTGAGGAGAGCGGAATGCACCAGCGGAGACTATGATGTTCTGGCCTTTGACAACGTTACAGTCAGCCAGCTCAACACCAGTGACTTTGAGATTCCCATCAATCTTCTGAACGATGACTCGGTTCACGAAGGTCTCGAGACGAACTTCAACTCCATCCAGTGAGTATTGATTGGCAGACCACTCGCGTTTGCCCTCAGATCTTGCTTCGCATATGTAAGCACGCCCAAGGTTGTTTCCGGTATTCTGGTCACCGTCTGGTAGGGTTGAAACACCAAGCTCTTCCCATCCAGCAGCGGCTTGCCCAGCAAGCGGGAACACGCGATTGGATGCCTTGGCGCAAGTGACACGGATTGGTCCATCTTGCCCATGCTGTTCTGGGTTCTTGTCATCGAACCAGAGCTCTGATTTCTTGAACCATGGTAGTTGGCCCTTGTAGCTGTAGCGCTCGTCTCCAACCAGAGATGCCCACTCGTCATAGTCTGCCGCAGCACCACGAGTCCAGCCACCTACACAGTAAAACCGTTACTCAACGAACTCATTTGCTATTTGAGGCTCATTCACTCACCCGAGTTGATAGCTGAACTGCCGCCCAAGCCCCTTCCGGCGTTGAGAGTGATTCGTCGACCCATAAGTGCTTCAACGGGTTCTGACTGATACTGCCAGTCCAATTCACTGCCCAAATTCAATACTTGCATGTTATGTACATCCGGACGCCCCCGGGTTTCTTTTCCAGCTTCAATGAGGAGTATCTTGGCGGCATCGTCGTATTGTCGAATGCGGCTGGAGAGGACGCAGCCTGCAAGGCCACCTCCAACAACTATGTAGTCATAAGTTGGTGAAGTCATTGTGAGTTTCGACGTCTTTGGAAGGGTCGATTGTGTGCTAAGGAAAGTTGATGAGGGGAAATAAACAGCTTAAAAATGGTACGCAATGAAATAAAAACTATTCGCGCAAGTGGCGGAGCAGGAACAGCTGACGTGAGATTGAGGTGTATCGAATTAGTATGCTATGAAGCTATGAACCGCATCTAGCTACGCTATCTGATAATTGACCAATGTAAGATCGGGATGTGTTACTGGTTCCACAAGGGACATGGTAATATCCATATAGCTTCTTCCAAGGATAAAACGCAAAAAGTGCGGTTTGCGCTTTCAACAAGAGCCTCAAACGTCCAGGTGAAATTGCGGGCAATGTGTATAGATCTGACCGGTCTGCTTTCGCTTTTGGCTTTATAGATATTTCTGCCGTAGTGTGAACTTCAGAGTTATGAGATTCGTTTCATTGGAAGTACGGGTATGGACTGACTTGCATTAGCTATAGTCGCCATTTGAATGATCTTATAGCCACAGTAGTGGGTGGCTATGCATGTGAGATTGCCTTTTGATGGACACGCCTATCTCTTCAACGTGATATCTATATGTTTTAAGATCACAATAGTGTGTGTTGCGTTCTTCTCTTCTACTTTCTTAGTAAAGCTCAGAGACTACGACAACATCGACTCTTCAAGGACATGTGCAGAATATCACGATATGGTTAGTATCTTCTACCAGAAAATTCGGTTGCTATAATAGTTGTTGCAGTCCTTGTTACAGTCGAGCTTCAGGTGTTCTAGGGTCGATTGATCTCGTGACGACGATATGATATTGAGAGGAAAATCCTATCATTAATCATCTGGGCTGTAGTCACAACCTAAACAGGCACGGCTACGTCAGAGATAATAACGATACCTCTTCTCTCATGTGAAGTCGGTATTCGATTGGCGCGAAAATAGACTCAGGCTCCCGAGCTGTCGAATCCTTGCGTAAACAACACAAGATATGCATAGTCGGACAACAGGAGAGCTTTTTGGTCGCGCATGATGTGATAAAATCATCGAACTCGGACTTCTTTCAGTCCTCGGTCTTTGGAAAAGGCCGTGATATCGCGAGGTCAAATATGATAAGGGCGGTGCGGCACTCGGCCGGCAATCTTCCCTGGATTTATGAATCATTTTTCGGAAGTCGCTGTTTATAATGCCACGCGATACGGTCTGCTTGACTCGAGGGTTGCTGGCAAAGTGGAGTCATCCTTAACCGTATCTGCATAACACTGTCGATCATTACATAACTGCCTAGAGGTTCGCACTTCAAAGTTCCGAATATTCATGGCAAACAATTTCGCTGTGGCTGACATTTGGAGTACAACAGGATTGTCTTGTACTTTGCCTAGCCCCTGACGATCCAGTGTGTAGGACAGCATGATGTAGGAAACCAGTGACCTTGGCTGGCCCGTTGTTGGTCGTGTAACGGAACACAAACGACTGAGTTTCGCGTATCTTCTCTTTCTACTAGGCTTTGATGAAGATCTTAACAAGGAAACAAATCCTCCGCTGACACATTCGGATCGGACATTTTGGAATTGCCGTAGAAGCGTCTCGCATGAATGTCTCAAGTGATCAACCAATGCCGGTTTCAAGTTGGAACCCACTTAACACCACCTCGTATGCATAGCGACGGCCCGGAGCGACGAGCCAAGCGACCGACAACCGAAAACCCCCTTGTATGTGTCTGTGACATCAGGAAATAGGCGACCTGCCAGTTCAACATACTATAAGTACTTCGTTGATCGTTCCATAGACTCAGTTTGATTCTTTCGCTCAAGTTCTCATATTGTTATATCAGCATCAAATACTTCTTGTCTCCTAAGCCTTCAGCTCCTCGACTTTAATTTTGCACTTTACCTATTCCCCGAGCAACACCATTCAAGATGGCCAAAGGCGCAAACTCTCCTCAACGCCCTCGATACTGGCTTCTGACATCTCCTCGCACTGCCTCCAACCTATTGGTCAAGATGCTCAACCTCGGCGAGCAGAATGTACGTCCTGCCAACCACGGAGGATACTTCTTCCTTCCATCTTTGCCCAAGCACTTCTTGGTAGCTGAGAAGCCTATGGACACATGGACGGAGGAGGAGAGTGCGACAGTGAACAGGGTAATTCAGGAATGCTCTGAAAGATTCCAGGATTATATCGCCGCGGCCGAGAAGGAAGGTCAGATTATTTATGTGAAGGAACACTCTATCATGTTGAACCATCCTCGTTGCGAGGACAGTTACGTCAATGGCTCTAAGGGATCTCAGAAAGAGGCGGTACCACTTCCCATGATGGGCATCACTCAACCAACTCGGTCACCACTCAATCTCACACTGTTTCCGGATGAGTTTCTCAAGACATGGAACCCAACTTTTCTCATCCGCCACCCCGCTCTGATGATACCCTCCTTGTACCGCACATGTCTCGGCAAAATGGAATGGGAGGGTTTCAAGCGCCCAAGAAAGGAACCCATGGCAGCAGAAGTCACTATGAAGTGGCACAGAACATTGTACAACTTCTTCTCTGAGCACTTTGCGAACGACAGCATCTGGCCTATCGTCATTGACGCCGACGATGTCATGACATGTCCTCAACTGGTAGGCAAGTATGCACAGCTCACTGGTCTTGATGAAAGTAAAGTTCGCTACTCGTGGGACAAGGCGGGGGAGGAAGAGCTGAACAAGCTGAGCCATGTGGAGCAGAGAATGCTTAGCTCCATCAACACTAGCACGACTATTGACCGGAGTAAAGTCGCTGGGAAGATTGTTATTGATCAGGAGGTAGTCAAGTGGAAGGCTGAGTTTGGCGAAGAAGGGGCGCAAAAGCTTGAGCGATGGGTGAGAGACGCCATGCCAGACTATGAGTTTCTGCATTCCAGGAGACTCAGGTTAGAGCAAGAGTAGTAGGGCACATGAGTAATGATCCAAATATAGTGGAAGACATTTCATAGGGTTATCGAACTCAAACACTAGGTCTAGAGAGTCGTACAAGGTAGCCAGTTCAATAAGACGGTACTAAACCCAAGTTTACTGAACTTGCGATATTCCACTGCGCCACGTGTTGAGGAAGTGTCTATAAGTCTCCAAGGAATGGGACCAAAGTGTACTGAATGCAACAACTCTCCTCGAGAATCTCAACGCCTGCTCTCTTTCAGGGCATTGTCAAGTTAGGGTGCTGTTGAGACGTTCGGCCTGGGCATAAAATAACCAAGCTGTGGTCTATACGACACGGAACTCCATGTACACGAGAATCATGCGAACAAGGAATCTTAATCACGAAATGGTAATCACAGATCCCGCGGTCCCATCTTTTCCTCCGTGATTGCCATGATCAAACAGCAAACATTAATCTGATGCAGTAGACCGCATCACATTACAAAATTCACCATGCAAGCTACACAGCACATCTATTTTAAAGCTTGTTAAGTCGAGGAAGAAGACCAAGATCAAGTGAAGCAACCTACCCGAGACACTCCCGCATAGTATGGAAGTGGCAGGACACCTTGAAGAGGCGTCCTGTCAACTGTTGGCAGCGATAACTGCAAAGCTTGGGGATTGGGTGATAGCAGTTGCTTCTAACCCGTTTTCGGCACCAGCTCGCAAGAGCCCGAAGACGGAAAGGGAATTGAGGCGGGAATAGATTGAGTCTAGTCTGGCCTAGATGCTGTCGACATGTCTCGGCTATTCCATATTCCCGACTGGCCCAATCGGGCTGGGCCGACACTTGGACCTGGTGGGGGTTGTATCTGTGAGCATTTGGTCTCTTGCGGAGGAAGCCATCCAGAGCAAGCATCTGTAGTGGCGTGGGACGATGGGGGCACAAGATCTGCAAATGACATAAATGTGCCATCGACAAATACATCGGTGGCAAAGAATGAAGTCAATGAAGCTGAAATCCGGGAATTTCGGGAACTTGATGGAACATGATGTGATGTAGTTGAGTGTAATCCGCCATCCAACTAGGCAATACCAATAGAGATCTCCAATCCATCGTCGATGATTCTACTCAAAACCCAATCGAGATCCTGCTTGCCCCAGCTATGGAATGAGGGGTCCTGAGATCGAGGGTCCAGTATTTGAGAAACAGGTCCGGAAAGCGAAAGGGACTAAGTGAACTTGTCCCTGAAAAGGCACTAAGGAATTCCGCCCCGAGTTTAATTACGTTGATCGGTTATCGATTCAGGAACCATCAAAGTATATAGAGTGCTAATCACCCGAAACTCTAAATTTATGACATCTGGACCTTGCATATTCGTCGATAAGGTTCAGGGCCAGTGGCGGCGTGGCTGCAGACGGGAATGATAGCAAGCCACAGTGTGGTGCCTGAACGTGGAAAGATTGATGCTACGTCAAGTATCGTCAAGTCTGGACTCGAAGGCAAAGATTGATGGTCATGAATGTGAGGTATGAAGACGGCAGTATATAACTCCCCTTCAGTTCCGCTACAACACATCTCCCTCAGTCACTCACTCACACTCAAAAGCTCTTTGGCATTTATCTGGACCAACAATCTTTGTCTTCCAACCATTCCTTGAACAACTCAACTTATACACTTACAAAGTAAACAACACTTACTACAACATGAAGGTCACTCTTCAGCTCATCACCGCTGCCCTTGCAGTCTCTGTCGCAGCCCATCCTCAAAACGGACCCGGCGGTAGAAAGCCCAGCAGTACCACCACTGCTGCCGCTGCCTCTTCAACAACTGCTGCTCCCGGCCGAGGAGCCATGTCTTCTCTGCCCTTCCTACCAACCTGGTTCTTCAGAGACTCCAGCGCCAACAAGTGCATCAGCACTTACAACAACTGCTTGATCACCAACTCATCCAACCAATCATCCTGCGCTTCCAACTACGCAGCATGCATCAAGGGTGGATCTTCTACTACCGGTTCTGCCACATCAGCCCAGACAGCCACCTCAACTGTTTCAAGCGCCGGTGGTCCTCCTACTCACACCTTTTCTCGACCCTCTGTTTCTGGTATTGCTCAGTGGTGGAGAAACGAGCAGAGCATCCGAAGATGCAACTACGCCTACTACGTCTGCCGCAGAAAGTCTGGATCCACTCAGACATCTTGCGCTTCTGACCGAACTGCATGCTTGGCTTCCGCCAGGGCCACTGGAACCGCCACCGCTGTGCCTACCAGTATTCCTACCAGCATCCCGACCAGCGCAGCTACTACCACTGCTACTGGATCAGCAGCTACTTCTTCGGCCGTTTCCTCTTCGACTACTGCTGTCGCTGCGGGCACTGGCGCTGCTGATGCCGACGCTCCTCTCAACTCTGACGATCCCTCTTTTGATGACGAGAACTACGACGCTGATACTGCTTAAGCATGTCGAAAACCTATGGTCAAAGGAAAAATACAACACATCAAGCAAAATTTTCTTACTGTTAATTGGATTACGAATTATTGAGTCTATTGGGGAGGCCTCCCGTATTTCCATGAACTGGCATGGCACATTGGTGCTACAACCTTCCCTTAGTTAATATTGATGTCCTTTGATGCAAAGAGCTAGAGTACATCTTAGACAAAGAATCATAAAGTTGTTTGCCAGCACAACTCCGCCCGATGCGCTCTTGTTGTGACATGTCAATCCAGCTCTGCCTCGTGAGTTCGTAGGCGTCGACAGAAATGTCCGGTTCGAGTGATGCCAAAGCAGACTTCAGAGATAATCTGACGTCATTAAACACAGTTTAGATCCATTCAAAGCTTCGCGGCCTGAACTTTTGCGTGTTGGGTCATTCGACTTCACACCATCTCTCCATATCTCCACGCCAAACCGCGGACCTGGAACGCGAAATCACAGAAAGGCGAATGGTCAGCGATTGGCCTTGCCTTTGGGAAATTCACTGGTGGAGTCATGGCGCTTGCACCCTGGTTGCAAGTCACTCACTGCCTGGGCAGCCCAGAGACAGAGTTGCACAAACAGACCAGGGGTACAAGGCTGGGAACGCGAATAGACATTGTTAGTGCAGACGCGTCGAGCACGCGACACGCGGAGGGGCTTGAGCGCGTGCCCCCCTGCAAAGACAGGAATGTCGTACTGTGACTCTATGGCTCTCCGTACAACTCCTGAATCTGTTAGAGCGCCAGTGCACATGTGCTGGACTTGCACTTGGGAATTAGAGGGGCTGGTGTTTGTGCAAGCAATGCATGATTCAGCACAGCCTTATCTGGCACAATTCATTATGCGAGAACCCGCTTTTTCACCGCTGCTCGTCCATTATGAACAAGAGCTTATCGATCTTCGTCGGCTTATGCAAAGCGCACCCGCTGTATCGGTCTTGTCTGTCGGTGCAATGTATCTCCGATTACTGTCAACCAGATATGAGATGCGTTGCGCCAAGACGGTCAGTCACATGAACGAAGTGGTCAATACCTCAAAGCGGAATCTCTCAGTTATCTCTAGAACGGCGAAACTGAATTGAATTCACGTCTCATTTCTCCCAATCGTACTCCGGGATTGGAAATGCTTTCGCATCGCCAAAGCCACCGCCAATGTACCGCTGAGCAAGCTCAACGAGACCCGTCCATGCAACAAACGCGAAAATATTGTTGCGCAGCCAAATTCCCCAAGCCGTCTGCGGCGCCAGAATTGTTGTGATGAGTGGAGGAATTACCTGCATTTTGTTGATCAAAGGCCTGATCTGTTGCTCGTAGCCTTGAAGACCAGCTGTGATATCTCCCTTGTGTTTACTCAGCTCTCCTGCTAGGATGTAGGCGCCTGCAAGAGCAAGGCTCGTTCCACCGCCAGTGAGACCAGCTGCGTATCCTGCATCACCAACCAAAACAAATCGTCCCTTGGACAATGTTTGTGCTTTGACCTGTACAATTTCACTCGCATAAAAATCCTCCGAATTCATCATTTCTTTCATTGCAATGTCACTCTTCCATCCGACATCACTGTAGTGTTGCACAATGTACTTCTTGAGCGCGTCGTTCCCTTTTGCTGAAGCTTCCCGAAACGCGACCGCGCTCTCTGGCTTATCCCTCGGGTTCATGCACATGAGCAAGACGCGACTGAAGCCTGCGGGATCCGATCCAATACTGATATTTCGACCTCTCACTGCGTTAAATCCCTGTCCAATTTTGCTTCCATTGAGAACATCCTGGGATATTGAGAAGTAGGCTGACCAACAGTTGGTTGAGACGATGTGATCACCAACATTACATCCTAGTCCCAGAGCACGCGTCCTTGACATCGCGCCATCGCAAGCGACCACCAAGTCGTACTCCGAAGCTTCCGTACCATTTGTAAAGGTGACTTTGATAGGACTGGTAATCTTTTCACTTTGCTGCATCGACGCTATCTGCTCATCAAAGACGTAGTTGATGTTCTTGTTGTCTTTTGTCATATCGAATAAGATCCCGGATAAATCTCCGCGTAAGATCTCATATTCTGAGACAAGCGACTGTTGGTCAGGATTCCCAGTTGGTCTAATAACTCCGTAAGGTGTACCATCTTCGCGAACGAAGCTGATCCCTTCTTCTTGCGTCGACTTGGTTCGCACAGCGGCTTCCAAACCCGCCATCTTTCGCATAACAGAAACACCAGCGGTACGAATGTCGACAGCTTGTCCACCCGTACGCAGAGCTGGAAAGCGTTCAATCACTGTGACCTTTGCACCAGCCTTGGCGAGCCAATACGCTGTCGCAGGTCCTGCGATTGAGGCTCCTGACACGAGGACTCTTAGGCCTGACATTTGGTTGGAGCGGCTGAAAACGCGGAATCGTCGGATGGTTTACTTGACTCTACAATGAAGAATACACTCTACGTCCACATTTTCTTGGCACTTATTTCCATCTTTAATACTATTTCCGATTTCTAAGTTGCAACAAATTCCGGACAATGGAAATTCAGATAGCGGACAACGGACTATATTAATAGTCCATTTTTACAATGGTAAGCGCTACAATCTAGCGTAGCGACGATGCTGTTGGTTAGGACAGAGTCACTGCGTCATAGAGATTGAACCTCAGACAAGGTCATCTCGATGGTGGAAATCATGGTACTTGTCTCGTAGTGAATTCGCAGAGCACAAATAGTCCTGTAAGCATGTAATTAGCAGAGAATAGGGGCTGAGATCCATTGATTGAGACGCATTGTTGCTATGGCGTTCGTGTCTTTGGACCCTCACTGTCGTGCTCGACATGAATGAACTGCTTTGCAAGAGGAGCGGGTTTTTCGCACAGCAACATGAAATACATAAGTTTTAGACCAGAGACGAGCTCATTTTTCTCAAGCCTTGCAAGGTAGCAGCTCAAATATGTACATATACTCTTAAACAAAAACTGGGAGCTATTTGCACCTTCGAGTTGTCATCTCAACGTCTGCTACCCTACAGCCGCTGTGAGCCCCGGCCGGTCTGTAAAATCTCCGCTCGGCGATCGGTGGTTTCGGTAGTGGACGGGCAGGCTTGCTCCGCTATTGCCACTGTAAAATCCCGACAAACACTACAACAGTCCATGTGTTAAGCATACAAGATCAAGGTATAAATTACCTTGAAGTTTCTAAAGCACTACTATTCTGTTTATATTATTTAGTACTGAATTATAAACTGCCCGATCTTCACAATGACTTCAACACCTATTCAGTTGGAGACCAAGACACCGACACCATCCGTATCGATAAGCTCCAACGACTGCCAAGTCCACGGACAGTCTGAGACCCCTCATCTCGACAAACTTCTCCAAAACCGCCCCAAAGCCGAACTTCAAGGTCTCACCGACGCCATTGACAGCCTAACGCGCGGCGATCAATGTGCCAAATGCGCGGTTCAAGCCGCAGCCACAATCATAATCAGCTTTCTTCAAGAATTATACACGGCTAAAAAGACCGGGAAAATCTCCAAGGAAGATAAGAAAGCGCTCAAATCGGAAGTCAAGGGATTGGTGAAAGGGATAAAGGGGGATGTCAAGATTCGGAAGAAAGAGATCAAGGGCCAGTAAATGTTATCTCTGACCTCATCGCTGGGGCTCTGATGTAATAACAAGGTTCATGCTAGTCAGGAAATATTCATGACATATCCCTCGGAGAACTCTCAGGCTGATCTGGAGAGAAGCCCGAGACGCGCCCCAATCCTGATGATGATCATGCTGTAGAAATTTACCTCAATCCACCCCGCACAGAGCATGCCCCTCAATTCTCCAATACCTTCTTCCCCCACGGGGTCCGTGGAGACTCCAGAGGCCCAAACCCATCCAAGGAAAATTACCAACACATTATCTCGGACCAGAGTGACACCATAAAAACCGAGGCCAGATGCTACGTTGCGCAGGATAGTGGAGAATTACCCCAATGCCCATGGGGATAAGGCCTTCTCCAACCTTCTCCCCGCAAGCTCTTCCCATGCGGAGACTAGCCATCAACGGCATGGTTTCTCGTTGCATTCGGCCCGTCACGAATGTCACACGCTTCGAAGCCGGTGAAGAAATAATCCCCAATCTCTAGTGAAACAATTCGTTGGTCGATTAGAGCCGCAAGACCCGTACACTAGCCGATACGGGGACCAGCCCGGCTCGTGAATAGCTGGTGACGGAACTTGCCCGTTGCCGTATTGCCGAGTCGACGTTACGCGCACCTATAACGTTCGAAGAATAGTAACGACAGTATCTTACGGAGAACTCCACAACTCCACGTATCTCCCTGAGACTAGGTTTGGCCCAGAATGCGGAGAGTCGTGCTAAAAGACCAAGTATAATTACCTTAACCGTCGCCAGATTTCTTGGCTTTCGATCACTATCTTGGCAGATGCAATTGCAGGACAGCTATCAACATGTCCGAACCAGTTCTCAAGCCAAAGGAGGAGCTCGGTCATACCGACTTCGACCATAAGGAAGTCTTGAAGAACGCTGATCTTATGCATGATGCTTTCGATGCTGAACAACGTGAACATGAGCAGGGTGTTTGGGCTGCCGCGAAGGCCCATCCTTGGGCTTGCTTCTGGGCATTCATCATGTGCTTCACCATTGTGAGTCGATCTCATGAGGCTCAATATTCTGGATGGCTACTAATATTGGTCTTAGGTCATGGAATCGTTCGATATGTTCCTGAACGGAAACTTTGTCGCTCTTCCCGCCTTCCAGAAACACTACGGAGTCCACGTCGAGGGTTCAGGTTGGACCATCCCAACAAGATGGCAGAGCGCTCTCTTCCAAGCAGGGCAATGTGGTGCCTTTGTGGGTGTCTTCCTTGCCGGACCTATCACCAACAAGTTTGGTTACCGATGGACAACAATCTTTGCTCTGATGCTCATGAATGCTACGATCTTCATCTCATTTTTTGTAAGCCGTCAACCTACCCCAACGCCAAGCAGGCGTCTGACCAAATTTGCAGGCCAACTCTTTGGAGCTCCTTGTTGTTGGACAAGCTCTGGAAGGTGTACCATGGGGTTTCTTCATTGCAAACTCCCCTGCCTATGCTTCCGAGATCGTGCCCCTTGCCCTTCGTGGTGCTTGTACGGCGACCCTGCAGATGAGTTGGTCTATCGGCTCTATCATCGTCGCCGGTGCTACTTATGCCTACAACAAGAGAAATGATCAGTGGGCTTGGCGTGTACCCCTGGCCTTGCAATGGATTTTCCCAGTAAGTGATTCTCAGACTTCACCAGTTATCCCTAAGTTCTAACATCTTGCCTACAGACCCCTCTTTTGATCCTCGTGTTCCTCTCCCCCGAATCTCCATGGTGGCTTATTCGTAAGGGTCGTAAAGAGGAAGCACTGCGCTCCATTCAGCGCCTCGGCAGTAGCGATAAGGAAGTAGCTCACCAGAAGCTTGCCATGATGGAGCGTACTGTCGAGATTGAGGAGCAGGAGGGCGGCAACCCTTCTCTGATCGACCTCGTCAAGGGTACTGACTTGAGACGAACAATCATCACTTGCTTGATCTACGCGTCGCAGAACTTTGCTGGTAACTTGATTGCCAACCAAGCCACTTTCTTCTTTGAACGTAAGTGTCACCCATGACTGTCCCTGAAAATTGCTTTACTAACTTCAAGTCCAGGAGCTGGGGTTTCAACCGAGCGTGCGTTCCAGCTTAACCTCATCAACTCATGCCTCCAGTTTATTGCCAACATCATATCTCTCCCCATCACCAGTTCTTTCGGCCGCCGTACCATTTACCTCTGGGGAACAATCGTCAACGTCACCTTCTTGTTCATCCTCGGTATCGTTGCCACAATCCACCAAAGCACCGCCACCAACTACACACAGGCTGTCCTTGGCATATTGATCTCCTTCGTCTACGCCGGCAGTTTGGGACCTATCTCATACACAATCATCGCCGAGACCTCGTCTGTCCGACTTCGTGCTCTGAGCACCGGTGTTGGTCGTGCTGCCTACTACGTCGCTGAGATCCCTATGATCTACCTGGCTTCACGTCTCTTGAACCCTACTGGATGGAATCTTGGTGGAAAGTGCGGCTATGTCTGGGGAGGCACCGCAGTTGTTTGCTTCGTCTCGGCCTACTTCTTCCTTCCTGAGCTCAAGGATCGCTCATACCGTGAGACTGATATCTTGTTCAAGCGCAAGATTCCTGCGAGGAAGTTCAAGTCAACTGTCATCGATGTCAGAGACAACGAGTAAGGACAGAAATAAGATCCATAGTTTACGATGTTATGCAGCGTATTGGTTGGAAAGCGTATGTACATTAATAGCTCAAATTGAAAGCAGCCATATCATGGACGTTGTATATTAGCCACAATACATTTGATCTACGAAACGATCGTACCTAGCCACATGCTCTGCATCATGTTACGCTCCCCCAACGCTTTCTGGTCTACACTTAGAGCAGCCTTCCACGTGAGAGTAATAATCTCTTGTCAGAACCCCTGTGGACTGTGATCTCCGTGCCATATGACCCACAGGGAAAGTCCAAAACCTCCAGTGGCCGACAACTGGTACTTCCTTGTAAAGTTCTGCCATCATATGCTCACATTCCATTTGAGATGACATAATCGAAAAGGGCGGGTTTAGCTCAGTTGGGAGAGCGTCAGACTGAAGCCAAACTTCATCACCGATATCTGAAGGTCGTGTGTTCGATCCACACAAACCGCATCGACTAATTGATTCCCAGAAAGGGAATAGTTTCTTTTTGCGTCTTGACCAAAAAAACCTATAATTGTTTCGTTATGCTTGTCAAGGCAGGCTGGTCTCCATTCTGCTGGCGACCAGTCGGCATTCTTCTTTATTTAGAGAATACCTGAAATGTCAGGGACTCTTGGACTCAAACAACGATTCTGAACCCATCTACTACTAACAGGGCCTTGAATACCTCTCTATTTATTCATTCGGTCTCTATAATTGATACTATGCTAGGAAGTATGTACCTATTGCTCTTTAGGTGCGAAGCCCAACTTCCAGGAACTGGTGTACAGATCCAGGGACTTCAGATACATATGTGAGGGTCAAACGCTCATCTACTTTGGCAAGCAGATTCGTCCAGTCCTGCAAGTTGCGCTCCTGAGAGTTGAAGAACTGCAACATGTGCATGTCCCCAGCATTCAGCATATGGCTCAGTGTTACGAACGGAAGTGCGGCTGTGTCCGGAGGAGCCACGGCCTCAACAAGAAGAATTCGTGAACCAGACTCAAGATGTGGTACCAGATGCCTGAGGATGTTTGCAGCATACTTGTCAGGCCAGTCATGGAGAACCATCTTAAGCATATAAACATCCCCTTTGGTGTTTTGGGGCTGCAAGAAATCATGCGGCTCAAACTTGACTCGAGACTTGATCTCCGCAGGTACTTGCTCATCGAAGGAGACTTGGAGTTGAGGAAGATCTTGGACAACGAATTTCAAGTTAAGAAATGCACGAGCAATGGTGGTAGAATCATGACCACTAGAACCACCAATCTGAGGGATATCAGTATACTTGAACCAGTGTTGCCGTTTCAGTCACTTACATCAACCACGGTAGCTTCACCAAGCTTGTTCCAATCATAAGCCGACTTCAACAAGTCATCAGTCTTGATGACAGAGGCTGATGCTGCTACTTGCATGCACTCGGCGAACTTTGCACTACGCCAACCTTTCGGCTTGCCTTCGACTTCGCGGTTGAGATAGTCCCAGAACGTCTGGGGTTTGTCCAATTTGTCAATGTTAGCCAAAGCAAAACCGCTCTCACTTGGTTCCTGGCTGGGCTCCCCTTTACCGCTGCTGAACTTTCTGAGCGACTCTGCAACGTGAAGCGAACCAGGACCGGCCTCCTCTAACAGATGTCGAAGCCAAGTCTGATACAGCTGGTTTCTGGCAGGGAGAACAGATATCGAGGTATGACAAACGCTATCGGGCTTCTCGTTGGCACTGGCGAAGATACGCATTGAGGTAGCATACTTGAGGACGCGGCGTACGATGCTTTCTGGAAGGCTGACTTGGGCAGCGATTTCAGCATAGCTTGCAGACCCATCGAGTGGTACGGCATTCCAAAAGTTGAACTGGTTTAAGATGTTGGTGATGGATGCATCGTGAAATGCCTATATGTCAAGTATCAATCGTGTGGTTTCAAAGTTTGCGCATGAATGGTTTCACGAACAAGAAGAGGGCCCATAAACGACGAATCAGTTGGCCCAAGAGCAAGACGGTAGAGGTCAGTGGTGGCATCAAGCAACTGCATACGAAGGCCAATGATTTCGGGATCCTTTGGGTAGTCGGCAAGGCCGCCTTGTTCAAATGATGGAGAAGGATGCCCGTCTTTCTCAAGTTTGGCTGTCAAAGCTGTTGCTGCTCGTGATGCAGCCTCGGCGAGGCTAGTCAGTGATGGTGCTGTGGCTGTCATGTTGTTCCTAATGAGATAATGTGTGCAGATTGTAAGTCCGTTGCCGAGTGTACTATAACCTTTCTTTCAGCGGGGATAGTCCCTCTTTAAATATGCAAGCTTGTTGCAAATATCGTATGCGATAGTCCTGCGGACATCATCTCCCTGCGAGGGTCTATCTCATGAGCGTTGCGGTTGGCGGTACCTGTTGAGCCGGCTGATGACTTCGTTTGGCCCTAGGCCGCTAAGTGCTGACGCTAGTTGCAAGCTGTCTTGTCGCCCTCAGAGCTATCAGCACTAATGGTGTCTTACTGATACACGAAGGGTTGCAGCGGGTTCAGCTTGCAGGGGTATGATGCACCAAAAGACATCCAATGTCCGACGGTACTTGCTTAAACTGGAGACACTGGTGGTCACCAAACTTCAGCGCATGATGAAGCCTCATCTCTAACTCTATACGGATGCAATAGAAACCACCTGAAAAGCTGAATGTCAAGCGGAAGTACTAACAAGCTGCTGCGATAGCATTGAGTGGTCTTCCGAGGGTATCGTGAACGTTAATGGAGTGAGATGCTTGCATACTCGTATGGGTCGCTCAAAAGATGATTCTGACTCAGTTGTAAGCGATCTGGGATGTCTGATATCGAAGATGAGTACGCATGCAGCTGGGGTATCGCTCTCTACGAGTCTCCGTAGCTGATGATGGTGAGGGTGAGGCCCTTTCAAGACATAATCCCCGCTTACCTTATCAATGAAGCAGGAAATCGGTCTCACCGCAACCGTATAACGACATACATTCGACTTGAGGAGACCCGGCCTTAGGCCGCGGTCAGCTTTTAACGGAACAGTCACAGGGGAATCTGAGACGGTGAGAGATGGATGCGTGATGGGACAATATGATTATGTATAAGATCGCTTTAAGCTATTCCATAGACAGCTTCTTCAAATTTAAGAACAATACACCTGGTATCACGGAGTAAAGATATTTGAAGCGAACTTAGACACCACCAGCACTCTGATCCTTTGAAGTACCCTGTTTCTTTTCCGTTAAGGACGGATAATCTTCCTCGAACGTCTCGCGAATCAGAAACTTCTCATCGTTAACATGGTGATGTCGTACCCAGAAGATGATTGTCTGGACGAAGAGAGCAATGCCAGGAGCGGCCCAGGCCCACTGTGAAGAGTACGTTAGAGAGAGACCAGGATTGGTACAGTGATACTTACAATAAGATTGGGATCTTTGATAGAAGGAATCAAGATCTGAGCCAATGCAGAAGATAGAGCCTGCATAGCCAAGTTGATCGCGACGACAGTAGACTTCATACCTTCAGGCGCCCTAGCATATGCCATCTCGTATGCAGTAACGGCAGTGAAGAGTTCACCGATAGCACCCAGCATAACAGTAGGTAGCTGCCACCAGATGGAAACAGGGGATACACTATCACAGGTTGAAGCGTGATATCCGCAAGGTGAGGTTTTATAGACCCTCCACTGGATAACCGCACCGACGATACTTCCGATGATGGCGGAGCTATAACCAACAGTCATGCGACTGATGGGGCCGAACTTGATGTGATATCTGTTCAAGAGAGGGTAGAGAACAAAGGACATGATAGGCGCGAAGACCATTAGAGTAAGCGGATTGAAGTTGTGAATCAGATCATTCGGTGCGCCTTTGGTGGTCATTGACGCTCCTTGGTTAGACAATACCGTACCAACACCGCCGTTATTGAGGTAGAATAATGGTTGGTAGAGAAAGATCTGGCACGCGGAGAGAGTTCTGCGAGTATGCTCGACTGCCTGACTATCCCAAGAAACTGTCTTCCCCTTGGTGGCGAGAACCGACGGCTTGACTGACTCAAAGAAGTTCTTGGCCCAGACTTTGCCCTTGTTCTCCTTGATAGCCAACCAAACAATCTTGAAAAAGTTGTTGAGATCAGATCCTTGAGGCGGTGCGCGCTTGAGAGTTTTGTATCGCCACATGAGCAGCACTGGCAAGAGGATGTAAATGATGCCTGGGAGGAGAAAGGCGAGCCAAAAGCCGACGTACTTCTCAATGTAGGTTGTAGCAATCATGAAGAAAGCACCAACATTGATGCACATGTAGAAGATCAACATGATCCTCTGAATCGTTGTCTCGGGATCAACAATGACCCTTTCACCAGACTTGAGTGTCTTGACATATTCTGTCTGGTCGGTGTATTGGTCAACGATGAGAGGAACAACATTGGGTTTGAAAAGGCCCGCTCCGATGGCGAGGAGAAAGAAGCTAACCATGAACGGCGCAAGTCCGTTGCCGGCTTTGAGCACAGCGGGAGCTGCACCCCCAACCATGATAACGTGTGCCACGCCACCAATGATGACTCCATACATGATTGCCCTGAAACGGCCTGTCTTGGTGTCGCCGAGCCATGCACCAAAGATCGGGATGACATAGGCCAGGAAGTTGAACAGGAGAACCATGGCTGAGGCAAACTGGAGGCCTCGGTTTCTGTCATTGAGCTTGGTTAGTCAATAGCTCAGTTACATGTCGAAGCAACTTACAAAGCACCAGCATGGCCATTGGGGTCATTCTTAGCAACAGCTCCAGCGCCATTACCTCCCTTTGGTAACGGAAACTGGAGGAAATTGTTGAAGACTGTCTTGCAACCATAGAATGAGGCTCGTTCTGCAAGCTCGACGATGCACAGAAGATATGAAACCCATGGAATACGTCCTGCTATCTTTCGTAGCTTCTGTTTCTCCTCGGTGGTCGGGGGTAATCGATCCGAGGTGCTATCCGATACCGACAAAGCATTGGCCTCGGGGTCGATTGCCAGGCTTTTGTCTTGCGGAGCCTCAACTGAAGATGCTGACAAGAACTCATTAGTCGTGCTTCGACTTGGACTAATTCTACTCACCCATATTGTAGCTGATGCTGATCCTACGAAAGCAATATGCTACCTTGGATTTGGGATCTTGGCAAATGGATGGGACGCTGTAACGTATGGGCTAGATATCTTGTTTATGATGGGGTTTGCAACGCCCTGTTTCGCCCCTTCAGTGATGTCGCCATCGTCTCAATCTTCACATCATTGACACATTACATAAAAAGAGGATCTCTTGTGGGCTATCCATGTTGCAACTGACCATTCGACATGTACAGGAATCTGTTGGTTTGAACTACAAATTTGGTAAGGAGTAGCCAACATTGTTGGCCACGACGTCGGAGTCGGGCCGCCCCGATCCCACGTTACTGCCCGGGATGTGGGTAATGAGTTATTAATGCGCAAACTGTCAATCGCTAAACTACCAGGTAATTTGTGATACAAGTCAAGAATGGCTCGGGGCTTCCGAATAAGGTGCGAAAAAGTTCAAGAAGAATGGAGCAAACAACGTTATGATTCGTGTATTGGCCAGGTAGAGAGCCTGCATCTAAGCATCGACGATAGCGATCGTTGCAGTGGAGTAGATTTAACTTTATTTTAGCTCTGTCGTTCGCAAATCTTTGCTGTTTTGCTATAGCGAGAGCAAGGAGCGCCGGTTTTCCTACCATATCAGTGTGTTCTGTGCGTCAAACACCACTTTCGCGAGATATTGTGTCACCGGCGCACGGCTAGGACGGCATCTTAGACTACCACGCGACAACTATGATAAGTTTCGCATGGATATAAAATTTACATGAGAACCGAATATGCCTCCCATTGAGAGGAGATTCTGTGCTTTCTTGACGGAAAAATACTTGGAGTTTGGAAAGGTTCTCTTGAAAGCATGCAATGCCTCTAAGCTGGAATGGCTTGTTTGCCCCTGGAAGTATCATGTAGTTATAGTGGGCCACAGCGCTGTAGGTTCCACCTGAATACGCCGAATAATGAGACTAGGAGTAGCAGAGTACCCAGTAAAGGATATTCATTTATAAAAAGCCCAGTACAGAGGACTTATCTCTATTTGGCAGCAGACTATATACTAGTGACTATTACAGGCCCGGAGTTAGCGAGGTTGAGCTTCCCTTCCAGCCATGTGACCAATCACTGCAACCTGGTGTTCAGCAACCGCCGACAATTCACGTTCAACTTGAGCCTTGAAGACAGCCAAGATATAGTAACACACAGGCATGTCACCGAAAAGACTTTTGTGCAAAAAGAATTCATTGTTGTCGGAGTTCATTTTAGACCTAAGCTCTCAGCTAGCAAGGCCCATACGTTGTTCAGATCCCCGTCCCCCATGGGCATACAATTCAACCGCCTTGAGTGCATTCTCCCCATACAATGCAGATTCTTCGACTAGAGACTCTTGTCATTTTCCAAGCAACCAAACGATCTGGTTTTGGAGGGTTTTGGAGGGTTTTGGAGGAGGAGGATTAGGCTTGGGGCAAGGATGAGGAGGTCTGGGTTGAGCAGGCATGTTGCTAGATATTTGCGTGAATTTAAAGTCGTTGATTGGATTGTGTAATGTTGAAAGCTTGGAAAGTTTTCTGTTCATGTGATTTGGTAGAATGGAAGAACACATGCCCAAGTCGAGGAGCCTTTTATAGGGATTACTCTTCTTGAATCACGGTGACTGGCAATACAGAGCTGACTCCCTACTCTTTACTGCTGTTCCAGTGAATCCTGTTGCGAACTGTCACGTACCAGAGAACGCGAATCAACAGGTGCTGAGGAAGTAGAGACCCTATTGTTATCAAGCTTCTGATATCGTCATGTTCGATCAGTGCCTCAATGTAAATGAGTTTGTGTTTTGGAAATCGCTCACGAAAGCAAGAAATTAGACTCTCAGCATGGGGTATTCTGATTTCCGGAGCGCTAAATCTCAGAGTAATAAGGTATTGGGTTTTCAGGTCATCATGTCTAGGTCCCATAATCAACTATCACTGCAGATCACGACCAACGGCGCGTGATATGTTTCAGCTCTCGGTCTTAATTAATGTAGTATTGGCGATTTTGTACTATTATCATTAATAATAACGCAGAGCAATGCTGTATTATGAATGTTATGTTAATAATCCATGTTCAGTCTTGATAAACTCTGGCATTACTATTGCCTATCTGCTAGTTCACATACTCATCCCTAGGATCCCAGCAGAAATTCAAACCATTTCAAGCCTCATAGCGTGCCCCCAATTGTTCCTGGCACCTCATTCCGCTCCATCATATATCCCAGGCGATCTTACTCCAGTGTCTCGGACATCGCCGCCCTGTTCAACTCACTGACCTTCTCCTCCATCTTTTCCTTCACATCAGCACACTCGCACGCAAGGGCCATTTCAGCAATCTTTATCTCTGGCATAGTCTTGCCTTTTCTCATGGCCTTGACAGCCTGCTCTTCTCTCCATGCTTCCAGATCTCTCTCAAATGCTACAGCTTGGTATGTTTCATCGAAGCCAATTCCAAAGCTGCAATGGGTATCGGCTGGTAAGACTCTACTGCAATACCGGTGGTCATCAAAGCCTTCAATCTCCTCAATTTTGACTAGTGTAATATTCTGGCTGGGCGTGAAGCCGGCAAATAAATCTCGATAAGCTGGAAACTCTATAAGCGGAGCCTGCATCATGCCATTTATTTGAAGACCATATGCCATGGTAAAAAACGGATTGTTTCCCAGCTTCCACTTCTGCTGGCTTTGGAACATCTTCTCGATGTAGAGGGTATCATAAGGGCCGCAGTAGCCATATGGTATGATGCCATGCCTATCAAGATTGAACGCTGTGTTCAAAGAGAATCTTGTCATGTGCAAGCTCGCAACATAGCGCGATTTCCTAGACACGGAAAATGCAATCGGTACAGGAGGACACTTGATATTAAGATATCGGCCTTGGGGATTGACAAGTGCAGGGATGAACTCTATGGATTCGACGTAGTGCACTCTGGAGTAGGGGAGAGTCCATTCCCAGATGAGATTTTGGATCTCCGAGTGCAGTTTCTGAAAGTGTGGAAAGGAGCTGTTGTTCTCAATCGAAGATGAAGCTTTTGCATATTCTTGTGCTTCAAGAGACATTTTGTTGGCATTTTGAAACGGGTTGTGACGATAAGTTGGCTCTGGGTAAAGCGGTAGGTAAGTGAATGGGGAATGAGGGGGATAAGTATCGTGCGTTTCAGGCGGAGATATTGTCATGATTACTAGATAAAAAAATGCTGTTGGGTTATTATATACACGTTAAAGACTATGAGTGTTCAGACACCAGCATTGAGGTTTGGGAGGGAGAACATTCAAGGGACCGCTGAACATGAGGACTGGTCAGATGGACAGCTGCCAGTTTTATGTTATTTGAACAAACACCCTCAACATTCATAGGTGTTCAGTGACTCTACCTGCCTAGTTGTTCACGAGCATTGACGGACCGCTTTACCTAGACTGAATCGAGTCAATAACGCTCGTACACCTCATTTTTGTTCTGACTTGAGGCCTGTGAAGAAGTGATCACTTTATCTACAGACTACATTGAATAATGTCAATACTGTTACCTGTTTAACCAAAAGGCATTGCTGTTGAGCTACAGGCTGTTCAATGGGCCAGGAATTTGCGTAAGAAATGCTAAGTGAAGTATAGCAATGGAAATAGCCTTGAAAGTCGTGAAAGAGGCTTCTTTTAGTTCTACTATTTGATCCCATGGGTGAAAAGCGTTTGGCCTTGGTAGGCCATCTTCAGCATTATTAACCCAGTGACATTCGCATCTCTCCTTCGTCTGTGGGTGGGACAAGATGAGCTTTTCTCCGATATAAGTGCCCAAGCAGGCAGTTTGAAGTCGCAATAGAAATCACTTCGCTTTGAAAGTAGGATCAACTATAATGCGTAATATGTGAAGGCTCACCGAAAGACCCAGTAATCTTATTGTTAATAGGCTGTGATTGATCACTCTTTAGACGGAGACTTCAACCGTCATGCAAGGAAAAATCACATCTGACCCCAGCCTTGCTGCAACGTGAGACAAAACATTAAGCGCCTGACCGAAGACAATCCTTGCCGAATTTCGTCTGGTAGGATCGTGTTCCTGGGCGTTCTCCTTAGCGCTTACGCTTAGCAATTGATCCTGCGACAAGAATCTGGGCAAATTGACAGATGTGGATTGGTTAAGCGAGAACAGAGCCTACTGGCTTCAAATGGGACGTCGGAGCTGACATAGAAGCTTCAAAACCCCGAGCCCTGTTTGGGTCTTGTCGCCGTTTGACAGGGCTGATATGGTGGTCCGTAACGAAAGGTCCCTGTTTAAGGCTGTGCTACGAAACATGGGGGTATGTATTTTGCCCACATTGTTGGTTTGTCGGTAATTCATCAGGTTCCAAGTCGGTATGCTGCTGCTTCGAGCATTGCGATATCTCGACTCCGACCAGCTGTGGCCACCGTGCGCCCTGAAATCACAATGAGGCTGATTGCTGTTCATTTCTTTGCCATGGCTTTGACGGTAGCATAGTCACTGCCATGTTCAGTGGTCGCGAAAAGTTGCTGGGATCACGCTCCTGGCCACGACCATGCCTCAAAGGATCTATTTTGCCCAATTTGAAGCCTCTACGCCTTGCTCACCTGTGATTTATAGCCCCCACTGTGATAACATGCATGTAGATGGGGCAGGCAGACTACATTAATAAATACACAGCCTGCCCACCTGTAAGTTTCGCAACCATTTGTTGTCTATTCTGCTGCGATTTGGGAACCATGACTGATAGATCTACACCAAGGTCGCAGCCTCAGTACGAGCCTGTTGGATCGGACGAACACGAATTGCATCACCTCACACAACACGATGATGCTCCTTTCGGTAGGGAAGCAGCCGGTGGCAACAAAGCCAATGTTGCTGTATTCTCTTCCGACAGCCTGGAGAGGCAGTCCGGGAAGACAAACCCAGCTAGTTGGAGACTGAAGACAATCTTGAAGAAATGGCGCATGCAAGCCCTCGAAGCATCAATCCGAAAGAAGAAGAACCAGCAGGTACCCATCGTCAAAGACCGTTTCACCGCAATACTAGCTGCTCTGGTGCATCTCCCCGCCATCGCTGGCATCATTACTTTGAGCTTCTACATCTTCAAGAACTACTACATCGGCAAAGAACTTGAAGGGAAGCCCGATTACGATGTCGAGAAAAAATTGGGTATTCAGTTTGCGGCGAAGCTCATGGAAATGTTCATTGTGCTGTCACTCAACGCCATCGTCTTTTCCATGATCCGACACGAGTTTACGATCGGTCATTCTGTTCCATATGGTGCTCTGGTAGCTGGACAGCAGATATCCGAGGTCAGCTTCTTGTGGTCTGAGGAGTTCTTCAGCATTGTGAAGGGAAAGTTCTCTCAAACATGGAAGAAGGTTGGATTCATCATTACTGTCTTTGTCTGCACGATTATGGCTCTGGGGGCGTCATCGCTCAGTGCTGTTGCGATGATGCCACAGGAAGGGGACTGGAGAGCGGGCGGTAGTTTCGTCTACTTCAATGGTACCAGAGACGAGCTGTTCCCTGGCGTCTTGACAGAGGATAACACAATCGGATCTGCCTGTAGTGTTGCGGGAAACGAGCGTTGTCCTTCATGGCAATGGGATGTGATCAACAGCCAGCTCATCTCTAAACTCCCTCTGTCAGGCGAAGTAGACAATGGCTTGTTCATCAGACGACCACCGAGCGAGATTCTGGTTGCCGGACACTCTTCGACACTTGTCAACCTTGTGGTGGACGTCAGAGAGAAATGGTTCAACCTCAACAGTCCCAACCATACCGTCGCCAGAATGCCGCATCTTGGACCTGCCGAGGCTTGCATCACAACGTCACTGCACTGGGAACAAGCTGCAGACGATTCGGCCCAGAGAGGACAAACTCGATTCAACAACTTCCAAAAGCTTGCCCACAAGCTCAATGCACCGATGCCAATCACCAACACGAGATGTGAGCTGACGTCCGTGGGCGACGCCAAAGCAAAGACAATCTTGTTCCCCGACTTTGTGACCTTCCCACCAACAACGTTGAACGTCACGAAGGACGTTGTGAGTGATTGGCTATCAGATACCCTGCCTGATTTGAAGAAACCCGAAGTATTGTGGTTTGACTCAGCACCAGTCATTGCTAATAGTTCTGTTGGCGTCGTGGTCGCCGTGCCATCCAACAAGTCGCGCGAGGCAGCCGATATCTATGGCTGTATGATCGATGCACGGTGGATCACCACTGAACTGAGTGGCGATGCAGTCTCGCTGGCCAGTAAAGGATACCCACCATTCTCAGGAGCTATCGCCACAGCGCTGGGAGGCTCCTGGATTGGAAGCCCTGGCTACGGTCAGCGTGTCCATCTCGCACCGAGCTTCGCCAAATATCTCAACCCTCTTGACTCGAGAGCGAACCGAACGGTCATCCACGAAATGCTTCTCAACAGTGGCGTATGGACAACCGATGGGAAGGGTTCGAAGTCCACGGCGCATCTTGAGGCGGTTCTTGGGTCATTGGCGGCTAACGGCTTGGGCCGATCGACTCCGAACGTCACTGCCATTACAACCCTTGCTGATCCTGATGGTGAATGGTGGAAAAGCTTCATGCCGCAGGACGGTAAGGTGTTTGGACCTGGTGGCAGTCCATATGCTGTATCAGACGAGGACAAAGCTCGTCTCTTCAGTGCAGAGATGGAGACATGGGTGACCGGGTTCGCGTTTGCTGATAACAGCTTGACCATGCGCGGAGCCATGGCTGTTTTTTACGTCTATGCACTCCTTGTCATCGCTTACTCGATCTGGTCTATCTGGTCAGGCATTACTTCATCTTCATGGGAGTCTGTGCCGGACCTTCTCGCTCTTGCTCTTGCAGATCGAGGATCGGGGTATGACTCTGAAGGACTTAACAAAGGAAGTCCGGATATTATGAAGGAAAACTTTTGTATTTCTGCAGATGGAAATACGCTGAGACTAAGAGCGACTCATGGGTTGGTTCCACCTGAGAACCGTGTCAAGCCTAACGAGGCCTATGATTGAGTAACGGTAGAATATGTGATACGTGGATTTCATGTACGCAGCAAATACATGATGCATTCTCTCTTTTCTCCCGTGACTTTCGCGTCTCGATCGTCAATGTAATGGTTATATTTGAGGGCGTTTACGTCATGGATATGTCTTGCTCCGCCGCCTCCGATTGGTGCCATTGGCTGATTTGTCGTATGTAAGCAGCTGAGGCTGATCTCGCCCAGACGGTTTGTGTTTGACAGTCTCATCATTGACTGGACATTCATTCATCACTTCCCGACAAAGCTAGGCTCAGACGCGAATACATAATAACTACGTTTTTAGCTCTGCAGTATATGCCGACTAAATCTGGCCCTATAATTCGACACCCTTTGCAAAATCCTCCTGTACACCTCCCTCAACCAATCGTGGCCAATGCCTGATCCTATTCCCCAACAACCATCATCGGCTGCTAAAGCTGCACCATTGCGTGCTCTATTGCCAGCACAAAACAGAATACAGCCATCGCCGCCGCCTTCGAATCGCATTATAACTCGCCGTCGACTGAATCCTGTCTTGGCGGCCTGCGAGCCATGCCGCAAACACAAGGCCAAGGTATTCGAACGCCTCGTATTCTGAGCGGGGTTTGGCTGACCATCGTTAGTGTTCTGGTGAGAGACCAACATGTCGTCGCTGTCTTCAACGTAACCTCTCTTGCAACTATGTAGCGCGGCCAGGCGAAACACGTACACAGGCGCTAAACCGATGCTCTCACGAGGCCCATGAAGGCTCGAGTCAACGTGCAACTATCTACGAAGAACTCATCGGGTTGTTGAAGAACCTACCCGATCAAGATGCCCAGGCCATCCTGCAAAGGCTAAGGTCAAGAACAGACGCGGCTTCAGTTCTTAACCAGGTCAGAGCAGGCGATGTATTACTTCAAATGGCCGTCGTTCCCGAGACAAGGCTACGATACGAGCTTCCATATCGATCGGAGATGCCGAAAGAGTTTAAACGCGACAATCCTTATCTAAACTCACTGCTGTTTGAAACAGCCTCTCTCTACTCACAACACCAAACATCAGAGCCAAGCGTACCTGGACTTCTTGCTAGCCTGGGCTCTGAAGAGCAAAGAAGCCTTTACTTGAAGCCCTTCCATGCAGCCCAAGTAGTCGACCCATTACTCTCCGACGTCAAAGTCTCACCATGGACCAGCGTCTGTGATGATGACAAGCTCATGCGGGATCTTCTAGGTGTACTTTTCCGTTGCGAGTATCAATTCACAGCAGCTTTTCACAAGGACTTATTCCTGGAGGACATGTCAGCGCGTCGTACCGACTTTTGCTCTTCCCTCCTTGTCAATGTTACACTTGCATATGCTTGTGTAGGATACCATTAATATTGCCATAGCCAACATTACTGACACGCTTACTAGGTCTGTTACACCAATTTCTCTAACCGCGTCGAGTATTGGAATCCGAACACTCTTGCTTATCGCTTCCTTGCCGAGGCCAAGCGACTATGGGAATTGGAAGCTTCTGTCCCGTGTATAACTACTATCCAGGCAGGTATCCTCTTTAGTGTTTTTCACAATCTTTGTGGTCTGGACGAGGTTGGGAAACCTTACAGGATACATGCTGTAGCTTTGGCCCATCAGCTTCGCATCTTTGACACTATCGACGTTGATCAGAGCAAGAGGATACAGAGGGGAACGCAAAATCTGGCTTGGGCTATGTACAACTGGGAGACGTGAGTGTGTCCTTTCACACCATTGATCATGCACTTACAACAACAGTCTCTCCGCCTTCTCGTTCATGCTATCTCCGCTCATCAAGGAGCCACCAAAATGGCCGCTTCCAGATCCTTTGGAAGATCTGTCGTGGTACGGCGAAGTATGGGTCAAGTACCCCCTGAATCATGGCCTTTCACCGATGTATTTTGGGGAAGTTATCCGTACTCGGAGTCAGTTTCGGATCATCATGAATGAGTTTTGTGACGCAGCCTACACAGAGGGTTCCAAGGTAGGAGTTGACAAGGCGTATCAGTTTCGTGAAAGGCTGGAAAAATGGTACAACAACTTGTCGACATCTCTAACTCCCAGGAGAATTGTTCTTCCTGGACAGCTACAATTACAGTAAGTGCTTCCTATGCTGCCTTTCGCTAGTATATCTAGCCCAACCTTACTTCATGTGCTCATTTGCGTCATAGTATGTACTATCACCACTTACTATTAACAATCTTCGAGCCTCTTTATGATGTGGAAGCAAGTCAAGAACCTTCTCCACAGAGTATTGTAGCAGACTCAAAGAAGAATATGCAGACACTTGTCCGGCTCTACTATCTCCGACATGGATTTGAAGCAATGGACCTCTTTATCGTCATCCCTCTGATGATGATGGGGTATGATTGCGTAGACGCCATCAAGGAGGATACGCCAGAGGAAGAAATTGAGTTACTACGATCGACTCTCATTCTGATCGCTCAAGGCCTTTATAACCAACGACGGAACCACTACTTGGCACAGGCACTTTTCAGAGTTATTCGAGGGAAAATGCGTCCGCAGGAGATTGGTTTACTGAAGAGTTCAATGGCGTTGGATAAGTACGAGGCTAATCCAGAACCAGATATGGCAGTGGCTGTTCGAAGCCACTGGCCAGTGAGCGTTGTTAAGAAACAAGAGGACATAGAGTCCCATATCTTGACGAACCTTGTCGAGAGTTTTGGTCGTGTCAATGTTGAAGAAATTCCATGATGGAACGTGGGTTGTGAAGATATGGGGACGGCAGGAATTGGATGCAATACAAGACTTGTGCAGGGTGAGAAATATGAAGAAGGCCTATGCTTTGGTCAACGTAAACGAATAATGACCTACTTATACATATAGTCCTTGAGACCATCGAAGAAGAGGAAAGAGCCTACAGCACAACAGAGAAGGCAAGCTGGCTGAATGGAATGGTATTCAAGATACACACTAACGGCTGATATTTTGACGATAGTCCTTGTTGACTAAATGGCTAGTTGGAGGGATATTTTCTTGCTTCAGCCACAAGATGTTTGGCCACCTGCACTCCGCTTACCAGGTGTAGCTGAGAAAGAACGGCATCTTATGATACAGTGCACTTGAGCACATCTTCGATGGCCTCCTTCTGGAGCCCGATCCCGTGCAGCTTCTTCACTTCCTTTGCATCGACCATGTTCTCAAAGTCTCCTCCATTCCCATTCTGAAAATGAGTAAGAAAGAACTTGACAAATGGAGCAGTGCGGCCCTTCTGCTGAATCTTCTCGTTGCAATCTTTCAGTGCATCATTCACATCTTGGTAGTCGACCTCCCAGTCCCGACCCGTCGTCCCTGCTGCTTTCTGAACTGCTTGTAGAAGCTCCTTCTGCGTTAGATGGAAAGACGGGACGTAGAAAGCCTTGTTCTTATACTTGCATAAGTCATTCTCTGGGAGGCTCAATACTGCAGCTGTAGCCTGACCAGTATGTGCAACACTCGAAGTGCTCACCTTGCCAACACCTCTAGTCCAGATCGTAGCTTTGTGGTTCTCAACATCGATAACCCAAAGTCCACTTTTGATGTTCATGTCAAGCAGCTGGTTTTCTGCTATAAGCCTTATTGCGGAAGGGTCTGGGCCGAATTCCGCCGGTAGGATATACGGAACTTTGGCTTTGGCAACTGCTCTAACAGCTGGCTCTTGCAGGCTGACGAGGTGAGGAAGAGGCGGCATGAGCACGACTATGTCTTGGCCTTGGAAGACGTCCGTCAGAAAGGGCACATCCTTCAGGTCACCAGACGTGACGATGACTTTGGGTGGAAATGTGCTTGTTGCCTCGATTCGCTGAACAGAACTAATGGTGTGAATGCCTTGTGCGAGCAGGGCCTTGACTGTCGGTTGTCCAACCTGGCCACTGGAGCCGATAATGGCGATTTTACGCCCCTGCGTTTGGTTCGACAAGGTGGAGTGAGATAAGTCTGTCTGTTTTGAACTCTGTAGCTCAAAGAAAGTAACTCGAGTACTTTGTTCCTCTCTCCCTTAAGCGCCTACTAGGCATATACGTCATCCATCTCCGTCGTGTTTACTGTACCAAGACGTGGTAGACAACAGTTCTGAACGCAACGAAAAAGAGTAACAACCCACGGCAGTATTCGAGCAAGATACGACCAGATCTCAATCAAATAATCAACCAGGATTGCCCAGAATTGACAACTCCATGGATTTATGTTCAGAAGAGACTGCTCATTTCTTCAATGAAGCGATGCAGATCGTTAGTGAATGCGATGATGGAAGGCTAGCAGGACTTCTATTCCAGCCATTTGCTGGCCTATAGATGAGTACTGTGCTGGTCCACCTTAACATCCGCTAACAGACATGATAGTGCCCCGCCTCAAGTCTGCACTGATGCGGGAGGATGACCAGTCGGGCCCTGACAATGCGTTAAGTCCGAACTCATGATATAAAGACCGATTCCATGAAACCTGCTTCATAATCACCCATCAACTTCAAAAATCATCGCCCCTCGAAGCACAAGTTTGTCACTCGCGAAGCCATTGTCTGATTTAGCAAAAATGTCTCCAACCGACGTCTTCAGCCCAGGCTCTACCGCATTGATCACGGGTGCCGGCTCAGGCATCGGTCTAGCCATCGCCAAAACATGTCGCAGCAAGGGCATGCGTACATTGCTCGTCGATTACAACGAGGAAGCTCTGGAGGCTTTGACTAAGACGCACTTCACGAACGATTCTGACGTAGTAACCTCCAAGGTTGATGTTTCATCGATCTCGGATTGGCAGGCGCTGAAGAAGCTCGCCCTGGAGAAGTTTGGTAGCATTGAGTTTCTGGTCTTGAACGCCGGCCGAGGTCTGAGGGGCACTTGGGGAGACGATGACTACTTCAGAGATGTAAGTTGGTAGATGCAACAGTGAGACAAATGCTAACGGACAAGACCCTCGAAACCAATCTTTTCGGTGTTATTCATGGCATAAACACGTTTCTCCCCGTGATCCAAGACGCCTCCAAGTCAAAACCAACGAGCATCGTCATCACTGGCAGCAAGCAGGGTATCACCAACCCACCTGGCAATCCAGCATACAACGCCTCCAAAGCTGCAGTCAAGACTCTTGCTGAGCATCTGAGCTGGGACCTGAAAGACACGAGCACCAGCGTGCATCTGCTCGTGCCCGGATGGACTTACACTGCACTAGTAAGAATCACAGCCGTTTGTAAAGTAACTGACTGACAATATGACAGACTAGAGCAACACCGGGCGGCGTGAAGCCAGCTGGAGCTTGGACTGCAGAACAGGTTGCAGATTATCTCTATGAGAAGATGGGCAAGAATGAATTCTACATCATCTGTCCTGATAATGATGTTACAGAGGAGCAGGACAAGAAACGTATGACCTGGGCTGCAGGTGATGTCGTTCAGAGACGGCCGCCTCTGTCTCGATGGCGCGAGGAATGGAAGCAGGAAGCTGAAGAAACCATGGCTAAGATGGATCTCTAAATTCACGGGACTTGAAGTGGCGGGTAATTGGCACAGATATAGTACCCCAAGTCATCACTGAAGACAACACGAGCTGTTCAGTGCCTAGTCCGAATCAATTGGGTGTTCAATCGATAGTGTCATCGTGCAGTCCAACATGAGGTTACAATATCAACGAGCATGTTATATCTTCCGGTTCTGTATCGTAGGCGATGACTTCTGAGGAGATCAACGAAGGCTTGCCCCACAATAACGAGGCCCTGTCATGCCGAACGACACCGTAAAGTGTCGAGAATCCGGCAAAAAGTCGAAAAGTTCGTCAAACACGTCTTGTCAAACCAGCCATCAAAAGATTCGATACACCAGGGACTCGAACCCTGAGCCTTAGTCTTAGGAGGACTACGCGCTACCATTGCGCCAGCGCACCGGAGCTATTTTTGGAAGGATTTGTGTCGTATTTCGATTTATTGATGACAAGATTTGGAGTTTTAGGTTTGGACCACCACGTCGAACTTTGGCCTCAAAAGGAACGTTTCATGCCATGAGCTACTTATGGCCGGCTCTGTTTCGTAGTTCTGAGCTCCTGAATAAGTATTTTATTCACTTGATGCTGATCTCTAATGTTCTGTGAATGCTGTTGAACTCCACTGTGGACCGACGTACAAGGGACGTGGAGCCTGCGGCGTTAATGTTAATAAAAATGAGAAGGCCAGTGAATGAATTGGAACGGGTTGATATTTGTCAATCCGTCAAAACTAAAACTTCTTCATCGCTGCATTCTCTCAATCGTAGCAGGCAACTCCTCCATGCCCTCCAGAAAAGCACCAAACTCTCCCTTCACCTTCTCCATATCCTCATCAACATCATCCGTCCAACGATGGATGTAAATCGTCTTGATTCCAACACCTTGGGCCCCTCTTAGGTCGTATGCATGAGCCGCAACTAATACAACTTCTTCAGGCTTCAGCTTGACGAGTCGCAACGCCTTGTTGTACGCCTCAGGATCTGGCTTATACGTCCCCAACAACTGGCTTGAAAAGAGCATGTTAAAATTCAGTCCAGCGAAGCGAGTGAGGTCTAGCTGCAGACGCGTTGTACCGTTGGCGTGGACAAAGACTTCCAGATCTAGATCTTCTCGGATCGACTGAATTGCCTTTCGAACTTCTGGCCAAGCTGGCTGAGAGTGCCAAGCAGTAATCAATTGCTTCTTGGTTGGCGCGTCAAAATGTTGCTTATACTCTGCTGAATCTTCCAGTACGTTGTCAAGTACGCGAATGAGCGTGTCATCTATGTCTTCAGGCTCAAGCTTTTGAGCAAGCCGCTGGCTATTGGCGATGAAATACCGCCTTCGCCATTCGAGAGCGAGTTTGGAAGCTTCGGTTTTGGGAATGGCGGGGGGTAGGGCTTGCACGACACTGCTGTGCCAATCGAGGCATGTTCCCATGAAGTCGAAGAATACCGCTTTTATCTTTGTCGGTTGAGACATAATGTTGAATGGTTTCCAAGAATTATAAGTCTGGGATGCCAAGAATAGTAGAGAGAATTAACACATAAATACCAGAAAGGCTAAAGATGACTGCTGAAGATGCATGCTTACGTTATGACGTGATTAGAAATCACGAAATGGACTGCTTATTTTGTTCACAACGGTGCGCCCTTTGAATGATTGGCTGCATTACAGGTCTTGGTCTGCCTGTCAGCATAATTTCGATACGACAAGGTCAGACAATAGGCTTGTATCAACATCAAAAACTGTCAATTTCATCGCAGCCGCACCAGTACTTGAGCCATGGGTCTATATACCAAGATGAGTACGACATGAAATAATATTCATTCAAATCTTTCATAAAAAGAGATTAGCTGAAACTACTCTAGATACAAGCTCATCCACTTGCAATAACAGGAGGTAGAGATAGCTGGTGGTTCTTGATGATAACATCCCATAACGCCGATAGCTCCCCGCTTGGAAGTTTGTCATCTTCCTTGATCCTTCGAATATCATGAAAGAAGTTGTCTCCCTCGGCTCTCAATGTCCTCGGTATCGTCTCCATATCAGGAAAGTTGAAGAACGCCACGATGGAGACCTTGACTTCATTCCCACTAATATCAACATCGTGGAATGTTGGGATAAACTCATTGGCCCAGCGATACAGCGTTGAGCCACCCATCATGATCGTGCCTTTATGTCCGGGAAAACGCACAGTTCCATCGAGGTCGTAGACCCGAAGTCCCGGTCCGTTCGTGATGAGAGCAGAGAGGAGGTTGCCATCTGGGTGGAGGCCAATGCCACCGGGAGCACCAGCGTGAGGCGTGTACTTGATAGCACGATAGCGAACCGTACATCGCCGCACTAATTCCGGGTCAATACCAACGGCCATGCTCGTCGTTACCAAAGCACTGTCGAGCGCAGACTTCAGACAATGTGCAGATTCTCTAGTTCGGGCATCATGCAACGCCTGAAGTCCCGTAAGGCCATCTTTAAGATCACCATCAAATTTGGCAATGTCAGTCTCAGAGTCCAAGAAAGGATGGCCAATACCCTGACTGGCAAACCAGCAGGACTTGCGCCATACCACTTTCTTATCAGTACCCTCGTAGGAGAGCGAGTGATCAAGATCGCTGAGGTAAGACCCAAGGTCTTGCATTGCTTGTTCAATGCGTTGCTCTTCTTGGCTTCCCCAAGGGACTACATATTCTTTGCCCGCCTTGAAGGCAGTCTGGATGGCTTGATTTTCTTCTGCTGGATGAATGTCAGTTTCCTGAATTACAGTAAGAGAATTGTGTACCACCTACACATTATTTCTGGCTGAGAGGTATTTGGCTGATCGAGAGTGGCGTGGTGGCTAGAGCCCAGCGTCAAAGAATCGAGCATAGACATTGTTATGTTGGATGCGGGTGAGGGAAAGCTGGTATGTCTATCGACATCCAGCAGATGTTTGTTTATTTAATCCTGCTAGGCCCTGCTCACTCTAGTCTGTCATCACCCTGCCAAGTGCCATTATCGTCTCCATCCGAATGCATGTCTCACTACATTCGTCTCCCGCTCCATTTTACCTTCGGCGCAACGCCACACCGCGACGATCGTGGAACTATACTGAACTGCCGGTTTCCCCGAATCAAATATGTCATTGTACAGCTACATACATGTCTACTCTTGTACCTCCAACCCCGCGTTCGGCGTTTCCTACTGTGCCGCCTCGGCAATCTCTTTGAGTACCGCGTCGATGCTGTCCATCGTCAACGACCGTATGTGCACATCCCTGCTTTTGAAGAGCTCTGCCAGTCTTGGGCAGTATGTTTCTAAGCCCTCTGATAGTTGTGTCCTGGATAAGGCCAGTCCATTGTCTGGTATTCCGTATTGAAGTAGCCAAACTTGCTTGTCTGGAAGGTCAGCTGTCAGCTTTGGAACAATCTGAGATTGTGTCTCTCTAGCACTTACCACTTCTGAGGCTCATTTCCCATTCCCATCGATGAATGTCATCTGGATTCGTAAACCGGTCCCAGTCGCCCGGGGCAGCGAGAATAATGATTTGCGACACTGACAAGAATGTGTTGGAAATTCTCTTGGTCACTTCTCCAGCTTCCGTGCTTCTTGTCATTTGGTGTTGGTCGAGCCATATGCGACGGCTCTTCTTTTCGATCATCTCGGCGACCAAACGCGCCATGACCCGGCCTCTCTCGTATAAATCTGGGGATAGCCATCGGTAGAAAATGATGTAGTCATATGCGTATGTTGTTTCTACGCCTAGATTCGTGTCAGTCGGGAACCTGAATCGTGGCCGACAATTGGACTCACTCAGACGGCTTTTGGACAAGGGTAAATGTGCCTCCACGGCAACGGCTGGCTTGACACTCAACATTGCAGTCTTATGTTGTCCCAGATCTCAGAATGAGTGGCTTTCAGTGCGTGTGTAAACAATGGTGAACGCAAAGGTTCGATCCCATGGAGATTGAGGCACAAAACAGATATTTAATACTCTTGTCCGTCTCAATTTCTCAAGTCCACAAATCTCAATGTTTCGTCTCTTATAACGCTGCCCTGCAGTAACGTACACAGTACATATGCCGGAACCAAGAAACTTCACAGCCGGCATATGCACTGACTTCAGCAGCCTCAAGGTAACAGATCATTTCTTATTATGTGACATCATTCCAATCCCCGTTTTCTCCATCCAATCCCATAGCGAAAATGGAGAGTACGGGATGATAATGTCTCAGCTGCACACGATCTTTTACCGCTTCCAGGCTGTTGTCTTACGCTGTACGCCAGCCACTTTCAGGTGGACGGGCCAACCCGTGCATTAGTTTATGCAGTTTGCCATACAACGGGTAACGCGTAGTAGATTGAGTTCGTGCTGTGGGAGACGGGTTGCGGAAGCTGAGGGATCTGCAAACTGTATCTGAGCACTTTGCGGTGTAGGGTCGTCTAGGTGGAGGAGATGAGCCGTCGATCGACCTGGGAACTTCAGCTTTCGTGGGGCAATGTGAACCAACGATTTGCACCTTGGCAGAACCAGGGTCCAGGATCAAGAGCATGTTGCCACTGCAGCTCTCAACTTGGCATTTAATTGATAGACTTGCAAAGGGAGTTGATGTTTGTAGATCCTGTCTATCTGGGAGGGTTTGTAGATATTTTTGTTGCGGCATACTTTAGGGTAACACCTCGTTTCTTCTCATTGCGATCTTCATGAAGAACCAATCGGTCGTACAATATGACTCGATGATGTGGCACTCTACTATAGATGCAATAATGCTAATTAAGTACTTATATTATGAAGAGTTATGGAGGCTGATTGAAAAGAGCTTTTGTGATGGCGCAATGAACAGTACTTGCGCACTGGAGCTTTCCGTCGGACTTTTATGACACTCATCACGGAAGAAGTGTCCTTCGGGACAAACGCCCTCTAGTCATTCAACTTAAGACATATTGACGTGTCGCAGTCATGCATAATTCGCCGCACAGGCAATTTATTGCCAAGTCGGCTACTAAATCAGGCTCTCAAGCTTAGTATACCACCATGACCCACGACAGGGCAATTCTCCCTGCCGTTTTTCGTATTCTCAAACATACAACAGGGCGCTCTGTTCTCGATGGTTTCTCCCAATCATGCACATCCTTTTCGCAACCATGGGTTTTCTACGAGGCAAGGCAGCCTCAACTCTGGGTCAAGATCAGGTCTCAATGCTCCAAATAACGCTTCAGCCAGTATTTCTATTACGCAAAATCGCCCGACAATTGAAACAAGTTTACAATTGACAAGGACTCAATGTCTCAGATCGCAGGCCATGAACCTGCTTTCCAGGACGTCATCAATACCAATCTTCAGGCCGCCTCTGATATTTGACACTGGGTAAGCATTATCCAGTCCAGCAATTGATTCACCGTCGCGATTTGACCAAGTCAAATGCCGCGCTCTCGAGTGAATTTACGGCATTTCTCATTTACCGGTATCGGTGAATGCCAGCATGAATCAGCTCAACAGTGAGGCTTTTGGACCGCAAGAGTCTTTGCCCTGCAGACGGGAAAATAGGCAAGGAAACAGCAGAAAACGCTGGCAAAGCACCAAGTCTCGATGCAGACGCAGTCTATTTATCACACTCACTCAAAGTTTGATAAGCTTTCATCCCGCGAGTCAAACCGGCCACGGAAAGTGGGCGCATGCTCAATTACCGGATTTGGCCTCCAATCATCAGCTAACCTCAAGTTCCCATGCTTTGTATGGGGCTTAGGTAACATTGACGCAGACTTACGCGTCAAGGAGACCAATTATTGATCAGAAAATGCACGAATTCCAGGGCTACGTACCTTTAGAGTTTGCTAGCTCCACCGGATGACGAAGTTGATCGGGTCAAAATGTGCTCCCACTTCTCGGCTCGGAGCCGAAATCGATCGGTGCATCAGACCTGAGTTGATTGAGTTCGGCAGATTGACACAGATATAGCTGATCAACAGGTTCAATCGGGTTTGAATTATAATATACGTATCAAAATAGTCTCCCTCTATTCAAGACAATGCATCATCGATGCCCAATTCACTAAACTAGCAGCATAACTTACAGGCCTCAAGCCTTTCCGTTACTTGGTTTTTCTCTCCCAGCTAAAACGTTAGGCCCATCGCTGTAGATTCAGAAGATCGCCACTGTCTCCTTTGCTGGGTCTACGCGCCTGACCACGACGACCTGACACGATGTCGCATGCTTTCCCCTCTTTAACCTCCGTGCGTCGTCCAGGGCTAGACTGATTAGGCATCGTCAAGTATTATTTTTCTTTCCATTCTTCAAGGGATGACGCATCGACGTGACGATGCTTCGTTTCGAGCACCATGTTAAAAATGCTGGACCGCCGATATGTCGATCAATTGCTCGGCCAGGACTATCGCGACTTATTTCGTTTACTGTAGCCATTGAGATCATCAACTAGGACATCATGATTATGATACGGCATACTGTTGCGATAGCTTACTTAGCTGCTCTTGGCTATGCTACCGATGTCAACAACACGGATCTTGAGCCATTGCGGTTCACCAAGAATGGTACTTTTCAGATTGCTATTTTCTCTGATATGCATTTTGGACAATGTGAGTTACACAATTGATCAGCACGAATTGCAATTGACCTTCAATCACAGATGAATCATCGACGGGTCCTGAACAGGATCGCAATTCTGTGCAAGTGATTCGCAAAGTCCTCGACTACGACAGACCTGATCTTGTCGTTCTCAACGGGGATCTCATCAATGGAGACTCAACATTTGCTCACAACAGTACGCATTACGTCGACATGATTGTCGAGCCAATCGTCAACCGCAGCTTGACCTGGGCATCTACATATGGCAACCATGATCACAACTACAACATCGCTGGCGATGATATTCTCAAGCGCGAACAGTTATTCCCTGGAGCGCGCACACAGAAAATGGTTAACAAGGAGTTGTCCGGCACAACAAACTACTATCTGCCTGTTTACCCCTCCGACTGCACCGATACCAGCGATTGTAGCCCCAGTCTCATCTTATGGTTCTTCGACAGCCGCGGCGGTAACTATTATCAAGGAACTTACCAACCAAACTGGGTTGACCAAAGCGTTGTGGATTGGTTCAATGAAACAAGCATCGAATTAAACGACAAGTACAACAAAACCCTTCCATCACTAGCGTTCGTCCACGTGCCTGTCAACGCCACAGTTGCACTCCAAACAGAGATTGGAATTCGAAAGAACTACCAGCCGGGCATCAACGAGGATCCCCCGGTGTTTCAACAAGGAGCAGGATGGTGTGAGAACGCAGACCCCGATGAGACTTGTGATTACGGAGGCCAGGATGTTCCGTTCATGGAGGCTTTGGTCACTGTTCCAGGAGTCATCGGGTTGTTTTCTGGTCATGATCACGGAAACACGTGGTGTTATCGCTGGGACAAGAAACTCGAAGGAATGACTGTCGAAGGCAACGGTATCCATCTCTGCTATGGACAGCACTCTGGGTACGGTGGTTACGGCGATTGGATACGTGGTGCACGAGAGATCGTTGTTACAGAGGATATGTTGGAGAAGGGCGATGTCGAGTCCTATATTCGTCTTGAATCTGGCGATGTTGTTGGACGTGTGACGTTGAACTCAACCTACAACAACGACTATTATCCTGCTACGCCGAACACGATGACTTATATGTCGGAGGCGTTAAGTGATAGTAGTAGTAGTAGTAGTAGCAGCAGTGCAGCGGGAAGCATTTTGTCAGGATCTGAGCTTAATGCGGCGGTTGGAGGGTCATTGATTGCCATTGCTTGGTTGTGCTTTTGATCTTGAAGGTGTTGCTTAGATGATTCACGACGATATGGATACCCATGTTTTTTATATATACCATAAAATCAATTCTATAAATATGTCAGAAAACCCAAGTCACACATACTGTTTCATGATTGGTATCGTATACTCCGTAAATTCCCTGAACCTTGCATCCATATCAGTATTTCATATGTATAAACAGAACCATGAACCTCATCGACGGTCAGAGTGTATCACGCTCTACAACTACCGTCCGTTTCGTTTGTCTGTTTGGTGTTTCGTCCTATCGTAACTTCTTTCATGCATTACTTTCGATGCTCCTCAGAACTTTCACTCTCAATCGACTGCCGCAACATCTCCACATCCTCCTCGTCAATAGACTGCCCTCTTGGCACTGACCCCTCATGATGAGTCTCATGACTATGCAATCTCATGTTCACAAACATGAACCAGAGACCCAAGTCATACATGATTCGCAATATGCCGCCAACCATGAAGGCAATCCAGAATCTCCCAGATTCAGCCAGGCCTCCAGTTAGTGAAGGACCAGTAGCCATGGCCAGGGTTCGAAGTGTCGAGGTTATTCCCATCACAGCAGTGCGCTCTTCAGGTTTGACTACAGCCGCAATGAAGGCTGCTCTGGGTGCTTGATCCATGTTGTTGAGGCCCATGCGGATGAAGAGGAGTATCACTGTGACAACAAGACCACTTGGTAGAGGGAAGAATAGAACCGAAATTGAAGATGGTAGATGGGTAAACACCATAGTGTTGATAAGACCCAGGCGACGAGACAGAGGTCCTGCAAAGACTGTTGAGACGGTTGCCAAGACCTGAGCTGATGAGAAGATATTCCCGAGTGTAGTCTTGGATGGTGAAAACTTGTGATCGAGGAAATAAGTCGTCAAAGATTCTGAAACCATGCCATCGGCCAAAGAATCGATGGTGAGTAAAAACCACAACCGGTGCATGACAGACCTGGTACCGGAGGAAACACTTGAAAAGCGACTCGCTGGCTCAGGAGGATTTGATGTCATGGACTGTCTCCTCCTACGAGCATCTTCCTCCTCCTCCATCGACTCGCGGAGAAGACCTTCAGCCAGTTCATCAGAAGCTTCCGAGGAGTCATCGTGATGAGCTTCGGTCTTGCGACTCATGACAAACGCGAATAAGACGTTCAGTGCACCCATGAGAATGTACACCCAAAAGGTCGCGTGGTATGCCCTCACGAGATTCCATCCCTCTCGTTTGGTCATGTTTTCGACAAATCTTCCTGCTAATGCCGCACCCCCTGCCGCGCCGAGACTTGAACTGGTGATGTACCAAGCCAAGACATCAGCTCGTGTTTTCGGAGTCGTGATGTGAGACAGCATGGATTCCTCGATGGCCCGGAACGGCCCAAAGTCGCTTCCACTCGCACTGACAACACCAACAACAGCAGCGAATAGAAGAATCCAAAAGTTCTCGAAGACGGAGAAAATCGCACCAGAGGCAGCCATCAAAAACCCACCAGCCACCAATACTCTCCGTCGGCCAAGCCCATCCGCCATGAGCGTAACAACCAAACCGAGCACAACATCGCCCAATAGCGTCAAACTCATAAACAACCCAATTCTGAAATCAGAAAATCCCAATTCCGAGAAGAACTGCGCTATCGTAAGCGTAACAGCCTTGAACGCAAACATACGACATGTCCGCGAGAGAATAAGAAGCCAGGCATCTTTACCAGCATGATACACAGCTGAGATTCCCGACTCGTGGTATAACCAACCAGCCTTTTGACCGAGCGAGGTTCGTTGCGTCGCCATTGTGAGGGTTATTGAAGTTGAGAGAGAGAATATGATCGCGTGCTCGATATGATATGGATTGTTGCGGGGTGTGGCCGATCGGAGTTATCGGCACCGTCATCGGCGGTGTTTTTCACCGAGTTACTAGTTCTGGCATCATTGTGACCTCGCTTACATTTTCAGATTGGGGAATGAGTCAGTGTTGATAGGAGGGGAAGATGATGTCCGGTTGGTAACGGAAGTAGTATTCGGAAATGGTGCGGAGATCGAATGGTGATGAGGACGTTGCAATGCTATTGACGTGAAAACCTTGTTAGCGACAAGGAGATCGAATGGTGATGAGGACGTTGCAATGCTATTGACGTGAAAACCTTGTTAGCGACAAGGTTATTTCGGTGAAGCTACTTTGAGAAGGTCAACTGCAATGGATCAACGAGACTGAGTTAAGGGATAACTAGCAGAATCGCAGTCATGTATTCATTGACTGGCAAGCAAACAGTGCATTGCCAGATGGGACTCCAAAGACTGAAAACATTGCTGAATGTCAATGGTTGATGGTCAGTATGGCCGGTACAGTTTCACACTCTGGGAAGATTGTGACTGGCGTTTACGAATGTCATAGCATGAATCCAGACCTTCTCCCCGAATAGCTCAGCTGGAAGAGCGTTCGGCTGTAACTGATATTGCCACCGAAAGGTCACTTGTTCGATCCAGGTTTCGGGGATTCAATTTTTTTATTTTTCTCTATTTTTGTCACCTGTAACAGACGTGCGCATCATTTATTCATCCCTATCGCCCTTTTTATATACCTAGTTCAGCTCTCAAGTCGGCATTTGAGGTGCTCGTGAAACTTCCATTGCTGCGACCTGAAGCCACTAAAATTTAGCGCATCTCAGCACTGAATTACTGACCCCGCGATGCTTGAATGCCCTTCATGGATTGTCATTGATCATCATCTCAACAATGACATCCTCTTCTTCAGAATTACCCGCTTGGTACTATCGCGCTTCTGCGGCAGTGAAAAAGAAAAATGGTGTTATACTTTGGGATTTTGATGAAGATATCTCCGACCTCGATGAAACCAACCCAGACGAAACCGCGGCGTACAACGGACCTGACGGTGCAGATTACCATCGCTTGAGAGAGAAACGGGATGAACGCAAAAGAGAGCTTTTCCAGCGAAAAGAAATTATCCGAAAGCGCGCAGAAGAGGCAAGACAGGGGGAGAAAAATAAGGTTGAAGAAGTGCGGGCAGCATATCAAGCCTTCGAAATTTCCATGTCCAGAGGCGAAACATCTTAACTAAGTCCCATCGACAGCCAGTTCGATCTTTACTGTATGGACTACCTTGACTGTTTTTATGATTGCAGCCCGCCTGGTTACCAGAGTAGATACATCAAGTTTGAATATGAGGATGGATGCGAGACGCAAAGCAATGATCTCAGCGGGCGCATCTGGCTCAATCCGAAGGTCGACTTCGACTTGTTCCATTCAAAGCCCCGGAAGGTTCAAGCCTTGAACATCATGGTATCTACGCCCCCGATGGCAGGTTCTCTATAATTCTGCAGTTAATCGAAAAAACATCACTCGATCCTCAGAGCAAGCCGAGAGCTTGTCTTCTGGGGCGATCCGCAGGATGCACGAGGCCCAGAAACATTCATATTCATGGGTATTTGCAATGATTGGGGAAAGCAACTTCAGGCACTTGGAAAAATGTTTGCACCCATGAGAGAAGCTATCATGGGTCAGCCAGTATGATACGGTTCCGGGGGTTAAGGCGCGTTGCGAGGCAGGCCGGCTAAAAGTTGCCGTGCTTCGCCTCACTCGTCCTTGCAACTCTGAGCATCTAGCAACTCGCCAAGTCTGCAATCTCTTTTCACATTTCATTGCCAAATATGCCAACTCCAAGCTCTTCATACAACAGTCCCGAGTCGCCCATGAGATTTCTCTCGGTGCAAGACGGGACTCTCTGTGAGTTTTGTCGCGATGATGAGCTCATCCAGCCAATCCAAGCTCGAGCTCTCTCAAGTCTCATCTAATCCTCGCGTTGGTGCGAACTTTGTGCAATGTGGCTTAGGGGTTTGCAGCATTCTCGTCAAAACTTGAAAGTTCGAGGCCAAGTTGCTGTACTGAGGCAGCATCCATTAGAGCAAGACGTTGATGATGTGAAGCTTGTGTTTCTGAGTTCTTCAAAGCGACCACAAATTGTATGGCCGCATATCAGACATGTGTGGGCTTCTCTTGATATGATCCATATTGATGGTAAGTTTGGGATCGGATGGTCGATTTGAGAGACACCAGAGCTGACTGGGGAGTATAGATGCGAAGGACATCAACATGAAGCCGTTGCCTAGATCTGACCAGGACGAGGCTACTTGGAAATCTGTCAGGGAATGGCTTGACCGATGCGACAAACATCATAAAGGCTGTAAAAACATGAAGACATCCGCCTGGAAGCCAACCCGACTGCTGCATATCCATCATACACACGGTACACTTCTAGTCCGCCTAGTCGAGGGTCAGGATATTCCTGATGGTGCTGAATACCTTACTCTGAGCCATTTCCGGGATGCAGGAAACCCTCTCCAGCTGACTCGCAGCAGTATCGAAGCCTTCAAATCTTCGGTCCCTACTGACGCACTCTCCCGCATCTTCATCGACGCATGTGATACTGTCAAAAGACTGAACCACGAATACCTCTGGATTGACTCACTCTGCATCATCCAAGACGACCCTGCAGGTTGGGAACATGAAGTCGGACGGCTGGCTTCTGTCTATGGGAACTCATGGCTCAACCTCTTAGCTGACGGGGACGGTGAGCCTGGCCACGGGCTCTTCTGTCCTCCTGAGAAACGCGCCAGCCGCCCATGGTACCCAGTATACATACACCGTGAATGGGGCGAAGGGTTCCCTAGTAAGTGTTGCATATCAGAGTATCACAACTGGTGGGAATGCATCTCAGACTCAGAGTTGAATCAAGGAGCGTGGGCTCTCCAGGGACGTGTTTTAGCACCAAGGGTACTACATCTAGGACTTGAACAAGTTGCTCTCGAGTGTTGCTCGAACGCAGTGTGCGAGCGACTGCCATATGGTCATCCGGCAAGAAGACATGACACTGCCGTAATGACTACACTGAAAAAGTTTGTTCTCGACGCGCGAAATGGAAACTTGGATAATCTAACGCTTGAGAATGTTTTTCGGAACTGGAATCAAGTAGTTCAAGCTTACGCCCAGGGACAGCTCACGGTTGCGACTGACAAGCTTGTTACACTATCAGGCCTTGTTGATGCGCTCTACCCTGTCTTTCAGCATATGATGGAGTCGGAAGATCAAGTTGAAGATGACCAGACGCGACATGGTACACAAACTCAGCTGGATGAACCCTGCCATAGATCGTCAGAACTTTTCCTCGCTGGATTATGGCGGCCATATATAGAGATGCAGTTGGTATGGCGAGCAATGTCAAGCAAATATTCATTTGAATATGATGGCAACTTACCTTCGACACCTGGCAAGAGATACGACGAGTACATCGCTCCAACGTGGTCTTGGTGTTCTGTCAAGGATGCTGTCATCGAACCGCAGGAAGTGAGATCGGTGGATATTTACTTCGCCAAACTCATCGATGCAAGTATCATCCCCCATCAAAAACTCAATCCCACAATACCTTCGAGTGGTTTGAAGTACTGCTCCGCCCCCGGTTCGTTTCTCTGTCTGCGGTGCTCTTACCTACCCATTGCCGAATTGGGGCCGGTCAGCGGCGTGAGGCTTGTGAACGTTGGAGCCACGACTCGTGAGAGAGGCCGTGGTGATGAAGCAATCGACGTTCAAAGTAAGAACTACTGGGATGTGGAGTTCAACCTAGAGGCCATAAACTGCAAGTCGCCCATTGCGGTTCCTGTCTTTGCAAACATGGCGTACTTCACCAACCCCGTACATTGCCTCGTCTTGGATGAGCGACAAGATGAGAATGGGAATCGATGTTACGTTCGAGTTGGAGCTTTTGTGGTTACCCAGCCTGAAAATGTTCAGAGGTTTTGGAAGGGAGTTCAGGATTTTGATAGACTTGTGCCGGAGCAATGTGAGAGGTTTGATGGGCTGTATAGGTTCAAGGAACTGCAGCGGAACAAGTCTAAGTATGTGAGGATGGATGGAGTTTTGCAGCGGGTTATTGAGATCAGGTAGCAGAAAACACGGCCTCTGCTCATCTCATGAGTCTAAAGCGAACGCCAAGAGGCTCTGAACGTTCATTACAAGGACGAACACGTCCAGAAGGCAACAGAAAAACAAGTCATTCACTTCATGGGGAGAATCCTCAGCGATGTATTCAACGGGGTCAAAAGATTTCAAGAGTAAGAATGAATAGTAGTAAACAAGGTTCGTGGGTCTCCCCGTCTTTACTCGTCCTTGTAAGGATCAAAGCCCTGAACACCATCACCAGCAGCCGCCTTAAGCGAATCTCCAAACTCGTCGTCCAACTTAGGTCCAACACCCCCACTCCAGTTCTGTAGCATCTTGTCTCGCAGACCAACATCAGGCCAGTTGTCCCAACCAACAAGAGGAGCCTTGAAGAAAGAACCAGTAGGGTTCTCAGGGTTGGCCTGGTCATCATCGTTGGCGAAACGGTAGCAGTGGGTTCCGGCGCCGTCCTTGTGATAAACAAGAAGAGGCGTGCTTCCGTCGCTGGGGAACTCGTTGCTTGCACCGTCGTATTTGCCGTGGCAGGAGGGAGCTACGCGGACGACATTGTCACCCTGGGCGAAAACGACGATGTTCTCCCAGTCGTGGCGGTGACCACCGAGAAAGCTGCCACCAACAGCTTGATCCTTCTCAAAGTAGGTCTCATACCTTGGAGGACCAATATTAGCATGTATACTCGTCTCAAACGAAGAAGTCCTCGTATTCGAGGCCTGAGAGGAAACACTTACATGATGGCACAGAAGCCATTGTTGCAGCGCTTGCGAGAATAGGTGTTGCTATTGTCAAGCTGGGGAGGATCACGGCAGTCTCCCTGAGGAGTACCAGTTGCACCGTGACCAGGGTTCAAGTTGCCATCAGGATCAATGGCAGCGGTCTGGTAGCAGCCATCGCCGTCAAAGTCAAGAGCAGGCTGGAACTTGTTCTCAATGTCAGAAGCGCCCCCAGGAAGAGCTGTAAGAACATCTCGCTTGGAGACAGAAACGGGAGATGCCTGGACTGATGCCATGGCACTCAGAAGGGCAGCGGCGGTGATGAACTTGTTCTGCATGATTGCTGTTGAGTTGATGTTGTGATGGGAGGTGAGGATGGTGATGAGATGGAGTTAACTGAGGGTTGATGATAGTATATTTATACTTGTTTGAAGCTCTCGGCAATAGGTTCCTGTCTTGAACAGATCAATATCTTACACCTCAACACCTTGATCGCGGCTCGTCCGCGTTGCATCCATGTTGATCATAATCTTGTCAGCAACAAGGTCGCAAGAAACTTATGCACTTTTTCGGGCATGTTACTCCAGATCACCTGCCGGCAAGGCTAGCGGATACGACTTGTGTGATTGATAGGCCCATCAAAGTGCATCCTTCAAGTCTATTCACGGTACTTTTTCTGGAAGGATTGTTTCAGCACTGCCTGCTTGAAACAGATCAGAGAGTCAATTACATCATGGCTTTCCCTTTACTGCAGAGTCGGGTTTTCTATGTTGAGGCGGGTTAAAGCCAAGACTGATCGACAGGCACGTGGGTCGATGGGACGTTTGTGAGGCTGCGTTGGATTGGGGGCAGTTTTGCTGTTGCACTGTTCATCGCAGGAGCTATTATTGACATTAAGATTAGATAGGAAGTCTTGAGAACACAAAAACAATGCGGATTCCATACCTTTCGATAAAATTTACCTCAATGGCAACGTTGCCTTCGACTCGCTGTTGTTAAGGCTGGCGTATCTTCCTTACCGAATATAGTGTTAGTGGTCAACTGTACGAGCAGTTCTGCCTTACAAACTGGTCTGACGTCAGAAGTGAGCTATAAAGTCAAAATAGGCAAGTCGTGTTCTGTTTCAGCTCCACTCTCGCTGATCAGAGGCATTGAATGTCACTCTGCAAGGGACCTTTCAATCCTGTTCCGATTTGGACTAAACACGAAGGATGCTGACATTCATGCATAAACCTAGACCGACGGTAAACAGCTTTATTGTCCGACGTCACAAGCAATGCCACTGTCATCGGAGGATTATTTTTTAGTAGCAGGCAGAAGTAAGCATCCCCTGATTGATCGGCATCAGCTGCACAGCCTTGTGAGGGATCGGCAGATATGGATGGATTCGCGGGTCCGAGGGCTGTGCCGCCCTGTATCACGATGTAACCCATGGCGATCGATCACTAAGCTTAAGGCTTGAGAATAATAACATGCTAGCTTGTTCTGGTAATTCAGGTACTATTCCATGTGTATGCAGTTCTTTTGACACGCAGAAACTTGTTTATTTTGCGCCATGAAGGATTATGTCTCGAAACCTCGTAACAGGGCGGAGCATCAGTGGTAGGTCTGGAATTGACGCTTTATTCTAAAAGTCAACTCCTCGTACCGAGGCATCGGATTATGTCAACGGCTCAACTCAATGGTGCTCCAGAAGCAGCAAGAGTAGCATAGAACAGTTTCGTCCTCCCCATGATAACCATGCGTCCCTTACCAGCGAATTGAAAGTTGGCTGCATTGATTCCTGTGTATATCTTACCGATGAGCTTTCCGGAACGATTCCAGACATGCACGCCATCACCACAGCCCGCGTATACGTTGCCTTTGGAATCGCAATGAATCCCTAGAGTCAAAAGCAATTAGCATACTTTTAGCCTTCTGTAACAGGATCTGGTGGCAGTAAGAAATAGTTAATCAAGCTTACCATCTGGTAGACGAGCTGCTGTAAAAGCAAATGTCTTGCGATTTTCCCATGTACCATCTTTTTGTACATCAAACCGGTAGCTATTATCACTATTAGAGGTCTGGCCGTTACTGCTAATCCCAAGACTTACATGGAGGCGGGACGAGTATAGTTATGTCCGAATAGTGCGTTGCTTATGCCAGTGTCTGTAACGTAGGCGTGCAGTCCATCTGGTGAGAAGGTGAGGCCTGTCATTCACTAATCGTCAGCAATCAATCACATTAATATAATAGGAATTTTCTTTGCCTCACCATTTGGAGCGACGAAGCCATCTGCAACAACGGTTAACGCTCCAGTATCTGGGTCAAAACGATAGACTTGGTTTTGCAGCCCAGGCACGGGGCGAAAATACTGCCAGTAGCCGTACATGGTATCTGTGAAGTAGATATCGCCGTTGCGTGGATTGACGGAGACATCATTGAGCGAGTTGAATTGCCTGCCAAAAAAGTTGTTCACAAGTGCTACAATGACACAGTCAGCAGTTTTCAGAGCGCAGAAACCCAGGGGAATCCTTACTTGTTGTGTTATATGGTGCTTCGGGGTTCATCAGATACAAGGCGGAAGGTATGTTCTCTCCTTGACCTTCGCCTGCAAAGATGATTTGGCCCTTATAGTTCGTTCCGCCTATAAACTATGAGCATATGGTGACTCTACAACATCTAGGAAGTATATGTACCATTGGGGTTGATGACTTGCGGATTAGAGTCTACGATAGTGATCTTGACTTGACTCTCCGCATGCGATCCATTCTTCAGAGCTTCAGCTTCAGCCAAAGAAATCTTTTGAATGACAGATGACTTTGCAAGTCCTGTCCCAGCATCCGGATCGCCTGCGTTCTGCACAAAGAAAACTTCCTCAGTCGGAGGGTTCCTAGGTAGTTGGGTGTTAGTGATTGAAGAGAAATGCTAGGCCGTTAAGTTCACGAACCATACGACAGCTTCATGAAATATGGGGTCTTTATCTGACGTAGCGAGCAGAGTCAGGGTTGGATCGCTTCCAATTATATCGAGAAATTCTGCATCGTAAACATGAAATGGTCGTTCGGTGAGGGATTCATAGGTAACTCCCGGCCATAGGAACCTCTATCGCTATGTCAGCACAGGCCACAGACGTGTTTATGCTCACTCACTGTTGTAGCATTAGCTTCTTTCGGGGGAGGGACATGCTCCAGAACATTGAAGCTCCTTTGGTCGATTATCTGGGCCGTGGCTGGTAGCTTGACAGGGTCGATGACAGTGGGCTTTGCCTGAGCCTCACCGAAGAAGCCAAGGCTATAGGGAACCAAGACACCAATAGCAAGTACTCCTATGGCCATAGTGGTAGTAGTCAGGAACGAGCTTTGTGGTGTTCTGCTAGTTCCTTGAAGTCCAGAGTCATCTCGACTCTTTATTGTCGGTGTACCCCGCTTTGCCGACATTTCTGTATCCTTGTCCTGACTCTTCGATGGTTGTATTCGGGATCGCGCCAATTGATCGACATAAAAGAGTGACCCAGATGATGCAGAACTGTTAGGCTTTTCCGTGACTGCAGCAGATGTCGGTCCAGGTAGTCTCCCAGTCGCGTGGCGGAGAAGTGAAGCTGACGCGGATGCCACGATACTGCGGGGAAGACTGATGGGGATCACGAAAAATTGCGAACTCAAGAATCCTTCCCAAATGATTATCAACTACTGTACTTTCATAGATATCAGTATGAGAGTGCGAGGCAATGCCATGAATATTAAATATAGGTTCAAGGTTCGTTCGGTCCATGCGGAAAAGCCCGCATCCCGACTGCCGAACCGAACCAGCGGAAAAAGCAATACTGGTGCATTTCCGACTAAGATGGGCCATACATAGAGAAGCTAGCGATACTTCAATATATCTAACATCGCATATAACATTGCTGTTCTACTACATCGTCCGGGAATATTGTTTACTTGGCAATTGCCGGCTGTTATGTTCATACTTGATGCTCAGTGATATCCTCTGATCTCAGCATGTATCCAGAACGATCACCCACTAAAACAAGCTGACTATGTACACAAAGAAAAATATGACAAACCGGGTCAAGTCTCGTGATTCAAGAATGGGAATCATGTGCAACGAAGTGTAAGACTTCCACGCTGTTACGGAACAGCAAATGGCACGATACTCTACAGCGGGGTACTAAGGCACGTCGTGAGAATTTAGTCTCCTCTTGACACTGATTCGGCCACGAGAACGACGATCATAGCGCAGTGAAAAGAACAGCATGGGCAGGGTTGATAATATTTGCTCCAACACCACATTGATCATTTCTACTCTCTTAAAGAATACAGCATAATGCCCAAGGTCTCTCAATGGAAGCAACGAAGCGACGGCCTCTGGAGCCGGCCGCTCATCGGACCTGAGCGCATGTTCGACCAGTGGCTCGAGATCGATGGTTGGACCGAATGGATGGGCGCTGTCATCTTCACAATTGCTCCGTCTTACGCGTCCCAGCTCAACAACAAAGCCCATGTTGAAACTTGGTTCAGCAAAGCGGTATCGCGTGTTTGCCTTGAGAAGCCTTCCCTCCTGGCAGTCATTGAGCGTGGCCAAGAAGAGTCGGCGGTCGCCAAGTCTAGAAGCTTCGTCTACCGTCCTCTCACATCAAACAGTGACTTCTCCGAGAGGATTAAGCAGAGGACTACCGTTCTGCATACCGACAAGTCAGCTCAAGAGGGCTTGAAGTTACTCACGGACAACTTCTACTCGACCCCAGAGAAGCGCATCAGCCTTGAGCTGGGGGACCATCTAATCCACGTATCACTCGTTGTTTCGTCCGCTGAAGCAGGGACTTTTGCCCTTACAATGCGCTGCAATCATGCATTGAACGACTTTTGGAGTGGTGCGGCGATTCTTAACAATCTTCTAAGCAAGCTTGCAGACGGCATTAGCACCAAGGTGCTATCGCTTTCATTCAAAGATGCATCTCACTCTTCTCTACACCCTTGTTATCTTGACTTTCTCCGTGTTCCTATTGGAGACACTCCGTTGAATGCTGAATCTCAAGAGAAGGCAGCTCAGCTTCTTGGTGCCAACCTCGGCAACATCACTCTGTGCCCTATCTCGCAGGAACCAGCAAAAGACCGACCTGACACCGATTATTCCGTGAGAAGGCAGGTTTTGTCACAAGAGACGACGCAAAAGATCTTCAAGATCTGTAAGGCGCATGAGGTTACTGTGACGGCACTGCTCACGGCTTTGCAAGCTCTTGCACTCCTCAAAACCTTTCCGCCAGAAGATATGTCACGAACCACGGCGGCACCTATTTGTGTGAGCAATAGGCTGCGGCAGACATCGCTCGGTGGCAATCATGATCATTCAACTTCTTCCAAGACAGCATTGAGCGAGATATGTACAGAAACAGCTTACATTGGGCCCGTCATGGCGACTACTTTCCTTGTGTCGCCCTTTGACGTCAGTGCGTATCTGAAGAACCAGGATGTTGCTTTAGGGAGTGAAAACTGGCGCAAGATCGTTTGGGAAATTGCCGAGAATGTCGGTCGGGCGACGAATGAGGCGGTCAAGAGCAATATGAGTGAACATGTGGATTGGACTCAAGGCCCAGCTGCCTTTGGTGGTGTTGCGCATGCAATGGAAGCGATGAAAGCTGGTCTATTGCCTTCGTAAGTATCTTCAAATCTTCCCTATCGTGTAATGGGTGGCTGATAGTTGCCGACGCAACAATATTGATAGACCGCCTGGTATGTTTACTCCTCTATCCTCAGCAGGTCTTTTGGACGGACTTCATCTCCCGGGGTCATACGGATCTCTAGATCCAAGTGATAGGCCTGCCCTGAAGACTGACGACTTTTCGTTCTATTCACGAGTTAGCAACTTGTTTGGACGTAAGTGCAATGTTCCCGCTTCCCCCCACGAAGTTCTTGTTTTGCAACTAAGCTAACTGATTCAACCTCAGCTCAAACATGGGCTTGGACATTTTCAGGGAAACTAAACTTAATTCTGGTGATGCCTGATCCGCGAGTGCGTTCAGTTCCGAATATTGAGTGGTGGAATCTGTTTAATGAGATGGTTATCAAAATAGCGACCGAGAGGTCGTCTGACGTTAGTGCTGAGTAGATACAGCTTACAATACAAACCGCCTCGGCTATAGTGATTCCATCATGTAGGGCGCACTTTTAAAGCCCGATCGCTATCCGGTGATAGTGAGATATTTATCGTGTAATGGCGTAGCATTGGCGCAATTCGGTATGTATGATTGGCTCACCTCCAGCATAAAGGTCTGACAATCTGACTCAAGGCAACACTTGACAGTCAAGAATACAAGGTGGCTATTTTGATATTGCTACTCATCACCGTATCCGAAGCTCAGGCTGTAATAGCACCGGGGCGTCTTCGGAGATAAAGCACGCTTTATGTCTGAGGACTTGGTAATCGACGCTTCGCCGTGGCGTTAATGACACAAAAAGCGGGGAAGCCATCTTTGACTCAGTCAGATTTCGCGCCCTTCAATTGTCGCTCTCGTAATACACGCCGGGCCGCTCTAAGCCGCAGTCAGCCCATAAGAGCGCGGTTCCCTAAACTCGAACTACACGTTACGATACTCGCAGCAAATTACTATGAACTCTTCCTATCTCCCAAACCAAGGTGCAGAGTTAGACTCCCTAAGCTCTTCCTTCCAAGCCGCCTTCGATCGGGTCTTTCAGACCACCCAGAAGGTTAGCGAGGACCCTCTCTTGCGAGTAGCCCAAGGAACCGAGGTTTCTCAACTCAAAGACATCAGCACTCCTGGTGATGCTCATCCCATTCAAGAGGCCATTGAAGATGCATTCACCATCTCTGACTATCGAATGCGAACGAACCATCCCAAATGTTTCAGCTTTGTTCCATCACCTGTCTCGCCACTTTCTTGGATAGGTGATTGTCTGTCGAGCGCTTTCAATTCCTTTGCTGGATCGAAACTGCAAGGTTCTGGTGTGGCTATTGTTGAGCAGACGCTGCTGCAGTGGCTGTCGGCTAAAGTTGGACTTCCAGATACGTCTGGAGGTATCTTTGTCTCAGGGGGTTCTATGGCAAACATGAGCGGCATGGTACTTGCAAGAGAATGTATATTGGAGCCCGATACTGAACATCTGGGCGTCGCGTATCTCTCTGATCAGACACACCATTCTGTCAAGAAAGCCCTTCGCATCATTGGTATCAAGAGAGTTCAAATACGAGCTGTTCCGACAGACGCGTCTTTTCAGATGGATGTGACCGCCTTGAGAGATGCGATCAAAGTGGACCGTGAAGCAGGACTGAAGCCTTTTGTCATTATCGCTACATGCGGGACAACAAACACTGGAAGCATCGATCCATTGGCAGCGCTCGCCCAGATACGCAATGAGGAGAAGCTCTGGCTTCATATTGATGGTGCATACGGCGCGTCCGCTTCCCTCGCTGCAACTCGAAGCTCTGTCGCCAACGGTCTTGGATTAGCAGATAGCATCTCTTGGGATGCACACAAATGGCTGTTCCAGACATACAGCTGTAGCCTCATCCTAGTAAGAAACAAGATCAACTTGGCCAAAGTTTTCAACAACGACGGCGACTATCTTCGCGATGCTCTTGAGGACGAGGAGATACCCAACTTTTGGAACCTTGGTATGGAACTAACGCGTCCCTCACGAGCGCTGAAACTCTGGTTCACACTACGAGTTCTCGGCGTGGAAAGATTTGGGAAAATGATCGACCACGGGTTTCATCTCGCAGAAATTGCTGAAGCTGAGATTTTACAGTTGTCGGACTGGGAAATTACAAGTCGAGCAAGTATGGCAATCGTGACCTTTAGGTATGCACCGGCTGGAAAGACTGAGGAGGAGTTGGATGAATTGAATGCTGCAATCTCAAAGCATTTGGTGGAAAACAATATTGCATTGATTTTGACTACAAAGCTACGAGGGAGAGTCGTTCTGAGGATCTGCTCTATCAGCCCAGTGCTAGGCGCGGGCGAAATGGTGGAGGTTATTCAGCAGAGTAACAAGGTTGCACTGCTCATTTCTAAACTGCGCAGTGAATAAGCACATTCAACATGACATTTCTAGATACCTCAGCAATTGACCTGATGGCAGCGTGAGATTGATCGATGATTCAAGCTGACTGATGATTATCTATGGGAATAACAGCGAAGACGTCAGCTTACAAATGTCCAATGTTACACCAGGCCCGCATTCGGAAGTTCCGGACACCGTAAATGTTCCGAACTGCAGATTCCGTCTTGTTGAGGCCTTCAACCTTATCTTGGGTCTCAGGATTGCACCATAGCGCGCGGTAGACTCCACGATATAAAATGGTAGGTTTGTCAGCCTAAGATGTGCCACAAACGCCAATTGAGGAGGCTGGCGTTTGAGCGGGTATTTATCTAGACTTCGCATTCCATCGTAGCCCAACCCTCCGTGGACCTCAATTCATCAACAGCAGAACCATGTCAGTCACGAAGCCCATCCTCATTTCAGGCTCCGGTCTTGCTTCTTTGCTACTGGCTCAATCTCTCAAGCAGTCCAAGATCCCTTTCAAGATTTTTGAGCGCGATGAATCTTTCATCTTTCGCGCCCAAGGGTACAGGCTCCGTCTTTCAGCGGAGGGCCTTGATGCTATTGAGTCTGTTCTCGATAAGAAGACATGGCAGCATTTCTGGGATGCCTGCGGTAAGACGGGCGGTGGTGGATACCGGGCATTCGATGCAGTCACTGGAGAACAGACTGAGCATGTCGTTGGAGAGAATCTCTTGTCGCGAGATGGAAAGATTGTTGGAATTGCGAGAGGAGATATGCGAAGGATCTTTGCAGAGGGTTGCGAAGACTATGTTGAATGGTCCAAGAATGTCACAGGCTACGAATTAACCGACGATGGTGTTCGCGCCATCTTCTCCGACGGAACAAAGTCCATCGAAGGATCCTTACTCGTCGGAGGTGAAGGAATCTACTCCAAGGTTGCGAGACAAGTCTCGGGCGGAAAACTAAAGGTCTACGACACTGGCGCCAGAGGTATTCACGGCCAAGCTCCGACAACAGCATTCAAGCAGCTCGGCGAGGGAGTCTTCCGACTACGCGACGATACACGGCCCGACGGCCACGCCTTTCTCATGACAAACGTTCGCTCTGGAGATATGGATAACCCAGATGTGAGTTTTGGCTGGACCATGGGCGGAGCACCAGGTGTTATCCGCGCGCCGAATGATAACTACGCGATTGTCGGAAAGGTCGCTGCCGATATCGCAAAGTCAATTGCTCAAGACTGGCACCCAAAGTTCAAGCCTTTGTTCGACAACATGGATGAGGGCGAAGCTGCGTTCTGGAAAATTACCTGCTCAACGCCATCGGGTGTACCAGAATGGAAGAATGAGCCGCGTGTGACGGCCATTGGCGATGCAGCTCACTCAATGACGCCTGCTGGCGGACTTGGCGCTAATACAGCTGTTCGAGATTCAGCGCTGCTTGGAAGATTGCTGCGTGAAGCTGGCGGGTACAGTCCTGGTGTCACCGCTGCTTATGAGAAAGAGATGAGGGTCTATGCTAGTGAAGCGGTTCATCAGAGTTATTCCATGGCTGCCGGAGGTTTTGGGATCAATATCGATGAGGAGAGGACCCCAATTGTCTGAAACGTTAATTGAGTGCGGGGTTTTATGTTTACGAGCGGTTACGTCATGACGTCAGATGAGATTCCCCTCGCTTCAAGAGCGAGAGAACAATTAATACATCTTTAAAAGAACAAGAAATACAGATAATATGCATATAAATAGAATGTGACACTAAAAGTTAAGCAAGCGATTGTTGCGGGACGTCGGATTGTGGCACGGTATCGGGAAACGCGGCATTGCGTAATGCTCTGTGTACGAATCACGTGAGAGCTGATGATTTCTGGCATCTAACAGCTCCTTTCATTTTATTTTGATCTGACTGTCAGCATCGTTTCACGTCTCTCATCTGCCTTCTTCATTGTTCGAATTTCTTGTTTGTTTTGATACAAAAACCATGATTCAAATCACATGATTCTTCTGAGCTGTTGCTCTGTGACTGGTTGACCTCCTACAAAGTTTGCGACAAAACCCTGAAAAGGCGTCACGAAACATTACGACTGCTCCAGATTTATTCCCAAACAACTACTTACGCAAGAAGGGGGTTTTTGACACGGGGGTTTTTGACACGAATTGACCATGCGCAACGACAATTATTCCTCGCTACCAGAAAACTCGACAAGCTCCAATTTTGACGATACTCGTTAATTGACAGCAGATAACGACGATATCACTCTGGCCTCGGGCCTCTATTCACTCGCTTTCTTCTTCTGATATCAGCCAGACGTTCTTTGTCATCCCAACAATCAGTTCCTCTATCAAAGTCAATTCCTCAACCATCGCGATGCTCTGGTCTTGGCGCGATGACGCCTCCAAAAGCGGGAAATGGGTCAGCGTCGTAACAGCGCGCCATCGTCTCGTCAAAATCCTTGGCGTTTTCATCTGTTTCATCTGCGCCCTCACGCTTTGGGAATTCTGGGCAGATCTCTCTGTCGCATACAAAAGAGTCTCCTCATCAAGCCTCACGCAAACTAACGAAACCCAATCCGACTCTTCAGCCACGTTGAAGACCCCGCTCAATCCAAACCCCATCTCTACGAGCAGGCCTCAATTTACTGGACCAACTGAGCAGACAACAAAATTCTGGGAGAACCTTGTTGAGGAACTTTATGCGGCGGAACCTCATGGTGATGAGATTAAACCGCCTAATTCTCTATCACGGGACAAATTCGATCCTCATGGCTCTAAGGCGCAGATCCACACGGACTGGTTGGAAGTGTCCGACGAGGAAGTCGAGTCACTGAAGGAAAATCATGCAAAGTTTGTTCAAAGTCTTCGACATTTGGCTCCAAAAGTACCGTTCAAACGCAACACCAAGGGCGTTGTCATCACTGCCAAAGGATCGGCAGTTGGTGTAGCAGCCACGGCCGTACGGATGCTACGACATGTTGGATCACGTTTACCAGTTCAACTATTCCTTGACTCGGCAAGCGAAGCGGAGCATGAACAGTGCAACGAGACACTATCCGGTCTGCAGGTGCAATGCTTGAATATGGACGATTTCTTGAAGTTGCCTGATACGGCATCTATTCAGCAACCAAAGATTGAAAAGTACCAGTACAAACCTTTGTCGATTATCTTCTCCAGCTTTCAAGACATCTTATTCCTTGACTCTGATGCCTTTCCTATTCGAAACCCGGATCACCTCCTCACCGTGGAACCGTATAAGAGTCGTGGACTTGTGACCTGGCCCGACTTTTGGCTGCCAACTATATCGCCTCTCTTCTACAAGATTGCCGATGCCAAGATGCCCAATGTCACCATCGACTCCAGAAGTTCAGAGTCAGGAGTTATGCTGTACAACAAAGCGAAGCATGCAGACAGTCTCTTGCTCGCGGCATACTACAACTTTTACGGGCCACGATTTTACTATCAACTTCATTCGCAGGGTGCTTGGGGATCAGGTGACAAGGAGACTTTCATGCAGAGCGCATTGGTCCTGGGCAACCCCTATTGGCAGGTCACCAAGCCAGCCAAGCTCATTACCGATGAAAAAATCAACTGGGGGAGCGGCATCTGGCAGGCTGATCCTGAACAAGACTGGAAGCTGCAAACACAAAAAGGACGAAACCAAACAATCGTGTCTACAAGGAAGCAGAAACTAAGGATAACCGAGGACGAAGTAAACATTACAAGTACAATGTTTGCCCATCTCAACAGAGTCAAGTTTGATACAAGGCACCCAAGTCAGGTACTGGAAGACCTGGTACCTGAGCGTCCTGACGGAACTCTCTCACGGCTTTGGGGAGACGACGTCGACAAGATCACTGATGTTGCTGGATACGATCTTGAAAAGGCCATCTGGGAGGAGGCCATCAAGGCTAATTGTGACCGAGAATTAATGGAGGAATGTGACAAGATACGAAAGTATTACGAGGCAACGTTTTAGATGGGATGAGTGAACGCTCACACGGCCGTAATAATAATGTAGATATATTTTTATTGTCATCATAGCCTATTCAGAATACATGTTTATTCTCATTTGATATGTCCCTCAGATGTGCTTGCTGCTTACTTCTTAGGGGCGTACTTGATACCGCTGTCCGGGCAAGAACTCTTGCTTCCATCAGGCTCACTGGCCACAAACTGGCCATCCTGAAGCGAACCCTGAACATTGAAATGATACCAAACCTCACTCAATGAGCCATTGGAGCATCCGATGGTCACACGAGCACCATGGTGTTCAGCCAAAGCATCCACAATCTCATCAGCAGTGTAAGTCTTTGTCTTGGAAGGCTTGATACCAGCCTCAGCGAGCCACTTGTACGTAGGAAGAGTCTTGAACAAGGAGATAGTCTTCTTGACGTAATCAGCAGCTTCGGCGCCGGTCTCGTAGTTGGTGTAGCAGCTTGGCTCGAGGGTGCTGATACATGTGCCGTGCTTGTTGAACTCGTGCTCCCAGAGGGATTCGTCATTGCCGTCTTGGCTGACCCAGTACTTGTCCATGTAAGACACGGTCTTTTTGCCGAGGAACTTTGTTACAAGGTCCTTGATGTTGGTGTACTCCCGGGACTTGTCGCAGAACTGGGGATATGTGCCGTCGCAGTAATCAGGCCAGAGACCGTGAATGGTCCATGAGTCTGGAATCTGTTAGTTTGAGAGACTGGGATTGGTGGCGGTTGGATGTACCATGAGGTCCAGCTACAGGGTCACTGTCCCAGAATTGAGTCTGAAGAAGCTGGCCAGCGGGAATAAAGCAGCAAGTGTCTTCAACAGCAGTGGTGTTGTGACATGACAGAGGAAGATCCTTTGAGCAAAACTCAGCAGTGGGTTTACCACCAGCAGAGCAAGACTTAGCCTGCGCTCCAGCAAGGTAAAGCGCAAGAGGGATGAGAGCCTTGATGAACGTCATTTTGAAGCTTAAGTTTTACCGACAAAATCGCATAGTCTTTACGAGAAATACAGGCGATACTTATATTCCGCTACAAAATACACGTGGGAGGTAAGTAAAATGTTTATCCTCCTTAGTGTCGGACAAAGTAGACAGATGAAGCAGTTGTGTACGGAGCAGACAAGGTGGTAACACTGATAAGCAGCGATCTGTATCGTCACAGAACCCCACGTGCATTGTATGCCAGATTATTACCAGGACCTTTTGTCGCAGCCAATGAGAAAGCGAACTGACACATTGCTGGATGTTGATCGGCGACAAAGGGACCTTTGGGGGAGGGAGATGTTGCAGACGTCGGCCAATGCCGTTTGAAAGGCTTTGTGGCATGAATGTTTTGCACTTTCATAATCTTTGTGAGGTTTTACCAATTGAATTGAGAGGGTGAGTTGTGTTGTATTGTTGATGGGAGTTGATCGAGATTGAGGGGAGAGATGATGGATCCTTGTAGATCGATGCCGATTTATCCGCCAACGGTCAACGGTATTCAATTGGGAATGCGGAATTTACCATCTTTTTCTGTACTTGCCTATAAAGGTTACCGAGCATCCAAACTCAATTCTCTTTGCAGAGATGGCTGGATGACTGCTTAATTGGTGGCTGGATGATCGGGCAGGTCGACAACCGATCAGCGGAGATACGGTTGACAGATCGGACCAGTTTCTTTCAGAAGGTCCAAGTTGCACTGACTGGCGTTTGGCGGCATTGAGGCGACAAAATACTCAGGAATCACTGGTGGCTTCCATCACTAAAGGCGGCACGGTTATTTCGCGGGCTCATAGAACTCCCTGTAATGGACAGACCTTAGCCCAATTGCGATGGCCGTCCATTGATTGGCGATTTGGGCCGCTACCACTTTTATCCGTCCTGTTATCGGCGGGGACAAGTGAATCAATGGGCGTCGGAGGTTGCCGCTACCACGGACAGTACCGCAGATAACTTGAAGGTTCAAATCAACGGAGTAAATTCATCCGCAATTAGTGACCATCAAGCAGCGTTCATTCCGCCGTGACCTTATCTTATCGCACATCACAGTGTCCCTGCATGGACCTCGCTTGTCGGGAGTATCGTTATCACGAAAGAAACATTTCTCTACAAAGTTTGTGACAGCAAACGCATGAGCGGCATAGAAACATCATCCGACATCAAGTTATAAACGGAAAGGAAAAAAGAAATTATTGTTGATCAGTGGTCACGAGAGTCATTGAAGTTTAAGTGATATTTTTGGCTCGTTGGTGTTGGGAACTTCATCAACCTCAAACAATCTAAACACTTGCACAGCCGCATCATACCTTGTTGGCATGTCCCTTGTGTACAAGATCGGCATTTGCATTTCGCATTGCGCATTGATGCCATCGATAACTATGTCTATGCAGAAGTTATTTTAAGAGTTTATCGGGTTGGGATGAAGGTTGATGGGCTGTCAGATTTCTCTTCTCAAACAGATCATTCTCAACAGTGAGAGGCTCGAAGAAGTCTGTACGACCAGAAACTGAAGGCATTTTTCCAGCCTCGCGTCACAGCAAGCCAAGGTCATGGGTTCGGGCTCTGCATCAAGCATTGTCCTTTTCTTTTCCTCGGCCTTGGCATTGAGATAAGATAACTTCAGCTCAGGGGCAGAGCCGGCCGAAATCCGAAACCCCCGCCACAAGCGTGCAAAAATCTCCGATCATCTCCAAGAATCCTCCATCCCTTTTCAGGTACCCAGTTGCGAACCTCTAGGGCTGAATTGTCATAGGGCCGTGTACGGATACGGCCGTGAAATGATGAGCTCGCTTCAAGGGTGAGCTTCGTGCCGTGCCCACTAGAAATTTAATATCAGATCATTCAATGAGTCGCTGTTTTCGCTTGTCGGCAACAGCGGAATATTGTCACACTTTGGTGACACTCAACCATCGTAGCAATGTTAGGCCAACGATCGATGAACTACGCGATAAGCAGCATGGATGAAAAAATAGAGTTTACCTGTCATCTGACTCTTAGTGACACCTAACATTAGAAGCATTGCATAATACACAATGCCGTTCTTCTTCTGTCTTGTCTTAATGGCATTATCAGCAACAATCAATACTGAAATGCATGACTGTAGGGTAGCATTTGATCTTGGTGGAGTCCCTTCTTCTCGATTGAGAAACGAACAAGACAAATCGGGCATCCCTTTCGCCAAACTTTCTATTCTCGTCACCATCACCCATAGTTTGTTTTACCATCTCAGGTGAAAATGCAAATGCCATCCCTGCCATGATGTGATGCTCAGCAGCTCTGCCTGACAGCTGCTCTGTGGCTGCGGGCCGTTTGATGTCCATTGCGCACTAAAAGCTACCCACTGACTTCTGTTTCAAGCTCTTCTGGGAAACGTTGCCGAGGGAGCAATCAAAACGAGACGGATCAACCGGGGAGAGTCCACTTTTCGTCGATCCGGCATTGGTGTTTTGTTCAGGTGGTGGCGTTCTCAGCTAAATGCATTTAAGATTGCAGATGGGTACTGAACTCACTATATAGAAGAAATCACCTGAAACGAATCTTTCTGGAACAAAAACTGAAACTAACTATTCCGAGAGAATCTTGGATTTGCGCCTTGACTCTACGCTTTGGCATAGCGCTTTTCCTAGTCTGGTAGACGAGCTTCTATCCTGGTCGTGATTTTCGGCCGTTTTTTGCCTTATGCGTTAGCGGAAGATGCTGGTCAATGATGTTCATAACAGATCGAGACGAGCAATAGCCGAAGAACACGACTAACATCAAGCCGATGAGTCGACTGAATACTCACCAAGAGCAGAAAAGCAACATGTGATATGCAATCTCGTTATCATGCATACAATTTCAACACTGCAGTAGTGTCTTCCTCACATCCATCTCAACTGACTCGAACCCCTGCCAGCTAAATTTGGAAGAAACAAACAAACGTCAAAGCCCTTCACCGTCACCACCAACCTACGGTAGAGCCTCATGAAACGTCTGAGTGGCGATCGGATTGACACTAGGTCATGGCTCAAACCCCTGGACCCGAGTTGACCGAGCTCTGTCGTGCTGACCAGCATCGATGCCCAAGTTCCTGTCACTCATGACTCTCGACATGAGAGCTCAACTCAGCTTAAAAGGAAGCTCATCGCCAGCTTCAATGTCTTGTTTCTTTTCCAGCATCAACAGTCGTTCTATCTGCTTTTTTCCTATTATCTCTCTTTTCTTTTTTATTTCCTTATTACTTTCGTTTCTGAGTTTCTCTTAGTCACTCGCTACTATTATCAACCACTCTCGCTTTACAAGCTCAAACAACTACAACTACTACAATCTTATTTTTTTATTATCATCATTCCAACACTCGTTTAACGCCATGCGTTTCTCTGCTGGACTCATCCCTGCCTTGGGAGCTCTTGCTTCGCTGGGCGAAGCAACTCCTACTTTCCTCGGTGGTGGAGCATCAGGCTCTGCTGGCGGCGAGATCTCAGGCGGCGCTGATGCCCATCTCGGAGCAGGAGCCGGCGGTAATGCTGGTGCAGGTGCTGGTGCTGGTGCAGGAGCCGGTGCTGGTGGTCACCTCGGTGGTAGCCTTGGCGGTGGAGCTTCTGGTCATATCGGAGGCGAAGCTGGAGGTGAAGCCGGAGCCGGAGCTGGTGCTGGTGCCGGCGGAAAGGTCGGTGCTGGTGCTGGTGGCAAGGTCGATGGTCACCTTGGAGGTGAGATCGGCGGCAAGATTGGTGGAGGTGCTGGCGCTGGTGCCGGTGCAGGAGCTGGAGCTGGAGCCGGTGGAAAGATCGGTGCTGGCGCTGGCGGCAAGGTTGGCGGTGAAATCGGTGGTGAGATCGGCGGCAAGATTGGTGGAGGTGCTGGTGCCGGAGCCGGTGGAAAGATTGGGGGTGAAATCGGCGGTGGTGCCGAGGGTCACCTAGGAGGAGGCGCTGAAGGAGGTGCTGGTGCTGGTGCTGGAGGCAGTGCTGGCGGTAAGATCGGAGGACATATTGGAGGTGGTGTCAAGGGCGGCCTTGGTGGAGGCGCCGGTGGCAACGCCGGTGGTCACCTTGAGGGCGATATCAAGGGTGGAGCTGGCGGCAAGATTGGAGGTGGTGTTGGAGGTAAGATCGGAGCTGGCGCTGGTCTCGGTGCTGGTCTCGGTCTCGGCGGTCTTCTCGGTGGTGGTATTGAGTGGAACGCCGGCGGTGGTGCTGACTGGCACACTGGTACTTCTTGCAGCATCGGCAACGCTTGGAAGGATCACATTCTCTTCCAGGGTATCTGCGCTCCCGAGACTTCGACTACTCCTGCTGTCAACCTCGGCCTCAACCTTCCCAGCTGCCAGATCACTGGTGACATCGGCTTCGCTTGCGGTGCCGACTTCCTCACTACTCCCAACGTTCGTGTTGGTCTCGGTGGCATCTCTGCTTACATCGAGATCGATCTCTCTGCTTCCGCTGCCGTCCACCAGTCTGTCGAACTCTTCGCTGCTCCTAAGCTTGGTATTGCTATCCCCGGTCTTGACGCTGAGCTGAAGGCTGCCATTGAGGCTGCAATCGCTATTGATCTCGTTGTCGGCTGTGGTAAGGCCATCGATCTCTCTGCTGGTGTCTACGTCAAGTTCCCCGAGTCCGCCTACGTCGATATCTCTCTTCTCACCAAGGAGGTCATCCACGCTTCTCTCGAGGGTCTCGTCACCAAGGCTCTCCCCGTTGGCGTCGGTGCCGATGTCGAGCTTGGTGCTGGTATCGATCTTCAGCTTGGTCTCCGTCTTCGTTCTGAGCTCAGCATTGGCGGCGGTCTCGAGATCCCTGTTCTCGGTCTCGGTGGCAAGGCTGGTGCTGATGTTGGCTTCGGTGCCGGTGTCTGGTTCTCTCTCTTCGACTACACTGCTACCATTGGCGGTGGTGCCGGTGCCAGCGCTGGTATTGATGTCACTGGTGAGTTCGGCTGCAACCTTGGTCTCGCTATCGACAAGAAGTTCGACTTCAGCGGCGGTCTCTTCGGTCTCA